AGTTATTGAATTATGTAGGCATAGTTCAATTATAGTAGAATCCCTGACAATTCAGCCATAACTGGAAGGTATTTTTGAATCCTTAATGATAGAATTTTTGCAGATTTAGATTTTACTGACTTAACTTGGGAAAACCTATTAAATAAATAAAAGTCACATAAGTTTAAGCATCAGGGCGACTATACTTTATGATATTACAATTTTTCATAGCATGTATTACCAGTACACAAAAAAAACAAGTATTGGTATGTACATGTAATAATCTTTTTATCTTGAATTCAAATAAAGATATTGAAAACACTGATACATTGTTTTATTGACTTGGGAATAAATTGCTTTGTCATTGTTGAAATGTGGATACATGCATATACACGGTACCAGTAAGTAATTAAACTTTTTCAAACAATTTTAAACATTTAAAAACAAGTAAATGTGCAGAGAGTGTAGAAGTCTGTGCACTTTTCTTGGCCTGGAATTCTTCAAACAGGACAGGACAGGTTTGGTAGGACACCCTCAGATTCTCAACTTTGTTTAGGTAGTTGCTTCTTGTGTTTCACCTGTGAAATTATTATTTCAAAAATAAGTATAACAAAATGTAGTAATGTAACTGATCATTCAACGTCAAGCTAAGCAAATAAAGGAATAGATAATATAAAGTTAAAAACAAGAGGCCCAGGGGCCACATCGCTCACCTGAGCACTATGGCTAGGAAAAAGCAGAAATCGGTTTAGTCTTGAAAGGTTGAAAAGTTTAAATATAAAAGTGGTTCGGGGGGGAGGGGGGTATGAATTGAACAAATTTGAATCTACATTACCTGAGGATGCTTCCATTTAAATATGACCAATCATGGCTTTGCTGTTCTTGAGTAGAAGATTTTTAAAGATTTTTTCTACGTTTTCCTATGTAAAACTTTGATCACCCATTGTAGCCACACCCGACCCCCAGGGGTCATGTTTGAACAAACTTGATTCTACACTAATCTAAGAATGCTTCCATATAAATATGACCAATCATGGCTGTGCTGTTCATAAGAAATAGTTTTTTTGTTTTTTTTTTTTTTTTAAAGATTTTTACTATGTATTCCTATGTAAAAATTTGATCGCCCATTGTGGCCCCACCCGACCGCCGGGGGTCAAGATTTGAACAAACTTGAATGTACACTATCTGAGGATGCTTCAATGTAAATATGACCAATCATGGCTTTGCTGTTCTTGAAAAGAAGATTTTTAAAGATTTTTCCTATATATTCCTATGTACATGTAAAACTTTGATCGACCATTGCGGCCCCACCCAACCCCCGGGGGTCATGATTTGAACAAACTTGAATGTACACTATCTGAGGATGCTTCCACATAAGTTTCATATTTTCAAGCACAGTGGTTCTTGAGAAGAAGATTTTTTAGTGATGCCATTAATTTTTCACGAATTCATAATTATCTCCCCTTGGAAGAAGGCGTGGCCCTTCATTTGAACAAATTTGAATCCCCTTTACCCAAGAATACTTTGTGGCAAGTTTGGTTGAAATTGGCCCAGTGGTTCTAGAGAAGAAGTCGAAAATGTGAAAAGTTTACAGACGGACAGACAGACGGACTACAGACAAAATGTGATCAGAAAAGCTCACTTGAGCCTTCAGCTCAGGTGAGCTAAAAATATGAAAGTGAGAGAGGGCCAAACTAAGGGTTTAATTATTAATTCATAATGGAAGTAAACAAGCTTGAAAGACACACAATTCAATCCTAGAACATGTACCTGGTATTTCTTAAATTTTAAGTTCATTTACAGTGTATGTAGGTGTCAACCTTTCATCAACTACTTCTGTATATAATATTGAAGGGTTTTAATTTGTAAGACAGAGTGAATTAAAGTTATACATGTATTTATCTATGTGTATTTAACACATCACCATAAATGTGATGACGCAGAATTGTCTACAAACAAACAAACAAACTTATTTTGTGTGATCTCATAAACTACATGTGTCTTCCTTCTGTGGCCAAACATGTATAAAATTTGAAAGCTAAGGATATTATAAAGAAAACTAATATTGTTCACTGAGTTATATCCCATTCCCATATAAATGTGAAATCGAATCATAGTGATTGGACCCTTACAACTATAGTTGTCTTTCTGTAATGGACAATTCCTCTGTGTAACATTTTTTTTTAAGTAATGAGGTAAATCAAAGATTATTGAACAGATGGAATTCATTAAGATATGATTAATATATTTTATTAATATTTAGTCATGCAATCAGTAAGAATAAATACCTGTTGGCTCTCTATTCCCTTAGGAAAACACCAGGTCTAGAGCACAGTCCTAAGTTAGCTTAGAGTACATTGATCAATCTCAGCTTTTACACTAGCTGGCATTATGACAAAGGAGGGGACACAACTCAGATGTCTCAACCTGCAACACACAAATTATTTGAAGTGACCTGTTTTACACTATATCAGAGATTAAAAAAAAATCTTTTGCATTTAAATAAAATTAAATGAAAAGTGATTTGGAATATTACCGGTATGTACCCTAAATGACTGCACTGAACCGTAAACTTTGCTTAATTTCAGAAATGTTTGATTTCAAAATTCTGAGGAATTGTCAGAGAGTGTAAATGTACCAAGATAGATTAATTTTGCTGGGAAATGAAAACAAAGACCAAAGAATAAGGATTTTATTTTACAAACTAGATGTGTGTGGTAACACCACATATGCCCTCGCAGACATCCAAAATTTCAAATTGCAAATTGTAAATTGCACATTTGTAGCCAAGATAATGATTAGAAATTGAGAATTTTTAAATCGTTTCCAAGTTCAAGGGGGATAACTGTCAATACCACGACCAAATTCAAACTTGACCTGCATATTCCTATGACGTATCCATATATCAAATTTGAGTTGAATGTGTACAACTGTTGCCGAGATAATGAACGAAAATTCAACGATGACGGAATGACAGAATGACGGAACAGGGTAACACTATATCCCCCCCCCCCCGACCATTTTATGGCGGGGGCATAAAAATTCTGAAGATTAAGGGCTACCTATATTCTCCTACATTTCAGATGACAAGGAAAGTATTTCTATTCTGCTAAGGCAAATTTTCAAACTTCTTAAAAAAAAAAAAAACAAGTTCAAGCTATAGATTTCCATAAAAGAAGTGTTGCAATTATGACTTGGCAATCCATTATTATTATATTATTTCCATTTCACACAATAGAATTTGCATCAAAATCAAAGAATGTCTTGATCCCTTTCCTTTAGTGAGTGCAGAAAAAATTAAAATTAGACCCAACTATACAAGTATAGCTTATTGCATCAATTGTGAATTTTTACAGTGCATTATACATCAACAAATGCTTTAAAAAATCATGAAAAATAATTCAGAGAGCCATTAATGCTTTTTGGAGAAGTTGCCACCCTCCCCCCATTCGCCTTTTGAAATCGTTGCAACGGGCCTGGGGGGGGGGGGGTTCCTGTCCCCAAGCACCTGTGCATTAAACCATGAGTAGCAGAACCTAATGGGGCTAATTGTAGAATTGCTGGTGGTTGGCTGGGAGCAAATCTTCCCACTTTTTTTCCACAAAACAACATTAATTACGCCCAATAAAAATATTCAGCAAAAGTTCCCTGTTCAACGGAATAGACCCCACCCGATTTCTCCAACTTGATTTCGACGAGGATGTTAATTAAAGTAGTCTTTAAATTTGACCCATTTTACAATATAACTTAAATAAATATGACAAGTAATTCAGTGTTGTCTAGATTTAAAATTAGAAACAGCTGATTATTTCAAAAACTGAGAAAATTCGGTCCATCGCAGTTGAGATTATTGCTAGCCTACTTTCGTTTTCCTGAATATAAAGGCTTTAACATGTTTATATCAATAAAGTAGTCATTATCCTTTTGTTGTTTCAAACAAGGGATTAAGCATTTCTTTCTACATACTTCGTTCTGGGATTGGGCATGCTGAATCTATTCCAGAGGCAGAGATCTACCGTATATATGATCATCAAACATTACACTTCCTGCCATGTGGTGTCTAGCCTCGCTTTCGTATTATAAGGGATGAATAATTATTTCATTTTAAGGATAACTTGAAAAGAGATATCTCTTTCATTAAGAGAGATATCTCTTTAACTTAGAAGGATATCTCTTTTTGAAAATCTAAAGAGATATCTCTCTAACTTAGAAAGATATCTCTTTTAACGTTGTTAAAGAGATATCTCTCTAACTTTAAGAGATATCTCTCTCGCTTTAAGAGATATCTCTCTAGCTTAAAAAGATATCTCTCTAAGTAAAAGAGATATCTCTCTTGCAAAAAGAGATATCTCTTTTGTTTATAGTGATATCTCTCTAGGTTATAAAGATATCTCTCTTAGTCAAAGAGATATCTCTCTTGGTCAAAGAGATATCTCTTTTAGTTAAAGAGATATCTCTATAAGCTAAAGAGATATCTCTCTAAGCTAAAGAGATATCTCTCTTATTGAAAGAAAAAAATATTTTACGAATAAATAGTAAAAGGGCTTGCCATATAAAATACATGTGGCATTTCATGTTAATTCCCACAGTCCCCGCCCACTGACGTCAGACACAAAGACAGCCGCGAGAGATTTACATACATATTTGGCAATAGACCTTTCACTTAGCGAAATTTACATTCAGTTGTAATTGTTGAGAAATCAACACACCTAACTTTCAAAGAGTTATCACGGAGAAAACAGTTGAAAATGTAAATATTCACATACTAATGCAGTATTGTCAAAATTTTAAAGCACTGTCAAACATTTGGACTGGATGAAGTTTTTTTTAGACCACACTGTTTCCCCTAAGAACCGGCAAAACTGACTGCTTCAATTAATAAACATACCACTTAGAAATCAAAAATTAAAAAAAAAATGATTGTTGTAAAGTCTTAAAACAGTTTATAAAGTAAAATGGCATTGACATGAGAAATGAATTGATGTGGTATTCATTTATCAATGATGATTTTTTTTTTTCAGGTGAAACACACACCAAAACATTTAAATTTGTCAGAGTGCAGAAAAGACATCATTGCAAATCTGACTTGTATTGAAAATCAGCCTGAACAAGGTAGACAAATGAGCAAATTTGATGAAATTAAAACAAAATATATAATGATTATTATGCAAAATGAATAATAATTGTATATGCAAGCATAGTTCAGGAAAGAAAGTTAATATTTACAATCTACCCATTTGCTTGCTGTTTGACTCCAGGAATTTGCCATTCTACTTCAGGAGCACCTAGGCAATAAATTTTGTCAAGTTTCCAAAGTGTGGATACAAATTTATAGAAATTGTTTGGAAATTCTTTTCATCAAAGTCTTCTCTGTAAAATTCAAAAATTCAGGCGGCATGTACATGGTGTATTGATGTCAAGACGGACAAAAATAATTCTCGTGAATAAATTCTGTCATGTTTTCCAAAGTATGGATACAAATTTATAGAAGTTATTTGAAAATTCTTTTCATCGAAGTCTCCTCTGTAAAATACAGGCCACCTGTACATGGTGCATTGTAATGTCAATTAAGACAGACAAAATAATTTTTTGAATGTATAATAAAAATAATTAACCAAAAAAAGCATCATCATATCAACTTTGCGAAGAAAAAAAGTGTGTCAGATAACCGTAGTATTTTTTATTAATTCACCTGAGACAAAGCTTCGGATAAACTTTTGTGATCAAAGAGTGTCCAGCATATGTCTATTATTGTTTTTGCATCATCCATAAACTTCTGACATTTTCAACTTCTCCAGAACTGCTCATCCATTTATAATCAAACTTACAGAGGGCATCATTGGGTATTGGAGATTCTATGCAAGAGCCAAATCCTCTTTCAAGAGGAAAATGAGACAAAGGAAATATCTTTAAAAATCAGAGAGGAGGAGAAAGGGTTAGGGAAAGGCCACAATAGAGGTCAAACTTTTACATAGAATCACTTTGGGAAAATTAAGTCAAAAACAGCAAAGCCATGATTAGTCATATCAGTATGGAAGCTTCCTTAGTATAGACTCAAGATTGTTCAAATAATGAACCCTCTCACCTACACCACACCCCACTGGTAGGATGGGACCATGTTTATATTTAAAGCTTTCAATACCTAACTGATTTCTACTTTTCTCTACCAAAAGTGCTCAGGTGAGCCATGTGACCACAAAAAATTTAAATTGATAGCCCAAGTGACCAGTAAAAAGGAATTTTTTGAGCCCTGAGTTAAAGTTAGTTCAAATAATGACCACGGGAGGGGGAGGGGGGTAAGATGGTAACACATACGATAGAAGATTAAATCTAAAATTTTCTTGGAAAAATGTATGTAACATCCTAAAAATGGATCTTTGCAAGAATGGCAGGGCAATGATTAGTCATATAGATATGAAAGCATTCTCAGACATTACAGACTAAACTTTGTTCAACTCATGATTCCAGGGGATAGGGTGGTGCCACAGCAGGGGAATAATGTTATAACATAGGGATCAAACATCAATAATATTATTTGAGGCTTGACCAGCTTCAAAATCTTTCATCGGTTGTGTTTTAAATAAAATATTTTTGCAGCATTTTAGGTGATGATGAATTTCTGGAAATAAATATAGCAACATTCTGATATGCAGCTGATTTTAAAAATTAATCACTTTACTTATTCTTCATACAAATTTAAGGTTCCCCAGTTGCAGGATTGTGCTTTCGAAACATTGTTAATCAACTTCTTGGGTTACCAGATGAGGAAATTGTTAAAATAGCAGAGTTCTACTTCAGTATTTTGCAGCCAACGTAAGCTTTTATTGTCTCTGGATTCAAATTATATCTGATAATGAGATTTTAACTTCACTGATGATCACCATATTTATTTTTCAACTCCTATCAATTCTTTGGTCACATGAACCACTTTTAGTTAATGCTATTTTTTTTCTTTATCATTCAGGGTGTTTAAGTATCAAAGAGCAATAGAGAATATGGTTGATGCTTATGGAGCAATGAACACAGAACTCTCTGAGAAACTACTGGCAGAGAAAGTTTTACTAAGTCCCACTCCTGATCATGACCTTGTCAAAAGGGTTTTGACTCATGTTGCAATCAATGACAGAGCCCCATCTGAGGTAAGTATAATAATTAAAAATATTTCACTTGGAAAGAGACAATATATTTGGTTTTTCAGATGTCACTCTATGTCATTTGCTTGATTAACCCAAAGAATTTCAATGAGGTAGTGAAATAATATGAACATAACAGGGTTTTATGAATCTTGCTACATTTTTGAGTGTGTTCTGAAGTTTCAATTTGCAGCATACATGTACCTTATGAATTTGTTCTATTCACAAAGAAATAAAGAACACAGATTTGTTGAAATATTTAAAGAACTGTCAGATATCTTATTTTGTTCAGAAAGGAAAAAAATAACTACCTACATCAAAATGCCCTTTATTTTTCAACAGCATTCTGCCGCACAATTTTCTTTTCTGATGGATAGAGAGTCTTTAATCAGAGACATAAACAACATTATTTCTGTCTCTGCTTTAACAAATTTAATCAACCACCGTAACCATGCAGGCCATCTCTGTTGTTTTGAAGACTTTCACCTGCTCATCCAGATCCTGAACTTAAAAAAATTGTCCTATTTTTTCAGTCATTTAGACCGACCATTTCTAGTAAGTTATCAGTCCAGAAATTTTTTTTATTACTGGCCTTGCAGATAGGACCGACAGTTTTCGTCAACTCTGGAACATGTCATTACAGAATTTAATTCCTTGTGATACACGTATGAATATAATCATTGCCTCCTATCCAAGATAGAATATTGAACAATTAATTGTTTCCATACAGGTGATGTTGAAAACATTAGAAGATGCCGTGATCCATCAAGAGACATTTCCCAAAGAGTTTTACATCAAGGACACACACAGTAGATGCATGTTGGCTCTAGGAGCTGTTAGCCACAAACTATTTAAGGAAGGGCAGATAGAGAGGGCCAGGAAAATAATGACTTGGGTTCACTTGAAACTGGGATTGCATGGTTATACTTAGAACTGATTCAGATTCTTTCTGTTAATTTAAAGCATTAGTAGAAAAGATATCAAGTATTGAGGAATAATACGAATATTTTCAATTTATATTTCTTACCAACATTTTTAAAATTTGTTTGAAGACTGTGCCATGATGATGAAAGTTTTACTTAATAGTGACATATGTTTCTAAAAGATTTTGTAGTTCAGGTATATGATTAATTTGTCATTTAATATTCCAGACCCTTGGAAGTACAGACAAAAGAGAGCTGTGATGACAAGACAGGAAATGGAGGACTATGACCGCCATAAGGTTATTCTACTTGAGACTTTGGGAAATGCCAGGCTGGACGAGTCCTATGACTACATTCTGTCTCACATAAACAGCACAAACTCACCATGGATAAAGAGGGCTGGATGTCATGCTCTCCGCAAATACCACCATGAACATGTAAGAAAAGAGTCAAGAGTGTGCTACTCCTGAATCAAGTATGGTCCCAAGCAAACATCTTAGAGTCTTGCATGAAATGCAGAAGCCCTATAGGAATCAATTGACAGATTCCATATGTTTATCTGTATCATATTTATAATTCTCAAACAAATGATTGATTGTTTTCTGTCACCTTCCCAATATGTTACATTGATACCTCCAGCTTGAAAAGTATACTGATGTTAAGGCTGTTGGTACATTCATTATCGGTTTGTTCAATGTATTATAGAGTATTCATCTCTTATCCGCAACTTCCTATACTACGGAATAAAACTGAATGAATTTCCACAGGATCTTTATTACATAGTGCCATTGTGCAACTATTTACGTTCTGTTTTGACAGATATTTGGGGTTTCCCATAGCAAAACAGGGACTTTGTCACTATATTCGCACGAAAGTTGGGTATCCTTTTGTGAGTTCAGTGCTCAAGGTGCCTCTAGTTTGTTCTTAAAATTACTGTACCATTAAAGAACAATTTTTATATTTCCTGAGTGGAGCCCTCTTTGACTGTGGAAGTTTTCTAGTCAGACTCGAGTTTATTTTTTGCCTATCAGTTTTGCAAAACAGAATATTTTATGCCCTAATGGTCATTTAAGTTAAGAACATGCTTGGTGGTAATATGTTTGTCACTGTGTATCTGTAGAATCCTGTACAATATTCTTCGTATTGTTTTGGTCTGGTTTTGATTTTGAAATTCAAAATCAACCTCTCAGTTTGGCTTAATGAATTCAGATAGGTGCAAAAAAGGAGGCAAAGGAAAGGATTCATATGAGATTAGTTGAAACATAGCTTGATAAGTAATTGAGAAATGTTTTATTGTGATGATATGTGAAAATTATTAGGAATTGAATAAAAGCTGGAAGATTTTGCTTTATTTTATCTGACTAGTTTGTACATGAATTGATTGGAAATCTTATTAATTAAAAGTTTTGTTTTCAATCAACATATACAAACATGGCATATTTGCACATTTTATTCTGGAAAAAGTGCTTTTATTAAATTAGGAAATGAAAATTTGTAGTCTGTCAAATTATAACATTTGATTTAAGTTCGAGTTGTAATTTAAAGATCAGAAGTTACAGTGGTAAAATTATATTCATAGGCAGCTGAAACACTGCTGTATTCAGCTCTCTATGATGAGGACCAGTCAGTTAGATATGAAGCTTCTGTCTTGTATATGGCTCATCCAAAAGGAAAGATGATTGCTCCTATGAATGCCAAGTAAGTTTTATTAAAGAAATGCTTTAAAGATGAACTACAAATTTGATTAAAGATGAAATGGCTTTGTGTTAAATAGGTTTACTCAATATTTATACTTAGTTAAATATTTTTCTATCGGTATGGGTTTTTTTTATAACACAACATTTGAAATTAAGATTTAGGGTATAAGTGGTTAATTTTTGATATGTGAAATAAGAGTTATTTTATTGTGTTTCTTCTCCAACTTGGTCTGAAAAATAATGATTCTTGCAAAACAGAAGGTAAGAAAAAGTTGATCTATTCAGATTGTTTATACATGTACATGTATGTGGAATGGATCTTAAGTCAAAAAGTGTTTGTTTGGAAGGGAAGAGAGTTCATTTGACAACACAACAATCGTGGAGGATCCATATGATGCTGGTGTGGATGTTGTAGACCTTACAACTGGTCATCAGCGATCTCGTAGGAATGTATGGGAAGGAATCCGCTTTAGATTGGAAGCTCCAGGTGTAGACTGGAGAAAGACACTGGGCACCAAAGATATTGGTGCATCTTTTGGAGTTATTATGATAAACTTGCTGGATTTAGCAGTAGGTAAATGCTTAGTATTTTGTCAAACATGTTGGAAGAAAAAAAAATAAGGGTAAGTATTACATCTGCTAACCGCTGATTTGAAAAGATGAGAATGTATAAATAAAAGTTTACAGGGAGTCGAATGGGGTTTTACTATGTGAAAATCTATTGAAAAATTCTTTAATTTAAATCATATGTTACTTGCATTGACTTATATGTTCATGCCAAGTTTAGGGAAAATCTACCATCTATGTATTTTAGGGACCTTGTTCATTTACTATAGTATCATATAGAAAAGTGCTAGATTTTCACACTTACAGCAAATTTTACAAGTACTACAATAGCCTTTGTGCTCAATTTATAATATATGGTGAGTAATTTTATTGTACATCACATGTAAGAAACACAGAACTCTTCCATCTGGTTTCCAACTGTACATGTGTATATTGTCGGCGGCGACAATATGTACCTACCATCACTGCACATTAGGGATGGATATCGGCAAAATTTCATACCATGATATATCACAATTTTTTCCCCTAAAATATCACGATAAATCGTGATATTTTTACACACAATTTTTACTACAGTTTCAAATGAATTTCCATAATATTTTCAAAAATATGCTATAAAAAGCATACTTTTACTTTTAAAATTTTTATTTATTTAGTATCAAGCATGTTTGTATGCCGTTGCTTAACTATTTTCAACATTTTCTACACTTACTGTAATTGTCATTCAATAGTTTCAACAAATAAATTAATAATTTCTGGGATTTATAGTTATGTAGCAAATACCAGTATTTTAGTCTCCGTATCACGATACGTATCACGAAATAAAAAATCGCGATATACCGGAATACTAATAAAATCGCGCATCCGTACTGCACATATTATCGTCCGTTGGTACATATTGTTGACGGCGATAATATGTGCCGAGACGAGCCTTATTTTTCTTCTGCATAATAGACAAAATGTGCAGTCAAGCATCGGCACATATTGTTGTCGACAACAATATGTACATTGAAGCATCGGCACGTATTGTCATCGATATATTGTTTTGACAAATATTTACTAGGGTCTTGAAGAGAGATTGACAAACACACACACATGGAGGGAGACAGACAGCATTACTCGCAATACTGTAGGGAGGAAACTTTTTGGTCTAGGATCGGTGTACACAACTATAATATATAAATATACCGGAATTCTTGATTTATAAACTAGAATATTCTTTTTTTTTTCTTATAAAATGTATTTGGATATTACTTTTTGCCTTTAGTAGTAATAATAATTTAGAAAATATTTTTGTATTTTTCTTATACATGTACCGATATAATTGTGGTTGGAGGTGCACTCGGTGTATTTTATTTCATAGTTAAAGTAATGTAAGGAAGCAATTTCGATAAATATTTCAAATTAAAGATATCTGTACGTATACAATTTTCTCAAGCTAGCCTCCTTAACTTTCCTCATCACTATCATTATCATCTGCATCATTATAATAATCAACATTATCTCAATATGAGCAGTAAGGGTACGCAAATCTTCACTGGTGAGAATATGTACATCCTGCTGCAATATATATCGACGGACGACAATATGTATAGTTATGGGAGGTAAACAATGTCGCCGGCAACAATATGTATAGGACGACAATATGTACAATTCCCCTGCATGAATTAGCCTAAGAGACATGTCTGTGTGATTTATACACCAATTACATCCATTAAAATAAAAAAAAACAAACAAACCCTCAAACAATCCTTACCGTGGGTCGACAATGTGTAGTAGAGGGTAAGCATATAATGTCGTCGGCAACAATATGTACATGTGTAACTTTTCAGCCGGCGACAGTGTGTACCGATGGATGACAATATGTGCAATGAGGGTAGGTACATATTTTCACCAACGACAATATGTACAGAACACCAACATGTTGCGTCACTGGCATCTCAAAATGTAACATTTACGAAATTTTCTAGGTGTTTTGGAGTAGTACAAAATATGACAGATACTAAGATATACATGATACTTGATGTTGCGTGTGAATACGGTTAAGAAAACTGATTTTCATTACACTGTTGACAGAATACGGATATTAAAGGAAAGAGCAAGAGCCACTTAGGGCCTTTTTGACCCTGATAATTTCTGAAAAATCGAAACTGCTCAGTTTTTGTTGAAAATGCAGTATTTATAACTTGGACCCTTGGTAACCGTGTACCTATTGAACAGCACGTAATTTTCTCTCTAGTCAATGCATTATGACGTCAAAAAATGCGTCATTTTCCCCATATTCTGTAAATTCCCTTAAAAATGGCCAAAAGTTGAGGTATTTTTTCAATATTTCATATAGAGCACAACATCTGATCCAAAATATGGAATTACATAATGAAAGATCTGTTTCTGAATATCACAAAGATGTTTTAATTTTTGGATCGTGGGCTGTGCTCATATTTTGATTCTTTGCTGAAGGTAGTCAAATACGCATGTTTTCTGCAAAATTCAAGAACATTGCATTTTCTCAAAGCCTGTTTTCCAATACCTGGATTCTCAAAAGGAAATTTTGTTATAGGAAATGAAAGCACTAAGTCTCTACTTTATTTTGATATATGAAATGGGACAAAGGGTGATAGTCAATTAATTTATATAAGGACAGGGCCATTTTATGCATAAAGTGAACCTAGCTCTTTGGCATTGAAAATTGAAGTAATGTTATTTTTTACTTCTATGTTTAATGCAACCAACATTTTCAGGTAAAAAAAAAATGGATAAATTATGTAACAGACATTATATTTTCTCTGATGTCATATATGGAGGCACTTACGCAGAAAGAGTGCTATATTGTGCACCCAAAAATCTTGCGCAAAAAAAATTATAGTGCAGAGCCTTGTAGGCATCATCTGTCTTTAAATGTAAACAAAAGTTAATATAAAGATTTGGAAATTAATTGGAATTAATGAAAATATTACTTATCATGTGAGAATGAAAATTCGTGTTCATGATGAAGCATATGCAAGAATACATGTTGGAATTCTTGGATTCAACTACGATTTTTTCATCGCCAGAGTTTGTTTTAAAGGGGGCACTGAATACAGCTTCAACATTCTACAGGTACATTAACTGTGATCTTTTATCCAAAAAGTAATGTTTTAAAGAAGTTACTAATTTGCAATTTGTCATAGATTATTCTGAAAGACAAACATGATCGTTACTGAAACATAAAAATATAAGTATGCACTGTCTTGTATAGTGTTTATATATAAGTTGAAAGGTTAAAAAAAAAAGATATTTATCTGCCAAAAAATATTTGACTTTTTTTTGGAAAGGATGAACTAAAGTATGGAATCCTGTGTATAACACAATTATATATTTTATGGAAAAAGTTGTTTATATTGCTTGAAAAAGAAAGCAGTACAAGGATCGAGTTGGAGAGTTCAGGTTCTTGATTTATCTTTCAGGGAAATGAAATGAAAAAAATCGTTGACATTGCATTGAATTTTTCAAAGAAACTGGCAGAAATTGTGAATGGCATTAAAGCAGGTGTACAGTTGTTCAAGGATTTGATATCTGGCAGGCTCAGCCTTAAAAGAATTATTGATGATTTTGTCAGTGCTATTACAAGTATACCAAATAAGGTAAGTTAAATTTGAATCTATGGAAGAAAGAGGCTATGGAAATGTCTCTATCTATGAATTTCACATGCTTGTGATAGAGTTCTTCATCAAATTGCATGTATAAAAAAAAATTACAGTTTTAGCTTTCCAGTGTTTTGATATTAAGAGTTAATGCTCTGCCTAGGCTTTTGCAGTGTCATGTATGAGGAGAGCAGGTTACGGTTGTATAAATCCTAATAATTTTACATATTTTATGTGGAATGCCTTTTAGAAAGCTTTTGTACAGACTATATATTTTAAATTTTGCCCCAATGCTCATCAGGTTGGTCTGTGGTTAAATTAAGGTAAAATTATGCATGAAAAAAACTTTCACATGGAGCTTATTGTCATATGACAACTCTTTCGATTCAATCTGAATCATGAAATAGTTACCCATTTCCTTTCAAGTGTCCTTGCAACAAATGTAACCATTTGTTATGTCGTCTGAGTCGTTCATCTTCCCTTCCGTTTTATACATTGTCAATTGTGATTGTAAACATCTTAACATTATCAGTTTCTTCTTTAAATTTACAGAACCAATAGCAACCAGAGTTGATGAGCCCGGTAAACAAAAATACAGTAATGACAAAGTTTTCATTTTCATTCATTTATTTATTTTCATGCAATTCCATCTGCTTGTGAAAATTTCATTCTTACACAAATTTTTCTTTATATGAAGATTATATACAATATCCAAAATTCTTTAAATGTTTTCCTCCTACAAACACCAATTAACTCTCTCATGACATAAAGTATTGAAACACAACAGCATGTCATCTTGCAGGTCTAAGGGCAAATCCCATGTGCTTTTTAACTTTCAAAAATCCTCTATTCTTCAAGTCATCTATAGGGCATATATTTGCATAATTAAAATATAAGCAGTTAGCTGTTTACGAAACTTAGAAATAATTCATGTTTACTTATTAATCTGATATTCAAGAATTTTTCTACATTTATTACTAGAAATATATCCATAGGACATGGATGCCCTGTCTAGGGTGTATTAGTAATGCAGCATGGATTTTTTTTATTGTATGAAGTTTGATGAAAATATCTTTAATAGTTTCTTTAAAACTGAGTTTTATAGACAATAAATAATAAAATTAAAATCGAAGTTCACTGAGATCAAGTTAAAAAATTTGGACATCTTTGAAAAATTTTCATTAAATTATGTATCACAGCATAAGCTTACATAAAAAAAATCTGAAGTGGTTTCTGTAACACTGAGCAAAATGCAAATTACAGAAAAATGAGTTCAAGGTGACAGGAAAGTTCAAGGTCAAAGGTATTTGATGCAGGTGAATAGCGCTCATCTTTATGTATTAGCATATCAAGTTTGATAAGAATATCTTGAATATTCCCTTTGAAACTGAGCTAAACACTAATTTAAGAAAAGTGAGTTCAAGGTCAAAGGAAAGGTTTAGGTCCAAAAAAATGCTGATACAGTTGAATAGCTCTCATCAATATGTGTATAAAAGGTTGGATAAGAATACTGATGATTACTCTAAAACTGAGCTAAACACTAATTTCAGAAAAGTGAGTTCAAGGTCAAAGGAAAGGTTAAATTCAAAATGTTGATGCAGTTGAATAGCTCTCATCAAATTGTATCAACACATGAATTTTTGATAATAATATCCTTGAATAGTTTCTTTGAAACTAAACTTTGAACAGAGCTAAATGCAAAGCGTGACAGAAGGACAGAAGACAGACATATCAAACACTATATGTCCCAGCCATATTTATGGCAGGGCATAAGAATTATCAACTCTTGAATTTTTTAGTAGACAAATTTAAGTTATGACAAATAATGAGCTACAGGAGCTAAAATAACTAAAATAAAATAAATTAAGAAATTAATGCCCCATGGTTACGCAGTAATGTTAAGGCTTCCCGAAGCTTTAAATGCGTTCAAAACATAACACTGCATTGCAAGGTCGATTTTTATTTTTATTTGTAAGTTATATACTTAAGTACGATCAATTTATATAGAGAGTTCTCTAGGCTATATATGAACGTATTTGTTACGATATCACATGACCTCGTTCATCACGTGACGGCCATTTCTACGTTTTTGAAGTATTTCACATAAATCGCTTTGGTGCAGCTGATTAACACAATTATTATTAACTTTTTCTCACATAAATAAACTCTTCGCATCCTTCTGAACCCGAAATGTGCTTGGGAAAAGTTATACTATTACTCTGGTACAAAATATTTCACAATAAATTCAACTTACCAACAAATTAGAGGGTATTTTCCACTCAATATCGTCATCTGTATTAAAACAAAGCCATCACACATTTTTCCCAAGCAAGATTCAGTTAGAAGGGAAATTCTTCTTGCATATTCCCACAAGAGATCTCAAATAAATCCTTATTACTCACCTGCGCCAGGCTCTTTTATATACATATTATAAATTCTACTTCTATCCAAGGGTATAGAAAAGGGTAAATGTCAAACGTATATTTTCGTATATATTTTGAACATGCTGATTTTTAACGAAGAGTAATTAAGCAAATCTAAAACATTCGGATATATAAGATTTAAAAAAAAAGATTAAAACACGTTTATTTTACACCAACTTTCTGACACTTTATATGCAGATTACAATAAGGTGAAAAGTTTATGACACTCTACCCATCATAACAGCTTAAGTTTGCAGTGACTTGACGTCATTTTCAATTATGACGTCATACATTTGTAGTTCAGAGAAGTGAAGGCACAGAGTACGCTGCGATATTAACGTACCTGCGTACAGGATTCAGGCAAATGGCTCAGTTGATCATTTATTAAAAGTGCATTTATATTTCAGGATATCCACCCCTCAGCCTCATCATTTACATCACTTAAATATATTCTTGTCAAGAAACCCTGGGCTGGAAAAGCTGAAACTTATGTGAAAGCTTCCTTAAGTTGATCTAGTGTAGAAATCATGGCCCTCAGTGGTACGATAGGGTCACTAGGGAATCAAAGTTTAACATTGAAATATATAGGAAAAATCTTTTTGTCAAGAACCACTGGGACAGAAAAGTTGAAACTTACATGAAATATTCCTGAGGTAGTGTAAATTCTAAAATGTTCAAATCATGGCCCTTAGAGTTGGGCAACAACAGGGAATCAAAGTTTAACATTAGAATATATTAGGAAAATCTTTGAACTCAAGAACTGCTAGACAAGAAAAGAACAAGTTTTTTTGAAAGCTTTCTGAGGTAGTTTAGATGTTTACTTGGGAGTGCATGTATATTGGGAAGAAATTTTTATGTATAATAGTAAGGCCAAAGTGTCTCAGGCGAGCCTTGTGGCTCATGGGCCTCCTGTTTTTCAAAAATCTTTTTGTAACCATTGTTACCATTTTTTTCTTCAAAATTACAGGTAGTCAGCTTGGTAGAGAAATCAACAGAAGCCCTGGCAAAAATAGGACACTATGATCCTGAAGATCTGCCTCCCGAGTTCAAGCCTACCATTAACTTTGTGCACAAAGTCTCAAAGTTGTTTAGTGACATAAAAGCTGATGTGATGGGATTTGTCAATGTAATTTTTTTTAGTGGTTCGATAAATGCATTTAATTACTTGAGTCGTACTGTCAAAGTATTGCAATCTGTTCATTTCTGTAGTTGTGTGAAATCTGTAAACTTTACAAGTTAAACATGCTTAGCTCTAATTTCAAAACGATTTTGTATATAGAATTCTTTAAGGGACGGACAGGTTGCAGAGTTTTATTTAATGATGGGTATAAGACATGATTTTTTTTTTCAAAATAGTATCTCTCACTCATAAACATCTTACAGAAAAATTACATTTATTGAAGTACTGTTAATCACTCTTATTTCAAGAAAAATTACGCGAGACTGTCTGCTCGCAAAAATTTCACTCTCGCATAGATTTTAATAGTATAGCTTATATACACCAATAACCAGAATTCATGAAAATTTTATCTCGCTTATTCATACCAAAAATACCTTTCTCGTGAAAATAAGGTGTCGCCAAAATTTAATGATTTACAGTGATGAAAATGTAATTCCCTTACCAAAATTATATTTTTATGTTCTTTTTTCATGGGTTCAAGTCATCCCAGGATGAGAAAAAATGCATATTTTCAAAAATCTTCCACTTCAACTCTTGGACATCTAACACACTAAATGTTAGAATATACAAGTACATATCATGAGCAGTTATCTTGTCAACAAATTTTTTCCTATATCTCCTGCATCGTAAGTTAGTCACATAGTAAAAATGTCTATCTTTAAAAATCTTCAATGATAAAAATTCAGAAGAGGATATGTTAGCATGATTTCAATGATTGATTGATTGTCTGTTTGTTGTACGTCCCATTTGAGAATTTTTCACTCATATAGAGACGTCACCATATACCGGTGAAGGGCTTCAAATTAAAACCTTTTCTCGGCACTCAGGGCCATTGAGCAGTGAGGGTTCTTTCCTGGGGCAGGGAAAAATTAGAAAAAAATGTTTGTTTTTTTCTCAATATAAGAACAAATCACTAGTTTAGGTATACAGAGTATTTCCTACTTTTTTCCCAAATTTGTGAAAAGTTTTGACCCATGGGTTTAGGTTTCATAGACCAACATGATTCTTTGTTTATATATGAAAAAGCTGCTTCTTTACTCCTTGAGAATTAGGAGACAAACTGCTTCAAGAATACATACATGTTCTTAACAGGGGCATCTCTCATAAAAATGATCAATTTATGGTTCCTGATGCGACAAACGGTTTTACATGTACTAATTTTAAAATGCATTTTACACTGTCTTTGTTGGTTGTACAAAAGCCAACAAGGAAAAGTGTTTGCTTCACACACATCTAACATTCCTTGTTATAAATGTCTTAAAATACAGCCATTTTTCATTTTTAACCAATATTTCAACATTATTTTATTGATACTTTAACTTCCACTAGTCAAATTGTTACATGATTACATGTGTCCAAAGTGATTATAACTTAAGCTGGCAACCAACATTAGTTCAGCTTATGTGTAATGAGTTGTTGATAAAAAGTGATACTTAGGTGACTGTTTAAGTCTATGGACTTTGTATTGTATTAGTAACTATTTTACTTATATACTATCAGTAAGATAAAACTTTCATCAATAAATTTCACCTGTGCATTTTAGATGGCAATTAATTCACATTAAGGATAATATACAGTGTTTTTTTTATCATGAGCCTAACCACTTATGAATAATTTCTGTGTGTCCTTTCAGGCAGTGGAACAATCTATTAAAGTTGTAATCCCCCATCAAGCCAAAGTCATATTTGAGAGCATTCGGGACATTATTGAAGGATTCTCAAAGATTTTGGGAAATCCCAAAGCAGCACTTCAGAGTATTGGGAAAGGTGTTTTCTCGTAAGAAATATTTCATTTTCCTTGAATTTGGTTTTCTTTCCATGACCTTAAGTTTTGATAAATGGTATAACAGTACATCTCATGATCTTAAGTTTTGATAAATGGTATTAATTTGATGTAAATTCTTAAAAGATAAATTAAGGTCATTCAAAGTTAAAAAGAATGAGAACCAAGCGTATTGCTGATGCTCAATATTATCTGATTTAAAAAAAATTGTCCAGCATTTTTAATGTGTCCTGGAGAAATTTCCACAAAATTTTCACTTTTGCCTAAAGCATTTTAGGGGTCTGTTAAATTCAAGTTTATTTCAAATGAAGGACAGCACTCTTTCCAAGGGGAGATAATTAAGAACTAGTATAGTGGGGTCATTTAAAATATTCCTCATAGAACACTTGGCCGTAAAAGAAAAAAACTATTGAAAGATTTTTTTTGTTGTGTATAAATCCAAATGTTTTAAAATCATGGCTCCTGGAGCAGGAATCTGGCTACATTTGGGGTCAAATTAATAGGAATAATATTTTAATGAAAAAAAAATAATTGAATTATTCAAAAATCTTTTTCACTAATAGCAGGACATAATAGATCACATTAATATGTCAGCATGTAGTGTAAATTCAAGTTTGTCCACCGGGGCTACAATGCAAGAAAGGCCATAACATTGTTAAAAATGTTACTTAAACACATTTGGAAATCTATATAGAAAATCTTATTAAGAGCAACAGGGCCACAATTATTGATATATGCAAACATCTCCATGTTGAATAGGATCAAATCTGTTCATATCATGGCCAGTTTGAGTAAGTTAATAGGGTCATGTATTTAGTCTTTTATTAAAAAAAAAGGATGTATCCATGTACGGATGTACATGTTTTTGCTGTATTTTTATGCCCCCCCCCCCCTTCAGAGAAGGAAGGGAATATTGCTTTGCTGCTGTTTGTCGGTCAGTCGGTCTGTCTGTCGGTCCATCAGCAGTTTTCGGATCCGTTCATTTTCTTTGCAGAGGTTGCACATACTAAAATGAAATTTGGTATACAGATTTATCATAACAATATCTAGGTCAATTTTGCTTTGGGTACGATCAAGCAATTTTTGACAGATATATGCCCCCTGGACTTTGAAAAATACCAATTATTTGCAGTTTCCGTTCATTTTCTTCGCAGAGGTTACACATACTAAAATGAAATTTGGTTTACAGATTTATCATAAAAATATCCAGGTCAAGTTCTGTTTTGGGTACGATCGAGCAATTTTGGTGAGTTATGCCCCATGGACTTTGAAAAATTCAATTAATTTTGGGGGAGGGGAGAGGGCATAAGTGTTTCACAAACATCTCTTGTTCTTTTTTTTTTTTTTTTTGATCTTCAATTAGCCAATTTAATTAAAGTTGTCTTCGTTCCTGCACAGAATTTTTCAATCAATAAGGATTATTCTAAAACAGAAGAACACAGTTCAAGAAGCATGCTTCTTCCTAAGAGGTAATACATTAATATTGAATATTAATAATTAAGAGTTACATGATCAGATTTTGGATAGGACTGAAAGGGAATTTTCATGTAGAGGTCTAGGCAAGCACAAAACATTTAATGAAACTAAATTTTATCAATGATATTGATTGAATGATTGATTGTATTATGTTTTACGTCCCATTTGAGAATTTTTCACTCATACAGAGATGACACCATATACCGGTGAAGGGCTTAAGATTCAGACCTTTTTACGACACTCAGAGCCATTGAGCAAGGAGGGATTTTTATCGTGCCAACGCCTGCCGTGACACTGGGCCTCGGTTTTTAAGGTCTCATCCGAAGGACCCGCAACTTTCACATCAAAGTGCCGAGCGCATAGTAAAGGAACAGTTGCTACCTATTTTTTATCGACTTAGGTCAGTCGCGGCCGAGATTCGAACTCACGACCTCCCGATCTCGGAGCGAGCGCTCTACCAGCTGAGCTACCGTGAACGGTTTATGATATTGATAATGCATGTCAAGTTATTCTAGCTGCAAATTCATAAGCAAAGGGTACTAAATGATTATCACTTGTGATCATTTATGTACTCTGATGGGAGGGTTTGTGTTTTCATATCCCTCACAAACAAAAATTTGGGGGTTATATGGGAATCACCTTGTCCGTCTGTTCGTCCGTCTGTCTAACTTGCTGTCTGTCTGTCTATCTGTGCAAAGGTGTCCAGTCCACATCTTTCTAACGGAGGAACTTTAGAATCTACTACTTCAAACAAAGATTGTTCAGGACCTGAGGGTGTGTCGTGACCTTGACCGAAGGTCATTCGGGCAAGTTCAAGGTCACTGAAAGAAAAAGTTCATAATTTGTGTCCGGTCCATATCTTTCTTATGGATAAACTTGGTGAGTTCCCATTTTACACAGAGATTGCTTTATGACCTGCGGGTGTCTCATGACCTTGACCCAAGGTCAATTGTGCAAGTTCAAGGTCACTGAATATATATAATTCGTGTCTGGTCCGTATCTTTCTTATGGAAAGTACGGAATTTCCACTTCACACCAAGATTGTTTATGACTTGAGGGTGTGCCATGATCTTCACCTAAAGTCCCTGTAGAAAAAATGGAAAAAATGCATCCATACTTTCCAATAGAGAAATATTTGAAAATTATTTATTTTTTCAATGTAATAAAAAAAAACAATGTTATTATTAGTATTTAAATTTTATTAGGCTGCTCCTTGGTTTCATTCATTAAAAATAATATGAGCAATTACTGATAAATTTTTACTCTAAATGTTTAAACAAATTGTAAACACCTCTTAAATCCATCAAATACTAGTGTCAGTAACTTGGCACCTTCTCTGAAAAACCCGGCGTTTTTATTTATTTTATTATTATTATTATTATTATTATTATTATTATTATTATTATTTTGTCCATTTTGGACAGTTCTAGGTGTTATTGGAACTTTTTGGTTGTATTTTTAAGGAATTCCTGGTACATGTATTTTCTCTTTTTTTAAGCTGGAATTTGGACTTCAAGGCAACAAGTTTTTTCATAAAATGTTTTCAACGTGAATATCGGCAATTCGTCAGCAAACATGTTTCTATTGAACGACGCATAAATTGTATTAAAGAACTACTGTTCAAGTTTTACATGTAAATACTGCTTGAATGTTCCATTCAAATTTGTGTCCTAACTGTTTACTACTTATATTTTTCAGGCAAATCTTATGTTAAAATATGGGTTGGAAGATTAGAATTTTCTTATATTTAGGAATGTATCTGGGATTTTTTGTCTCATATAGGGAACAGGTTTTAACCAAGACTCGGGTAACCCCTGTATGATGCAATATTGTTCTCTCACATTTATAAAAATCTTCTATCAATTTAATGTCAGAATTAAAATTGTTTAAAAATACACTATATTCAAAATAATGAGATTAAATATTTGTAGTAGATTGTTGGAGGGGTTTGTGAGTAATTTAAAAGATTTTTTAAAGCAAAAGTCATCAAAGTCATGAAAATATACAGGAGTAAATAAATTTTCCAGCTTCTGTAGCATTTTACTTCACATAACATATTTTCAGATGAAAAACCATACTGGTTTGATGTTGAAAAATTGCTGCTTGAATACCAGCCTTTAGCTGATCAAGCCTTTGCCAGTTTGAAAAGTGCTGGTGACAGATGGATCAATGAGAAAATAGAGGATGCAGAGGACAGAGTCAAAAAATTTACAAAGGGCAAATTTGCACTGGTCAGTATTCATATGTAGATTTTATAATATAATTATAAGATAACTGAGAGAGCTAATCGCCATGATATAATTGTGAGATTACTTAGAGCTAATCGACATAATAGTAAAATCACTTAGAGAGATAATGTTATGGCGATTAGGTGTGATGTGTGCAATCTTTTTACAATGTAGCTAGCTAAGAAATTTAACCAATATTATCAAATTGTTCCTAGGGTATAGTCAAGTTGGATCAAGGGTTTTCACTATTAAAATAATGATCAAACCTTAACCAATCTGGTGGGTTAGGAACTTATTATACCAGGATAGCAGTTTTTCTGTTAGGTGATTGAATGGAAAATGTTTAAGAACTATAAGAATATTTTATGAAGTTGTTTGGAATTATGTTATATTTGCTGTTACAGAGAGATCTTAGGCGAGAGGCAGTGCGTACAATAGAAACTCTCCAAGCACTTCTGATGGACCCCTTTAATGATTTATTAGGATTGGCAGATAACTTTGTAAAACAGTATTCAAGTGTGTTTGGACTTATTCAAAAGATCAAAGATGCATATACCACTCTGAAGGAAGGGTAATTATCAAATTATTTTTTTTATGAATATTATCGTGATAACCTGTGCAGTGATAGTTCATTGTTTATATAATGATAGTACTAAATATTTTGGAATCTGTTGGAATTGTTTTAGTATATACATTTGTTCTTGTTTTTACTTTGCTTTAGTTATGACACAGCAAGAGGGATCATTGATGCAATATTTGGTCCAAAGGCACATAAAAAATTTCCAAAGAATCGACGTTTAAAAGGGGGAGGATGTGATAGTGGATTTTATCCATCCTCTTTAGGAGGTGGACGTAGGGAATACAGACACAAAGGACTTGATCTGTTGGTAGAGAGGGGTGACCCGGTAAATAAAAATTTGGATTGATGTCTTAAAGTAATCATTAAATTTGATAAAGAATATGGAAAAAAAAACAATGTACTGTGTTTTGATATTCAAAAAAAAGCAGGATAAATAAATTAGAATTTTAAAGTTAAGTTCAAAAGAAGTTGTTCAAAATTCTTCATTCAGTGTTAAAATTTTAGATTGTAGCTCCTTTTGGTGGCACTATAACTGTAGATAGTGAGGACTCAAAGACAGTTATCATTAGTTCAGAAGGAGGTTCACTTCGAGGAATTACAATCTTCATAACCAACATAGAACCCAATTCCACCATTGACACGGAAGAGGGCAGATCAGTAATTATTCCCACATAATGCTTGTCATTATTAGCTCACCTGAGCAAAAGGTTCAGGTGAACTTTTCTGAATAAACACTGTTGTCGTAAACTTTCTGCATTTTTATCTTCTTCAAAACCACTGAGTCAATTTCAGCCTTGTCACCATGCATCTTTGGGTGAAGGAAATTTAAATTTGTTCAAATGAAGGACACGCTTTTGTTCAACAGGAGATGATTAAAAAATAGCGAAAGTTGGGTTGAATCATTTAAAAATCTTCTCAAGAACAGCAGGCCAGAAAAGATGAAACTTATGTGGAGGCTTTTTGACATAGTGCAGATTCAGTTTTTTTTTCAGTTTTTTTTATCTAGTAATTATAGGAATATTGAAGTAGAAGATGGAGAGTTTGAAAAAAGAATTTTATTAAACTTTGTGTATCGTATAGGTAAAGCAGTAATTGTAGATCAAGAAAGATATTTCTTCTGATAGTATTTAAGTAACTTTGTATAGTGTATATTAAGCAGCCCAAAAAGTCTAGGGGAAAAATGGCTTTGATTTAAATTAAATTCTGATTTAGATTTATAAACCTAGCTGCAAAACTGTAGCTCTCTGCTTGAGAAAATTCGGACAGGTGAAGCAGAGAGCTACAGATCCAAGCGTTGTAAAAATCTTCTATTTACGCCATCACATTTTTCACTTCTCACTTCGGGTATTATTTCTTGTATTTTATGCTTTCCCCTGCTTTTAAGAATGGTATCCGATAATTAACCATATATTTTACTCCTATTCTTGATCATGTTGATACTTTATTTACCTTGATGCTAGGTTGGTTTACGATAGGAGTTCAAAGTAAATCAGAAGCATATATACATGTAGAACTTTTTAATTCTTTAGATACAGTGGAATCCTGTTTTTCTATATTCATTTTGTCACGATAAAGTATTGTACCAAGTCCCCAATAAACTCAATTGACATAAAAAGTTGGGCTACAATTTCTAAAATTAATAGGCAAACATATATGTTCAAAATGTTCTGGGTCTGGCCACAATAGATGTTCAAATTTGTCAAAATATTGTAAATATTGCTCCAAGGTTTTTGACCTTGACAAGGGGTGTCATTAGTCAGATGGAGAAATGTGACATAGTTCAGTGTTTTTGCCATTGCGCATCATTACATTTGTTTGCAGTGTGCAGCGGGTCAGCCCATTGGTACAGCAACTCGTTCTGATTGTGATAATCACATCCATTTAGCATTTCAAAAAGATGGAGGCAGTTATGTGGATCCCACCAAGTATCTCGAGTCATTATTTCCTGTTGTTCCTAAGTGGAAGCAGATCTGTGATGATTACAAACTTGTTTTCAAGGTAATAAAACAATCAAGGAGTGGGTAAACTATTGTAATCACTGTGTTCGTATGTATGTTTGACAGTCCCAGTTGTTTGCCAGAAGATATTACTAGGTAAACTTATAGATATTAAGTTGAAGTGTAGTAAAGATTTAATAATGAAGTAGTTCTTGATCAGGAGAGTCCAGAAATAATTTCAACCGTTTTTTATGGAATTGACTAAAAATTCTGTATTCCAGAACATTTATAGGTTAGACTTTAAATTCAGGTATTGAATGAAGTTACGTACTCTGTGCATAAGAGAATTGCAGATCACTATGAAATAAGAATGTCATAGGATTTCATTTTCTCCTTAGTAATGGTCAAGGTCAAATACTCATCTATTGCATAAAAGGTTTCCAGATGATAACTTAAATTTTCTGTGAGCTTTTGCAATAAAATTTTACATCACATCTTCCTATATATGCTTTAAAAAGACCCTTATTAATTCTGAGGTTAAAAGATCAAGGTAAGGGTTCATAAATATTGCATAATTAGGCAGTTTTCAGATGATAATAACTTTGGTTCTCTTTGAGCTTAAGGAATGAAACTTAAGGTGTTGAATATAACTAAAGAATTTAAGACTCCAATTGAAACCAAGGTCTAAAGGTGAAAAGATTAAGGTCGGTTTCTTGCCAGGATTAATTCTTAAGATTCTTAAGATTTTCCATCCTTATTTGTTGTCCTAGATGGGAGATTGGATTCCCAGAATTGTGAAAATCTGACATCAAGCCTCAATACTAACAACTGATATGGTTGATATTACTTGCTTTTGACTACTGAACATTGTAAGTGTGGTCCTTAGTTGAAATATACTATTGTATTATTCAGAATGAAACAATAGCAGCTAATGTGATAGTTGGTTTGATGGGTGAAGGTGTCCAAAATAAAGACCCTACTATTACCAACACAGACAAGGCTGTTCCAATTAAATTTCCAGAAAGCAATGCAAATCCAGATGACACCATAGCCATAAAATGTAAGTTGCTCAGGTACACATCTGAGTCACTTGTGTGACCTATTGTTGTCTTTTAATTTAAGTCTTGCTTCATGGGGCATCTGTCATTTCAATCAAGAAAATGGAACATTTTCCCCTTTTTTCTAAAATAGCTAAATCATGCAATTAATATTTGTGGTAAAACCAATAGACAAGAGGAGTAAAGAAATGTAAAGTGAATTTCATTGTCATATGACCAAAATCACCAAAATTCATGGACTCTGCAAAGATATTTTCTCTTAGGCATTTACCATCCAACGTATGCATCGTAAAAAAAAAACTATGGATACTGTGCCCTATGGGTTTGTGATTCAGATCTGAGGGTGAAGCTGAGCTAGTCTTTAGAAAAAGTTAGTATTCTGTGTAAATTAAGATATTCATGTCACCCACTTTTAGATTCAGACTCCAGAATGGGGCTAAAATGATCTAATGTATATTTAACTATGTCTTGAAAAATCTGCTTTAAGCATGGACATTTAGCAAGCAAAATGCAGTATTATAATGAACAATGATGTATTCAGCCCCTGAATTGGGGGCCAAGGTTTTTGTACTTTGAATGTCATTATACATGCATCTTTGAAAATCTTTCTGTTTCCCCTGGACATCCTGTTTGCATGATTATACTTATATCATGAAATTTAGTTTTTCTGGGTTCAGGCCTGTATGTAGGGCTATGTTGATCATTTATTGAAAAACCGTAATAATTTTGAAAATCTTTATAATATTCTTTATTTCTGGATATTTCTAAAAATTTGCAAAAAATAACAAAAGAAAACTATGAATATAAAATCGATGTCACTTTAAATTGGCTCCAGAGTTGCAGTCCAAGATGGGACAGAGTATGGTTATCGTTATAGCTTAAGATACCCTATTTCATTTTCTACTCAAATGACAAGAACAAAAAGCATATTCTTGACCTAAGTTAATGTTCATACACCTGATTAAAGAATATCTTGACAACGCCATGAATACTCTATTTAAGGGTAGAATATTTGTCTTGCTAGGCCATGAGTTTGTATGTATTTAAAAAAAGCATGAGCAACTACCTTATTTCTAAGCTTTTTTTTTAAATCGCAGCATGACAGACAGGCACCTTTTATAGACTAAAGAATGTGTGCACCCATTACTGAGAAAACTTCAAAAACTTCTATGAGGCAATTAAATTCAAAGTTTATAATACATGTATATGTTGTTAAAAACAAAGTGATTTAGATGATTGTTATGGCTCATGGGCCTCTTGTATTGGTATTGCTATATACCATTGATTCTAGGGCATTTATACACAGTTTACATTAATGATGATTATTTTTTTGGTTTATATCTAGCAAAACCAAGTGGCCTTTTTGCTAAAGTACACTCAAGCTTAGGCAGTGCTCTAGATTTTGACACAGATAATGACCAGTGTCCTGTCGTTATGGGAACCCAATCTTCTGTAGGAAAAAGATCTCTTTCTCTTGGAAAAGGTAATCTTTGATTTACAAGGGAAACAAACTGCATTCAAATACATGTATCTTATGTGTTTTCCACTTTCATCAAAGCTAGACTTAAAAGTTATCCAAATCATGTAAGTGGTGTATTGCTACCTATTGTTCTTGTCTTTCAGTAGTAAGTTGTCAGTCAGTATATAATTATATAAACTTTTGAACATATTCAACTTTTTCTATTGCTGAAAGTTTTTTAATCAATGATGGAAAAAAGTCTTTTAACACACATAATTATAACCAAACACAAAGAATATGATACTTTTTTATGATTTGGTAAAAAATTATATATTGTAGGAATATTCTCTAAACTGTTGAAAACGGCAGATAAATTTTTGGAAAAATTCAATATAAGACGTTTAAAGTTTGGCACAATCATGGACTTTCTGGACAAATTTGGAATGACAGAAAGTAAGGCTGCAATGGCGAGAGTGATGAGGGAAATAAAGGTATGCCAGTTTTTTTTTTTGTTTGTGTTTTTTTTTCGGGGGGGGGGGGATGGGGGGTGTCCAAGATATGTTCAAAAGCTTGTTTTTTTTTAAGATATCTTGATTTGTTTGTAGAGCTAGTTGTATTGGCTTTCGATAATATGGATTTTGACTAATAGGAACATATCCTGTTAATATGTTATTAATTGATACATGTAAGTGAAAGCATTCCGAGTAACAAATTTGAAAGTGAGTGCTTCATATATGGATCTGCTATAAATTTCATCTCATTTAATCATTTACAAGCCTTACAGTCGTTCCATGTTTTTAATATTTAGGAAATCATAGATGACACAGCCTGTAGAAATCCATATGAGATGACAGAGGATCAACTGGTGAATGAATTGACAGAAATGGGTAAAGACACAAAAGGATCGAGAGAACAACTGATTGAAAGACTGGTGCAATTAGACAAAAGTGTGTGTTAAAAAAACAATTATTCTAAAGATTTTTTTCCATGTTAGTAAAATGAATACCATGTTTACTGAGTCTTCAAATATTCTCACATTAATACATTTATATTTTAGGTTGCCCTTTGCTGTCCTTCACCATGCCAAAAAACAATGTCTACTGCATGTTTGACAGCATGTGTTTAGGACTGGAATGTTGCATTAACCTTAAGTTTGCTGTTTTCTTAAAAATCTTTAAAGTGTGGGCACGCTTTGATCCATGTGCTTCTCCTCAAATGTTTTTCACTCTTGGTTTGGATTCATACACATACAAAATTGAGATCCCAAGTGATATATCCTATGATGGTAAGCTCATAATCAATAATTCTTCAAATTATGGGCACACTTTTATACATATGCTTCTGTTCAAAAGCATGAAAGTATGTTCATAATCAATGATTTAGATTAAAGGGATCTCCGGCTTGTGCACTGCATTTTTACCCTTTTCAGTCAGAAGTGTAGTTTATTAATATGTCATCTATCGTAAAGCATTTGCAAGATTCAGATTAGTCTGAATTTGAAAGATTAAGATTGTTGTCCCATCAAAATGACCTTATTGTTCTCACAAAATATTTCTCTTTATATGTCATAGGTTTCATTATTTGGTTTAACACCACTGATGAATATATGTAAAAGATGCAGTGCTATATAGTTTGGGTGTAATTTATGTAGTTAGCATAGATCTAAAGGAAAGGGCTATGGTAAATATAAAAGTAATATCAACCTTCAATTAACGAGCCTTCACCTACCTTGATTTTCTCTGCAGTTTGAAGCGTGCAGACCCACAGATTAGGTTTTTCTGTCAAAAGGGAATGGTAGGTCTGCCTGAAATGTATCCAGATGATGACATAGTTCTTTTTGAGCTTTCAAAGAAAATGTGATGAATCTCTCCATATTACAATAGATCTCTGATGATTTGGGGTTAAAAGCTGAAAGGTCAAGATCACAATTTCAAAAATGCTATATATGGTATGAAATGGCTTCCAAATTTACTTCAATGCTGTCTGTATCTAACGAGCCCCTTTGATTTGAGATGAAAGGGTCAAAATCAAGGTCTAAATTGAGATGAAAGGGTCAAAATCAAGGTTTAAAATTTGTATCTTGTTAACAAGATCCTTCTTTATGATGATTAATAGTGGGGGATATAAAATCCCTGAATTAGCTAAATTCTTCTTTTCTTTTTTCTTTCTTCTCTAAAATTTACTGATAAACAGTTTTCTTCTATTTTGGACATTAAGGTTTTGAAGGAGAACTGAGGTCAGGAAATAAACTAGAAATATTAGGTGGATTGGAAGCAGTCATTAGGTAAATGTAGCTTCATGTACTTTTATACTAATGAATAAAGCCACAAGGCTATATAGGTAGTAAAAACAATATTAATTAAACATTATAAGCATGTAAATTTCTTGAATTCCAATTTAAAAAAACATGGAATTCCAAAAGGTTCTTTTTAAATACTATTTAGGTACAACATTTTCAAAGGCATAAATGCCACTCTGGTAACATTTGGAGTTGGACTATGTAGCTTTGATGATTCAGAAAACTGTCTAGTGTTCGTTAACTTGTTGGATAATGCTGTTCTACCAATACCTACTTGTTTACCAGATGGATCATTTGTGTGGCCCAAATGTAAGTATATAACTGCTTTGCCTCAACTAAAACAAAATACTCAACATTTACAAATTCAACATGTTTTCCTACCAGTGAAAGTGCAAATCACTTCATGTTGCTTTTCCATAAAATTAAATTGTACGCGCTTTCTGAGTTGGTCAAGTACTCTTAGATCACCTTGCCTCTCTGTAGCGAGCATTAACTCTTTAAGGGTGCTAGCGATACTCATTACATTTACCAGTACAATATTCTGAATATGCCCAAACAAGCCAAGATAATCTTTACATACACCATAATTATATATTTTATAAATTACTGCAAAGTTATTGGGAGTTTAGACTTTAACCTATGACTGCTAACATCCCAGATCAAAAGTCCATTTCCAAGTAACTTTAAATCCTAAGTGGTTAGGTAGTGTATCATGAGAAGAGTTCCATTATTAAAGTTGTGTAGCGGGTATGTTTTTAGCTCACTAATAAGTAAAGTTATTCTACATATAATGTTGATGTAAGACTAAGCCTCATTAATATTCCTTTCAAAAAGGGAACTTCGTCAAAAACTTTATTTGAAAAATAAATGAAAATAATGAAAGTTCAGAACCCAGATTAAGGCTAAATTGATTGTATATTAATTGTATTAAATCTGTCAATGCCTACTTTGGACATCCATCAGACAATCTCTTCATGATTAAATCACAAAGAATGAATTCTCTATCGATTGTGAAAGCATATATGTGATTGTCTCCTAGGCCCATTACTTTGTGTTTGCTGTATAAACATGTATGCTAAATGTCTGAACTTATTTACAAAGTACCTCTACTGGAATTATCTTGCCGTAAATCTGATACATGATTGGATTGCATATATTTCAAAATGTACATTTTTCTCATCAGAAAGTAGTAAATTGAGTCTTGTTTCTTTTTATATATCACGATATGTATTTCTTGTTCTTGCAGTGGATTTCAAAAAACTCTTTATGAAAGAGGCATTATATAAGCATGTCAAAAAACAAGGAAAATCCATCATCCAGGAAGTAACCTCCAAGCTAACGGATGAATTTTTAAAGTTGTTGAGAATAGAAAAGGTTAGCTTTTGTTTGTTAAATGTTAAAGAAATATATCTTAAGTTTCGTTTTAGTACGGAGGGAGGTAATGAATTGTTTAACAAAATGAATGTTTGAAATCTGCATAATAAAAATTACATAAAATTAATTTATTGAAATATAAAATCTGTAAGGAGTACAGTTGAACTTTGGTATCTCAAATACCATGGATATGTCGAACTGATGTGGAAGTCCCAACCCCTTATTCTTTAAGTATTTTACCCTCAGAGACCTCGATCCCATCAAGTTCTAGATAATCAGGTTTGGCAGTAGTTGAAGGAATAATACAGGGTCTGCACTTATTTTGTTAATGACAGTGTTCAACTTGCTACTTTGTGTCATATATTTCTCCTCTAATTGAGGAATTGCATAAAATGATATGAAAATCACACCTCTTGATTATTCGTCAAGCTTGTGATTTTTCATGAATTGATTTTTAGGAAAAACTCAATGAAGATGTTCCATTGCCTAAGCCGGATAAAATGACACTGGGCCAGATTACAGCAGACCTAGTACGGAGAGGCTTATCTACAAGTGGTTCAAGATCAGAGCTAAATGAACGCCTCACAATGGATGACTTGAGTATGAATAAAGCATACAAATTTCTTTAATATTTTTAATGTACCATACACCAAAAAATTTGTTTCACTCCCAGGTTTCAGTTAAGTCACAGTCACATAATGTATAATGACTAATGTGCCAATATTTTTTTTATCACATTCAATATTTTTATAACCTTCGAATTTCAGCATGTGTCAACATTACCTTGAAAAAGGCACCAGAAAGCCTATCAGATTTGCTGTATTATAAAATTCAAAAAGACTGCTTGCGGATTGATGCTTGGGTTGATATTAATGTTAAACTGCTGGGCTATTCCTTCAGTAGAACTTTGTCTGCATTCATAGAATTGGATCCATGCAGTTTTGTTGTACAAATTGGATTTGAAAAATATTTGTGGACAAAAGTTCTTTTGAATTACAATTGGGGTAAGGATGTAACTAAGCAACAAACAGATCAATATACTTCTTACCATGATTTATCAACAAAGAAATGCATGTGTTCAATTATCCTGAGCTTGTAATTCACAGTTGAAAGAAATATAATTTACATACGGTCTTTTTTTTTTTGTTTTCAATTTACATATTCAAAATTGGATATATTTATTTTGGGATCAGGGTATGTTACGAAATATCATTACTTTTTAAATTTTCGATTCAAATTTTTTTATAGGAACTAATGAACTCGCAGAAATAAGCTCAAATGTAAAAGTCATGTGAGTATGATATTTGGTTGCTCATATAACTTAGTTTCAGGACAGAGATCCATTGTATTGAATTCTTTTTGTTGTTCTCCTTTTAGGTACAGCATTGGAAGAAATGTTGATGAGGGAGTGTATATCTTGAAGTTTGGACTGATGATTTGTTTGTCTTCACAAGTAGATTGCATTTTAGATGAATATCTGTTTACAGATCTGAAGATTCCCATTCCTTTGTGCAGAGACTTTGTTTTTCCAGGTAAAAGTATTTTGAGATACAAGTTTCAGAATTTTACAAGTATATGTTTTATAAAGAATACTTCTCTTTCTGTACATTTTTATAACCCACACACTAACAAATTTGGAGGATATATAGAGGATATTCATCGCTTGTAGTTTGATATGGAATTATTTTTACAAGTAGGATAGGTTTTTTTAGTGCAAACCATTCATGAATTATTGATAAGAAACTTGAAGAAGATTTATTTAATATTGTCCTATTTTTAGGAAATGGCTCATTTGCTGGATTGCTTGAAAAGATTGGAGGAAAAATGACTGAAGAGGCTTTTGAACTTGTCCTTAAAAAGTTTGATCTAAATGTAAACATAAAAAATCATTTTGTGTTATTTCGTCAGAAAGAAGATTTATTAAGAGCTTCTTTGTCTTGTTAATATAGATATCAACAGGTACATTTCTAAGAATGAATTTACATCTTGCAGGATGTAATAACATCGGGAGCGTGCCCTGGTATTCCACTCACTCCTGAAAGTAAGTGATGATCTCTTTGTCATACAATGCCTTGACCATTATTTTTCAGAAAAATCGCTTACATGTACCATCAAAGTGAAGGAAATGGTTCTGACGAACAGAGTTAAGGTATTCAATGACCATATTTTGTACCTAATAAATGAATGGTCCGATATTTTTAATCATGTAGCATTTGGAAGGTGTTATCAACTGGAAATACTCCACCCAAGGAATTTACTTTTTTTTTTTATTATTGTCCAGTTAAAGATATACAAGTCATATAAACGCCAATTTTTTAAGTGAAACAAAATGATGAAATGATTTGAGAAACATGATGTGAAATGAAAAAATTAACTAGTTTAAAATGATTCAAACTTGTTCAATATCCCTTCGTTCTACATTGAATACCATAATTGTTATTAAAAGTAAAATGAATCTTTCTGTCAAATTTTTAACTTAGAAACAAAACAGGCTGGCAGAAGAACCTCGATCATGTTTAACACAAATGATGATAATGACAGGAAGGGATGTCGTGAATTTTATCCCAAGTCATTTTGGAACCTCAATCTGAGACTCACTGTTATTATTGTTCATGTGACTTTCTTGCCTTTTGCTTTGATATGACATTATGAAATGTATTGAAGAAGTAAAAAAATAACAAAAAGATTATACTGATGACAGGCTGTACAATGACTGTACCAAGATATATCCTAAGGAATGCAGAAGTAAAATCTTGACACTTCTAGACCAAATGTTTGTAGATATTTTAGAACTTTACTTGAAAGAGAAGCAAAGTTCAATTAGTAAAGGTAATGAAATAAGCATGGACTTTGCTTGACGTCACACAGTTCTGGATCAATAAGACACTGTTTGAGCATACCAAGCAGAAAGATAAAAAGCAATCTGAAACTTTGTTTAAAAAAAAAAAGATAAAAGATAGCATATGAATATATAGAACAAAAATCATTAAATGGTTGAATTGGAATAATTCATGCCTTTGACATAGAGATTTTATCTTTATACGATTTTTAATTCAGAGAAACATCATTATATTCAATATTTTGCTGGGGCATTTTTTGGAAAAGGACTACAATTTTCTGAAACGGGCATCGCTATCACTATGAAGTTGCTATCGTTCATCATTGCCTTTAGTAACCTCAATTGTATTTTGTTATTTGCAAAATGGTATTTCCTGTAATATCTCTTAGATTTATATGTACCTTTTATAACATTGTTCATAATAAAAGCAATAACTGTTACAATAAGATTTTTACGTGATTGAAGATTGTCCAGCTGGGTTTGATGTTCGCAAAAATTTACCTCAAGAGCTGAAAGAGATGGTAACTTGTGAACAGCCTCCTAATTGTTGGGGAATTGAATGTTGTCTACAACTGACCTTCAACATACCCCTAGGAGACACCAAAATAACCAGAAATATCCCATTCTGGTTCAAGCTAGATCCATGTGATTTCTCCTTAGACATAGGCTTTGGGAAAAAAATGCTTCTTAAAACACATTTATTAGAATATGAGTATGGTAGGTGAAATACATCATGAACTGCTTTAATTTTTAATCAGCAAGATATTTCATTGCAAATTCTTATAATGAATGATAAATTTTGTATATCTTTAAAACAGTCAATAATGTTAACTTTCAGGAAAGCAACACACTTTGTCACTGGGCTCAGGAAACTCTCCTCCAGTAGAAATCATGTAAGTTAGTTGATTGAAATTATTGCTTTCAAACTTAAGTTGGGTATATTTAGGAATAATCCTTACTATCTGTCTGTTTATATGTCAAACTATGTATTTGCTACAAGTTTTTTTCAGTGAGAAACATTTAAAGTTCAAGCTTAAATTAAAATGATTCGTAAAAGGAATTTGTCCGCCATATTTGTATAATCCTGTCGTACTATCTGAGGTCCTTATATAAGCTGTTCACTTAGTTACGGTTCAGTGTAATCAGTGTCCACATGTGTAGACAGACGTATTCTACATAGCTATTATGAAACATTCGATAGCGACAAAAGTAAGTATATGCTTCCTCATGGTAGGAGAGAAAGTTACAAAAGAAACTTGCAACAGTTGCACAGGCCAATGCAGTTCAAACACAAATACATATAAACTGATATAAAATGTAAGCAAAGGTAAAGTAAGATATCCAACACGAACATGTGTTGTCCATTCCATGCAGGTACCCGAGACAGAAAAGCATTTAAGGTGTAACGAATGTGGAAGACATACCCCAGTGCTGATATTGAAGATAGGAAATCTAATCTGGCGTATGCCTATTTATCTTCGTCTTTAACCAGAAAAGTTATAATAACCAGTGTGTTTGTCATGTATCTAGCTGAAGTCAATTAGAACAAAGTGAAGGATACTTGGATCAAAATGATCTAAGTGTTAGTTTTGATGAACTCATGATACAGTTGAACTTCCACATTTTGAACCCTGATATGCCAATATTATGAATATGTCGCAGTAAATCAGTCCCACTACTATATGAGTTTGATTTTCATCTCTATTGTCACTTGGATATCTCATAGGTTTATAAAGAACTGTATGTTGTTTAGTGAGAAATAGGCAAGAATGTCGTGAAAAGGTGAGTCAAGAGGAAAAAAAATCTGCAAGTTTTTATTTAAAGGTATATGTCATATTTCTTGGTTACATTTCTTCCAACCATAAAGTACACATACATTTTGAAAGAGTTTGCTCTGATATTGGCAACATTTCTTGTAGTCAGCCAAAATCTTTGTAGATCTTTGGACAATCCATTATTTTAGATGTATGATTATTATATTTTCTTTACTAAGTCACAGTATTATCATTATAGCTTGTCTGTATTTTAAGGGTGTATAGGGATTCTGTCTATATATTCTAGTAAAAGAGGTCTGACTAGACTAATGTTTGTGCAGAATTCTTTTCTTTAATTTTTTGTTTGACATAGTCTTAAAAGTACAGTCAAACCTCTATCTCAAACCCTATGGGTTCCAGAAAGAACTTCAAGATATTTGATGATTTGAGATTTCGAGGTTAAAATACATAAAGAAAAAGAAACTTTTAACTCACTTCGACACACTTATCATATCTGAGATATCAAAGTTAAAGATAACCAAGTTCAAACGTATTTCAACTTGACAAAAGTGTTTTGAGATGGTACCCTCTTGATTCAAGTTTGAAAAGTATTATTTTATACTTATAAGGTTCAACTTTAATTTTACCTAATATTCAGAAGTATTGATGACTTTTATTTTAAAAATCTATGATAATTATACAGATATAGGATAGAGCAAATTCCAGGAAACAAAGGCTTTTTTGTGGATTTAAGAATACTCATTTGCTTTGACTTTGATGTGAAAATTACATGTATTCCAACAAATGATGGACTTCATATACTGAAAAATCAGGAAATCCCACTTTGTGATCAGAGACAGTTGATTGATTTTAGCAGTGAGTATGCTTTGCATGATGGTTTGCTATTATATTTTTAATGTAGCAGTGCTCTAACTAAATATTACAGTATACCCTACTTTGACCAAACTTGTAAAAGAAATGCAACCTACGATCCATATTACCTGTCTTCCTTTAGATTCTGCATTTGATATGTATTTTGTAGACTAGTGAACATGTTCATATTTACGAGCAGGTCCATTGCAAATATCAAAAATCCAAGCTTTCTTCGGACAAGAATGAATGATGGCTTGTAAAAATATGCAGCATTTTAGATATACCCACATGTTTTGATATAGCCCATTTAAAGCTCTCTAGTACTTTGGGAAAATGTGTAGTTTACAATTCTTTCAAAGATTTTTCATTGACTGATTGGATGAGGGAGAAGTCACTGAATCTTAATGAACAGTTGGCAGAGGGTGCCGTGATGTTACTGCTGGACCAGCTCAATTTGACTGATTTCTTTCAAAGATCCAAGTGTGACAGGACAAGGATGCCATACATACCTTCTATACAAGGGATCCATAATAGTATGTAAATGAAAGTTTTAGTATCATGCTTCCAACTGTAAAGTCTATACACCATATAGACAAGAGATTGATTATAATGCATTTTTTAGGGAAATGATTAGAAAAAAATTAAATAGATTATGATCTTCAAGTATGCAGCCTTACAACAGAAAACACTTTGAAACATATCTGGATGATAATTAAACATAAAGTTATAGATTTAAAAAAAAAAAAGTAGATAAATAAACATGCACGCATCAAATTTTTTTTTAACAGAATGTCCAAAGACCATTGTTTACCTGCCATCCAAGATTCCTGACCCAATGTCCTGCTACATACCAGGCTACTGTACAGGGATAGAGTGTTGCGCTGACATTCCTGTTCTTGGTCTTGGACTACATGTGTTTGCTTTTTTGGACTTGGACAAACTTGAACTCCGTATAGGAATGGAAAACATTAAAGAGACTATAAAACTAAATAACTATGTGTGGGGAGAGGTCAAAACTTATAGTGTGGCTGAAGGTCTTATCAAACTAAAGTAAGTTGATGTTCCTATTTAGCGGAGGTAAAGAGTTTATAAACTTATCTGCTCGGTGGAAATGTAAGTTAAACAATGATGTTGCGTCTACAAGTATTTATAGCAGTTATGAATGAAATAGATATCCAAAGCATGAACTTTTATCCTTTGTAATTTTGAAACATTTAATTGCTTGAAGTTAAAGAATCAAAATCCATTTGAACATGCAAAAGTTTTGATAAATAGCATAAACTAAACATGTCGTACTTTAATATTTTTACAACCATTTTGCATTTGTAATGCTAGTTTGAATATTAAATTCCTCTTTTAGGTTAAGTGTGAAGCCAATAACAAATGAGAATGTGTATGTGTTCAATGTACATGCCTCTGTGTGTCTGAATGGAGGACAATGTTCAATTGACATCCCAATTTTAAGGAATACCAGGTTACCAACAATCAGAGCCATAATCACTGGAGAAAGCAAGAGTATGTAAAGAACGTATAGATACTGTAAAAGGAGAAATTTTAGCAAGGTTGTTTAGATCACTAAAATTTAAAATTCCTCAATGGAGGTTACCTTATCTTTCCATGTATCACAAGATCGCTAAAATTGAATACCGATTTTTTTTTAGGGAAAAGCGCTAAATTTGCATCCCGCTAAAAATTCCACTTATACAGTATATGCCTATGAAGTTCAATGTTTACTGCGAATTCTTTTGTCAAATTTTAGCATTTTGTTATTAGATTGTTTTACTGTATCACACAAAAATTTTATTACAGTATTGTGGGTACCTTATGAAAAACAGTATTCTAGTTATTCTAGTACAGGGATTTCTGCTTTTATATAAGCAACAAAAAATAGGATAAACAATTTATTATTTATTTTGTACAGACTTTTCATTTACAAATTGGCTTCATGAGATGAACATAACACAGGATAATCTGAGAGATAATGCAAAGGCTCTTCTGGTTCAACAGCTCGGTATTGACCAGTACCTGTTAGACACACCATGTGATTCATCAAGAGATTTGTATTATCCCAGTAGCCATGGCTGGAAAAATGGTTAGTTAATAATTGAGCTTATATAATTTGTCATTTGGAGAGAAAAGATGTAGAGAACATCAGTTTTAAACAGAAAATTAAATTCAATGTCTGTTCATTACAGAGTGTCCTTTGGACTGGGTGGTTTTACCCCAGATTACCTCAGACAAAGTGAGATGCAGCCTTTCCTCAAACTGTACAAGGATAGACTGTTGTGTGGACTTCAGTCTCCTAAATCTCAAACTCCATTTCTACTTACACTTCGATAGGTGTAATTATGTCATATCTGGAGGAATTGAAAAGAAAACATTCAGTTATGGACTACTAGATTTCAATAGTTTTTGGGGTATAGTATTTCTGTAATATTAAATAAAAGAAAATATTCATTAAGTGATATATATATTTTCATTTCAAAATATGTTGTAGATGAGTCAAAAAAGGGTAGTATGGTTTACTGGTATTGCCAAGCCATGTATGCTATTGTCGGGGCTTGTCTGTAACAGGGGAAGAAGTTGTTTTTCATGTTCATCTTCATTTCTCACTTGGGTCTGTTTTCAGATTGCTTTTTTTAAGGATTCAATAACTGTCTAATTTTTGTTTTTATGATGTGATCAAGCAATTGGCTTACGCGAGGATTTGCATAAACGCCGAAGGCAAGCCAAATCCTTGATCATCATCATAAAACCGAACGATAAGACAGTTTTCTTATATTTACATGCTCTTCATTCTGAAATTCATGTGCTCGAAGCCCCGCCTACTTTCCCTCACCCTCCGCCCGCACCTGATTTTTTTAAACGATGCCTTTTGATGAACCAGTAGCTGTAGAAATCAAGTATTTTTACTATTTGTAGTTTTATCTCAAACAAAGAAATTTTAAAAATGTAAATGTTTCAACATATAACTTATTCACAAAAAACTTATACTGTACATTACTGCCTTTGGCAGCTATTGTCTATCTACCTGTACTATGTGTGCACTGAAGTGATGGGAAATTTCCTATTGCATGTGCACTGACTGAAAGTATTCAGGACATGTAAAATAAGGAATCTAGCTGCAGTTTCAACAGTTTTTCACCAAGAATAATTATTTCATTTCAAAGGGTGTAAGACTATTCATCTGCAGTATACAGTGTATGCCCAAGATGACAATCTATATATCAACATCATCCTAAAAGCTAAATGATGCCACTGGAATTAAAGATGGTTATCATGTTATTTTATTGATCAATGTTCATTTTCTGAAACATACAATCAAAAAACTAAGGATATGCGATTTTATCTGTATACCGGTATATCATGATTTTTTTTTATTAGGCGATACGTATCGTGATACGGAGACTAAAATACCGGTATTTTATATGTAATTATAAATAACGGAAATAATTAATTTTTTTGTTCACACTCTTGAATAACAATTTTAGGAATTGTAGAAATGGTGTTAAACAACGGCATCCTAACATCCAAACATGCTTTATTAATATATAAATAAAAATGAAAAAAGTGAAGTTTTGTTTTCACACTACATTTGTTGAAAAGTCATTGAAATTCATTTAAAATCATAGTAAAAATTATGCGTAAATATATCATGATATTATCGTGATATCTTTGGGGGAAATCGTGATATATCGCGATAAATTATTTTTGCCGATACCCATCCCTACATGTATCTATGATTGACATCATGAAAAGTCTATGATAGTTTAATTTAAATAATTCCTGTGTTGTCTAGGTAGAGAAGTCTCCATGAATATTGGAAATGTTGTCTTCATCAAGTAAGTGAATACTAGGAAGTTGTCTGTATATTATTTTCTCTACATATTTACTTTGTTTTATGTTAAGTATCCTTTCATCTGCCCCTATTTGAAGATTCGGTGGAATATAGTTTTTGCACTGTTCGTCCGTCTGTCAGTTTGCTGTTTGTTCACTAAAACTTAAACCTTGCCCATAACTTTTGATTGGCTGGATCTATGGCTTTCATATTTCACAAGTGTATTCCTTGTGACAAGACCTTTCATTGGGTACCAATATATTTGACCTCTTTACGTTGAAGTTTGACCCACTTTTGCAAAAATTTTCCAAACTTTAACCATGGTCATAACTTTTGAACAGGTGCTAGAACTTTCATACTTTTTTGATAATTGTGAGATGTTATATTTTATGTACTGTAACAGTAAAATATTAATTTCCATGCAGTCAGATTTGCTTCACCATATCCATACCTCAATTTATTTTGGAAATAAAAACTTCGACCTTGACCTTTTGAAAATCTTTAACCTTTGCCTTTACTTTTGAACAGTTGGTACTAGGGCTTTTATATTTCACATATGTATATCTTATGACAATGCCTTCCCCTAGGTACCATTAATTTTGACTACTTGACCGTGACCTAGCAGTTTGATTAACTTTTTAATTTAAAAACTTTACACATGGCCATAATATTTGAATAATTGGTGATTGAGCTTTCATATTTCTCAAGAATATTTATTGATTCTGTTCCTTTCTTTGGGTAACAACATATTTGATTATTTGACCTTGGCCTTGGAGTTTGACTTGCATTTGAGAAACATTAACCTTCTCAGAAAGCTGTCAGACTGGGGCATCAGTGTTTCACAAACACATCTAGTTCATTATGAAGATTTAATTCATAAAACATTTTTTTAATATAGATTTAAAGCCACCCAGCTGGAAGTATCTAAGAAATATGTCTTAGACATGGGCATTTCTGTGTGTTTAGAACCTGATGTCTGTGATTTAGATATTCCTATATTAAAAGAAGTCCTTATTCCAATTCTTAATTGTGACCTCACCATGGATTTCAATGTCAAAGGTGAGATTTTTTGATAAAATAAAATGCATTATCCACATATGTAAGTAAGTGGGGACACATATTGAAATTTTTTATATTGCCATCTTAATTATTCTTTGATTAAAAACTAAAAGTAGAAATGTTTTCCCCATAGATTTTTCTCTCGTGAAGTGGATGAATGAACAAGGTCTTTCATTTGATGGAAGTTTGTCTACGGCTCTGGCTGCTGCTTTGTTTAAGAAGCTGGGAATTGATTCTTTCCTGAAAAATCCAGCATGTGAAAGGACAGAAGCACCGTACAGTGTCAACAAACAGGACAACAGTGGGTGGTCCTCAGGTAGAAAATTTCTGTACAGTTTGATCACAATTAGTAGAAAAAAGATTGACACTGGCTTAAAATTTGGACTTTCCAGCAGTGTTGTCTAGAAAATAATTTCGGTTGTCTTCAATAATTGATCTTATTTTTTTGTGTGCATTACTTTCTTCCTTTATCAATTTTTGAATATGCATGTGGAACATTGTGTATCAATTAATTTGTTATAAAGTTTTCAATGAGAATGTACTACTAGTATGAATAAAATGTTATGATTTTGTAGACTGTCCAGCTAAAATGTCTATGCCAAAAATAAGAGGAACAACCGCCTGCTTTATTAAAAACACATGTACAGCTATCAAATGCTGTGTGGAGGTTGGAAAAGTTAGCAGAACTTTTGAGATTGAATTGGATATTGACTTCTGTAACCAGAAACTGACATTTGGTATAGAGAAGCTTACAGAAACTATTTCTCTCCAAGGATTTGAGTATGGTATAAATTTCAGATTTTAATTTTATTTTTCCATATTGATTGATTTGTCACTTCACTTGAAAAAAATACAATTTATAAAGTTTTTTATATATAGTATACACATGTATGTATTCCCAGTGTTTTTCCTTTATTTCAAAGTAAAGGGTTTGGGATCAATTGTAAAAGGCTAGGGTTTAAGGTTTATGAATAATATCTCTGCGAGTCTTATGACAGTTATGTTTTAAATTTGGATTTCTTAGCGGCATTTATATCAAGTGGTCATTTTGGCCATTTTAGGGTCATTTTAGGGAAAACACCGAATTCCATTCCATATGTTTGAGCAATAATGTGTAGCCCAAACTTTTTGTAATTGAAAATTAGGACTCTATAGAAAGATTCCTTATGTCCTAAAGAAAGGTAAGATAAATGCTACAACCAGGGAAAATTTGTTACAAAGGCAAACTTGCTGCTGCTGCATGATATAAGTTAACTCTTCCTATAAAATTGTAATATGTTATGTTTTATGTACTGTAACAGTAAAATATTAATAATCCATGCAGTCAAATTTGCTTCCCCGTATCCATACCTCATTTTATTCTGCAAATATTTTGGTATTTGTCCCCCACTTTCATTGAAAGTGAGAGATAGTAATTTGGTTCCGTATGCCTGTCAGTCCATCTGTCTAGCTTTATATCTGTCTGGTGAAACAGTTTCATTTCCGAAGATATCTCAACGTTTGAGACCTTTAAGGTTTTGCATTGAAATTTTACATCACAACTCTCTATGGCCTAATGAAGACCTCTATTGATTTTGAAGTCAAAGGCCAAAGTCATTAATTCATTCTGTTTGTGTGTAATAAGGCCTCTCCAAGTTTTTTCTTTGTTTACGTCGACTCTAAATTCGAAAACCGATCTTTCTATCTGGAACACACAAACCAAAAAAAAACACAACATTTTAAGCACAACTCTAGAATTTTTCATCATCATTTGAAAATTATCTTTGCATTGTTTTAACTAAGTTAAACTACTAGTTTATTGAATAAAACTTTTTTTGGTTCACCACTTAAAATATGAGATGTCAATCCCAGAAGAGTAAATTGTGTTTCAAAGATTTGTATTTGTCAATTTTGATTTATGTTTGTTTTTAATTTAATATCCTCAAAACCAATCCGCCTGTGGACGCTAAACATAGGAAAAAACCTGAAACGGCCTATGTTTTTTTCCGGGCAATTTCTCAAGAGGCCTTTTAGCTTTTGCAATGAAATTTTATATCAGAACTCTTTATGGCTAAAGAAGATTTTAAGGTCAAAGTTCAAGGTCAAAATCATACTTTACAAATAAAATTTTCCAGATTTTCTTGAAGCTTTCATCAATAGAATTAAATATCACAACTCGCTTTTATTTAAAGAAGATTTCTATCAATTTTTTAAGTCAAAAGGTCAGAAGTCAAGGTCATAAATTTATATGCTCGTTATCTTTCTGTGTGTGACACTTCCGTTTCCAGACAATATCTTAAAAAGTCTTTGAGCTGTTGCAATGAAATTATATATCACAACTTACGGTTTAAAGAAGATCTCTTTCGATTTTTAGGCCCAAAGGTCAAATTCATACATGGCAAAAACATTTTCCAGAAGCTTAGGATCATTTTTCTGAGAGCTTTCTTCGATGAAACTTAAAATCACAACTTCCTATGGCTTAAAAAAAATGTATAAATTTTAAGGCCAAGAAGCTGAAATGTCAAGGTTGACTATTTTTCTTTCTCCAACACCAAACTTTTTCCAGTTCTTCCACCCTCTTCTTTTTTCCTTATGTGAGAGACACAGCTTGATTACTTCATAATGTGCAAAATATAAGAAGGAATATAAGGAAACCTGACTCAAGGTATATTTACCATGCCACCAAGAAAAAGGGATGAAGATTCAGAAATAAATATTTGACCCAAAGTTTATTTATAAGGTCACCAAATAAAAAGGGATAAGAAGTCGATTCAGAAATCAATATTTGATCTACCTCTCAGGATCTCAAGTTACTTTTTATTTATATACACACAAATAAAATTCTCCTTCATCAGCTTATAAAATTATATTTATATTGGAGTGTTAAGAAAACAGTTTATTAATTTTTGCAGGAAAAAGAAAGGAGGTGGTCATCATGGGTGTTGTCAAGATGTGGTAGGTTTTTTGAAGGAAAAACTTGTTTCTTGGGGTTAAAGATGTAATTTTGTTAAAATCAGTGTTAAGATTTTCATTAATTTTCGTTCATGTCTGGAAATTGGAAGATACCTGTGGAGCAGTGAACAAGAATATTTTATCTATTCAAAAGGTACACAATTTGGGACAATGAAGGGGAAGGTGTTTATGTAGTAACAGTAGATCTAGCAATCTGCTTTGAAGATGGAGGTGATTGTCTCATCAACACAAATATCCTAGATCAATTCAAATTGTCTAAACAGGCATGCATTTGGGGAACATCATTCTTGAGCCAAGGTGTGTGATAACAATAAAGAGTCTTTAGCATGAATAGCGAATTAAGTTATGTATTACATTTTAACTATTTATATTCAAGTAATATATTTAGCACAGAGCTTATCATATTTAAGTACTACCTCCCCCCCTCTCCAGATCTGGGGGGGGGGGGTGTAATACCGTAAATCTGGAAATTTTCGATTTATTTTTGCGAATTTTGGTTAAAAGGTGTTGATTTATTTTTATGTTTTAACATTTTGCGAATTGTCATTGGCGCTAAAAATAAAAAGCGCTTAAAATGTTCATAACAGTTTATAAGTTACCCATGTGCACACAATAAATTATGCATGTACATACAATCTTTCTTTCGTCGGAGTTACATTATACATAAGAGTAAGTTCTTTATTAACAATCTGTCGTGCTAGGAATTCGTTGTTAGATAAAACAACTGACTTTCTTTCTTGGAGAAATAATTTAAAAGAGACCTACTGCCTGTCAAACCATCGGACTATATTGAATGTAGTTAAGGCACGGATTATCACGGGTAATTAGCTTGTAGTATAAACAGATTTCTTAAAATGACCACTACTTACGACCACCTGTTCACCGGGTTAAAATAAGACACCAGCTGTCAGCAAAATTTTTGTTTACATATTTTGTTGTTGATTAATTTTAAGAAAAATATTTTTGCGAATGCAATGCACGCCCAACTTTGCTAAAAATTTATCTACAGTAAAAATTTCCAGATTTACGGTATAGATAGATTATTTTTTCTCTTTTGTCAGATTTCTCCTTGAAGCAGTTTATGGAAGATAGTGCCATCACAGCATATGATCAAATAAAAGGTCTTGCTCTTGACAAACTGAAAGAGGCACTTGGTCTTCCTACTTTCTTGAATGATCCCCCTTGTTCATTGGTAGGCTCTGCCTATGTACCAAATGTCAATGGAATCAAAAAAGGTTTGAAGATATTTTAAAGATTTTTTCCTTACACAGCATAATTAATGATTATGGATGAATACAATATTTTTGGGGGGCTTTTAGTGTGCCAAAAGGACCTTTCTTCCCTTCCAATGCTCCCCAGTAACATGGCTTGCCAGATCACAGAGTCCTGTACAGGCATTGACTGCTGTATTGGAGCAGAACCAATCCATCACAACTTCCATGCCTACCTTGACATAGATTCCTGTAACTTCACCATTAGATTTGGTATTGACAAATTCCAGTTCCAGATCTACATGATGGAATATAGTTTTGGAGTGGAAAAAGATGTCAGACTTGTCAATGTTGTTCGCATTAAGTAAGAATCTCATTTTATTTACAATCAAGAGATTTGCTCAAGAAGGTTTAATTGAATTAAAGTGCAAAGACATGTACCCATTTTTTAAACAAAACAAACTACATTTTTTATAATGTACTCGGTTATAAAGTATCTCTGGATGTAAAGTAGCCATTCCGTAGTCCCGGCAAAGTGTCTATATATTTTATTGGAAAAAACACCGCTTACAACGTATTTGTATATAACGTAGTATACCTTATAAAGTATTAGAGATTTGGTCCCGTTACATAATTACACTTCTTATAACGTATTCTGACACCTGGTTTCACATCTTTTATATCAGCTCAGTGACTGCGGATAAGTTTCAGGTAGATGCAAGGCTCTCAACGCCACTTTTTAGGAATGGGGCAGGGGCGGTAAAGATTGGGAAATAGATGACCTTTTGAGAAATTCTGGAATAACCATTATACTTTAAAATCATGAATACCGGGTTTCTGGTCTTTGTTTTCATCTAAATTTCTGTTTTGTATCACAGAGGAATATGAATAGCAAGTTTAGTTATTACATATCCAACCATACTTTCATTAATTTTGGGGATAAATGACTATTGGGAAAATTAACACATTCAATTTGGAAGAAAGGTACCTTTTTTGAATTGGGAAGGGAGCTCTAATTATAGACAATCGAGAGCCTTGAGATATATTCATAATAAATTGTTTGAATAAAGTTCATAGAGTAGATGTATTCATAATAAATTGTTTGAATAAAAAATCATCTTTCAGTCAGTAAATAGCTATATAACCGAAAATTATATAATTAGACTAGTGAAAGAAAAATACAGTGATTCAATATCAGTAAACCGCGAAGACAGCGAGGACGACGAGACCGTGCCTGACACGTGCAAAGCATCTACCCAGACGATCAAAGGACATTCGTCTGAAGTTTTCACGACTCTGGCAACTCTGGAGACCAGTAAATAAATGGCCTCAGGCCATACAGACAAACATTACGGACTTTTTATATGATCTGACGATCAATATATAAAATGTTACTGAATATTAATCTTTCTTAATATAAGAAACGAAACCAAATATACTTGTAAATCATTTACAATCTATACATACTTTGAAATATTAATAACACAGTAGCAGTTTGAAAACTGTTTACGGTAAAGGTGTACTGAGTACACTCGGTATCCGTTTATCACGTACACCGTTATAACGTAGGATTTATCACGGTCCCTTGAGATACGAATGTGGGAATCTCAGTTTTAACTGAAAAGAAAGATTTTCGAAAGGCTTCAGTTTTTTAAGAACGTGGGATCTTAGCTGGAGAATGGCCCTTGAGCTTTTGCAATAAAATTTTATATCCTTGCATTTTTGCAAGGCCATTTAATCAGATCACGTGCTCGGTGGGTAGAAGAGGGTGAAAAACCAACAAAATATTTTTGCAATTTAGAATCAAGAAATTATATTAATAAAATTATTAAAAGGGTTGAGATAGATGAACAACATACTGTTTATGATCAATTTGAAATTTTAAACCAAGTTAAATCTTTCTATGAAGATCTGTATTCAAATAAAGAGTCAGAATGTATTGATATGGATTTAACTGATATTATTGATCCAGCTGAAGTTAAAAAACTTGACGAGATGACTTCTAATAGTCTTGAGAATGATATAGAAGAAAGTGAAGTTTTAGATGTATTTAAGAATATGAAAAATAATAAGTCACCAGGAAGTGATGGTTTTACTGCTGAGTTTTTCAAATTCTTTTGGATAGATTTGAAATGTTATATTTTAAATGCAATTAATTGTATTTTTTCAAAGAAAGAACTTCCAATTTCTCAAAGACTTGGGATTATCTCCTGTATACCCAAAGGTGATAAACCAAGACAGTTTTTAAAAAATTGGCGTCCAATTACTTTATTAAATGTCTTGTATAAACTTATATCTGGATGTTTAAGTTGTAGAATAAAGTCTACTCTAGAATTTCTTATTTCTGATACACAAACAGGTTTCATTAAAGGTAGATATATAGGGGAAAATACCAGATTTATTTATGACTTAATGTCTTACACAGAGTTAAATAATATTCCTGGTCTGTTGATGCTAATTGATTTTTAGAAAGCATTTGACTCAATTTCATGGCCCTTTCTGTATAAAGTTTTAAAGTATTTTGGTTTTGGAAAGAACATTATCGACTGGATTAAGATCCTAAATACAAATTTTAAAGTTTCAGTTTTACAATGTGGATTTTTATCAGAACAATTTTCTATTCAAAGAGGTTGTAGGTAAGGAGATCCTGTTGCTCCCTATTTGTTTCTCCTTTGTGCTGAAATTTTGGCTATTCTCATAAAACAAAACAGAGATATAAAAGGTATAATAGTAAATGAAAAAGAACACAAAATCTCTCAATATGCAGATGATACCTCGCTTGCCCTTGATGGTTCACCAAAATCTTTGTTTGCTGCTCTTGATACATTGGATTTATTTTCACAAATATCCGGTTTAAAGATAAACAGTTCAAAGACAAAAATTATTTGGATTGGCTCAAAAAAAATTTCAAGTCAAGTTTATCATCATTCAAGATGGAAACTAGATTGGGGATCCACAACTTTTAATTTGCTTGGTATAACTTTTTCTGTAGAGCTAGAAAATATTATTGACATAAATTATAAACTTGTTTTACCAAAAATTAAATCAATGATACAACAATGGAAAAGACGAATACTTACACCTATTGGTTGCGTCACCGTTGTAAAAACGCTCATTTTACCAAAACTTACTCATTTATTTATTTCCCTTCCTACCCCTAGCTATGATAAAATATCTTTATTGTGTAAAGACCTTTTTGAATTCATATGGAAATCAAAAATTGATAGAGTTAAAAGAGATATAGTCACTCAAGATTATTTATCTGGAGGATTAAAGATGTTAAATGTTGATTACTTCATAAAATCATTGAAATGTACATGGGTCAAAAGATTGGTAACAGAAAGTAATAAGCCATGGCTAGACATATTTTTTGGAATTAATGGTAATGATGCTGTAAACAAATTTATGGATTTTGGTGATGCTTTTATTTTAAATAGTCTAATACCTCAAAACAATATTTTCTGGTTTGATGTTTTTACTTCATGGTTACATGTTCTGAAGAATGTAGATCAGGATGTTCATATTGAATACAAGGCTTGTAATATTCCTATATGGTATAATTCAAATATTAAGGTAGATAATAAGAGTATTTTTATAGAAAATTGGTATAAAAGTGGAGTTAAAAATATTGGAGATTTTTTGTCAGAAGATTGTAAATTTTTATCAAAATCTGCCTTCCAAGAAAAATTCAGTATTTCCAATGTAAGCTTAATGCAGTATAATAGCACAGTTTCTGCCATTTCTAAATTTTTAAAGAATATGTCAATAGATAGACTGAGTTTGAAAAAACATTTTCAACCTAATTTACCTTTTTATTTTGAAAATATTTTTCACTATGAAAAATGTACAAAGAAAATTTACAATTATATAAACAAAAATGATATAATTCCTACAGCAATTCCAAAGTGGAATCAAGACTTATCTCCCTATGGAGTGGCAGATATTTGTATTAAAGATGTTTTTAAGGTTTGTTTTAAGACTACCTCCGATTCTTCTGTACAGTGGCTACAATATAGAATTCTACATGGGATCCTCCCTGTAGATTCTTATCTTAAGAAAATTAATATAAAATCTACTGACATTTGTAAGTTCTGTGCTCAGGAAACTGAAACTTTACTGCATGTATTTGTCAGTTGTGATCATATTGTATCTTTATGGAGGAACTTGAGTTTACATACATACAGAACAATTTCAAAAAGAGTTGGATTCAATGTCAAAAATATTATCCTAGGTGAATTACCACTTACTAAGGACAACAGAATTGAAAACTTTATGATACTATATACAAAACAATATATTTTTTCATGTTTACTACAACCAAAAATACCTTTATTTACTGGTTTACTGAATTATTTGAAAATGAAACACAATATTGAAAGATGTATGTCTATTAGTAACTCAAAACTGTTTTATTTTGAAGAACAATGGATTTTGTGGAAAAATATTTTTGAACAAATGTAAGATAATTTGACAAGTTTTTGATATTTAGTTTATGATAGAAACAATTGTTGATAAGCTGATTACTATGAAGCAACCTCCATATTAATTTAAAAGGCAAATAGATGTATGAATGGGTGTGTGAGTGCTAAATATCCATTGTAATTTTGCTGCTAATTTAACTTGATTTTGTATGTTATACAATGGATAATAAAAAAAAAAAAAAAAAAAAAAAAAAATTTATATCCTAACTCCCTTTGACCCTAAGATGACTCGAATTGATTATAAAGTTCAAAGTCAAGGTCAGAAATTCATGAAAGAAAAATGGTTTCAAGATGGAAACTTTGTTTTTTTTCCCAGCCTTTTCAGTGAAAATTTATAGCATAGCTCAAAGTGCCCCAATGCAAATGAGTCCTATTGATTTTTAGGTCAAAATATCATAGGAAAATTTAGAAATTCATACAGTGCAAAAATGATTTTCAGACAGTAACTTCAAAAATATTATATCGTAGCTCTTTGTGACTTAAAACACTTCTAAAAGTTTTGAGATCCAAAGATTAAATGCTAGGGCCAGAAATTCACTTATTGCAAATAATGAATTTCAGATGATTACTCAAGTTGTCGTTGTGCTTTTTTCAAATATATTTTATGTTATTACTCCTTATGACTAAAAATAGACTCCTATTTTGAGATTAAAGGAAATATGTCAAAATATCATTTTCTTGTAAAAATAAAACTCGTTTTTTGATGATAACTAATGTTCTCTTTAGGTTTTGCAATTTTTTTCACTTTTAGTCAATATGACTTATAGAAAACCCCTTATGATTTTGAGGTCAGAGACAAAGATCAGAAATTCATGCATTGCAAACATAGTTTTCAGATGATAGGTTTAGTTTCCTGTAAGCTATTGAAACTTCAGGATATGAATTTCTTTCACTGAAGAAAAACTCCTCTTGTCTAAGGTCAAAAACTGAATGTTTAAGGTTATTATTTTAAGCTCGTCTGTGCTGAAAGCTCAAGTGAGCTTTTCTGATCACATTTGGTCTGTATTCAGTCTGTCCATCTGTCTATCAGTCTGTCTGTCCGTCCGTCCGTCTGTAAACTTTTCACATTTTAGACTTCCTTTTCAGAACCAATGGGCCATTTTCAAACCAACTTGCAACAAAGCACCCTTGGGTAAAGGGGATTCAAGTTTTGTTAAATTGTGTTTTAAAAATCATCTTCTCAAGACCCACTGGGCCAAAAAAGTTGAAACTTATAGGGAAATCTTAACATGGTGCAGATTCAAGATTGTTCAAATGATGACCCCTGGGGGTAGGGTGGGGCCACAATGGGGGATTAAAATTTGACAAAAGAATATATAGGAAAAAATTTTTTTAAAAAAATCTTCTTCTCAAGAACAGCAAAGCCATGATTAGTCATATTGATATGGAAGCATCCTCAGGTAGTGTAGATTCAAGTTTGTTCAACTGATGACCCCCGGGGGTAAGATGGGGCCACAATTGGGGATTAAAGTTTTACATAGGAATATATAGGGGGGAAAACTTAAAATTTTCTCAAGAGCAGAAAAGCCTTGTTTAGTTATATTGATATGGAAGTATTCTCAGGTAGTGTAGATTCAAGTTTGTTCAAATCATGACCCCCAAGGGTAGGGTGGGGCCACAATTGGAGTTCATAGTTTTTCATAGGAATATATAGAAAAAACTTGAAAAACTGTTTAGACGTACTGATATGGAAGTATGCTCAGGCAGTGTAGATTCAAGTCTGTTCAAATGATGACCCCCAAGGGTAGGTTGAGGCCACAGTGGGGCATACATAGAAATATATATAGGAAAAAATCTTCTCAAGAAAAGAAAAGTCATGTTTAGACATATTGATATGGAAACACCTTAAAGTAGTGAAGAAATGATGACCTCCGGGGGTTGGGAGGGGTCATAATGGGGGATAATGTTTAACAAAGGACTATATAGGGAAAAAAATCTTTAAAAATCTTCTGCTCAAGAACAACAAAGCCATTTGTTATATTGATATGGACGCATCCTCAGGAAGTTTATAATTCTATTCCCCCTGTAAACTTTTCAATATTTAACTGATTTATGCTTTTTCCTATCCAATGTGATCAGGTGAGCGATGTGGCTCATAGGACTCTTGTTTCTTTCTTCATGCGCATTTTGTCAGGTCTTCCTTGCTTTTCTTTTAAATTTACCTTTAGCAGGAGACACAAATTCCCTGAACTGGGTTTTGTCAAAAAAAAAACTTAGTTAAATTTTGTATTATGCAAGGGTTTGTGATTCCACAATATGTGTCAGGTAAAGGTTTAAAATTTTGAAAAACAAAGTGTTTAATATTACCTGTAAACTATTTTGAATTTGACAGGTTTCAGATTTGGGATTTATCAGCTGAGAACCAGTACCTTGTTAACCTGAGATTCAGTGTTTGCTTTGATTCCAATTCTGCCTGTTTGCTCGATAAAGTCATTTTCCATGAGAAGCGTCTGCCAAAGAAAGTGTGTGACTTTGCTGGGGCAGCATTAATACCAGGTTTGTTCAATGTTTCATAGCCCTTTACAAAATTATACACACAATTCATATTTCTGGTTCCAGGGTCATATATTGAAATTTATTATAAGTTTACCTTATCTTCTATTCTCTCAAAGTTTTAGTAAATAAACTGCATGAATTTGAGTATGTCCAAACAAACTGATTGATATATTGATTAATTTTTGTTACATGAGGACAGGTTTCTAGTTCCACATGGAGGTAAAGTGGTTATAGTTTGAAAAAATATTACCTTGAAGACCATTGGGTCCTTTCTTATTCCCCCTACCTTAAAAAAGATCAAAGATGGGGAGCATAATTGTATGTCCTGTCAATCTTACTATGTCACCTAAACTTGTATCTGGCTTTAACATTTAAAAAAGTTTCGTTAATATTCAACTTCTGTTGTGCCCTTTCAATTGCACTCAGTTCAAAGATCAGTGTTATTCTGTATCACTATTGGATCACACAACATATGTAGATGAGTTTGGAACTGGGCAATATAGCCTGGAATTTGATTCTTGATCCCTGTAAAGAGTCAAACCTAAGACATTACCATAGAAAGCGGAAATGTAAATATCTCTGTGTCCACTAAAAACCTATATAACATAAATAGTATATCAAGGAAATACTGTTCACACTACAATCTGTCCCCCTTTTTAGCTCACTTTGATGAAAATGAGATAAGCTCATACTATATTCCAAGCGTTGGAATCTCTTCCGGAATTGGGATCCAAGTTAAAACTTTTGAGGAGCAGGTTCATTCCCAAGTACCTGTAAGCCCAACCTGGACCTAACTTGCATGGATCATACATCTAGGGACGGACACTACCAGACTTGCTTCAGATGCTGGATTTGACATACATTTTCTGGATGAATGACCAGGTTTAAGTTTTTGGAGTAGCTCTGTAACTATACTACTTGTTATGACTAAACATGTACAGATAATGCAATTATGGATGGACACTGCCAGACCTGCTTTGGGTGCTCGATCTGGCCAACATTTTCTGGATGAATGAACGGGTTAATGTTTTTTCCCAGACTTTTCACTGGAGAAATGGAAAGAATCTTACAGTTTATCAACAGAGAATCTACTGCCCACCCTGACAGATCAGCTAATGGAACATCTAGGGATAGCTGGATACTTGAAAAGACCACAGTGTAACATAAACGATGTACCAAGCAGTACAGAGAGATGGATTGATGGTATGTAAGATTTAGTATTGTCAATGTAAGGATTATAGGGTAATACAGATTCCCCAGAGATAGGGTGGGTCACAGTAGGGGATAAGAGTTTAACTTTGGAATATTATATGGAAAAAATCTTACTGTACATGCACAAGCATAGTCAGGTAGTTTAATGTAGATTCATGTTTTATTTAAATCAAGACCCCGTGGAAGGGGGTTCAAAGTTTTATATTGGAATATATTGGAAAATATTTTTAAAATCCATTGCAAAAACAGCAGGACCATGATAAGCCATGTTTGTATACAAGTAATGCAAATTCAAATTCCTTCAAATCATGGTCCTCATGTAGGGTATGTCCACAGTAGGGGATCAGAGATTTACATGGAGATATTTTTTTTAAAAAAATGAAGAAAAAAATCTTTTACCGTATCAGGGACATAGTAAACTTAATTAATATGCAAACGTTTCTTTTTTTAAATTATGGATCCTATGGTTTGAGTAGACTGAAATTGGAGACAAATTTTACATAATGTCCAGAACATATTAGTCATATTGATTTTAGAGCATTTCCAAGTTGTGTGGATTCAAGTTTGTTTTAAGTCCTGAAGCCTTCGGACTAGGGTAGAGTCTAAGTATGGGATGTTTATAGCATTTTGCATGAGAATAAAGAGGAAATAGGATCTTTTAAAAATCTTCAGAAGAAAGGCAGGGCCAATGTAACTTGTGGTGAGTATTGGTGTCTTTAGCCTCTTGTATTTCTTTTTCTGACTTTAATTGTAGAATGTCCAAGATCACAACTGTACAAGAAACCAAGCCTGGCAGGTCTACCAGTGTTGTGCTCCATCTCTTCGAGATGTACAGAGATTCACTGCTGTATGCAAGTAAAGCCAGTTGGAAGAAACTTTGAGACTTACCTCGATCTTGACACATGTAACAAAACTTTGGTTATTGGAATTGAGCAGTATAGAAGAAAAATTAGTCTTCTCAACTACACTTTTGGTAATGTATAATTTTCATAAAGGAATTTTTATACAGCTAAATATCTTTACTTAAGGGCAGTTGCATTTGCTTCTTCACCTATTTTGCTTGTTTAAGCTGCTTGATTTACTCATTTATTTTCGACTTCTTCTCCAGAACCACTGAATTAATTTCAACTGAACTTACCATAAAGCATCCTTGGGTGATGGAGATTTAATTTTTATCCCCCCCCCTTAAAAAGGGGCAAATTCAGCATTTATTTCCTTTAGTACATTGATTCCTCTAAGAAAAAGATGACCCCAACTGATTTTGAAGTCACAAGGTCAAAGATCAAGGTCATACTGAACATATGGATATATTTTCTACACAGTATCTTCAAAATCCATTTGCTTTACTGATATCAAACTTGGCACATTTGTTTCCCTGAAGGAGTAAATGACCCCTATAAATTATGAGGTTGCAAAGTCAAACTTGACATATATAAATAGATACAAGCCTTTCTGTATCCTGAGAACCCTTTGCTTGGCAGACTTGGTACACTGGTTCCTCCTAAGGAAAAGATAACTGCTTATGTTTTGAGATCAAGGGTCAAAGGACTGAAGACAAAGGAAGACGGTGTTTGCTAAATATTTTTAAAACATTTTGCTGGACTGACATCAAACTTTGTACATTGGTTCCCCTTTATACTTGAGGGTGATTGGGTCAAGGGTCATAAGATTTTCACTGCTAAATATCTTGAGAACCCTTTGCTTGACAGACGTCAAGTCATGAAATGAGGAATGGGAGTCATTTTAATTCTTTATTATTGTATTTTAATTGAATTTGTCATCTCTTTGAAAAAAAAAGAAAAGGAAAAAAGTATTAAGTAAAAAAATTATTCTGTGGCTAGAAAAACAATTTCAGAATTACAATTAGGTGATTGTAAGGCCTATGGGCTTCGATCTTGTTATTAACAATTATTTCATTATTGTACTGAATATCTTTTTTCAGGAACAAAGAGAAAGTTTTGGCTGCAGAATATTATAAAGATTGAGTATGTTTGTGAATATGATATAAATTTTTGACATTATAATGAGGAAAGACTTTTTGAATTTTGTATTTTGAAAAGTGATATTCTGAAAATTAAAAAAGAAATTAATCTGCAAATTAAATCTCTTTTTAAATCATGCTTCTCCAGCTTTTCTAGTTGTTTTGATTTATACATTTTGAGATGTAGATGCACCTGAAGTAATCAGGTTGTATTTTGAATGTAGTGTATTTTTTTTTATCATTTTAGATACAGTATTGTAGACCTTGTTGGATATACTAAGTACTTGGTGAACATGAAAGTGGAAGTCTGTTTGGAGAGAAGCAAGCCATGTATATTTTCCCAAGACATTGCAAAAGATCTGTACCTTCCAAAAATTGAGTGTAATTGGTCAATAGTCTCTTCTGGTAAGTATATATATATATATATATATATATATATATATATATATATATATATATATATATATATATATACTATATATATAACTATATATATAACTATATATATATATATATATATATATATATATATATATATATATATACGAGGGGCATTTCAAAAGTTCTGGCAACTGGTGTGCGGTAAATTAATGAGCGTCATTATCATAAATTAAATTATATCAATCCATCAAAATAGTCTCCGTTGACCTGGACACACTTTTTCAGTCTTGAAATCCACGTGGAAAATGCTGCCCTATAGTCCTCTTTCGGTATACGCTTCATACACTGGAATACGGCACTTCCGACTGCATGACGACTTTCAAATCGCCGTCATCGGAGGGCTTCTTTGATAACGGCATTCAACCAAAAATCGCATGGAGCTAGGTCAGGACTGTAGGGTGGATGTGCTAAAACGGCAATACCATTTTCCTTTAAATATTTGGTTACTACCTCTGATCGATCTATGGGCAGGTGCGTTGTCATGGAGGAGCTTAATTCCTCTAGTACTGGTTGTTGGTCGAGTCGTTTTATAGTGCTCTACAACCTGAAACAAGACATTCTCTGCATAAAATTGACCAGTAACACTGCTGTGTTCTGGAACCGGAACTTGAGCAAGAGGGCCTTTAGAGTCAAAAAATAAGGCGTACATTACTCTCCGGACAGACCGGTTTCTGCGTGCAATTTGAGGCCTTGTATCATTTTCACCGATCCAAACTTTATTATTGAACTTAGTTTCCGGTTCAAAAAAATATATTCATGTTTCATCACCAGTTACAATCTCATTTATTCGCCTTTGGTCACAATCTTTATAAATTGTTAGTAGCTGTGAAGCCATTTCTACCCGGATGCGCTTTTGCTCTTCCGAGAGAAGATGCGGCACCCATCTAGCACAGAATTTCCTAAGCTTTAAGTTTTCCTTTAAAATACGAAAAACTGCTGACGAATTAATGTTAGTTAAGTCTGCTATTTCCTCAACTGTATATCTAGCATCATCAGCTATCGTATTTTGATTGTATGTATGTTGTTAAATACGTCCCATTCGAGAATTTTTCACTCATATAGAGACGTCACCATGTAACTGTGAAGGGCTTCAAATTTTGACCTTTACTCGGCACTCAGGGCCATTGAGCAGTGAGGGATCTTTATCGTGCCAACGCCTGCTGTGACACGGGGCCTCGGTTTCCAAGGTCTCATCCGAAGGACCCGCAACTTTCACTTCAAAGTGCTGAGCGCATGGCGAAGGAACAGTTGCTACCTATTTTTAATCGACTTAGGTCTGTCGCGGCCGAGATTCGAACTCACGACCTCCCGATCACGGAGCGAGCGCTCTACCGACTGAGCTACCGTGAACGGTATATCGTATTTTGAACAGCGACGATTTCTTTTTCGCCATATGCACAAACTGGACGCCCCGAACGGGGGTCATCTTCAATTGATTTTCTACCCTCTTTAAACTGAACTACCCATCTTGCTATTGCTCGATATGAAAGAGCGTGCTCTCTATATACTACATCTAAATCAGCTTTTATTTCTGTTGCCGTAAAGCCAAGCAATGAGCGAATTTTGCAATACGCTCTTTGCTCAACAAAAAAAATTGTTCTCCTTATCAGTCATTTTTACGCCCAGTATGCAGAGTATACCTAATTATGACGTCATTTTAGCAGACCTATACATCATTTTGAATGTAAAATGACGTCACTACTAATGCATATTTGCCTAAGCTTTACAGTGGTATCAGAGTCACATTTTAATCCGTAACGTAGTTAAAATTTTATATACCAGTTGCCAGAACTTTTGAAATGCCCCTCGTATATATATATAAAGTTTTGAGATATTAATTACATTGAAAACTGTCTAATAGAACATCTGTTTAAGTTGTTTCACTGTAAATTCCAGCCTTTGTTTTCATTTCAATTTTACCATTTACCATATTCTTTACATTGCACACTCTGACAGGATGTTTACTCTGACAAAAAAAATTCTCAATGCATGTCAGATTACAAAGGTTTCACTTTAAATGTTTTTGACAACAATGATTTCCAGTTAGTATGTGAATACAGAATTTCTGATTGTTAAATTACTGAAAAGGATTCTATTTTCAGAATTTTCCTTAAGTGAATGGTACAAGAAAATGTCCCTCTCCATTGGGACTTTATTATCAGCTACCCAACTCTCCATCTTGAAAGAAGCATTAGGAATAACCAACTTCTTGTTGCCAAAAGCAAAACAGTGTAACAGAATTTCATCTGCTTACAAACCTGAGTCTACTGACCAAGGTGGATGGAAAACAGGTGTTTATTTATTGAAGTTTTAACATATGTTTAAACAAGGTAAGAAGATTGATTAAAAAGAGTCACTCCAAGATACACGTATATGATCTCTCTGTTACATATACATGTATATGCACAGCTCTATATAACTTATAGACAGAGAAAAAGAAGTTTATTACCAGTCTTCATTAATTATTTGCTGTCATGCTGAACTTTTTTTTTTCAGACTGTCCATTTGCAATAGGGAATTTAACAGAGATTACAAGTGGCTTACCCCTCAGTTGTCATATAAAGAGTCAGTGTACTGCTATAGAATGTTGTCTAGATCTAAAAAACCCTCTACAACAAACCATTTACTTCTTCCTTAACCTTGACCTTTGTCTACAGACACTAAAAGTGGGAATAGAAAACTATACATATGAAAGGACACTCTTCTCTTACTCTTATGGTATGCTTAGCTTTGTTAGTACAATATTACGAGATAAAATGTAAAATAATGAGGTAAAAATTCATAACATTAAAAAAAAAACAATTTTGTTCCCGTTAATGGAGGTGTATATGTCTTAAACTCAAAAATCTTTTCAAGAAAACTTATGTGAATTCTGACATATTACTCTTTTTCATTTGCAGGCAGCCAAGAATACTTCAAACTTGCAAATTTTGTACAGATTCTGTAAGGAATTTCTTTTATATCATGTTTTAAACATATATACATTTTTTTTTTTAAATTGATTTTACAATTAAGATATTTTTTTTCCAATTTGAGACAACAATCTTTGAAGATATTTTACCATATACAATATAATTAACTGAACAATTGTCTTTAGGTACCAGATTAATGAAGTAAATAGGACAGTTTTGGAGTTATCCCTAAAAATTAAGATCTGTCTGGAAGAACACACTTGTGTCTATGATGTCTTGTTACTAGACAAAGTGGTCATTCCTAAACCAGGATGTAGCTGGGACTTTGCTTATACAATTCCAGGTTTGCTTTACTGTGGGAAAGACTATTGTTTAGGAAAATATTAAGCATACTAACTACCAATTGTTGCTTCAAGTAATTCAAAGATATGAACTAGGTTACATTGTACACTTTTGACAAGCACCCCCCCCCCCCCCAATGAACTAGGTTACCCCAGTTATCCATTGAAAAAAAAGGTTCAAATGCAAATTGTATAAGTTTAGGGTTTTTTGTCTGGTTAAGACCCCATTTATAGTTTATGAAGTGAAAACAATTATTTTTGCCATCTTAAAAGTTTTACTGTAATTAAGGCATTGTGTTGCAAAGACATACTGTAAATCATGAAATTTTCACACCTTATTTTTGTGAGATAGGTGTATTGTATTTAAAAGCAAAATAATATTTGCCAATTTTTGGTCATTGTTACGCATAGCCTTTCTATCTAATACTATTGTAAAGGAGATTGAAATTTTTGCAACTAGACTTTTCACATAATAAAATGAAAATAAAGTCTTCCTTATTAACAAATGCTTACAATACCCTGCTATTTAATATATATATATATATATATATATATATATATATATATATATATATATATATATATATATATATATATATATATATATATATATATATATATACTATGAATTAATGCTGAAATTTTTAATTTAAAGCCAATAAACTTGCAAGAAAATTTCTGACCTCTGTCTTAACCCTGTGTATATCCTGATAAATAGTACACTGTAAACAAGGTAATTTACATGTGGGAGTAATTTACACTCAATCTAAATCTAAGTACCTGATTAAAAAAAATTATCATATCACTAAGTATTTCTCCATGTATCAATGCCTTTACACATGCTAGTATTTTATTTGATTTTCAATGCATATTTGCAGAAATTACCCCACATATTGTGTTTTTGCTTTTTATTTGCTCAACAATATTCAAAAATATCCACAGTAATTTACAGTAGTTAGAATTGTACTATATTCCATATTTTTTTCAAAATAGGTGAACAATAAGCTGCATGAAATCATAAATTGCAAATAGATTTATCAGCACAAAAAAATACTCATATATACTCATCACTTTCTCTTTCGATAAAACATATGACATAACTTTTTTTGTGATGTGGAGGAAATTTTTTACATTATATACCAAAACAAAAAAATAGAAGGGAAGAAACAATTCCAAAGAAATATATTGTAGGATCATGCTCTTATTAGGATTTAGATTAAAAGGTCAATATTATCGAAAGATAAATTAAGAAGCCTGTTAACGTTATGAGTTTTATGTTAGTATGAATTATTGTAATTATTTTTTTTTGATTTTTTTTTCCATTGAAAGATTTCTCACTGAAAAATTGGTACAATGATATTGGGGCAAGCATTGGTTCTCAGTTGTCCAAACTTAGTGCTGCAGAGTTGTTGGAAGAGCTAGGAATTGCCAAATATACCCGGGAGATACAATGTCAAAGGGCTGGCCCAGCATATAGTCCTCATATAAATGGATGGAAATCAGGTATATATACTTGTAATTTATCTTGTTCTTCAGTCTGATAGAGGCATATCTTACAGTTATGAGCATCTAAAATATGCCTTCAGCTTTTCTCCATCAAAAGTTTGAAATACTGAATTTTTTTATAACTGCATGTCTACTGATAGTTTTCACTTATAGCTATTACAAAAAAAAAATTCAAAGTCCCCACAGCTCCTGTTTGTATTATTTTCAATTTCTAACTTGTGATCTAAATCATTTAAATGTAAACAAAATAGAAAAAAATATCCAGCAACCAGGAGCACCCCCTGGACAACCTCCTTTTGATTTTTTTATTTTATAATGTTGGCAGCTCTGATATTGTCATACAATTGTTAATATGCAATGTTTAAAATATATGGGATATAGACTTAGCTTTTAAATAAAAAAAAAAGTACACCCATAAGCTTTGCATATTTTTTTTCATTTAAGCACTCTGCATTGCTTTATAGATTGCCAGATGGAAGTGTTGACCAGTCCAATCACCGACCCTGTTTCCTGTCTGATTAAGGACACCTGCACTGCTGTCAGTTGTTGTATGGACATTGACTTTTTACAGAGATCTTTTGAAACCTATGTCACATTGGATGCTTGTAACCACTGGATATTGGTCGGCATTGAGAAATTGTCTTTTAACATCAGCTTTGATGATATGTCATTTGGTTTGTATGATGCTTTCTGATATTTAAACCATAGGACTGAAATTTACTTCAGATGTATTAGAATTTTTTTAATCAATTTCCTGTACGATATGGTTATCAGATGAGTAGGATTTTGGCAACTTTTTATTATTCCCTTTTCAGGCACTGAGAACAAATTTTACTTAAACAGAGTGATTCGCATAGAGTAAGTTTTTTTGTACATACACATGCATATAGTTTAGCTGTTTATAAAATTATTGATTCTATTTATGAAGAGAATGAAATTCCTGTAACTTGATCCTTGACTTTTAAAATTTCTTACATAGCTACAAGATAGAGGATATGCACATTGAGAAACACTTTAGAGTATCAATGAGTGTCAAGGCTTGTTTTGAGGCCTCCGATGACAATCAGTGTATCATCAACATTGACATCTTCAAGAACACACTTCTACCCAAGAAAATCTGTGACTGGACTGAAGGATTTGCCACAGCTAGTATGAAGTCATTAATAACATGATCAAGAGTATAACACTGTAGAGAAAGGCATATCATTCTTTATTTCCTATCCAGCTTATAAAATGATATTTGATTGGTTAGCAAGCCGGATGTAAATTTCCGTACACCCGGCTTGCGCCGGGGGTAAATAACGTGACGTCACAATGTGTAGTTTCTCTATCACAGAAACAGACAAGATGACGTGACAATGCATTGTAGCACATAGTAAATCTTATCGATATTTTAAAGCACCGTTGATTGGACTTGTGTTTACATAGAAATTATTTGGTTACATTGGAAATAAATTCGTTATCCAGGTCCAATCAAGGGTGTACGGGGATTTACCCCGTGTTGTATTCGATATCCCTTCGGCTTCAGGGTGTATGGAATAAAATCAGTGTTAAATCCCCGTACACCCTTGATTGAACCTGGATAACTAATAGAATCTGTGTTTTAATTCTTGAAAATGCTTATTAAAAAAAAGCATTATTCTTTGTCAGATTTCAGTCTATCTGAGTGGTACCAAGATCTCTCCCTACCAGAGGGTTCCATTCTGTCACAGTTGAACAAAAACAGTCTTTTGGACATGCTGGGCATAAGGTCATACCTTAACAAAGACCCCTGTTCCTTTACATCCACAACATACAGCCCTGCCAACAACAAAGGTTGGAAAAATGGTAGGTTATTGGAAAAAAAAACCTATTCATACGAAGCAGTTGAGTTTTAACTCACTTAAAGTGAGCTTTTCTGATCAAAGTTTGTTCATCATTTCTTTACTAACTGACATGTGTTCTTAACATTTCAGGTCACTTAAGTCTCCTAGGTGACCTATTGCTACCTGTTTTCTTCTGTCGTTATCCGTCATCTGTCAGCATAAACTTCTGAATATTTTCAGCTTCTTGTCGGGAACCCCTGAGCCAATTTCAACTAATTATAGCATGTAGCATCTATGACTGTTAGAGTTAGACGGTACCACAATATGTGATCAAAGATTTACATACTAGGAATATGAATGGAAAATAATCTGTTGAGGAAGAACAACAGGGCCACAGTGACTCATGTGAGCAATGTAACCAATTGGCCCCTTTTTTGAAAAATAAGACATGGCCCTTTGGGGTAGTAGAGGACACAACAAAAAATTGAATGTTTTCATGGAATGTAAAGGATTTCTTTTAGATAATGTGTAAGGAACGCGAGGGCACAATCTTTTCCTCAAGAACAACAAAGCCATGATTACTCATATTGATATGGAAGCATGGTCAGGTAATGTAGATTCAAGTTTGTTTCAATCATGACCCTGGGGGTAGAAAGGGTCACAATGGGGATCAAATTTTCACAAAGGAATACAGTCCCTGAAACGTTCTACTTTCCCATTTTTCCGTTCGCTCACCGTTCGTTCACCGTTCGTTCAGCGTGCGTTCACCGTTCGTTCACCGTGCGTTCACCGTTCGCTCTCCGTTCACAGTTTTGCGTTCACCGTTCACCGTGCGCTCGCGTTCACCGTTCACAAAGCGTTCACCGTTCGCTCTTCGTTCCGTTCACTTTGCGTTCACCTTGCGTTCAGCGTTCACCTATCGTTCAGTTTTCATTGTCATTCGGAACTCCGAAGTGAAAGGACTTATCTTTTTGTAGGGAAGGAGTTACAGGTTTTTTAATTTAATAACTAACATATCGTGTTTGAAGAATCATTATTTCATGTTGAAAAATATCTACGATATATATTTTTATTATTCTAACTTAGCTGTTAGGTTATTTATTAAATTACTCTGGAAAATAAATGTTGTTATAAGCACATTCTGTACCTATGTAGAACGATGCTGAAATATTAAATTTAACTAAGGGCAATGTGCAAATACTTCAAGCACTGCAACATTTTGTTGTTTTGTTAAAGACGACAAATCGTTAATGGTGATATAATTATCCAAGTCAAATAATTACGCAGCAAAATTACGAAAATATTTATTTCTAACACGTTTTTTTTTCAATTACTGCAGAAAATATGATAGAACTATTTCTGAGAGTTACACATAGTACTGCGGATATCCTATTAATTTATTATCTTTGGAGCGAATTAAATTGATAGTGTGGTTAAAGGAAATATTTATTTGAAATGTACTGCACTACAGAATTTTCTCTGCTATAATATGTAAAGTCTATAGTTATAGAGAAAAAAATCTTTCTTCACCGTAACTTTATATGTTTGCCATTCGATATGATTAATACCCCCCCCCTTTCCCCCTAGATTGGTTACTTAGTCAGTAAGTACTGTATTTCCAGAATATTTTAATTTACATTTTTTTAAAAAAAAGTTAAGGTCTTTTTTAGAACAAAAATTTCAGTCTCAAAACAAACATGCATCTAAAAAAGTCACAAAACAATAGTTGTTCAAAATGTACACGTGTCGGCGGTGGTATTTGAAATTGACAGAGAGTATGTTTAAAATTCAAGTGTTAATGCCCAATGTATTTTATTCATTTATTATTTAAATGTTGGGATCAAATCTACAAATATAAAAATAAATGTTATAACTTGTTGGAAATACTCGCACTTCTTCTTCGATGTGACGAAACTTTCACACCTGCACAGTGTCGAATGATTTTGATTGACAGGACAAGCACGTGGACTTCGTGTGAACTTGAAGAAGGAAAATAAAAACGAGTATGACTGTCAAACAAATGGATATGATTTTTTGATTAAAAAAAAAAAGTTACTTTCACTGTCTGATATATTTAGAAAAATATTTCAGAGGTTTTGTTTGATATAGGTACAAAAATTTAGTGAAGCCTGAAAGAAGTGGGGGGGGGGCTAAAATGGAATCTCTCTCTCTCTCTCTCTCTCTCTCTCTCTCTCTCTCTCTCATTTGTCTGTTTAATAAAAACTATAACAGCATATTACTTAAATATCAAGTTCTGAAAATTGAATTTATAACAAATAATATGAATATGTATCTTTGTATTATCTTGTCCGAGTATAACCACGGCCATCTACATATACATGTAGAAGTCTGCTTAATAAATCATCTTGAAAAATAGAAATGACACATAATATATTATTGTATTAAAAATTTTAAATACGAGCATATAAATGCGAAGCGTCCACTGACCTTTATAAATATTTTTTTTTATTACTTTACACGAAATCGCCCTGACACGGAGATGTATGAATGGATGTTACAACCGCTTTAGTTCATTCTATAAGTCAGAAGTTTTCTCTGATTTGTTTAAACTTCAGCGTTCGGCAACAATTGCAATGTTTTAATGCGATAAAATCGTTTGATTAAAAACTTAATGTGCATGCATCGTCTTTCTCAGGACAATTTTGGAGAATTTATTTATTGACTTATTTATTCATTCATTTATTGGTTTACTTATTTATTATGTATTTATTTATTTTTATTTTCTTTTTTGGCACCTGACATTATAATACAATAAAATAGTTTCAATGCAAGGAAAAGATCAGAGGCATTCCGAATATATCGTTCACCTTGCGTTCACCGTTCGTTCACCGTTCACTTTGCGTTCGCGTTTGCGCTCCGTTCGCGTTCTGCGTTCGCTCACCGTTCACCGTTCACACATCGTTCACCAAGTTGCGTTCAGCGTTCACACATCGTTCACTCACCGTTCGCTCTGCGTTCGTTCAGCGTTCGTTCACCGTTCGTTCAGCGTTCGCTCACCGTTCAAGTGGGAAAGTAGAACGTTTCAGGGACTGTAAATAGGAAAAATTCTTTAAAAATCTTCTGCTTAACGGGCCTCTAAGTGACCTCTAAACTTTAGCTACCAGCTGGCTCCTAATCAAAAATTTTTAGCCGTCAATGCAAATTTAGTCGCTATGAAAATATTTTTTTCTATTTTTTTCCATTGAGTTAGTCCTAGGAAGGGGGGTCTCTTGTATTCGTAAAGAAAAAAATCAAGAAATATAAGCCAACTAAATGCTGAAAGGTTTTAAAAGCATGCATGTACAAGCCACTGTCCGAAGTCCGCATATAGCTTTCTCTCTCTCTCTCTCTCTCTACCAGCCAAAGTGGGAGAGGATAATACAAATATTGCCGTGGTTTGTGACGATTTTAAAACTCTTGTATTCAGAAAGTTTTATTCAATCATTTCTTTTTCAGAAACTTGGATGTCATGAAATATTCTTTCAAATATAATAATTTCGAAGATCGTTCACACAATTTATATTTTATGCTCCTTCGTACAATTACGCCCTAACATTAATGTCTAGACGATATCTCTAATGAGTGAGAATGTATTTGACAAACAATTGCCCACACCACCCTGCGTTTCACATTTTTTTGAAGCAAACAATTACCCGGGACTGCTATTGTCTTATTGTCTACCTGAGCTCTGTGTGCACTGCCGTGATGCAAACTTTCGTTCACATGACTAAAAACAGCAACAAGGTGACAAAGAAAACACAGAACATGTCCATTTCTAACTTTCAGACTTCTCTTTCTCTGGTCTTTAGAAAAAATTGTAAATATAGTTCCAGAGTTCAACAATCACTAAGTCCATACAATATGGTTGCCAATTTAGAGAAATATGCCAAATATAGAGAAATTGTAGGCGACAATCAAAATTTTTAGGCGCTATGACGACTGAATTAGTCTTAAGAACAGCAAAGTCATAAGTTATATTGATACATGTATGGACGTATCCTCAGGTAGTGTAAAATTCACGTCTGGCACACACACACCCCTTCCATGTTATCTTTTCAATGCTGAACTAATTTGTGTTTTTTCCTAGCCAGTGTGCTTAGGTGTGTGATGTGGCACATGGGCCTCTCGCTACAACAAAATTCTAAATGGCATTAATTTCAATTTGAACTCCTTTTGGTTCCAGACTGCAAGTCAGGCCTGGCTTCTAATTTGCCAGCCTTACCATCCACAGCCAGATGTAACATACCTGATTACTGTACAGGAGTGACTTGTTGTGTGGCAGAGAATTCTGTACTTAGGCATCATTTTACCGTTGGAGTCAAACTTGATGATTGCAACCACATACTGACATTTCAAATTGAAAAACTTAAAATTGAAATTGCTCTGAAAGACTACAGTTTTGGTAATTTTATCAGACTATTATAAATATAATAATTTACCAACTTTCTGTTTCCTTTTTAGAGGTTAAAAAATATTTGAGAATTAAATGCATGGACTATTGTTATTTGTAGGTGTTGTGGAAAAGAGATATCTTATGAGTGTCCTACAGTTTGAGTATGTAAAAAATATATCTGTTTCATGTGTGTGTTTTCTCAAGTGTTTAAATTTTATGCATTTAATCTTAAATTTGAGTCTCTTTGATAAAGACGAAATAATTGAAAATCGTAATCCTGGTATAAAAGTCTATAAAAAAGGGGTTATCAAGCTTAAGAATTTCAGCAGAAGGTTTTATTCAGATTCAAAATAGATGACAGGCCCTTGGAAAAGAGCTACAAAATCTCAGCAAGCTTGAAGATTTGCTATGGAGTAGGGCCATGCGCTTTAGACACTGTACATTTGATTCAGGATTTCACCCTTCCTAAAACATTATGTGAATGGGGAACTGGATTTGTGTCAGGTTGTGAAAAGCTTTCTTTGTGAATTGATATATTGTTTCAAATATTGGTACACTACATAAAGTATTTATTTTTACTAATCAAAAAAAAATGTTTCTATTTTTAGAATTTTCTCTGCAGTCATGGTTGAGGGACCGGGGATTAGACATTAAAGCTGCTCTTTCATCTCTAGATACTGAATCACTTTTTGCATCCCTAGGAATGTCAGATTTTGTAAAAGATCCACAGTGTACAAGAACATCAGGAAACTATCATCCTAGTAAAGATGGATGGAACAATGGTATGAATGGGTGAAATTTTCATTTGATATTTCAAAAATTACATTCAGGTAATAAATAAAGACTATTGGTAGAGATAATTTTTAGATCACCTGAGCCGAAGACTCAAGTGAGCTTTTCTGATCGAAATTTGCCCGTTGTCTGTTGACATTGTAAACTTTTAACTTATTCATCTTTTTCATTGGGTCATTTTCAACCAAACTTGCCTCAAAGTATCCTTGGGTAAAGGGTAAAGGGGATTCAAGTTTGTTCAAATGAAGGGTCATTCCTTCTTCAAAGGGGAGTTTAGTACGAATTCGTAAAAAATAAGTAGCATCATTTAAAAATCTACTTCTAAAGAACCACTGTGCTTGAAAATATGACACTTATGTGGAATCATCCGGAGGTAGTGTACATTCAAGTTTGTTCAGATCATGAGTACCAGGGGAAGGGTGGAGCCACAATGGGCGATCAGAGTTTTATATAGTAATACATGGAGAATATCTTTCAAAATCTTCTTCTCAAGAACCGCAAAGCATTGATTAGTCATATTTATATGGAAACATCCTCGGGTAGTGTAGATTCAAGTTTGTTCAAATTATGACCCCCGGGGAATGTGGAGCCCCAATGGATGATCAAAGTATTTCATAGGAATACAAAGGAAAATCTTTTCAAAAACAGCAAAGCCATGGTTGATCATATTTATATAGAAGCATTCTCAGGTACTGAGATTCAAGTTTGTTCGAATCATGACCCCTAGGGGTAGGGTGGGGTCACAATGGATGATCAAAGTTTTACATAGGAATACAAAGGGAAAAACTTTCAAGATCTTCTTCTCAAGAACAGCACAGCCATGATCGGTCAAATTTATACGGAAGCTTCCGCAGGTAGTGTAGAATCAAGTTTGTTCAAATCATGACTCCCGGGGGTAGGGTTGGCCACACTTTTATATTGAAACTTTTTAATATTGAACTGATTTCTGCTTTTTCCTTGCCAAAGTGCTTAGGTGAGCGATTTGGCCCATGGGTCCTGGTTTTTAGTGGTGGTGGTAAGGAGGGGAAATGGGTAAATGGGAAGTATTTAACATGTATTTATGGGATAACTGCCAGACAAATTAATATTTATCTAACCTGAACACACATGAATATGTATTACTTTCTTTGCATATTCATTTAACAAGTGGTTTTACTCTACAGAGTGATTTAGAGGTTAAATTAGATCTGAAATGAAAACACTGCTGCATTTTATTTTATTTACGAAATAAAATGTTACATGACATTGTGGTAATCCTACATTTCAATGGTAAATGTTTTCTAAATGGGGTTGTGTATATTTTGAAGACTGTCCCAGTATCCCAGTCCTTCCTGCATTACCCAGTTCAGTGTCCTGCAACATCCCAAACACCTGTACCAGTATAGACTGCTGTGCTGAGATTGCCTTCCTTGGTGGTCGCTCCATCAATATACAAGTTCTCATGGATCCTTGTGAAGCTATCATGAGTCTGAATATTGAAAAAATTCAGTACAACATCACTTTGTTTGATTATGATTTTGGAACAACTGACCATTTCACATTGCAAGGAGCTATCAGAATAGAGTGAGTAAAGATTTTTTTATTCTTTTATTATTGTACAGGTTATAGCAGGGAATGATAAAGGAATGATTTGTTTTGGTTTGCACAAGCAACATGCACATTTCTTTTGTGTATACCTATCATATGGAGATGATGCATCTAGGGATGTATATTATTCAACCTCCTTCAGATGCTGGATCTTACCTACATTTTTATGATGAGTAAAAAGGTTAAAGTTTTTGGAGCAAGTCCATTCCCAAGTATAACTACAAGTTCTATTAATACCAATCATTAATATTGTTCTCAGGGTGCACACTAAATAGAAAAAAATGGTGAGAGATTTGCAATAATTTGTAAACTTTAATCTTTAATAGCTTATGTTTTTAACAGTTTCAACATACAGAACATGGTTATGGACAGAAAATACTTGCTTAACCTGAATCTGAGTGTTTGTATGGAGACTTCTGATCTGTCAGATTGTGTATACTCTGTGGTTATATTCCACAATACTGTATTACCTAAACAACTCTGTAGCATGGAACTTGACTACCTGAATCCAGGTAAGAATTTTATGAAGTCAATCAAATGTAAAAATGAATATGTACTAAGGTGTTTCTGAATGTGATTTTGAACAATAATAAAGGCACTTTGGAATTCACCAGGTTTTGACCTTTCATCGTGGAAGACCTTACATGGTTTTGGCTCTGTTTTGACTCGTGAGCAAGCCAAGAATTTACTTCGGGAAGTGGGAGTTGAGGAGTATGTAGGAGTTGGTTGTTCTAGGAGTGTTGCACCTTATGCTCCAGAGACTCACAATGGGTGGAATGTTCCCACAGGTATTAAACAAATAATTAAAAACAGATAATTGACAATGAGGCATTTATATATTGAATGATATCACAGGAATTTTTATGATGAGATAAGCATGTAAGCTTTCCCCTGATTTCATATGTATTCTACTCAGGTTGATACAGTAATCTACTGGATTGTCTAATTGTTTTAAATGTGTGATTTTACAATGCAGCATGTAAACTGGACCCCCCTGCCTTGACCAGAAATATTAACTGCTACATCAACACATCCTGTACTGGTATCAGCTGTTGCTTTGAGGACTCCATCACGGGGATGTCCTACCAGATCTCAGTCACTGTAGACTCTTGTGGGGAAACCTTAGTCATCACACTAGAGAAAATGAAGTTTGTCATTTCATTGTTTGATTATCCAATGGGAACAAAGAGTACTGCACAACTCTTTGGGATTTTGCAGCTGGAGTAAGTAAATTTGATTAAATAGTCATGTTTATATTGATTTTTCATAACATATTGTAATTATTTCTTTATCATTTTTAGGTATATGATTAATGATTTACATCTGCTGGGAGAAATTGTGATAGATCTCAAAGCAAAACTTTGCTACTCTAAAAACAAGGCCTGTGAGAATGAAATTATGATATTGCAAGATTTCAGACTGCCAAAACCACTTTGTAATTTTAGTGCAGGAAAATTTGCAATTCCAGGTGATGCATTTGTCGAGTAGATTTTGAATTGCTTAATCGGTGTGTTTTCTTTTTAAACTTAAGAAAAAGTTATGTATAATCATGTTTTATACTATCTGTAGATTTTTCCTTAAGTAAATGGATGAAAGATATTGGAAATTTAAGAGAAAACGTAACTCTTGAACAGTGGGCTGTTGATCTGCTGAAATCAAAATTGAAGTTATCCAACTACCTGCTGGATCCAATGTGTAGAAGATCACAGTATTTAACAGGAAATGGCAATTGGAACTTAAGTGGTATGAATATAATGTAATGCTGTTGTGGAATTAATTTTTCAGGGGAATAATGGAATCACTATGTTTTGTCTGGAGATTAGCTCTGAAATTATTTAATAATTTCTTTTTAAATTTTGTAGGAATATATATTTTAATTATTGATTTGAAGATTTTTAGTATACATCTACATTACTTAAACAATACAGTGTATGTGGCAGGATTGGGAAGAAAACGCTTGTCATTACTAACTTTGAAAGTGAAAAACTTTAAACATACATGCTACATAAGTAGCTTGTGGCCAAAAATCGGCTTATACATGTACCAAGAACATTTGAATGAAGTCAAGTAAAGTATTCTTGTTCTATATGGAGAAAAATTAGAATCATACACAGGTTGCTTGTGAGTCTAGGATATGTCCTTACCCGAACCCAACATGATTTGGACAATGTCAAGGCCACACTCAGTAATGTAAAAAAAAAATTGCCTTTTTTCAATCTGAAAAAAAAAACCATTAGATTATTCTAGGCTGAAAGATTGCATTTTGACCAGGTGATTTTTAGCAACCCTGTCCCATGGTCTAAAGATCTGTGTCACCATCAGGACAGATCTAGTTTATTTGTGGGGGCCAATTTTTATAGATTGCTAAAAATTCCAAAGTTCATTGGGATGTAATTTTCTGGACAAACATCTTACAATGATTGATTGATTGATTGTATTTTGTTTTACGTCCCTCTCGAGAATTTTTCACACATATGGAGACGCCACCACTTGCCGGTGGAGAGCTGCAAATTTTGTCCTATACTCGGCAATTACGGCCATTGAGCAGTGAGGGATCTTTTTCGTGTCAGCACCTACTGCGACATAGGACCTCGGTTTATACGGTCTCATCCGAAGGACCGGTCTCCACGTCCCACAGTGGGATTCGAACCAGCGACGTAAGGATCAACTCCTTACTTCGCGACTCTAGAGCAGATGCTCTAACCACTGTGCTACGTGGGCGACTCTTACAATGAAAGCTTATGCTTGAATATCAATGTTCACCGATGTTAAGAATTTGTCTATATAGGATTACCTCAAAGTTTCATGAAATATAATGATCCTAAGTAAAGATGCCAGTTTGAACCTTTTACTGGTCCATTAAGCTTCTAGGAGTATTTGTAATTCTTTGTTGGTTCAGTTTGTATCTCTGCATTTATATGTGTTCTGAAATGTTTTCAGCCTGTCCCACATTAATATCAGTCCCACCTCTACCGAGTCAGACATCATGTACCCTTTCTTCCTCCTGTTCTGGTGTCAAGTGCTGCACAGATATAGCTCTAGTGAATATAGCTATTCAGACTGAAGTCAGAGTGGACCGATGCAGAGGAAAAGTTTTCATTCATTTAGAAAAATTTGAAATTGTTTTCATGCTCAAGGATTTCAAATTTTCATTGTGGGAAACCTATACCATACAGAATGTATTCCGATTGGTGTAAGTTGATGCTTCTTTTCAAGCTTTATTCAACTTTTATATCCTAACATGGTAAATTTAACATTGTGTATTTCTTAAATTTTACATTATAATTTTAGATATAAAATAGATTACCTCTCTTCCGAATCTGCATTCATATTCAACATCAAATTCAGTGCTTGTTTTGAAAATAAAGGGGACTGCATGCTAAGCATCCCTATCATGCAAGATGTGAAAATACCATTTATACCATGTAACTTCAGTATGCAAAACTTTGCAATTCCAGGTAAGGCTTTTTGATGATTTAACGTATCCCTATAATAACATATGATTAGTTTGAAGAAAATGATTTAAGTTTTTACCTTGAATTAGACCTCTTCTTTCATTGATAGGTTTTAGTCTGAATGATTACCTAATTAGTAGAGGAATACCAACATCTATCAATTCCCTGTCGAGCATATTGGCAGATCAGTTGTTGGATTATCTGGGTGTTGGCAGTTTTTTCGATGACATTCCATGCAATCGATCTAATTTTGCAAGGACAGCGTCAGGCTTTAGTATAGGTACTTCTAAAATGATATTTTAAGTACCATTAAAACTTTTTGACAATGCATGTGCAACAGCTAGGATATACTATTCAATGTTTGGAAATGTTATTTAATTAAATTAAGGTTGAATTTTGATTAATATGCATTAAATGCATAAAAAATATTGTCTGTCTTCAAATGATGTTTGTACATGAATACATGTATTATAACAAGTATGTTTAATGAACACTAAATGGATTTATTTTGTCACAAAATTAGATCCATCCTGTATGCAGAATGTGTCCTCCTACATCCCAACTCTACCTGCTGAAACAAACTGTAGGATCTCCTCAGGATGTACTACTATACAATGCTGTACAGACATCTCTCTTATAGGAAAGACACTTAACTACACAATAAACATTGATGTTTGTGCTCACTCCTTAATATTACAAATAGAGACCTTCCAGTGGGAACTTTCTCTTGTGGGCTTCCAGTTTGGAAAGGAACAGAAGTTCAGCATAGATCAAGTCTTTTCAATTAAGTATGTTCTATTTTGTGGGCATTTGTATTGAGTTAACCATCAAGTTATCTTTGATTGCATCTATGGCAGCATAAAACTTAAAATGTTGAGTTTGTTACTGTAAATCACTTTTTATTCCTGAAAACTTTATTTTCATTCTTGCATATAATTCTATTTAAAGTTAATTAGAGCAATAACCAAAATTTGTAAAACATTTTGTCTCACTTAAAAAGAAACCTTACAAAAGTCTCGCAAAAATAAGGTGACATGAAAAATAAGTGATATAAAGTAGCTAATATAGCTATAATGGAGAAAAGATGGATAAAGAAATGTGCTTTTAAAACAAATGTCCCTTAGTGTGACCTAGCTTTATTGTGAACAGTTGCCACACTGAGTCTACATGTTCAGTTGTAACGCTCTCTGTTGGCATTCTTAAAACTAAATGTTCTTAAACTTGCACACATGAGAACCATTATAACCTTAACTCTATATTTTTGTGATTTTCAAATGAGCTATAAATGTTTCAAAAATCAGCATCTGCTGTTCAGCATTTACAATATTTATATGCAAAAGTAACCTTTCCGTTCCAGGTAACTTGATCTTGTCAGTATGACATTAGCATACAAGCTAACTCTTCTGCTTTAGGCGGAAGTCTATCGCTTTTTTACTCCATCTCCCGCCTATACCACTTTTATTCATAAATCTACCACTTTTTTTTTTTTTTTACAAAATCCATTTTTGGTTCATTTGGGTGGCCATTTTTGAAGCCACTCGTCATAAAATTTCGTCAGATATCGCTCGATTTGACCTGGGAACATACAAACGCTTTTTTGTACCTATGTTTTTATAGATTTCAAGCACGTGTTTGATAAAAACAAGTGCAATAAATCTCCGTAATTACATTGGTTACGATAAATTTCGTCAAAATCCCCGCCAAGAAAAGGGGAGATATAGTGTTGTAGAACTGGAGTGAAAACTTTAAGTATCGTCCGTAAAAGTGAAAAGGGAATCAGCATTCATTTAATTTTTTTTTTTTTTTTATCTCTACTTCGTTTTCAGTCATCGCTGGAAATCCAATTTTTCTAGCAAAAGATAGGAGCTAGTTTTAGATCTGAATTAAACAAAATCATCCTCTTCTGAATTTGATAGTTAATGAACATTCAGAATTATTGCTTCCAGGATACATATCAACAAAGGACAACCTTTAAAAGGCTAAATTAAGCAGCCAATCAAAGCCAAAGTGATGAGCATAAAAAATATTTATAATTAGGTCTTTCCACCTTTCTGTGGAAAGACCTCTTGAAATGCTTCTGTTTATTAGGTCTTTCCACCTTTCTGTGGAAAGACCTATTGAAATGCTTATGTTTATTATTATTATTATTATTTTTCCGTTACCGCCTTTTGAACCGAAAAACTTTTCGAAGAACTTTATAGTTCATGATACTCGACATCAAAAGTTATTTCGAAAAACTACCCAACGAGTATGACCTATGACCCCTTTCGGAGTTCTTGCCCTTTGAACGAAAAACATTGTTATCGCTACTCCTTCGAAATCATAAACCGCAGAGGTTCGAAACCATTACCAATGTTTTCGACTACTTGAGAGGACTTTTCAATCTTTTCATTGTGAAATGATTTGTCGAGCCCTTTAATAAGTTATCGCCCCTGAGATTTTTTTGGTGTTTACGAATAATGAAAAATTTTCTTAATGATAAGTCGTAAAGAAATAGGACCAACTGCATAAGATTCTTTGACCTTATACCTTGAAGTTAAGGTCAAGGTCAAGGTCATTCAAAATATAAGAAAATTAACTCTTTTTATAGCTCTTTTGTCTTTCAACATATACTACATATCTTTGCATCTTTAATTTGTCCTTCTAAAACTATTTTAAAGATTTCATTCTTGTCCCCCAAGCTTGACCCATTCAAAAGTTGTCACCCCTTTCGCAATGAAACCTTGTTATCGCTACTCCTCTGAAACCGTAAAGCGTAGAGATTCCAAACCTTCATCAGTGTCTTCGACTCATTTAGTGCACTCTTCAATCTATACAGTGCGAAAGGGTTCTTCGGCCCCTTCTATGAGTTACTGTCCCTGAAAGTTTTCGCTGCTTACATTTAATGAACTTTTTTTCAAAGGGTCTAACCTAGAGACATGGAACCAACTGCATGGGCATGTTTGACCTTTGACCTTGAAATGTAGGTCAAGGTCAAAGGTCAAGGTCATTGAAAACTATATAAATTGTTGATATCAGCTATTTATTTAAATGACCTTGACCTTTGACCTTGACCTTTGACCTTTAACCTTTGACCTTGACACTGACTCAAGGGTAAAAAAAATTCAGAACATGCATCTAGATTCATGTACATTTCAGTGTTGAACTCAGTTTAAAGCAAAGTTGTTGTTTTTTTTTTTTTTTTAAATGACCTTGACCTTTGACCCAAAGGTCACAATCAAGATTAAGTTCGTGGAGGTTGCTACAACTCTTACTTCTAAAAATGTTAGGAATAAATAAATAAATAATTCTCCTCAACCCCCCCCCCCTTTTGAAAAAAAAAAATCAATAGCAACGTAGAAAATTTCTCTAAAACTCATACACCTCGGATCGACATAAGATTTTAAGAAACTGCAGAAAAGACCTCAAAGAAAGTTTCCTGAAAGTTTTACGGTGAGTCTCTGAAGTGTAACGAAATTATGAATTTTATCGGCAAATACTACATTTTTTTTTTCTATCTGAAATTTAGGTGCTGATGAGCATAAAAATGAATTTAAGCTTTTATCGGCTATTTCTTCAGTTGTTATTAATAGCATTCGATTCTCCTGCTCTAATACAATATTTTAATACCAAGCATTCTTGATTTCTTTAGTATGTGGGATTTATTTCAATTTTATTTAGATTTAATGTTAATGGAATGAGTCTCGAAAACAGCGATTTTTCCTATCAAATAAATTTCCACGCTCTCATTGACACCTTTTTTTTCTTCCTGAAATGCATGTCTGAAATTTAATTTATGCTAGTTACATTTAATTCAACCCACATGGAGATATTTATTAAATCTGACCTATTATTTTGAATCACCATATTCGGTCAAACCGAACGCGACATTTTTCATAAATTCGTAAACAAAGTCTCGGCACGGCAGTTCTAATGTATCCTAGGCTCTAGGTGATTAACTCCATTGATTTAGAGTATAAACCAACTCAAATAAATTATTTTTACAGAAAATCTGCTTTTTTATTATACACCAATCGTGTTTCTCAAAACAATTTATTACTGATTACTACATTGGACAACAAACAAAAGGACACGTGCTCTTATATTCCTATTTATTCCTAAACAACATATTTACTACCTCCATCTTCATCGGAGTGCGTGGCCTAATGGTTAGCGCACCTGCCTTTCAAACCAAGGAATTTGGGTTCGAACCCTGCTGGAGGAACCTTTTTTTTTTTTTTTTTTTTTTTTTTTTTTTTTTTTTCTCATTTCTTGAATTTTTCTTCTTTATTACAACCCAAATCTCATGGAAACACTTAAAAAGGTGGAAAGGCCTCTAATTGTTCTCTGAACAATTAGTCTCCTAGTTATTATTATTATTATTATTTTTCCGCTACGGCCTTTTGAACCGAAAGACTTATCGTAAAACTTTATCGTTCATGATACTCGACATCAAAAGTTATTTCGAAAAACTACCCAACGAGTATGACCTATGACCCCTTTCGGGGTTCTTGCCCCTTGTACGAAAAACCTTGTTATCGCTACTCCTTCGAAACCGTAAACCGTAGAGGTACGGAACCTTCACAAATGTCTTCGACTAATTGAGAGGACTCTTCAATCTTTTCATTGCGAAAGTTTTCGTTGACCCCTTTTATGAGTTATTGCCCCTGAAAGTTTTTGATGTTTACTAATAATTAAAAATTTTCAAAACGATAAGTCGTAGAGACATGGGACAAACTGCATAAGATTCATTGATCTTTGACCTTAAAGTATATCAAAGGTCAAAGGTCAAAGTCATTCCAAAAATGAGAAATTAAGCTCTTTTTATATCTTTTTTATCTTTCAACATATACTATATATCTTTGCATCATTAATATGTCCTCTTAAAACTATTTCAAATATTTCATACTTGTCCCCAAAGTTTGGCCCCTTTAAAAGTTATTGCCCTTTTCATCAAAAACCTTGTTATCGCTACTCCTCCGAAACCGTAGACCGTAAAGACATCAAACTTTCACTAATGTCCTCAGGGTCTTTAGACACAACTTCAATATATTCTGTGCGAAAAGGTCCGATGACCCCTTATATGAGTTATTGCCCTTTAATGTCTTTGCGCTTACTATTAAACCTTATAACTTAAAAACCAAAAGTCGTAGAAGCATGGGGTCAAGTGTAATGTGACCCTTGACCTTTGTCCTTTAATATTTGTTCAAGGTCAAAGGTCAAGGTCGTTTCGAAATTTTTTAAATTTTCATTTTTTCCATTTTTCAAGCAATTTCTGGTTTCTCTTGTAAAAGAAATAAACAGTAGAGAGTTAAATATGAAGAATATATGAAATTTAAAGAAGGTGGAAAGACCTCTAATTGTTCGAGAACAATTAGTCTCCTAGTTATATTTGTATAGTTTATGTCAAACTTAAGATGTTTTTGTCTACTTCATTGCAGTTGATATTTGAGATTAATTATTCTAGTTGTCATTTAAGGTCATATTTACAGAAATCAATGCGTAAAACAACGCGCGCAATGTTACCTCTTTTGAGGTCTGAATCTCCCTCTTTCTCATCACAGTAAGTTAACATGTATGGACATTGGTCAAGTCATTACACACTTAATGACCAAAGCAGCCTTTCTTGTTTGCATGAACTTGAACTAAAAGTTCAGATCTTTGGAGCATATTCTTAAATTAAAATCATATTGTCTTTCAGTGTGGTTTATAATGCTTTTGAATAGTCTCTTATCAAAGTCTTTCTACCAAAAATAATTTGCATCCATAGATACAAGATTACAGATTTGATTGGTCAAGGCCAGTACCTCATCGACATAAAGCTTAGTGTGTGCTTCAGTGATGGGTCACCTTGTCAGCTTGAAAACACCATTGTCAGTAACTACCTTGTCTCTAAACCAGTTTGTGCTTGGTTTAATGGGTTCAAAGTTGCAGGTAAGTTTAAATGATTAAGATTGTTATATTCATTGATAAAATTTCAATGCATACAGTATTTTTTACTTGTTTCAGGCTTTTCATACTCCAATTGGTTATCATTGAATAACCTTAGTCCGTCAGATGTTCTCTCCCAGAGCAGTGTATCAAAGCTTATGGAAACACTTGGGCTAACAAAATTCTTGAAGACACAGGCCTGTAGTATTGAGAAGGAACTCTATAAAAACCCCTACCAAGGATGGACTTCAGGTAGAATTACAAATTGAAATTTTGTAATTTCATATTTATGCAATAACTCTGTATATCTTTTGCTTTAAGGCAAGTCATTTAAAAATTCTAGAATTTAAAAAAAATAGAATTTCCGTAACCAAGCTTCTCTCTTTCATGTAGGCTGCCTTTCAGACAGAGACATCAGTAAATCTGTGTTGGATCCCAGCATTGTAACCTGCCATTTACAGAAATCCTGTACAGGTGTACAGTGTTGTGTCAGCATATCTCACACAGGCTTATCTGTAGAGACATTTGTAGAAATCAGTCCATGTGATCATCAACTCAGGGTGGGGATAGAGAACTTGAAATTCAACAAAAGTCTATTTGGCTACAAGTTTGGACAAAATGAGAAGTTTGATCTATTTGGTTTGGTAGTAGTGGAGTAAGTATAAGAAGTTGGAGTTATCATTTCAGGCTAAGTAAACACTGTGTGTATTTTATGCAAAAAATAATTCTTTTTTATCTGCATTATTAAAATAAAGTAAATAAATTAAAGAAACTAAGTCTACATTATATTATAATTTTAATCTCATGTCTATTTTAAATCTTTCAGTTTTAAGATCACTGATCTGGGTTATTTTGGAGAAAATGGGAAGTACTTGGTGAATTTAAACGTCAGTGTTTGTTTGGAATCAGGACAACCTTGTGGGACAATAATTCCAGTATTTGTCAACAGTCTACTGCCAAAGGAATCATGTACAAAGGGATTGGGCTTCATAAACAGAGGTATATGATTGTTATAAGATAATAAAGATTTGAATACTACAAATGAATTATTAGACTATCAACGTTGTCAATCCTTTACAGCTTTCTCCTTGTCTAACTGGAAATCCTTCCATGGAATATCCTCAGGAGTCTCTTTAAATGTTCCTCATGTAAAACAGCTGCTCCAAGACCTTGGGGTATCACACCTCCTGCTAGATGATGATCAGAGATGTGACTGGACTAAACCTCCATACAGTACCGTTAACAGTAAAGGATGGGCAGATGGTATATATATATATATATACATGTATATATATATGTGTGTGTGTGTGTGTGTGTGTGTGTGTGTGAGGGTGTGTGTGTATGTGTGTGAGGGTGTGTGAATGGGTGTGGGTGTGTGTGTGTATCATTTCGCCGCATTTGACAGAAGTTTATGATCAGTATATTGGTACAGAAAGATAATAACACTTTTTTTCCACAGATTGTGACAGGACAACAGAGAACCTTCCATCCCTTGGTCCCAACATTAGATGTGTTGTGTCAGCTTCTTGTAGTGACATAAGGTGCTGTATACACTCTAATATTCTAGGAGAGAACCTGGAGGCTTATATAAACCTGGACACCTGTGATGCCAAAGTTTCTGTAGGGATAGAGAAATATCACTGGACCAACAAACTTTTGGGCTACAAATATGGAGAAACAAAACATGTTTCACTATTGGGAATGGCTAATTTAGAGTATGTTGATATAACTTTTATCATCTGTTATTATTTCCGCTTCAGTCATTGCACAGATTTGAACAGTTTAATAATTAAATTTCTTAAACAATTTATCATTTTCGTTATAGTTATGTTATAACAGACTTGGAAACATCCTTTGGAGTTACTATGAATCTAAGTGTATGTTTTGAATCTCATGGAGCATGCGAGAACTTTATTCAGGTCTTCAATGAGCACAATCTCAAAAAGCCATTATGCAACTGGACAAGAGACTTTTTTACAAAAGGCATGTTAAACCATTGTTTACAATATGATGATACTTACAGCCATATGTTTTGGTTGTTGAAGAATATCTACCATCCACTTTTATTGTTCTCATGATTTGAAATCTAAGAGCCATTTCGCAATATTAAGTACTCACGTACAGTAAGGAATCTACAGTGAATTAATGTGACAAAGTTGATGTTTAAGAATTGATTCCCCTATAATCAGAGATTCAGGGGCTTATAAATTTTGGTCTGACTGTTTGTCTGCATAACTTTATCCTTGGCTCTTATTTATGAACAATTGATGCTAGGGCTTTCACGATTAATTCTTGTGACAAGACCTTTTCTGACCTTATGACCTTGACCTTGGAGTTTGACCTACTTTTGTCCATTTTTTAAAAACTATATGCTGTTTTGGCCAACTTTAGAGGTTAATTTTAAAGTTGTAAATAATAAATTTTAAGTTCAAAATACAAATTTGAAAAATCTAGAAATATATTCGGTAAGAAACAACTTATAATTATTGATTTTATTTTATTGTGACTTTCTCTGGGAAATTGCTCTCCCCTATTGGTCAATTCCTTTGAAATTGTGAATACATCCTTTGTACTATTGGGTTGTCGTTGATGTATTTCAAGTGTAATGCAGTTATATGCTATTTCCTAAGATATCAATTAAATGACTAGTTGTTGTATTCTATTTAAGATTTCTCTCTGGACAATTGGTTTGCATCCAATGGGTATCCACTGCTTGCTGTTCTACCTTCATATGCTGCCTCTCAACTGCTGCATGATCTGGACATCATTCAATACCTGGAAGAATCTAGTTGTATCAGGAAAGCTATTCCCTTCTACCCTAACAAATTCGGATGGAATAATGGCATGAATTTGTTTTTCTTTTCTCTGTTGGAGAGAAATATTTGAAAGTTTTAAACAGGGATTTTGGAATATTTTCATGTAAAAATTCAGTTCTTTCTGTTTTAAAGATCTGTAGTTTTGCAGGTTGTGACCAGTACGTGTCTCTGGGTGGAATCCCTGCTGGAACCACATGTCACCTTTATGATTTCTGTACTGGAGTCAGATGCTGCTCAGATATCCCCCTGCTGGGTAGATCTATCAACACCTGGTTAATAGTGAACCACTGTAACTACAAACTAAGCGTGGGCTTTGAAAAATTCTCTCTTAATATCAGTCTTCAAGACTATGAGATGGGAAGCAAACAGAGCCTTAATATCAATGGAGTTGTTAGAATACAGTAAGTCGAAATTTCTTGGTTAACGAAGAGTAAGTAAAAGTTCACCCATAGATCTCTGTCTGCCTGTACATATCTGGCAAAATCTGCAATTACTGTACTGAAGAAGTCTTCAAGTCTTACATGTATATTACTGTTAGTTATAAAAGTTTATTATTTATGTCAAGTACCAAAATAAAAGCTATATAATGCTTGATTGAGTATTGTAGCTCTATTTTACAGCATCATTGTAAATTAAATAAAGATTTCCAACTTCAGAGATACATTGTATTCTTTTCTTAATTCAACATTTAAATGCTTTACTCTTAAGAGTTGATGAACCAGTCACAAAAGTAGAAAAAATTTCACAATTCAAATAATTTATCCTATTTATTTTGCTTTGCTTGGAAAGAGTAGGTTAACGAATGTCAACTATAAAGTGTATAAAGATGGAAACAGTTTTTGCAATTAAAATAAAATGTTTTTTATCCTGCAAGTTTACTACACAAAGAGGGGAAAAAGATTTAATGTATAAAGTCTGAAGTTCTTTTCTCAAATATGTAATACTATGTGTTTCAAAAATTCTTCATTATACCATTCAAAAAAACCATTCATCAAGAACAAGCTTTGAAAGAGATGGTTGATTATACATGTATGTGCAAGAGTTGTGAGTAACAATGAATGTACATTTTCCATTTTTTTTACCCTCAATCATTAGCTCACCTGGGCTGAAAGCTCAAGTTAGTTTTTCTGATCACATTTTATCTGCTTATAGCTGTCTATCTGTCTGTAACCTTCATTACACTGTGTAGATTTAATTTTTTTTCAAATCATGACCCCTGGATGTAGGATGGGGCCACAATGGGGGATCAAAAGTTTTACATAGGTAAAATCTTATCAAATTGAGCAGAGCCATGATTAATCATATTCATATGGAAGCGTTCTCAGGTAGTGTGGATTCAAGTTTGTTCAAACCATGACCCCCGGGGGACCAGAAAGGGCAAGCAAATTTTTACCACATAGGAGTGCATACCAAATTCTTCTCAGGAACAGCAAGTCCGTGACTAGTCATATTTATATGTAAACATCCTCTGGAAGTGTCGATTCAGGTTTGTTTAAATCATGACCACTGCCCCTGCCCCTGGGGGGACTTATATATTAAAACTTTCAATGCTCGAACTGCTTTCTACTTTTTTCTAGCCAAAGTGCTGTGGCCCATGGATCTCTTGTTGTTATTTCTTGACAGGTACAGTATTGAAGACTTGTCGACAGAAGGAAGATACCTTGTGAATTTGAATCTACAAATCTGCTTTGATGCAAAAAAAGCATGCATGGTTGATGTACCTGTTTTCAAAGACATAAAACTTCCAAAGAAACCTTGTGAATGGATGACAGACTTCATTGATGAGGGTACTCTATGTTTATAGTTTATAGTTCATAAGCAAGGAAAACAATAGTAGGCTTTATTATCTGTATACTGTAAATTTTCTCGCAAAATATGATCGACAACAGTTTTGGACTGAATTCAGTAGGACTTTGTTCACATGCAGATTTCACTAAGATACATGATTCTACATGTATTTATCAGTTTATGATTTGATTGAATGGGACTGCCATGGTTATTGAATACAGAATAATTTATTCAGTCCTTCAAAACATGCTTCTTACAGTTTCAGTCTAATTTCAACATGTCCAGTATAAAACTGTTCATAAGTGGACTATATTAAGATACATATAATTCTGTTATTGATTCAGTTTGAATGAAGGGTATTGTTATGGTATGAAAATCAGGTTAATCTTTTAAATGTTTCCATAATAGTAATTCACTTACAGTTTTAAAATTTGGTATCCATTAAGAATGCTTTTTTACTTGCTAATTTTTACTTATTTGAACAGTTGTAATATTACCTTTGGTATAGGAAATCTGTTTATTATACCCCCGCTCCAAAGGAGAGGGGGATATACTCTTTTACCGTTGTGTGTCTGTCTGTCCATCTGTGTGTCTGACCAAAACAAATTTTGGTTGCAGTTTTCTCAGCAATTACTCATCGCTGATGATTGAAATTTTAGCACACTCCTTGTTTAGGTGGGATATGATGGGTTATGTGGTGGAATCCATATAATGGCTTCATTTTTGTGCAAATCCGATATCAATCCGTGCGTCTGTTCGTACCATACATAACAAATTTTGGTCGCTGTTTTCTCAGCTATTACAAATCGAAGATGCTTGAAATATAAGCACACTCATTGTTAAGACATGCCATATGGTGGGAGTCATTTTTGTACAAATCTGATGTCAACTTCCTGTTTTCCGTGTGTTACTCCATGCAGATGCTTGAAATATTAGCACACTTTTTCTTTAGGCACGCCATATGGTGAGAGTCATTTTTGTACGAATCTGATGTCAACTTTATTTATCGGTGCGTCCCTCCGTACCATACATAACAATTTTTGGATGCAGTTTTCTCAGCAACTACTTATTGCACAAATGCTTGAAACTGTACGAATCCGATGTCAACTTCCTGTTTATTCCTGTGTCTGTCCATAAATGAACTTGTGTATTCACATCAGAGGGGAGGGGGGGGGGTATTATTATATTATTATTGGACATTGGCTCACAGACTTCTTGTTTCTTTCAAAATTCTACTTAAGTCCATTTAATGGTGGAAGGGGTGGTGATTTAAATCAAGCTGCTACATTTTAAGTCTCAAAAACATTAAGATGCATATTTCTGTAAAATTCAAGGAGAGATAACACAGGTAGTTCTTTTTTTTGTTGAACTTTTATAAAATCAGTGGAGCAATATGCCATCAGAGATTTCTAATGTGTCATTAGATCTTGGATTACTTGGTTTATCAAGAATTCAATATGACTGTTTTATTTCATATGAGTTTTAAAGTGCCTCAAAAATGATATGTAATTTATAAATGTATTGAAAAAAATACTGATGTTAATACATATATACTTGTAGCTTTTTCTTTTGATGCTTGGAAACAAATGAGGGGAATCAGCACTTTTGGTCTCTCTGACAATTTCCGAACAGAACTCTTGCAAGATCTTGGTCTGTCTAATTTTGTACGTGAAGATGGTAAAAAATGTAGCAAGACAAATGAACCATATCATGCAGGAGCTGTTGATGACTGGATAAATGGTATGCTAAATAATTTGTTCCAAAACTGCCTGCCCAAAAATTGCTATTTTAGTTAATTGCTATTTTAATGTGAAATAATCTTTATAGCTCTACTAATCTTTCTTTTTGGTAATTTAGAATTAAAAAATTAAAAAAATCTTTAGTGGATAACTTCCGAAGTGATTTCAAGGAATTATAGTTATGTATAATGAAATTAGGTAGCCTCGATTCTACATATTAGCTATTGATAACATTAACGAAAGAAATATATTTAGATTAACATCTTTTTTTAGAGTGTAATGGGACACTGCTAGCTCCCCTCCCATCTCTTGCTGGTGAAAATATCATATGTTACATCCCCAGCTCATGTGCAGCTGTACAGTGCTGTATCAATGTTCCCATCATAAGCACCACATTTCATGCAAGACTGGAAGTAGATCCTTGTAATTTTTTAATGACCGTTGAAATAGAACAACTGAAATTCACCAAGAACCTATTTGGCCATGAGTGGGGACAAGAGGAACAAGTATGGCTCTTTGGTGTGGTCAGAATGATGTAAGTAAACATTTACAAGCAAGCAAAATGGTTGACTGAGGTTCACTTTATATGTGTCTTTAATGTTGACTGCTTGCATGTAGATATTTCTCATAGCATACCAGTTTTCATTTTTAGCTCTACTGGTCAGAGACCAGAAGAGCTTATGCGATAGTAAGGTGTCCGTCTGTTTATCCGTTTGGCTGTTTGTCTGTTCAATTATTCAAAATACTATTCCTCCTACAGATTTGGTCTGATTTCAAAACAACTTGGCACATAAGTAGAATGTGCTAAGATACATAATTTTTATATCGGTTTTTGATTTCAATAAACGGAGTTGCCATGGTTACTAAAAAAGAAATTTCTGTGAAATTCTTTCAAAATGGCACTCCTCCTATAGATCTATAGACTACACAATATACATAATTCTATACATTGGTTTTTGATTTTGATGAAGGGTGTCACCATGGTTACTAAAAATGGACATTTCTGTGATAAAACGCTACTCCTCCTACAGTGTCACTCCGATTTCAAGTAGACTTTATGAAGATACACAATTCTGTGGGTTTTTTTTTTTTTTTTTTTTTGTTTTGTTTTGTTTTTGTTTTGTTTTGTTTTTTTTTGTTTTTTTGTTTTTTTGTTTTTTTGTTTTTTTTGTTTTTTTTTTTTTTGTTTTTTTTGTTTTTTTTTTTTTTTTTTTGTTTGTTTTTTTATTTTCTGTAGTGTTTCCACTGTTACTAAAAATAGAAATTTGTGTATAATTCTTTCAAAATGCCACTCCTTCTACATTTTCAGTCCGATTTCTGGACAACTTGATACAGAAGTTGACTACACTAAGAAACATAATTCTGTAGGCTATATCGGTTTTTCATTTTGTTGAAGTATTGCCATGATTACTAAAAGTATAATTCTCTGTGAAATTCTTCCAAAATGTTACTTCTCCTACAATTTTTGTCCAATTGCAAATATTTACATTTGCAAATATATTTAGATGAACCTAATGAGGAGAAAAAAAATGTTAAATTCTGTATGAATTTATTACGGAGTCAGAGGTCATAGCTTGACCAAATCACACCACGAAATGATTTTGCCTAAATCTTTTTGTCAAAGTGAAACTGGTTTCAGATTTTCTAACTTAATAGCAATGGAAAAGATAAAATAATTAAAACATATGGATATTTTTTTTCAATATACAGATGTCCATTAGATCCTTCGGTGTGAAGAATGTTTTGAAGTAATTAGTGCTAAACTGGTTCCTTCACAATTATCCCCTCTTTTTCGGTTTTTGAAGACACGTTTTCAAGTTTATGTCAACAAAGCTGATATGATACGACAAAACATATTGAGTAATGCATTTAAAAGCACAACTCGTAGTACTGGTAGCATTTCACCTTGTGTAGGGAAGGGATGGATGTATGCCTGTATGACACACACTTGAAGAAATGCCTACTTCTTTCAGAAACTATATTAATCCTGGATGACTGTAAACGTATTGAAGGGTTGAAAGTTTGACGATTTCTATATTTTAGAAATATGGCGAGTGAAAACTTTGTCGATCTAATAGTATTTAGCAGTGCTCTTTGACAAAAAATTGAAAATTGACGAGTGCAAACTTTGACGATATTTAGCCATTCGTCAATTTCGTCAAAGTTTCCATGTCGTTAAAGTTTCCAATTTTATCAACTGCATGGTCATTTGCCAGTAAAGAATGATGTGTTTAAGAATGGGTTTACAATAGTTTAAAGTAAAGAAAACTTTGATTGCTTCAGATAGACGAATCTTGTTTATTATAAACAATTAGTAATTAAATATAACGGTATCTTATAATCATTTTTTTCAGATTCAGCGTGTTTGATTTATATACTGAAGGATACTTTTTAGTAAATCTGAGATTTGAAGTTTGTTTGGAAGCCACAAAAGTACCAGTTTGTGAAGTTGCTATTCAGCCTTTAAAAGACTACTATCTACCAAAAAAAGATTGTCATTGGAATGCACCTTTTACCATTAAAGGTTAAATCTATCTTTTTTTTTAAAACTGTCTTCATAAAACCTTTTTCTTTAAATTTGATATGGGGACCTAGTACTTTACATATTCAAATCTTGTTGGAGACTGAATATATGATTGCATATTAAATTTGGTTTATCTATTCGGTATTAATTTTAAACATTTGTATTTTTAGGATTTTCACTGACTGCGTGGCAGCTAGCGGAAGGTTTTGCCAACACAGTGCCCATAGATAGTAGTGTGGTTGATAGTCTTCTCTCTTATTTGAATGTAGCAGCACTTATGTACTATCCATCCTGTTCAAGGACAGACGACGAGTATTCTAGTGCTGGCACAAACTTCCAAACATGTAAGATTTAGCATTATTATGTGTTGTATTAATGATATCTTTATCCATGAAATTGAAATCAGCTCTAATAATTTCGTCATGTGACACTGATTGAGGAATTATTTATTGAATAAAGTTTAAAAAAAAAAAAAAAAAGAATCAACAGTAATGCATGTCTCCATATAACACACCTGCCTAGAATTAACAATTGGTGTCAATAGAGAGGGTTCATTATTTTTAGGGTCAAAAATCGCCGGAACATAATTTATTATTGAACAGAGTATAAATTTTGTTAACACTCAATCTTTCTGACTATTTTCCCCTCAGACTGCCCTGTTTCAGTGCCGACATATGTCTCATCCATTGCTGATCAAGCTCTGTGCAGTGTTACCTCATCTTGTACCAACATAAAATGCTGTGTCAATGTCCCACTGCTAAACAGGACATTTGAGGTAGCAATGGAACTGGACTACTCCTATTACTCATTGAAATTGAATGTGGAAAAAATGACAAGGAGACAGTCTCTTATTGGGTACACATTTGGAAGAGAAGAGACACTGAGTATACATGGAGTCTTTAAACTGACGTATGTTAAACGTTGAATACACGTAGTCTAATAAAGAATATCGTAACACCTTTGAAAATATTTTCTTGCATTTAGAGTTGTTGATTTTATATTTTAGATATAAGATAATTGATTTGGTGGATGGAAATCTTTTGGATATAAGTTTAAGGGCAGAAGCTTGCTTTAATGATGGTGGAACATGTGCTGTCAGTATTCCTATCTTAACTAATGCTCTGATACCAAAGCTGAACAGGAAGTGGTCATCCCCATATACTGTCAAAGGTGGGTTAAATTGAGGAAAATCTGGTTTTCAAACAATTGTATCACTTAAAATTTAAGCCAATTCACATTCATTTTACTTACAGGTATTCCATTTGATCTGTTTGGCCACAGCTTTAATATTTGCCTAGGTGTATTAGTTTGACTGTAACACCATATTTAATCAAGATTTCAATTTTGGTCAGAGTCAAAATGAAAAGTCAGTAATTTTAAAATGCTGGTTACGTAATATATGTTTCACATACACAAGTTTTATTTTTACTGATGTAATATTGATATGTGTTCTAGAGATGTTGATGAGTTTGAAAATTACTTTTGCCAGCCATGTGTATGTATTTGTCATGATTGTTGTTGTTGTCCTTCCATCTGTGATGATTAGTCATACTAATTAATATAAAACAAGCATCCTCAGGTTGTGTAGATTCAAGTTTCTTCAAATCATGACCTTTGCAAGTAAGCTTGGGATGCAATAGGTGATCACAGTTTTACAGAGGAATATATTATTATCATCTATAAATGGTCTTCTCAAGAACAGCAAAGCCAAATCATATTTATATGCTACTGGAAGCATGAGTATTTATTTTGCAAATTATTGCATAAAAATTTCAATAAAATATCTCTATAAATAACATTTTTCTCTCAGGTTAACGAATCTTACACAATAGCTGTCGGCGCAACATTGACGACGTCAAAACGTAGTTCGTGGCGTTTGTGAATTTATTATGGAATCGTGCGTCTGATGAAATTCGTTTGAGGCATAAATTCGACACTGTATTTGATTTTCTTTTAGTTACCAAATTATCCATCTTAGATTTTAATTAGCGTTTTTTTCAAAGACCGCTGAATTAATTCTTTAAATAAACTTTAACAATTCCCCAATCTCAGTCATTAGTTTACCTAACTGCTCGCATAGTTAAACGGCCGTCGCAACGTATAACGTCCAGCTTCTGACTTTTCAGTTTGTTAGTCTACCAAACGATTCTTTCAGCGAATAATCAGTCAAACAATCCTCGAAAGTCTTGGACTACGTATAAATCTGTGTCCGAGGTATATGTTTGTGTCATTCCATCTTTTACGTATCTTTTTCCATATGGACAGGAGTCATATCAACAGTACTGCTTGATAATTTGGTGCTCAGCATTATCGCCCCACGTCACTATTTTTGACTTAGTAAAAGTGTTTTTGCATCTAACGTTATATTTTTGTCAATTGTGATGCTAAATTAATGAATTTTTACACACGAGTACTTAAGATCATAGAGTTCTTATGGAGGTAATCTTTTTCACATTATATATCCATATAGCCTGGTAATAAAGAAAAATTCTCTGACAATGCTATTTCTATAACTCAAAAAATTGCCGTGCGCCGAGCACCGATATTGGACACCCTTTAAAAGCTATTTTTGCATGCATATGACATAACAACATCATAATATTTTGTCGAATAGCAAAAATTTCATTTTCCAACAAGGTGCAGAAAATTATTTGTTTTGGTCGAATAGTTTTTGTTTGTTTGTTTGTTGTTTAACGTACCTATCGAGAATTTTTCACTCATATGGAGACGCCACCACTTGCCGGTGGAGAGCTGCAATTTTTTACCTATACTCGGCACTCAGGGCCATTGAGCAGTGAGGGATCTTTTTCGTGCCAACAACTACAGCGACACGGGACCTCGGTTTATACGGTCTCATCCGAAGGACCGGTCTCCACGTCCCACAGTGGGATTCAAACCAGCGACGTAAGGATCAACTCCTTCCTCCGCGACTCTAGAGCGAACGTTCTAATCACTGCGCCACGCGGGAGATGAATAGCTTTTGAAATATTCAAAAAGTTCGCGTTTTTCTGGGGCACCCTCGTATATACTTACGAACTTCGACTCTGATCGTTGGATATATAAAAATGAAGTTAGAAAATGTGAAGAAAATGGTTAATGTTCTTTCAAGTACTTCTCTGCCTTACATTAACAGAGATGCATGGAAGATGCTTGAGTTTGATTCATTGTACAAGTCAAGGTTTTAGATGCTGCAATTTCAGCTAAAAGATGACAAGGTTAATGGTTTTGGAGTAGGTTAAAGTTTTTGTAGCAGGTCTCATTTCCAAGTAACTATAAGCCCTATATTGACCATACTTGCATGGATGATACATCTAAGGTACACTACCAGACCTTCATTTCTGGAAGAGTGTCCAGGTTAATTTTTTTTGGAGCAGATTCATTCTAAAGTAATTATAAGCCTTATGCGCTGACCAAGCTTGCATGGATGATACATCTAAGGATGCAAAATTCTGGAATTGCTTCGGATGCCGGGGTCTGACCTACAGTTTCTGGTTGAGCGACTGAATTAATGTTTTTGGAACAGGTTCATTTTAAAGTAACTATTAGCCCTGCAGTATGTTGACCAAGCTTGCATGGATGATAAATCTAAGGATGTGCAATACACTGGACTTGTTCTGATGATTGATCTGACCTACATTTTCTGAATGAGTGACCAGATTTAATTTTTTGGAGTAGGTTCATTCTAAAGTAACTATTTGCCCTACCTAAACCAAATTAACATGGATAATGCATCAATGGATGCACACTATCGAAGCTGCTTCAGTTGCTGCATTTGACCTGCATTTTTCAGATGAGTGACCAGGTTAAAGTTTTTGGAGCAAGTCATTACCAATAAACTATATGGCTTATCTGAATCAAATTTGCATTGATGATGAATCACGGGATGAACACTCTTAAATTGCTTCAGATGCTGGATTTGACTCACATATATTGAATGAGTGACTTGTTAAAAGCTCTTAGATCAGTCCATTCCCAAATAACTGCAGCCATATGATCCTAAATTATATATTAAATTAACTGTCGTGAATTCTATCTTCATATTTGGCAAATATATTGTGAAAGTCCTAAAGAAAAAAATTACCCAATTTAAGCTCAACATTTACACTATTTAAGTAATATCTAAAAATAAACATCATAGATCCCCACTTTTCATTTATTACTGTCATTAGTTTCAAATGATTTCATTGCTTGTTCAATTTTTAATGCCAGAAAAATGACATTTTTTGAGTGCAGAAAGGACAAATGATTGACTATGCGAAGTAATTTGATACTTTTTCATTGTCATAATTTTTAATGTGACTATTCAAGAAAAAAAAATACAATGTTTGTTCCCATAATTTATTTGGATAAAAAATATTGAGAAAGTGAGGGTTACTTGGAGAGTTATGCATTTGAATACATGTATTTGGATTTTGGATGCAGATTTATTATTTTACCATTTTATTTGCATTTTTCACCTCTCTCTAAGTCTTAATTTATTGCAATTCCCTTCTGTTTTTCAGATTTTTCATTGAGTCATTGGAGAAATGAAAATTTACTAACTGGAACTTTAAAGCAACCTCAGATAAGTGAACTCTTGGAGATGCTGAATCTACAACCATTCATGAAAAGCCATTCAGATTCCTGCAGAAGACACAAATCTCTGTATAGCAATGCAAGTTCTGATGGATGGAATAATGGTATTAATTTGTTAATGTTTTACTGAAAAAAAATGAAATTATTTAACTTGAGAACATATGGAAGAAGATATTATAGCTGAAATATGTCCACTGATGAAATATGTCCAGCAACTTAGGACTTGGGTGGTTTTGCCATATGTGTTAAAAATCTTTGGATTGGTGCTTGAAGTCTTAAAAATTTCTATGATACATCAGAAAGGGTTAGGCCATCTTAAAAAAAATGTTTGGTTGCCCTTTCCCAACCAACCGGCTAAAAATGGTTCGACTCAAGACTTTTTTAGCCTCCAGGAAGATATTTTTTTATGCATTCTGGAAAATAGATTTTCAAAATTCAGCATTGAAATTGAAATTTTGTGAGAAAAAAAATTCTCACCTACCTACCAACATTTTTTTCTTTATTCTGAGTTGAGAGAGGGAAACAAACATTATTTGGCCTTACCGTAAAGTCGCTTATTTTTGTGGGGTAAAATTTTGAATTGTTTCCTAGTTACACAAATGGAATTCTACATTTCATGGTAGATTTGAATTAAAGGGGTCTCTTCATACCCCAAAAACAACAAAATTAAATCTTTATGAACATTAGTGATTTCATAGTATATATATACACTATGTAGATTTACAGCACCATGATGAAAGCATTCCCAATTCTTTGTGTCTTAATTCTGTCAAGAAAAATGTTCTATGAATATTGTAGACTGCCCTTATGTGAACAACTTAACTTCATTGATTACTTATCCCATGACTTGTAACCTTGACAACACCTGTACCAAGGTCACCTGTTGTGTTGACTCACCTGTAATCAACTCTACATTTGAGGTTTTCATGAACATAGATCCTTGTAAAAGAATGCTGTTCCTCAGGATTGAAAACTTGAAGGCTCAAATTCCTTTTAAAGATGTTAACTGGGGTAAATACATGGATAAGAAAAAAATTTTATCGTATAATTGCAGTTTTTAATTAGTCAAAAAAATAAAATAATTCATGAAGAGATTTTTTATGTCACTAGAGTTATTCAGTTGACATATTCTTTTATTTTTAGGATCAAAGAACCATTTCTACCTCTTTAAAGTGATTCGTGTGGAGTAAGTTAAAAATTGAAGTTAAGAAATTAAGATATTCAACAATTATATAAATCTCGTTTAACATCTGATTCAAATGTATGCTGATGTTTTCTTATGTTTCTCTTTACAGTTATATTATATATGACTTATACACTCAGAATATGTTTCTGGTTGACTTTCAACTCTCCATCTGTTGGGAAACTTACAAGGATTGTGCTTTTACTGCTGCAATATTCAAAAACACTTTCTTACATAAAAAACACTGCGTTGGGAAACTTAACATTGAAATTCCATGTAGGTGCTTGACCTATGTAGTATGAAAAACATTCTCATGCTTACACTTTTAAATTGTTTTTTTTTTTTTTGTTTTGTTTTTTTAGAATTTTTGTATGAAAATTAAATCAAGTCTGCAGTCTATTTTAGGGTCACCTGAGTCACTTAGGTGGCCTTTTGCTATCCGTTTTGTCTGACGTCGTGCGTTAACTTTTGAACATTTTCAACTTCTTCTCTAGAGCCGCTTAACCAATTTTAACCAATTTTGGCATGTAGCATCTATAACTAAAGGGGAACAAAAATTGTGAATTTCATCATCCCTGCCCCCCTGGGGCCTGAGGGGTGGAGCTAAAACCACCAAATTTGATGAAATCTTTAAAAATCTTCTTCTTTACTCCTGGACACCAAGCAGTCAAACTGTTGACATAATAAGCATTGTGCCGTCTACCAAAATTCTGAAATTCATGGCCCCAGGGTCAGGAGTTCTGGTGCTAGGGCGGGGCTATATAGTTCATATAGTGAAAATGCATTAATTCTTTGAAAATCTTTTCTTCTCCTGAGTAATATTTATACAAACTAAGTGCATGGTTATGATTAGCAATGATGTCTTTTCCAAAACTGTGAATTTCATGGCTCCTGGGTAAGGGGCTCTGGTATTAGGGCGGGGCTCTAATGATTATACATGTATAATGAAAATGCATTAATTCTTTGAAAATTTTCTTCTCTCTTCCTGGGTATTATTCATACAAACTAAGTGCATGGTTATGATGCACAAGGATGCCTTTTCCAAATTCTTAATTTCATGGCCACTGGGTCAGGGGTTCTGGTGTTAGGGCGGGGCTATGTTGATTACAATGTACATAGTGCAAATGCATTAATTCTTTGAAAATCTCCCTCTCTGCTCCTGGGTATTATTTGAACAAACTAAGTGCATGGTTATGATAAGCAATGATGCCTTTTCAAAAATTGTGAAATTCATGGCCCGAAGGTTGGGGAGGAAGGGTCTGTATTGATAATGTAGTGAAAAAGCATAATTTCTTTGAAAATATTCTTTTCTGCTCCTGGTTATAAAGCAAAGAAACTAAGTGTATAATTATGATGAACAAGAGTACTTCTTCCAGGATTGTGAGTTCCATGGCCCCTTGGTCAGATGTTCTGGTGTAAGAGTGATGATATAGTGAAAATGCGCAAGCATTAATTCTGATAAATAATCCTGTCTGATCCTTAGTGTTGAGCAGAAAAACAAAGTGCATAGTTATGATGAACAATTGTGCTTCTTACACAATTTTTAAACTTTTGGTCCCCAGGTTTTGTGTTTCTCGGGGCTTTGGGGCGCCATATTGATTATAAAGTGAAAATGTGTTAATTCTTTGAAAAATTCAACTAAGTGCATAGTTATAATGATGAGGGTACCTCTACCAAATCTGTTTTATGACCTTGAGACATGGGTTTTAGTGTTAGGGTAAGGTTGTGTTGAATCTGTAGTGAAAATGCATTATTTCTTGAAAACCTTCTCTGCTCCTTGGCATATTGATTGATTAATTGTATGTTGTTCTATTCGAGATTTTTTCACTCATATAGAGACGTCACCATATACCGGTGAAGGGCTTCAAATTTTGACCTTTACTCGGCACTCAGGGCCATTGAGCAGTGAGGGATCTTTATCGTGCCAACGCCTGCCGTGACACGGGGCCTCGGTTTTTAAGGTCTCATCCGAAGGACCCGCAGCTTTCACTTCAAAGTGCCGAGCGCATGGCGAAGGAATAGTTGCTACCTATTTTTAACCGACTTAAGTCAGTCGCGGCCGAGATTCGAACTCACGACCTACCGAACACGGAGCGAGCTTGGCATATCGAAGGCAAACAGAGTTAAAGTTATAATAAGCAAGGATATTTTTACCAGATTTTTTAACATCAGGACCATTTGGTCTCGTGTTCTTTTCCTGGCCAGGGCTATTAATTCATTTTCTACTGAGAGTAGTTATTTCCTTTTGCCATTCACTTTTGTAAATTAATCACTGTAAATAATGTATTTGAAAGTTAATAGAATAAGAGAATTATGCAAAATAATTTATTGTATAATACAAATTACTTTCATATTTTTAATGATCAGGTAGACTTGTAAATAAAAAATAAATAAAAATGAGACAAAAATAACTTATCTCATTAAATGTTCTTCGAAGACTAAGAGATGCCAATGTGATAAGTCACAGTATGGGGTTAAAAGTAGTACAGAAGAACTAAAGAACTAATAGTTTGTTAATAGTCAGCATGGTGATAGTGATAAATGGGGGATAGATTAGAATTTAATTTGTTACTGAAAACTAGACTACTAGACTTGATCCTGATCATCCTATTCCTCTTGCTTTTAGGCAACAAAGCTTCATTTAACAGTTTATTTTATAATCTGTGGATACTCTTAATTGTTGTTTTATACTCAGCTGACCTTTAAGGCCCTTGGGCCTCTTGTTACAACATATATTTGTATTTTAAAGCCTTTTCTCTGACATCTTATGGTGTAACTCATGGACTGGACTTGGATGCTCTCTCGGAGGCTGAATTGGCATATCTCTATAATAACCTTGGTATATCCAGTTACCTGTCAACTGTCATGTGTAACAGGACAAGTGAATTATACCAACCTGCAAAAGATGGTTGGAAACATGGTGAGGACACACATGCCCTAACACCAGCTACATACTTTTTTTCTGATGATTATAGCTCTTCAGATCAGTTTTGATATTTTTTCTTCGGTGGTTGTGATTCTTAGCTGTTTAGCTGTAATGATGAAGGTGCAATACAAGTTTCTTTTGTATTTTGAAGTGTTTCTGCTGAATTGTAGGATCTTATACAGGGTATTTAATAATTCCAGAATGCCCAGCAGCTGCAATCCTTGCTCAACTGCCTAATGAAGTGAATTGTCTCATGACTTCGAGCTGCACCGGCATTAGCTGCTGTATGGAAGTGACTAAGTTGATGTCCCGTCCTGTGACCTTTCACCTTTCTGTGGACAGTTGCAGTTGGATGATTGGTTATGGAATTGACAGCTTTATTGTAAATCCTTTTGTCATGTATGATTTTAAATTTGATGTTTGGCATGAGTTCTGGATGAAAGGAATATTTCGTATGAGGTAAGATTTTTTTTTTTTTGGAAAATTAAAATATGATGCGCACTAATCTTACTCTATATTTTATATAATTGTATCATTCATAAAAGCAAATTCTAGCATTTCTTGGAACATTGTAATTAGAGTCTTTCATATTAATTATAACTGGAATATAGTATATCAAACTTAGATACCATATCTCATATACCACAGATATGCTGGAAATGAGGTGGAGGTCCCAGACACCTTTTCTATGTGTATTTTAGCCTCATTATCTTAAATCCTTGAATATTTTGGAAGTTTTGTTCTGTTTCATCTTGTTTATTGAGATAAAGAGATTTGACAGCACTGTTTATATTATTATTTCACAGATTCTTGGTCACCAATTTACAAGGAATAAATCAGTTCAGAATAAGTCTATCCATTATGGCTTGTTTTGAGAGTGGGGCTGCATGTGATCAAGAGGTTATCATACTCAACAATACAATTTTGCCCAAAGGATACTGTGAAAAAGCTCTTGGGGCATATGTTAAAGGTTATATTTTAGAAATATAGATTATTCTCAAGCATTAAAAATAATATTGCATTATCATTAAAGGACTCGTATGTGTCTCTAATTTAAAAAAGAAAAAACATAAAAGCTTATGCCTTTTCTTTCATTAAACAATGAAGTTGTATGTATTGTATCTATTTTAAAGAAATAAATATGATTTTTTTTTCCCATTATTATAGCTAGTGTCAGTACCTTTGAAGTTTCTTTAAGATAATAGTAACTATGGTGATGTTGGGTACCAACAAATTTGATCTCTTGACCTTGACAGAGTTTTAGAGTTTTACCTACTTTAGTAAATTTTACTTAACTTTAGCCTTGCATGGCTATAACTCTTCAATGGTTGGTGTTAGCGCGTTTATATTTTACATATGTATTTGATGTATCTCATGTTACAGGACCTTTCTTTGGGTACCAACATTTTTATCTTTATGACTTTGGAGTTTGGCCTACGTTTGAAGAACTCTAGCCTTACTTACAACTTGCTTTTATAACTTTTGAACATATGGTGCCAGGACTTTTGTATTTCGATTCAATTATCATTTATTGTGACAGGATTTTTCCTTGGGATACCAATATTCTTTACCTCTTGACCTTATTCTTGGAGTATGACCTACTTCTGAAATCCTTTTACCTTGGCCATAATACCTGAATAGTACCAATATTTCACTTGTATATTCCTTGTGACAGTAAATTGATTTTTTTTTTTGAGTACCAAACATTTTTTTGTCTTTATGACCTTTGAGTTTGACCTACATTTGAAAATTTAAACTATGCATGGCCCTTACCTGCCATGCAGAGGCATCAGTGTTTCACAAACACATCATGTAAAAACTGGCACTCAAAAAAAATTATGATGGCATTATTTAGCGAATAATTACCGGTATGATTTGTTATGAAGTTTTAGTTCATAGCAGTAACTTTCAATAATATATTAACCATCTAGGTATGTTACTGCTGTATACTAAGGAAATTTACTGAATTATTTTTGCATGTGCTAATTTGTCTCAAATACCTTATGCATGTTTGCAGATTTTTAAAGAAACAATTTTTCGTTGCAGATTTTTCATTTGGACAATGGAAAGCAGACAAGAAGGTAACAACAATGGATGATTACAGTATAGCTATCCTAGAGGAGGAACTACAACTTTTTGGTTATTTGTACGACAGAACACAAGCCTGTGATAAATCTACCAAATTTTCGTCTTCATCAGGATGGTCTAATGGTAATTATTACAAATGCAGCAAAAACAGGGTCACTGTGACAATAAACATGCTTATAATGAATATTTACTTACAGCAAAGTGATTTCCACACCCTGTACTTTTGAGACATATATTATTTACTTGTCACAAATAATGAATTTCTATGTTCATAGCAAATCAAAATTGTTTCTTCCTGACACTTTGCTATATTAAGAGTCTTTAAATTGAGTATGAACATGTTAAATAAAAATTAATTGTTTTTATTTTTAAAAAAATACATTTTCAGATTGCCCAACAACTTTGATGTCAACTCTTCCGTACATTAATGGTCCATTTTCATGTAATCTTGGACCGTCCTGTTCTGATATCACCTGCTGTGTGAATGCCGAGCCAATCTCGAGACACCTAAGAGTCACACTAAATTTAGAGTTCTGTCTGGACAAAATTACAGTTGCTTTTGAAAAATTTGTGCTAGAAATGAAAGTCAGCAAATTGGTCTCCTCAGGTAAATGAAGTCTTTACTGCCAGTATGGTTTTTTTAGGTCACCTGAGTCACTCAGGTGACCTATTGCTATCCGTTTTTGTCCGTCGGCGTTCGTCGTTCGTCGTGCGTCGTGCGTTAACATTTGAACATTTTTAGCTTCTTCTCTGAAACCACTCAACCAATTTCAACCAATTTTGGCATATAGCACCTATGGGTGAAGGGAAACAAAAATTGTGAATTTCATGGTCCCTGCCCCCCTGGGGCCTGAGGGGTGGGGCTAAAACCACCAAAATTAATGCAATCTTTAAAAATCTTCTTCTTTACTCCTGGACATCAAGCAGTCAAACTGCTGGCATGATTGTAATAAGCAATGAGCCCTCTACCAAAATTGTGAAATTCATGGCCCCAGGGTCAGGGGTTGTGGTGCTAGGGTGGGGCTATATACATCATATAGTGAAAGTGCATTATTTCTTTGAAAATCTTCTTCTCTGCTCCTGGGTATTAAATAAACTAACTAAGTACATAGTTATGTTGAGCAAGACTGCCTCTTACAAAATTGTGAATTTCATGGCCCCTGGGTCAGGGGTTCTGGTGTTGAGGGGGGGGGGGGGGGGGCTCTATTGATCATATAGTTAAAATGCATTAAATCTTTGAAAATCTTTTTCTCTGCTCCTGGGTATGAAATATACTAACTGAGTACATAGTTATGATGAGCATGGCTGCCTCTTCCAAAATTGTGAATTTCATGGCCCCTGGGTCAGGGGTTTGGGTGTTAGGGCGGGGCTCTATTTGATATATAGTGAAAATGCATTATTTCTTTGAAAATCTTCTTCTCTGCTCCTGGGTATTAAATAAACTAACTAAGTACATAGTTATGATGAGCATAGCAGCCTCTTCCATAATTGTGAATTTCATGGTCCCTGGGTCAGGGGTTCTGGTGTTAGGGGGTGGGGGGCTCTATTGATTATATAGTGAAAATGCATTAAATCTTTGAAAATCTTCTTCTCTGCTCCTGGGTATGAAATATACTAACTGAGTACATAGTTATGATGAGCATAGCTGTGTCTTCCAAAATTGTGAATTTCATGGCCCCTGGGTTGGGGGTTCTGGTGTTAGGAGGGGGGCTATTGATTATATAGTGAAAATGCATTAAATCTTTGAAAATCTTCTTCTCTGCTCCTGGGTATGAAATAAACTAACTAAGTATGTAGTTATGATGAGCATAGCAGCCTGTTCCAAAATTGTGAATTTCATGGCCCCTGGGTCAGGGGTTTGGGTGTTAGGGCGGGGCTCTATTTGATTATATAGTGAAAATGCATTATTTCTTTGAAAATCTTCTTCTCTGCTCCTGGGTATGAAATAAACTAACTAAGTATGTAGTTATAATGAGCATGGCTGCCTCTTCCAAAATTGTGAATTTCATGGCCCCTGGGTCAGGGGTTTGGGTGTTAGGGCGGGGCTCTATTTGATTATATAGTGAAAATGCATTATTTCTTTGAAAATCTTCTTCTCTGCTCCTGGGTATTAAATAAACTAACTAAGTACATAGTTATGATGAGCATAGCAGCCTGTTCCAAAATTGTGAATTTCATGGCCCCTGGGTCAGGGGTTCTGGTGTTGAGGGGGGGGGGGGTCTATTGATTATATAGTGAAAATGCATTAAATCTTTGAAAATCTTCTTCTCTGCTCCTGGGTATGAAATATACTAACTGAGTACATAGTTATGATGAGCATGGCTGCCTCTTCCAAAATTGTAAATTTCATGGCCCCTGGATCAGGGGTTCTGATGAAGGGGTGGGGGGGGGGAGACTCTGTTGATTATATATTGAAAATTCATAGTTTCTTTCAAAATATTTTTTTCTACTCCTGGTTATAAAGCAAAGAAACAAGTGTATACTTATGATGAGCAAGGATGCTTTTACAAAATGTTTGAAACTTGTGGTCCCAGGGGTTCTGTTGTTTCTCAAGGGGGGGGGGGGGGGGGCTCTTTTAGTGAAAATGTGTGAATTCTTTGAAAATCTTCAACTAATTGCATAGTTATGATGATGAGGGTACCTCTTCCAAATTCGTAAATTTTCATGACCCTAGGTCATGGGTTTTGGTGTTAGGGTAGGGTTGTGTTAAATAGTGAAAATGCATTATTTCTTTGAAAATCTCCTCTGCTCCTGGGCATATTAGAAGCAAACAGAGTAAAAGTTTTAATAAGCAAGGTATTTTTACCAGAATTTTGAACATATGGACCATTTAGTCAAGTGTTCTGGTCCTTGCCAGGGCTCTATTAATTTGTATTCTACTGAGTGAAGTTATTCACCTTTGCCATTCACCTTTGATAATTAATCACTGTAGATAATGTATTTGAAAGATTAATAGAATAAGAAAATTATGCAAGAACATTTATTGTATAATGCAAAAACTACTTTCATAGTTTTAATAATCAGGTAGACTTGGAAATAATAGATGAATAAAAATGAAACAAAAATAACTTATCTTTTTAAATGTTCTTCAAAGGCCAAGTGAGGCCAATGTGAGAGGTAATAATAGAGACATCTGTTATGATCTTAATCGTACTATTTTCCTTGCTATTGGGCAACAAAGCTTCGTTTATCAGTTTATGGATCCTCTAAATTGTTGTACTCAGGTGACCGTTAAGGCCCTTGGGTTTCTTGTTTAATATGCAAATCGTTAAACATTTTTTGCGCTTTTTTAATGAGGAAAAGAAACATGAACTTTATCTAATTTCAAAGTCAGAAAGTCTAAGCTGAATAAGAACTCTGACTCGATCTTTAATATATGATTTTTTTTACCTGTATGGTTTTTAGTACAGAAATTCTATGTAGCCAACAGGTTTCAAGGTTAAAAAAAATTCAATGTCAAAAACAGTTATAATCACTAATTTATAAAGACATTTTTTTTAAAAAAAAAAAAAAAGGTACCAGGTAGACTCTCGATCTCATACTAATCATTCATACCCCCCTGAAAACAAAGGGGAGGGGGGCAAATGAGGAATCACTTTTTCCCTCTGTCTTTGCAATCTTGTCTTACAGAACAGAGCTAGCAATCATGAGATTACTAAATCACAAAATATGAATTTAATTATTACCTTTCTTTGTTAACATTGATTGACAATTGTTTGGACTGTTGTTTGTGCCTTAGTGTTCAGTTCTAAAAATAATTATGTCCAGAAGATGACTTAGCTAGGTGTCTGACCGTAATGTTTGACTACAATGTAGATGTTTTTGTGATTCAGACAATATTCCTCCTTTTTAGTTTTTAGTCAAAATATATCTCTCAAATAGCATAATGACAGATTATCCTAATGCGCATAAAAGCAGTATCATTAACTGATTAAGCTTTCATATTTATAGAAAATACTGTAAACATATTACATTTGACTGTGCATTCTATTTAGAGCCATTTGCAAAAAACAGCTTTCGTTTAATCAAGTACATTGCTAAATTCCCAAGTACATACATCCATCTAAAGCACATTCAGAAAGCGCAATCTCAAACTATGCTTAATTGTTGAAAAATCAATTTGAGTCAAATACTATACATGCCATTCAAGAAACCGTTACAACAAGTCTACTTTCTGTTTTAGGAAAAGAAGAATCTCTGAATATAAGTGGAATTTACCAGTTAAAGTAAGTTTGATCATCTAATTGTAGTACATAAAAATAAATCTATAACAAATCATTAACGTATTCATTTGAAGTTTCAATCTTAAGTATAGTTAAATAGAATAAATAAAGAAGAAAATTATTTAGGTAGGACATCATAAATTGATTGGAAATTATTGTTGTTTGACATTTACTTTTTAAAAAAATTGGTTTTTTTTTTTAAATCTAATATTTATCTATACTTTAATTTGTTAGAATAATTGTGGAAGATCTTCCAAACTCCAATATGTACATAGTCAGTTTCTCCATCTTGGCATGCTGGGAGGGAATTCATTCATGTGAGATGTACAGAATTCTCGATAAGACCAGACTTCCTAAGTCTCTAACTCAGCCATACTGTAACTGGAAGAGGGAATATGTGGACTCAGGTGTGTAAAGGATAATAGTATATAGCGCATCTCATAGCAGACGAGATACGAAACGAAGTTTAAGCAACATTTAAGATATATCAATAGCAAGAAATGTTGTATCAGTGCCTGTAGAATATTTACTTTTGACTTGCCTGCTCATGCAGTCATTTTAAGAGTATTAGGAATGGACCTATATTGAAATTCTACTTAAGGACTCGTAGAAAATAGAGATCTCAGAGTGTAGCTTGATGATTTGCAAATTTAGCATCATTCAATCAAGTTTGACTTAATTGATCACTCTTCTGAACAATGAGGGCTTCTTGCAGCTTATAAGACATAGTAAGCTGAAACCATAGTTCAGATAACTGTTTTGTGGATGGTTAAAATTATTAAACCCAAAATATTGTTAAAATCAATTAAAGCTGTTTATAAAAAAAATAACAAAACCTTTTTAAGCCTATAAAATTTAGAAGAAAAACAAAATATTTCTGAATCCTTGTTGAACATTTAAATGCAATGACTAATTATACAGCAAAAAGAATATATATATATATATGCGAGCTTTATTTTTAAATCACCCATTTTTAGGTCCATAAAGAAATCAAAATCTCAAATAAAACCTCTTTTGCACATAGGCGTGATATAACCGGTGAGATTTTGGCTACATTGAAAACATTAACTATCAAGAGAAATAATGTCAAGAAATGAGATAAATGGAAAACTACAATAACAACAGTGTTATTGATCTTTCTTGAAAATGTGGGAATATGATAAGTAGGTAAATGCATCCCGGAATATAGTGATAGTTACCTGTGCTTAGTTACAAATTTCTGTTTCCAATAGATTTTGATTTGACATCCTGGTTATCAGCTAAAGGATACCCCGATACTTCCCCATTGACTGGTGTACCATTACAGGATCTAATGGAACGTCTAAAGCTAAACAGACTCAAGGGAGAAAACTGTGACAATTCTTCAGCTCCTTACATGCCTCAGAAAATCAATGGATGGAACTATAGTATTTATATTTACCTTTTTTCCTTTTATTTTGCACTCTATATTTTTTATCTGTTGTTGGTCATTTTTAAACAGTTGAACGCATTTATTTTTTTTTCAAAAAGTTGAAACTGTATATGTCAAGGAGTTATTTCAGTAAAAGTTATCTGAAGCTGGAATGTTACTAATTTCTAGTCCTACCACCTTTAGAAAAAAAATCCTCACAACCAAAATAATTCATTTTTTTTGTCATTTCATCCCCATCCCCATTTATTATAAAACGCTTCATATCCATGGTATATCCATAGTATATGAATCTTTTACTTCTAGTAGAATAAGAAAATTTGTAAGGGTAAGAGGGTGGAGGATTAAGTAATCTGAGTCACTATATGAATTAATGTAACACATTTGTCTTCACAAAATTTCTTTTGTTTTTAGCTCACCTGAGCTGAAAGCTCAAGTGAGCTTTTCTGATCACATTTTGTCCGGCGTCCGTCTGTCCGTCTGTCTGTCCGTCTGTCCGTCTGTCTGTCTGTAAACTTTTCACATTTTCGACTTCTTCTCAAGAACCACTGGGCCAATTTCAACCAAACTTGCCACAAAGTATCTTTGGGTAAAGGGGATTCAAGTTTGTTCAAATGAAGGGCCATGCCCTCTTTCAAGGGGAGATAATTAGGAATTACTGAAAAAATAATGGCATCATTTAAAAATCTTCTTCTCAAGAACCATAGGGCCAGGAAAGATGAAACTCATGTGGAAGCATCCTCAGGTAGTGTAGATTCAAGTTTGTTCAAATCATGACCCCCGGGAGTAGGGCGGGGCCACAATGGAGGATCAAAGTTTTACATAGAAATATATAGGAAAAATCTTTAAAAATCTTCTTCTCAAGAACAGCAAAGCCATGATGAGTCATATTCATGTGGAAGCATCCTCAGGTAGTGTAGATTCAAGTTTGCTCAAATCCTGACCCCTGGGGGTAGGGCGGGGCCACAATGGAGGATCGAAGTTTTAGATAGAAATATATAGGAAAAATCTTTAAAAATCTTCTTCTCAAGAAAAGCAAAGCCATGATGAGTCATATTTATATGGAAGCATGCTCAGGTAGTGTAGATTCAAATTTGTTCAAATCCTGACCCCTGGTAGGGCGGGGCCACAATGGAGGATCAAAGTTTTAGATAGAAATATATAGGAAAAATCTTTAAAAATCTTCTTTCTCAAGAACAGCAAAGCCATGATGAGTCATATTCATGTGGAAGCATCCTCAGGTAGTGTAGATTCAAGTTTGTTCAAACCATGACCCCCGGGGTAGGGCGGGGCCGCAATGGAGGATCAAAGTTCTACATAGAAATATAAAGGAAAATATCTTCTTCTGAAGAACTGCAAACCATGATTAGTCATTTTGATATTGAAGCATCCTCAGGTAGTGTAGATTCAATTTTGTTCAAATGATGACCCGCAGGGGTAGGGTGGGGTCCAATGGGGAATGGAAAGTTTAACATAAGAACATAAAGAAGAAATATTTCTTCTCAAGAACAGAAAAGCTATATTTAGTCATATTGATATGGAAGCATCCTCAGGTAGTGTAGATTCACGTTTGTTCAAATGATGACCCCTGGGATAGGGAGGAGCCACAATGGGGGATCAAATTTTTACAAAGGAATATATGGGAATTTTTTTTAAAATCTTCTCAAGTACAACAAAGCCATTTGTTACATTGACATGGAAGCATCATCAGGTAGTTTAAAATTCAAGCCCCCCCCCCCTCCCCCGGTCTTTTCAATACTGAACTGATTTGTGCTTTTGCCTAGCCAATGTGCTCAGGTGAGCGATGTGGCCCATGGGCCTCTTGTTTCTGATGACGTATTAAATCAGAGACATAAATAACATTTTTTGTATGTCTGATAAAAAAAATTGTTACCACATTTTCAAGTCAAATTTCCTCTGGTTCCAATTAAGTAAAGTCTCTATTTAATTGTACAATTTTTGTACCATTTTTCAGTTGGTCACACACATCCAAACCCCTCACCATCATTTATAAAATTATCTACCCCCCAGGTTAAACTAAGAAAAATAAACCCCACAACCAAAGTAAAGAAAAAAATGAATTGGCATTTCCACCCCCTAAGATAATTTTTCTGGAATAGTCCTTATTAATTTTAGAATTTAGTATATAGGGTCAAGAAAACAGAATTTAACTGTACTCCTAAAAGTTAGGCAGAAAGGCTTTCCAAACATTATAATTTATCATATGAGGAGTCATGAAAAATTGTTTTGATCATCATTTTGTTGCTAAGAATCATTTGAAAAAATTTTCTAGTAATATTTTGACCTTCAAGTCTATGAACCTCTTGTAGCTTGTGCCAGTCCCCCAGATTTAATGCCTCTGCCCAGCACACTGACCTGTCACCTGCCTAGTTCCTGTACAGGACTGGACTGTTGTGTGTCCAGCACTAAGTTAGGACAGAGCTTCAGGACATACTTAGACATTGATCCATGCACATCCAGAATAACTGTGGGTATTGATAACTGGAGATTTACAGAACTTTCAAAGGAATCCATCAAGATGCTTGACAGTGGTATGTTTTAATCAGTCTCTGTTAAAAGATCCATCAGTGCTTATGAACAACAGATCCTCTTAATTAATTTTTTTGTTTCGAACAGAATTCCAAAGAAGGATTTGGATGAATGGAGTTGTAAGAATGGAGTGAGTAAATGATTACTTTTAGTAAAAAAAAAAACAACAACAACAACAACATTCGGCTATACCATAAACCTGAAAATCGTCATGTCAATTTATTTTTACAAATATGGGTCACAATGCTGTATATTGATATATATAGTACTGTAATAAATTATTTAAGGGGAAAAAAACACTTGTTATCTTGCATTTGTTTTTCTCTGACCGTGCATGTGAAATGGAAACCATTAGGGCTGAAGTCTTACCAGAAACATCTGTTTTGTTTTTAAGCATTCATTTGAAGGACTTGTGGTATACCAACAATTTTTTAGTCAATTTGAATGTAAGCATTTGTCTTGACAACCAAAGGCCATGTGAAATAGCTAATCAGACAGTCTTCAAAAACGCCTTGCTTTCAAAGACAAAATGTGATTGGATCCAAAATTTACCAAGTGGTAAGATTTGCTAGATTTTTTGTTTTTGGGCGGAGGGGGTGCATTTAATGGCTTATTTCATTTATTTGTCTATATGTTTTGTAACATAATAACTTTTTTATTGATCGTTCTGAAATAATAGATCTTGATAGTAATTCTAATTTCTATGCTTCAAGTTATCCTCTTATCATTTACTAGTGAGGAAGAAAAACCGAACATCACATAAACTGAAGCCAAGTCTGAGTATAGGTTTCTTTTTTTCATCCAGCATTAGTTACTTAACTAACTAGATCATGAATGTCAAGAATTTATATTACTGAAGTTTTTTGCAGCAAAAAATTGACATACTTAGTTTTTGAAGCAAAATTTTAATCCAGGTTGAAATATGCCAGTATGATAAAACTAATGTATTAGTGTAGGCTAAAAAAACTGCTGGAAAATGTGTAAAAGTATTAAGAATTCTTAATTACCTAACGTACACATAATAAGAAGCCAAACAAATGCCTTATCTGCTTTGGAGTTGGAAGCAGTGTCATGATGACAAATACTGAATAAAAATCAGAGAACCTCAAATGGAACAGAACACAACATTGTATGATACAAATTTGTGTGATTAATTCACATCAAAATTTTCTTACCATTCTGGAAAATATGCTGTGCACTGATTGGAGAACTTTTCATGTTTTTGTCACATGAAGCAATTTTAGAAATCTTTTTGTGCAACAGGATTTTCACTGTCATCTTGGAAGATGAACAACTCTCTTGGTCCTCATGAGGCACTCTCAGACATTATGAGGAACAGACTTGATGAGTATTTGGAAATGCCAGGCTACAGAAAACAAATAAAGTGCAGCAGAAAGAGTTCACAGTACTGGCCAACATTCAATGGATGGAAAGATGGTATGCTTTATTGGGCTGTAAAAAAGTTTGATTGCTTCAGAATTTTGACAGATTTGTGTTTTGTCAAAATTCTTGTTTAACAAATCTGCCAATTATTGTTAAAAATTAACAGACAGTTCTGGAGATAAATAAAATGCACACATATACAATATCTATCTTTTTGGATGATGTTGATTCAATTAATGTTATTAAGACAGTGGATTCAAGTGAAATCAAATGACTGAAATAGGAAGCTTTCTTATATAAACTGATATTGTTTTTACAGACTGCAGATTATCAGGACTTCCTTACAACATGGAGAAGAAGACATACTGTCAGCTTCACTCCAGCTGTACCTCCATTACCTGCTGTACAGATGACGTAGTTCTACAGACCACTGTCTCCTGGTCCATACACATAGACTCCTGTAATCTAAAACTGAGTGTGGGGATAGAGGAGTGGAAAGCAGACTTCTCACTGATTGACTTCAACTTTGGTTTGTACTAATAAGACTATTTTCCTAGTGTTTTGAATATTGTAAAATGCTTTAATTTCTTTGTAAGTAAGTTTATTAACAAGTACTAAGTAAATGTTGATAATATTTTGTAAACATTTTTTGACTTTTAAGGAGAGAACAAGATATTTCAACTAGGTGGAGTATACAGGATAAGGTATGTAGTTCTATTTGACCGTGAAACGATTTCTAAAATCTAGAGTTTAAAAAAAGTAAAATGTTTGATTATAATAATTATGCAATTCCCTCTGAACAATTTCTTGTGTCCACCTTTTTTCACCGGCAGTAGATACTGACTAAGAAACTAGTTGTTTAATGAAATTTCTGTTCATCCATTTTTAGGTCCATCAAAAACACTGATACAATAGCTTCCTTATGTAATTTGTGACTGGACAAGTCTTTATTCATCATTTTTGAAACTTTCACTGAACAGAAAAACTGCATCTTTCATCTTGTTAATATATTTTTGTCATCCTGTGCTTCTTACACAGAAGGGAATTATCAAAGTTGTACTGCTGCTGTGATGACTGCAAAATGATGTAAAGTATTTTGTATGTTTTTCAGCTACACTCTGTTTGACCTGCCTTTTGACTTGCACTACATGCTGAGTGCAAATATCAGCATATGCTATGAACCAGATTACTGTATGCTGACAGAGAGTATACTTAGAGACATGATGCTACCCAAACCAAGATGTGACTTCAGAACTGCTAACTATGATATACCAGGTAACACATCAGAAAGGCACTGATTGAACTTAGTTTTGCTAACCAGATGCCCTATAGCAACTTGTGCATAGAAGAATTTATTCAATTATAATTAATTTGAGTAAAATATTGATATGTAAAATACATTTTTTCACCATTCTGCAAAAGAGGAAGGGGAGGGGGGGGGGGGCTCCTGACTGGGCACATATTGTTGCCATTGTCAGTGTGGAACTGATGGACAGTGATATGTGCAGTGGAACATGATGTCGCCAGGGACAATATGATCAGGGCTACAAAATATACTGTCCTGGATGGGGTTCATTCTCAAGAACCTGTAAGTCTTATTTGGACCAGACGTGCATAAATGTTATTAAATGTTGTACTGATGAAAAATCATACGGTTGTCATGATTCAGGTTTTATATTTTCTTGATTTAAAATAGAGACACTAATAATGAAAAAACTATTGCATATTAGTGAATTTATTTTGGTATGATACTTAGTCTCAATTTCATAACATTTGCTAAGATGAGCTTTATATAAAATCTTTACCTATGTTTCATTGAATCGGATTTTTACTAACTTCTGGGTACTTGAAAGTAGATTAGTCCTATATACTACGTTCCCTTGACATTTAACTAAACCTATGTAATGATTAAATTAACTAGTGCATTTTAATGAGCAGATTTTAACCCCACTTAAATCCTGCATTTCTTGTGATGTGCTTTGCAATATTTGATTACATATCTTTATTGAGTAGGATTTTCATTGACATCATGGGTGACAGACAGAAGATTCACAGAATCCTCATTACCCCAACATGGTCTTACTGAATTATATGAAGATCTTGGACTGGCAATGTTTTTAAGGGAAAACTCCTGTAGTGGAAGTACAAACTTCAGCTCTTTGGCAAGTGGATGGACAAATGGTAAAACAACTTGTTTTTAATTATATAGTAGGAAATGGATTTTATTATATTTATTTCTATTGATTGAGGATATTAACTGAATAAGCAGAAAAAACACCATTACATCTTCACAAGAGTTAGCTCTCAGAATTTTTTGTATGATGGCAAGAAACCTTGCCGTTCACTCGCTCCCTCATTTTGATGAATTCTGTTGGTGCATGTACATATGTGCATAATTTTAAAGATATGTGTACAATTTACAATTTTTAGACTGTCCAATCAACATTACAACTAAAGATCTACCACCAGAACTGGCTTGCTACATTCCCAACACCTGTACTGCAGTATATTGTTGTGTAAATTCCAGTAATCCATTCCAGAGATCGTTCTCAGCCTTCCTAGATTTTGATCCATGTGAAAACAGATTTCTGATTGGCATAGAGAACTTCATTCATAGCTTTTCAGTTTATGATATTTCATTTGGTAAGTAATTATTATCAGCATTAATTTATCATTTCCCTTTAGAGGTATTTAGTGAAAAGTACATTTGCCTTAGTTCTGTACCAGAATAACAGATTTCAATTTGGTCATACTTCTATCCCCCATATATGTTTGTTTAGTCGCCTGTCTGTCCCACTTCATGCCCCAATCACAACTTTAAAATTGATTGATTGATTGTATGATGTTTTAAGTCCTATTCGAGAATTTTTCACTCATATAGAGATATGTCACCATATACTGGTGAAGGGCTTCAAATTTAGACCTTTAATAGTCACTCAGGGCCATTGAGCAGTGAGGGTTCTTCATCGTGCCAATGCCTACCATTACACTGGTCCTCGGTTTTTTAAGTTCTCATCCGAATGACCTACAACTTTCACTTCAAAGTGCTTGGTGAAGGAACATTTGCTTCCTATTTTTTTATTTATCAACTTAGATCAGTCGCAGCCGTGATTCGAACACACGACCTTCCAATCACGGAGCGAGCGCTCTACCGACTGAGCCACCTTGGCGGTACTTTGAAATTGAGAAACACTATAGCTTAAAATTGGCACAAAGGTGATGGGAAGGTACTTAGGTCATTCGTCAGTGTGAAGATCACATGTTTCCAAGGGCTCCTGTTCCTGTCCATTGTATAACTTTGTAATGAATAAGATTATAATACTCTTCAGTTCAGTTGCTCATGACAAGAGGATGCAACTTTACCTTGAGTCAGTGCTATGTACATGTAAACAAGATCACAGGATTCATAAGCGTAAATTTTTGTCTAGGTCATAGAAATTTACTGCTGCAGTTTGATTCAGAGGTTATGAACAGAGAATATGTTATAATCAGAGTAAAATATTTGAAGAATATAAATGCTGCACAACACAGCAGTGTAAATATTTCAGATATTTCAGAATTTTTGGCAAATGTTTAAATTATTTGTTTTCAAGTAAATGTTTTATGTGAGCCCTGCAGGAAATATTTGTCTCATTAGGACAATTTTATTTTTCAGGTCAGGAGAATTTCTACTATCTAAAGAATATTATCAAAATGAGGTAAGTTAAAGATCAGTGGTATACTCTGTGTTTGAAAAGGAAACATTTCAAGCTATATGACTCTACTTTGAATATGGTTTAATATAGCTATTGTCAAATCAGATGAGCTATTGAGCCATTATGCATAATTAAATAATGCATATTGCAGGTATAGAGTTTATGACTTGAAAGCAGAGAGAAAATACCAAATCACTCTACGAATAAGCTTTTGTTTAGAGTCCACTGGTGTCTGTAGGTTTGAGAGTATGGTGTTCCAAAATGCCTTACTTCCTAAAAAAGTTTGTCAACTTTACTCTGGATTTGCAATTACCAGTAAGTTGAATATTGAGTTAAACACTGTGTTTTCAGCATGCATGACAGACACAGTGAATTGTCCCAACACTGAATTCTTTTTGTAAGTAACAACAAAGAATCCCTTTTGTAGCAGAGGCACTCGTATGTTTTAGTTGTCAATAGATAAATAAGGGGGGAAAAGATTTCCCAGAATTTCATTCGATCTATTTATTGTGCTCTTATTGTAAAAATTCTAAATGCTTTAATGCACATAATTATACTTTTTCTCTTAAATATTTACACAATAAAATGCTTTCTTTGGTTGATAGTACGGGAATTAATGTCGCAGCTGTTGCAGAAAAAATACATATGTAAATTTTTTCTGCAATAGCTGCGACATTAATTCCCGTACTAACAAACAAAGGAAGGCATTTTATTGTTTATATTTATATCTGTATAAAAAAAAAACAATCAAAGTATTATTAAACATGTTAAATATTGTATTATAGAAGTGTATGTCATTGTATGTATAATTGATGGAACAGCCGTTGCTGAAGAAATCTATGCAGGTGGCTTACTTAGTGTTGTTTACTCAGTGATAAATGGCAATGGGTTCCTTAAGAAATAAAGGAAATAATATTCAATGGATGTAAATATACATTTTATGAAGACAAAATTTGCGCATCTTTTCTTTACAGACTTTTCATTGAACCAGTGGAAATCTGACAAGCACATAATCACTCTGTCTGAACGGGATAGCTATTTGCTTCAAGAAGACCTGTTGATTTCTCAGTACTTGACATACCCTTGTTCCAGAGAATCGGAGGACTATACCCCTCATACCAATTACTGGAAAGATGGTACAATATATAAATATTGCATGTATTTGAGTGTAACATTGAAATTTTCACCCCAAGCTTAAGAAAACCATTGTCAACCGAGGCGCAACCTCAATGTTAAACTCAACTGCTTGCAATATTTATTATATTATAGTGAATTTTTTATACAAATAAAAGTGAACATAAATTCTGCGCACTCACTATTTTTGGAATATCACCCGTCGTTAAGCAATGTTGTTCGTTGCTACGCTGGAGGGCGTGGCTTCATCATTCAGCGGGTAATAGTGCTTTTTAACAAATGTTTCTCAACGAATCAGATACAACTAATTTACATGAAAGTATAATATAAATAATTATCATATAAATGCTTTGAATTGCCTTGCCTAGAAAAAATATATAACATGATTATCGCCTGCCTGTGGAAATCTGGGTGAAGGGGAACAAAATTGTCAATGTGTTGCTTCCCATCCACCGGGGCCTGATGGGATGGGCCACAACCTTCAAACATAATGAAATTTCAAAGATTCTTACTTATCATGTGGAAATCTATTAGACAAATTACAAACATAGAGCTAATAAGCAATCAGTCTTCTACCAAAAGAAGAAAATTTAATTGTAAGATTGTGTTTTTCTCATGTTATCTAACATTGGGATCTATAAAGAAATTACAACATTTTACTTACAGTGACTTTTAAGTTGCATGATCATCTTGTTTATATTAACAGTCTGTGGAATGATTCATGGCATTACCCAGTTTACAGCCTCAGACAAAATCAGCTGTTACCTGGCTTCTAACTGTACCGCAGTCACCTGCTGTATGTTTGATAATGTGTTGTCAAGAAATATAGAAGTCATACTGAAAATTGATTCCTGTAGATTCACCATGCGAATAGAGATTGAAAAACTTCATTTTGACATCAGTTTGTTAGCCATCAAATGGGGTGAGTTTGAAAAAAGTTAAAGCCAGGCAAACAATGTCCTTTTATTAGCTCACCTGGGCCAAAGGCTCAAGTGAGCTTTCCTGATCACATTTTTTCTGGCATCCGTCTGTCTTTCTGTTAACTTTCCACATTTTCAAGTTCTTTTCAAGAACCACTCGGCCAATTTCAACCAAACTTACTACAAAGTATACTTAGGAGAAGGGAATTCAGGTTTGTTCAAATGAAGGGCTATGCTTTCTTCCAAGAGGAGATAATTACAAATTAGTGAAAATGGACAGGTATATTTTAAAAATCTTCTTCTCAAGAACCACTCGGTCAGCTAGAATAGATGAAACTCATATGGAAGCATCCTCAGGTAGTGTAGATACAAGTTTGTTCAAATCATGACCCCCAGGGGTAGGGTCGTGCCACAATGGACGATCAAACTTTAAAATAGGATTACATAGGAAAAATCTTCAAAATTCTTTTTTCTCAAGAACAGCAATGTCACGATTGGTCATATTCATTTGGAAGCATCCTCGGGCAGTGTAAATTCAAGTTTGTTCAAATCATGACTACCGGGAGTAGGGTGGGGCCACAAAAGAAGATGAAACTTAAAGGATTTTTTTTAAATCTACTAAAGTCATGATTGGTCTTATTTATATGGAAGTATCCTCAGTTAGTGAAGATTCAAGTTTGTTCAAATCATGTCCTCCCCCTATCCCATTTAGGGGAAGGTTGGGACAACTTATGTATTTAAACTTTTCAATACTGAACTGACTTTTGCTTTTTCCTAGCCAAAGTGCTCAGGTGAGTGATGTTGCCCATGGGGCCTCTTGGTTATGTTACCTTACCTACAAAGGTATCTTTGTCATCTTTCCATTCATCTGCTGGAAGTTGTCACACATTTACTAGCAGAACTGTAGCGTTATGGTTTTATATTTTTGTCTTTGACCATTAACGCTAAAGATCCCGTAATGCAAATATGGTACATATTTACGGAGCAAGACTTTCTGCGCACTTTGGGGATGTATTCCGCCACTTTCCAGCATTTGTCAATCAACTACATTTTATTACCTAATTCTAGAATATTTTATAACCAACCTGTATATTCCATCCACCACCTAACCCTCTCTAGTCATCTCTACAGACCAATAAACTCGGTTGTTGTGAATTTGTTGTCGGATGGCAGAAAATTCAAAACAATCGAGTTTATTGGTCTGTGTAAGCGATTGTGAAGGGTTAGGAGGTGGATAAAAAAACACAGATGTCTAGAATTAGGGAATGCAAGGCAGTTGATTGACCACTGCTGAAAGTGGCGAAATACATCCCCAAAGTGCGCAGAAAATCTTAAAATATAAAACCATAACGCTACAGTTCTGCAGCTACACTTTAACAAGATATTGTAATAGATTGAAGTCTCTTTTTCACATTTAATATTTAGTTTAACTTTAATTTAGCAAATGAAATAAAAAAAATTTTATACAATGTCATTGTATGAATAATTTTTTATTGGTTTTCTTCAACAAAACTTGAAGAAAGACAACAGCAGAGGGTAAAAAAGTAAAAAAAAATGTTATATTTGAGACTGCATTGGGAGTCCAAATTGTATGAGGTATAAGGAAAAATCTTATCTAGAACAGCATCTTGTGAAACAAGAATTCTTTTATAATATATAGTTTCAAGTTTGTTAAAATCTTGACTTCTGATGGTTAGGTGGGTCAGACCACGGAAGGGGATCAAAGTTTGACAATTGAATAAAATTAGACAAGTCAAAAAAATTTCAAGCAGGACCAAAGTGACTCATGAGTGTCAAGGCCCACAGGCCTCTGTTGAAACTTTAACAATATGTGATATTACAGATATATATTTAAGTGGGGCTCAAAGTCTTGATATCTCACAGAGTTGACTTAATATTTTAAATGATTGCAGGTGCATGTTTATAAAATAAAATTTAACAAAATGTATCATGTTTATGTTTTAGGAGAGGAGATGAGGATGGACATGTATGGCATTTATTTAATAAGGTAATTAAAATTTTCCATGCTTTATATATCAAGTAAAAAGTAAAATTATATCAATTTATAAAATTTATATAGTATCTCTCATTTATAATTTTTGTCATTGCAGGATGGTAATGCAGAATTTCTATTATGAACACAAGTATCTATTAAGTATGAACATTAGTCAGTGCTACAAGCCAAAGAACTGTGATGTCCAACATGTTCTTTTCCAAAATTCATTGATACCAAAAGCTGTCTGCGATTGGTCGATGGATTATCAAATTAAAGGTTGGCAAGCAAATTAAAACTTTTTTATTTTTTATCTGCCAATTACCATTTGTAAACAATTTGGTACTGGAACAAGGATGCAAGGTTTTTGCAGCAAGGGGACATACTACCCCCTTTCCAACATTCCCTAGATTATTTTTTTATTGCTAGATTTCTTAGGTTATAACTTTCTTTTCAACTTAATAATCTTATATTCCGTGCTTTTGAAGGGTTTTCACTACACAGTTGGAAGTTAAAGAGAGGTTTGATCTCAAGTGATATAGAAGATCCTTACATACCTCAGCTGATGGAAGAACTTGGTATTGCATCATACACCAATATACCAATGTGTGTAATATCACCTGGCAATTCATTTGGAAGAGTCAATGGATGGAAAACAGGTTGGAAAAAGACCAATACACTGGTTATACATGTAGCAAAACTTTTAAAGATCCGTCCTAAATATTTAAGAAGAGCGTAGAACTAAAACTCCAAAAATAAAAATTAAAGTGAGATCCAAAAGATTAGAGTCCAAAAAGTATTCCAAACGAGTCAAATAATAGAGTCATAGCATAGAATGCCGTTTTCCGGCAAAACAGGGTATTTTGTGCTCAGAGGGTATTCATGGTCCCGGATATAAAAGTACTTTTCATTGGCTAACTTAACATTACCATACCACCTACGCTTAGTCCGTAGGTCTGTCCGTTGACCTATGAACCCCAACATGGCACCACCCTCAAATGCAAGTAAACACTCATTACTAATATTTATGGGCTCAGTCCTTATCTCTACACCCCATGAGTTCTAGCCCTAAGCTCTTTTACTTATTTACTTCAAAGTTCCCAATTTTATTGCTCTTGGTCAAAAATCTTAATAATACCATTGCATTTCCGTTCAAATTTTATTACTTGGTATCGATGGGCTTGATTGGTCTATTCTGATCAATTCCATTACAAAAATGATTTACAAAATTATAGTTCATTGTACCAACAACAAAATCCAATTTGTTCTAACAAGATAATTATAGTTCATGAACATAAAGTCCCTTTTCCAATTATAAAGTCACTGTATGAGGTACACTAATAATGTACATCCTTGTTTAATAAACTTTTATTTTATTTTACTGTCACTACTAAGTTCACTATTAAAAACTAAAATGATTATGATATGAATATAGTCCAAGTTTAAAATGTTCAAATGAAATGTCCGTTCTAAACCCTATAGGTTTACAACACTCTGAGGTCTTGGGCCATGAAACTTATTCAGTACGTATTTTGCATCAAATGTATAGGTAACTTTATTTCAATATATCATAAAAAACGGTCACTGTATGTGACAATGAATATGCATAAATGTATATGTATATGCATGAAATATATGGAGATAACGAACAGTATTCAAACTCAAAAGTCCATTAAACAATGCAAAATAGGAGCAGAGCAAACACGGACCTCCAAACATCAGAGATGGGATCAGGTGCCATGGAGGAGTGAGCATCCCTGCCGACCGGTCACACCCGCCGTGTGCCCCTTGTCATGATCGGGAAATAACGGAAAAATCCGTCGACAATTCAGTGTATATATAATGGCCTAACAATTAGTATGAAAAACGTCAATCAGCATTAGACTCAATGATAAATTGTATTTTGCTGACAAGGTCATTGTATCGACCATAGAACTTACGAAATGATGACTTTAAACGAGACAGCTTATATTCTTGTTTCATCAACTTATTTGTCAATAATTTACCTCGTTTTAGAAATTGTACATACGTAGAGCATGCTCTTGCGTATCAAATCAACTGAGAGATATATACCCCGTATGCAGGTGATGAAGGTATATTGCTGCATAAGTAAGGGAAGTTGACGATTGAAAAGTTAAAGTCATCACGTTTATCATAAAGCTTGGTTGTTAGATTACCATTAACGTCTTTTTCAAGTAAAATATCCAAATATGAAACAGATGTGTCGGACTCTGTGGTATCTTTTATCTCAAGTTCACCAGGATATATCGTATCGACATAAGAATGAAAATAGCCATTGTTAATTGACAATACGTCGTCGATATATCTAAATGTCGAGTTGAACGCCACAGCAAGTGATTTCTTCTTTTCACGTACAAGTTTTTGGACAAAAACTTACTTTTCATAAAGTATATGGTAAAAAGGGAAATGATGAATCACTTTTGGCCATGTTCTGTAGATTGTGCGACATAAATCATATGCTGAAAGATAATGAAATAGACTTTATCCTTGGATTCCGGATGCCGGATCTGACCTATAATTTCCAGATTAGTGACCAGGTTGACGATTTTGGAGCAGATCTCATTTCTTATTAACTATAAGCCCCATATTGACCAAACTTGCAAACTTGCACGGATGATACATCTAAGAATGCACAACCTACCGGATCTGACCTACATTTTCTGGATGAGTGACCAGATTAAAGTTCTTGGAGCAGATCCATTGCCAAGAAATTATAAGGCCTAACTAAACCAAACTTGCATGGATGCTGCATTTAGGGACGATCACTCTTAAATAGCATCAGATGCTGGATTTGACTAACATCTTCTGGGTGAGTGACTAGTTTTTAGATAAGTCCATTTCCATGTAACTGCAAGCCCTATCGGACAAAAATTGCATAAATGTTGCATCTAGGAATGCACACTACTAGATTATTACTTTTATATGGGACTTTGCCTTACTTAAAGACAATATTCGTTGAGGTGAGCTCTATTTTCTATGATTACCTATGTTTATAGAAAATGTTGACTTCAGTAATAATGGTATTAGCCATTAGAAACAAAATACAGCATGTGCAAAATGTCAGATTTTGTCTGAATGGTTAAAAGAACACTGCTAGTGGATGTATCATTAAAACAGGCTGTGCAATGAATGTCAGCTTACCAACCCTGGATTCCAACATAAACTGTGACCTGCTGTCCACCTGTACAGGGGTGAGATGTTGTGTACACGCTTCACTTCTGAAGAGAAACTATGAAGTCTACTTCCACATTGACCACTGTACCAGTAGTCTTAGCATACAGATAGAACAAGTCTTTCACAACCAAACTCTTGATGGATTTCGTTGGGGTAGGTTTAAAATGTCTGTTGATTCAGGGAATACAAATTTCCAAACTGTTATTTCGTAAGTATGTAAAGAATGAGTTGTTACAGTAACAATGATTGGATTCTTTAATATTTTAGGTAATGCACATGAATTCAAGCTACTAGGAGTTTACAGAATCAGGTATGTAAGACTACGAGGTTTTATTACTATACAAAACTATTTTTAAAAAGTTAGCAAATATGTATTTAAAAGTGGATTTTATTGCCTATGTCCAGGTACATTGTGTATGATCTGCCAGAGAAAGATGTATATCTACTTTCACTGGATGTAATGGACTGCTATGAATCTATCAATCCTCAGTGCAGTACAACAGCAACCTTTACTGTGTTTAACAAGGCAGCCATTCCTAAAGCTCAGTGTTCCTGGGATCAGAGTTACAGAATTCAAAGTAAGAAGAATTCAGCATATTTCTTTGATTGAAATAAATAGGGATATAGAGTTATCTGTCTAATGGAAGAAATTTCCTTTTCTTATCTCTTTCAGACTTTTCTCTCAAGTCATGGCTAATTGAGAATAAACTGAGAAATGCCACGGACCTGATCACAAATGAATACAAACTTGCTAAACTCTTGGATGAGCTTGCATTGTCACAGTACTTTGAAACATCCTTATGTCAGTTTACAAGCCAGACATCAAGTTTTGGATGGACATCTTGTAAGTCATCATTTTTATGCCTGGCCATGAATATGGCCAGGGCATATAGAGTTTGTCATGTCCGTCTTCTGTTTGTCCTTCCGTCCCGCTTTGCGTTTAGCTCAGTTCAAAGCTAAGTTTTAAAGAAACTACTGTGGTTTCATTATTATTCGTGGAACACCAATTTTCGTGAATTTCGTTGTTGAGTCGATCCACGAAATTTAATGTTCATCGAAATTTGGTGTCTCCATTTTTATTTATGTTGAACCTTTAAAAAGCCCATTCCGACTTTCGTTAATATATGCAAATACCCCCCCCCTTTTTCTGTCTTTCCCAACAGGTTGACTTTATAAACATATTTTATCAGTTTAAGAATATCTAAAAAAGAGGAAGAAATGCTTCAAGATAATTATCTGGACTTTTTTAGCAAAATGTTTGAATATTTTCCATGAAAATTAACAAATAACACGTAGATCTGTCAATGCAGTGCATACAGCCAATCAATGGTATTACTCCAAGAGATAATAATCAGGCGTAAATGTGTTTAAATTTGTTATTCTCAAACGATCTAACGGGTCAAACCCCATTATCACCTGCAGAATGAAAACAACAAATTATCGTTAAATAAAAATTCCGTAAGAAAAAAATCTGTTCAAAACAGGCTAAATTCATACAAATTATTAACAAAATTCAATGCTAATTTGACTTTTATCTGTTCGTTTAGAAATATATTTTTTGTTAAACGTGAGATAATGGGTATGTATGTTGCCAACGTCCTGCCATTTTGACGTCCCTTCACGGCTTAATTGTTTGTCGTCGATTTTGTATGCTTAACGCGTGAAATCGTATCCAGCGAGCGTGGACAATGGTGGATGTGTTTGTTCGTATATCTACAAACAAGGGGGTGTGGATGTCTCTGTCAAGTGCAGAAACATACGCTGTGCATGTAAAAATAAGTATTTAACACCATTTTTTAAACTGAAATGCTTAATTTCTGTTACTTTTAATGTCCTGTTGCCACACTTAATTATTGTCCGTATGTGCGCTTAAAAATAAAAATCAAATTGTCTTAATATTTTGAGATACTTGCACACCTTTTTCCCGAAACGTTGATTAAATAAAATTCTATTTTCATTAATTGTTTTTAATAATCTGTTTCAATATCCGAAATTAAATTGGTCCATCGAGGTCCCAGTGTTACAGTGGAGACGGTTTCAGACTTGAAAAAATTTCAGATGAGTAAATATAAATAATAAATTAAAGAGTTTTTACCTGTTGGTAATTGTTTTTAAATATTTACGTACTGTTAACATTGTAAATGACATGAAGGTTTCCGCTAAAGCACACGGCGAGAGAAAAAAAAATGATAAGATGACAATTTTTTTCTGGACCATTATCCACGAATTTATGTATCCTCGAAACTATGTTTTTTACTAAATCCACGAAAATTGATGCCCACGAATATTAATGAAACCACATTATTCAAGATATTTTTATCAAACTTCATATGCTGATATATATATATATATGGATGAGAACTACTGAACTACTGATACATACTGAATTGAGTTATTCAACTGCATTTACCTTTACCTTGACTTCATTTTATTAAATTAGTTTTTTTGCTCAGTTTTAAAGAAACTTCATATGCTTATACATACTGATTTCATCAACATTTTTTGACATTGACATTTCTTTTGACCTTGACCTCAATTTTCTTAAATTAGTTTTTAGCTTAGTTTTAAATAAACCATTCAAAATATTTTATCAAATTTAATATGCTGATACTAGTATTAGTGAGAGCTATTCAACTGCATCAAAAATGTTTGACCTTGAACTTTCCTGTGACCTTGACCTCACTTATCTCAAATTTGCATTTTGCTTAGTTTAAGATATTTTTATGTATGCTTATGCACGTATGCATAATTTGGTGAGAAATTATCATCTATATCCAACTTTTTAGATTTCAATTTCATTTTTTTGAAAAAAAAACTATTTAATAGATCTCATCAAATTTCATACACTAAAACAAATTTTCATGTTGCATTACTAATTTACCTCTCAGGGGCATTGATGACCTATGAACATATTTCTTGTTTCCTAACAATTCTCGATTCTTCATTTTCACCACTTTGTACCAGTCTAGAGAGGATAATTATTAGGGCCCCGCTCTGCGGGCGCCATATAGTGATCAGTCTGTCCGTCCGTCTGTCCGTCCGTCCGTCCGTCCGAGATCTCTTGTCCGGAACATATCTTCTCTCTCCTTGGCCCAATCTGGCTCATATTTCACGCACAGAGTGCCTTCGGGTAAAGAGTGTGTAGTGACCTTGAGCCATGTTTCTAGGTCTAAGGTCAAGGTCATAGCAGAATTATATGAAAAATCCTTGTCTGGAGCATATCTTCTCTCCTCTTGGTCCAATGTAGCTCATACTTCACTCACAGAGTGTCACTGGTCAATGGATGTGCAGTGACCTTGAACAAAGTTTCTAGGTCAAGGATCAAGGTCAAAAATAGCCTCTCTGTTTAAAATCTTTGTTCGGTACATGGTTTCTTTCTCTTAAGTCCAGTCAGCCTCAAACTTTACCAATTGATTTAGGGTACAGAACATTTGTGATTTTCCTTCCATATTTTGATATAAATGCAATAGTGTTCATAGAGGATATGCAACATTTGTGATTTTTGTGCTGCTTTTTGATAGAGGGTATGGAGCACTCTCGATTTTCGTGCCATTTTTTATTATAACAAGGATGACATAGAAGCCCTTTAGACTCTTACAACACATCCCTTAATGGTACACAAGTGTTCCTCTTCAAAATAAACCCTTTTCAGCTACCTTACATTTTCATGTTCGTTGCTGAAAGCGGGGCCCTTTGAGATGGCCATCATCTCAATGATATCTAGTTTTATTCAGTTCAGATAGAAAATTCATATCATACAGCATTTTAAAGGATGTCACTTTTATACTATATTCCACTTGATCTGATGTTATTGTAACTTACTTGAATTACAACTTAAAGTGACAGATTGTTGACCATGAATTTATTTTTAGCATGTACCAAATCTGTATCCAGGCCAAGCATTCCTGAAGGTCTTTGTCATTTGTCAGAAGATTGTACTTCAACAGAGTGCTGTTTCAATGTTGACTTTTTACATCGAAGCTTCAGAGTTTTTCTAACCATTGATCCATGTAATGCAATCCTGCATGTAGGAATAGAGAAACTGAAAAGAGAAATTTCACTTGTTGATTATCCATTTGGTAAATATTTATTAAGTTTCACATTTTCAATTCATTTTATTATTATGCCATTTGAGATGGAAGATTAAGGAGCATATTGTTTTTGTCATGTCTAAAAATCTTCTATTTTGTCTGTCACAAACTTTAACCTTTGTAATAATTTTTTTTAGTAAAGTAGTTAAATAGAGACTCTATATTTGGAAGAATTAACAAAATATTATGAGAGCTTTAAAATTTTTCTATAAAATTTTTAAATCTCCTGTTTTTTTTTTGAGAAAAAAAAGAAAGGTACTAAAATTTAAATGGATACCTTCAAGCAGCAATTATGGAATGATATTCTATACAGAGTGTACACGTGCGATGGATAGAGGCTGTGTTTTGAAACCTGTGTGATGCCAAAAAAAAAATGAAATTAATTAGTGATTAGCATAATTTTGGTACAAATTACTCAGTAACTGGAATGTTGTATCATTTTCTTCAGGGAAACTTGAACATCTCTGGCTTGGAGGAGTTGTTAGATTAGAGTGAGTACTTTTTAGCTTACCTTCAGAAATGTTAGGATACTTTATGTTATACCCCTTTGTAAGCATTTTAAAGTAAGGTTTCATTGCAACATCTTAAATGTACAAGTTGACTGGAAGTATTGATTAAATTCATAATGATGACATTCCAAATGAGTAGGTACATAAACATTTAAGTGTGTATTTGCATACTCTGTTTTCTCCCTCTGTGAACCTGTACTCACCAATTGCAGTCATATCGCTATGAATGCAGTGTCTTTTGCTATGATTACACTGTGATATCCACTCTTACACAGATCAAGCTTCCTAAGTAATATAGCATGTTGAGAAGTATATCAAGAAAAGATTGTGCAAAAGGAATAAATCGTAGTTTTTAGCTTATCTGAGCTGAAGGATCAAGTGAGCCTTTCTGATCACATTTTGTCCGGCGTGCATCTGTTTAACTGTAAACTTTTCACATTTTTGACTTCTTCTCAAGAACCACTGGGCCATTTTTAACCAAACTTGCCACAAAGTATGCTCAGGTAAAAGGAATTCAAGTTTGTTCAAATGAAGGACCACGCTTTCTTCCAAGGGGAAATAGTTACAAATTAGTGAAAAATTAATGGCATCTATTAAAAATCTTATGAAACTTATGTGGAAGCATCCTCATGTAGTTTAAATTCAGATTTCAAATCATGACCCCCCTGGGTAGAGTGTGGCCCCAATGGGCGATCAAATTTTACATAGAAAACATTTTTAAAAATCTTCTTCTACTCAAGAACAGCAAGCCAATGATCGGTCATATTTATATAGAAGCAACTTCAGGTGATGTAGATTCAAGTTTATTAAAATCATGACCCCCCCCCCCCGGGGTAGAGTGGGGTCACAATGGACGATCAAAGTTTTACATAGGAAAAATCGTTTAAAATCTTCTTCTCAAGACATGAAAACATAGGAAGAATCTTTAAAAAAAAATCCTTTAAAATCTTTTGAAGAACAGCAAAGCCATGATTGTCATATTTGTATGGAAGCATCCTCAGGCAGTGTAGATTCAAGTTTTTCAAATCATGACCCCCAGGGGTTGTATGGGGCCACAACAGAAGATCAAATTTATAGGGAAAAATCTTTAAAAATCTTTGTAGACTATGATTATTTACAGAAATATGGAAGCATACTCAGTGAAGATTCAAGTTTGTTCAAATCATCCCCCTCCCTTTTAGGGGAAGGTTGGGACCACTTATATATTTAAACTTTTCAATACTGAACTGATTTCTGCTTTCTGTTGCAAAGTGCTCAGGTGAGCTATGTAGCCCATGGGCCTTTTGTTAATGAAATCCTCCGGAAAAAAGAAATTCAAAATGACTTAAAATTACTAATCGAGGTGTACTTAAAGTTTTTAAGACTAATTTTGATCAAAGTATTTAATTGTATAATGGAACTTTTTTTAAATTAAACAGAGCTGCTATATCTTAATTTATTTGTACATTTTTACCGATATAGTTACAAAATAACGATAACTTTTCACGTGCGGGTGTTTTAAGATCAAAGCAAAATTTCCATACTATCCATTTTAAGAGAGATTTCAGCTCTTAAAATATTTTTTAAAAAAACAAAGTTATGTTGAAAAAAAAGATAAAAGCATTTCCTTTTTTCAAAATAATGTTATTTTTCTCCCAGAGTTTCAATACTTTGAATGATGATGTCACAACTGCATCAAAACAAAAATTTACGAGAGTTGAAGACGACGTGGTTTGTAGCAGATAACCGGGGTTAAGGAACAAATTGCATGTTTATTGTATATTATTTATTTGAAATAAGATGGATTAATGAAGTCTGCTGATTAATGGTCACAAGTTTTTTTCCCAATGAAGACAGTCAACCGTTCCCTTATCCAGTTCAGGATTTCCTCTGATATTCTTGACAACATTACATAATGCAATTATTAAGTAATAAACAATGAACATGGAGTTGTGAACAACTTAAGCTTTGCAGACATGTTTACCATGATGTCCGTTAGTCTGTAGGGCTAGTATTGTTCATAACACCATGTTCACTGAAACATTGTTGTTTATTTCTTAAATATACAATCAAATCTTGTTATTTTGAACTCAATGAGACCACCAAAAAAGTTTGAGATAACCGAGTATCTGAAATACTGAGATTAAATACATAAAATGAAAAGTAATTGGGACTTCAAGCTCACTTTGACATATCCACGGTATTCAAGATATAGGAGTTCAAATTATCACAGTTCAACTGTAAGTTACAGTTGTAGGTTTTTCTACAGTGTATGCAATCTTTACTCTGGTACCAATGTTTATTACCGTATGGTACATGAAATGCATGTAATTTCAATGAAAAGATAATAAAATAACAGTTGCATTTAGTTGTTTAGTGATGGTGCTGAATACTGAATATATTTTTCTCATTGCAGTTTTACGTTGAAGGACCTTTATGGAGAACGCCTTTATCTTGTGAACATGAATGTTAGCCTCTGCTTTGAGTCTGCTGGGGAATGCTTCAAAAGCATTGCAGTGTATAAGGAAACGCTTCTACCCAAACGGATCTGTCCATGGAATGAGACTTTAGGTAAGTAAATAAAACAAACCTTTGTTTTAAGTTACAATAGAGATATAGTATTTCTTAATTTGCTGATGTCTAGATTTTAATTTTCTTAATGCTCTTTTTTTATGACAGTGTTCAATGTAAGAACAGTATTAGCAAATCTGGGCCAGTTTTTCTATTTTTTGGCTTTGCTAGAACCACATATCTAATTTTAACCCAAGTTTCACACAAAATATTCTTTGGCAGGGAGCAAATAGTTCAGATTAAGGGCCATGCCTCTTCCACAGACAAATTGAGAAATAATGAAGTTTTGGTGATTTCATTAAAAATCTTCCCGTGGGCTAGAAATGAAAAGTTTTAAATATGAATTGTTAGTACATGTATATAAAGTGTAGATACAAGTTTGTTTACATCATACCCTTTTGGCAAGGATGGGGCCTTAGTAGAGTTTTTGAATAAGAGTACTCGAGGATAATTCTTGAGATATTTCTTGTCATAATAGTAGTGACACAAATATTATTAGTTAATATGATTATGCTCTACATTCCCATGTATGTATTGTTTGATTTTTTGTCAAATTATGGTCAATGGAACTTAAAATAAGTGCGATTTATTCTAGTGTAAAAGAGGGCTGATATAGCACATTAAAAAATCTCCAAAGTTTTCTTTAAAAAATGAAAAACAAGATTATATACATGTTAGTTGAGTTGAGGTGCAAACATTCTCATACCATGTAGATCTTATCTTGGCTGGACATTTGGCCAAAAAATAAATTAATTAACCTGCTCAAAGAATATTGCTAAGAGTAAATTATGAATTATTATTATAAATTATAAATTATTTTTATTGAAGGTTTCTCACTGAGTGCATGGAAGAAACAACACAGTGTTCCATTTGGAATTCCTCTGAATACCTGGACAAAAGCTCTACTGCTGGAACATTTAGACATTGCACAATACAGAGAGTCCAATGAATGCAAGAGGGGAAATGGATATTATACTTTCACCAACTATGGCTTTGTAGACACAGGATTTAATCTAAATGCTTCAAGCATTCCTCAATGTAAGTGCACACTGAAAACAGAGTTTTATCAATAACTTTTAATAGAATATCCCTCCGGTTGCAGAAGGCACATTTCACAGAAAGATCTCTATTAAATTTTATGAAAATAAAAACATATAGCATTGTTATGTAGGTTAATTAGTCAATTCATTATAGAAATTGTGTGTTTTATCTTAAATATCCTTGTGTATGTTATCTGTTTCAGTGTGTCAGTTGGCTGTAGATCTAGAAAACAACCCATTGACAATAGATTCAGCCAGACAAGTCACCTGTTATGTACCTAGCCTCTGTACTGCTGTGGACTGTTGTGTAGATGTCTCCTCACTGGACATGTCATTCCATACTTATATATCCATCGACCCCTGTCAGTATATGCTCAAAATTGGAATAGAGAAGTACAGCTTTCAGAGGTCTCTTGACCAAATGAGTTTTGGTACGTTACAAACAAATAGCAGAACTGCATGGATGCAGGTTTAAATTACCTATAGAATAATTGATACCCTTTCTGTATTTAAAGCCCGAGATAATAAGCACTGCCCTCAGATTTACCTGGTCTGTATACCCCTATCAATCAAGTAAATTAAGGTCAATCATTGGATGCTTGAAATTGATTGACATTTAGTTACTAGTCCCTGTGTATAACTTGTACACTTTGTTTGGCACTTGTGGCGACCATCAAATTAACTTTTAGTCTTTTGATATTTACCGCATATATACCTAGGCAATATAGAAGCTGTATCGAAATTATCTTGAATATAAATATTTAGAACACAATCATGCAACATCATTTTATCCTAAAAATAATGATTCAGTAAAATAAATCATGATTGTATTTAATTATAAAAATTTTTTTCTAATTAGTAAATTTCGATTTAAAGTACGAAATGATTACAAAGGTGACTGAAATCTAATTGTTTTTAATCGTAGGAGAATTTTTTGAGACATAGCAAAAATTACGATGAAACTAATAAAGAGGAACAAAAAGCTGCTAACACAACTCTATTTGCGTATGATATCGATCGGATATTGAGGATGAAAGCAAACGTTTTGATCCAATTTTTTTGATTTTTGATCTAAATTCGCCTAGACAGGGTATTGAGGGTCTTTCTTCTTGTCGTGCACTTGTGTTGCTACCGCCATACCAGACTGTTAAAAATATTTTTTAAAAGAAATACATATGTTAACACCTAATATAGATTTCGTTAAATTGTTTTAATTATAATTTGAATTTACTTGAATAAATACTGAGAACTTATTACGGTGAATTTTTCACCATATGAAATGTAGATCAAGCAAGCTGTACAGGTAATATTCATAGATTTCCTGTGTATAAAATTTGTGTATAGGGATTAGCGTTCTGCACGGTCTGCACGACCGTCAATGCCTCGAGGTACCAAATATGTAAAACTAAGTCCCTCCCTTACCTGAGAAAACCTTACGGTCTTTAAGGATATTTTCTTTATTAAGTAAGTATAATGTGATCATTGTAGGTCAAGAAGAAGTATTTACTTTAGCTGGGATTGTAAAGATGATGTAAGCGATATTTATTTTATTTTAAGTCAATATTAACTTTAATTTATAATTACACAGTGTGTAGAATGATAATTATGCTGAACTACTTGAACACTCTGATATTAGTAAATTGTATTGGTTTCAAAGTCATTATCATGATTCACCCTAAGGTTAATGATTTAATTATGTGGAAATTAGCACAAGCATTTGCATGAGATCCATTGCATTCCTGCATTATGAGAGTTTGTCATTGTTAACGAAAATAAATTTGTATCCATTGTTCTTAATAGTTTCAAAATAAAGGACTTGCCAGCAGAGAAGTTGTATGTGATGACTGTGAAGCTGAGTGTTTGTACAGAGGCCTCAGGATGTGAAGCCAACCATACAATATTTAACAACATGCTGCTCCCTAAACAACCATGTCAATGGAATGAGGGATTTGTAAACTTGAGTAAATCTTGCTAAGTACTAATTAGTTATGAAAAATACATTATATTATGAAAAATACCATAATATCGGTGAAAATATAGGCTGTACTGCAACGTCATTCAAGTATATTTCAATTCAATTGGTATACTGTATGATCTTGTGAGGAACTATACAATTACAAAAAGTTGTTTTGTCAATTCATGTCATACCATAATGTTGCATTGATAAAAATGGAAAGTTTTGGTATCAACATTTATATGTGCATGTATAAGTTTATTACACTATTTAAGATTTCTCTGGCTCTGCCTGGATGACTAACAATGGCTACACCACTCCCCTGTCTGACTCCCAATCTGCTGAGCTCATGAAGGAGATGAGGGCTGCTCGATATTTACTGGCTGACTCATGTTACCTAGAATCTTCAGTCAGTGGATGGAATAACTGTAAGTGCATTATATGAATGATGTCAAAGTTTCAGAACTTTACAAACTGTTTCAATCTCTGATTTGCACTGATCTTGTAAATAAGTATCACAGCATAAAATAAATTATTGCATACAGGGTTCAGGGTCAGGTTGAGGCTAAGTTAATAATAAGAGCTACAGTTTTATAAGCGACTTTTTGGTTTTAGCTATACATGAACAAAGCTTTTCTGGATTATGCTTTACTAAGTGTCAAACCAAGAATCATTCTGGGTTTGTTTTTTTTTTTAGGGGGGGGGGGGGTTAAATGTATCTTTAGACGTGTATTTTGGTTTTAAAGTTGTAAAGCTGACTGACATTTTTCATACTTATTCTTAGGCCATTATTTAAACACTGAATTGATCATGATTATGAGCACACAGCGGCGGTTGTGACCGGTCTACAGGGGATGCTTACTCCCCCATGGCACTTGATCTCACCTCTGATGTTTTGTAGAGGTCCGGTCCGTGTTTGCTGTGCTCCAAATCTGTACTGTTTCAATGAACATTTGAGATTGATTACTGTTTGTTATCTTTATATTTCATTAGGATGATCTGTTTTCCACTTGTACTCATATTCATACCTTTTAGATTGAAAGTGTAAATGTTTGATTTCAAAGAGCTGATTCTATACCCCTGGTTTATTTGTTTGAGCAGGTCCATTTCTGTAATTATAAAACCTACCAGGATCAAACTTGCATGAATAATTCACCTAGAGGTGCACACTTCCATGATAACTTAATACTGCCTCTGTCATGTTTGCTGAATGAGTGACAAAATCAAGGGTTTTTGAGTTCTATTTCAGGTAGCAATGTAATCAGCATTGAACTCTAAATGGAATATGAAGATAATAAACAGTAATCAATCTCAAAAGTCCATTGAAACAATACAAAATTGGAGCAAACGTGGACCTCTAAGAAATACTTCTCAGCTCATACAAACGAAGTGTATGGATGTGATGAGCAAGGGTGCCTCTTCCAAAATATGAAATTCATGGCCTCTTGGTCAGGTGTTTAAGAGTAAAGATGGGACTCCGTTGATGGCATTGTGAAAATGCATTCATTCTTTGAACACCTTCTCTGTTCCTGGGTATTAGGCAGACAAACAAAGTGCATGGATATAGTGAGTAAGGGTGCTTCTTCCAAAATTGTGAAATTCGTGACTCCTGGGTCAGGGATTCTGGAGTTAGGATTGGTCTCTATTTGTCATACTGTGAAAATGTACGAGTTTATTTTTTGCAAATCTTTGCTACTGGGTGTTTAGCAAAAAAATTGTGATAACCATGGCCTCTGGGACAGGGATTTTGGAGTTAGGGCAGGACTCCTTTGAATATATAATGAAAATGTATCAATTTTTAAAGTATTTTTAGGTCACCTGAGTCACTCAGGTGACCTATTGCTATCCGTTTTTGTCCGTCGTCGTGCGTCGTCCGTCGTGCGTTAACTTTTAAACATTTTCATCTTCTTCTCTAGAACCGCTCAACCAATTTCAACCAATTTTGGCATATAGCTTCTTTGGGTGAAGGGGAACACAAATTGTGAATTTCATGGTCCCTGCCCCCCTAGGGCCCCAGGGTTGGGGCTAAAACCACCAAAATTGATGCAATCTTTAAAAATCTTCTTCTTTACTCCTAGACATCAAGCAGTCAAACTGTTGGCATGATTGTAATAAGCATTGGGCCCTCTACCTAAATTGTGAAATTCATGGCCCCTGGGTCAGGGGTTCTGGTGCTAGGGTGGGGCTCTATTGATTATATAGTGAAAATGCATTCATTCTTTGAAAATCTTCTTCTCTGCTCCTGGGTATTATTTAAACAAACTAAGTGCATGGTTATGACAAGCATTGATGCCTTTTCCAAAATTGTGAAATTCATGGCCCCTGGGTCAGGGGGTCTGGTGTTGGGGGGGGGGGCTCTCTATTGATTATATAGTGAAAATGCATTAATTCTTTGAAAATCTTCTTCTCTTCTCCTGGATATTATTTAAACAAACTAAGTGCATGGTTATGAAAAGCATTGATGCCTTTTCCAAAATTGTGAAATTCATGGCCCCTGGGTCAGGGGTTCTGGTGTTAGGGCTGGGCTCTATTGATTATATAGTGAAAATGCATTAATTCTTTGAAAATCTTCTTTTCTGCTCCTGGTTATAAAGTAAACTGAGTGTGTAGTTATGATGAACAAGAGTGCTTCTTCATGAATCATGACTTCTAAGTCAGATGTTCTGGTGTAAGGATGGGACTCTTTTGATAATGTAGTGAAAATGCATTAATTCTGTTAAATAATCCTCTCAGCTCTTTAGTGTTGAGCAGATAAATAAAGTGCATAGTTATGATGAACAATTTTGCTTCTTACAAAATTTCAAAACTTGTGGTCTTCAGGTTTTGGTGTTTTCGGGGGGGGGGGGGGGGGGGGGGTGCTATATTTATTAATAAAATGAAAATCTGTTTATTCTTTCAAAATCTTAAACTAAGTGCATAGTTATGATGATGAGGGTACCTCTACCAAATTTATTAATTTCATGACCCTGGGACATGGGTTTTAGTGTTAGGGTAGGGGTGTGTTGAATCTGTAATGAAAATGCTATTTCTTTGAAAATCTTCTCTGCTCCTTGGCATACTGAAGGCAAATAGAATCAAAGTTTTAATAAGCAAGGATATTTTTACCAGATTTTTGAACATCAGGACCATTTGGTCAAGTTTTCTGGTCCTAGTCAGGGCTCTATTAATTTGTATTCAACTGAGAGAAGTTATTCTCTTGGCCATTTACTTTTGATAATTAATCACTGTAAATAATGTATTTGAAAGTTAAAAGAATGAGAGAATTATGAAAAAAAAAATTATTGAATAATACAAAAAGTACTTTCAGAGTTTTAATGATCAGATAGACTTGTAAATAATAAATAGATAAAAATGAGACAGAAATAACTTATTAAATGTTCTTCAAAGACCAAGAGAGGCCAATGTGAGAGGTCACAATGTGGGGTTAAAAGTAGTACAGAGGAACTATTAGTTTGTTAATAGTCTGCATGGTGATAGTGCTAAATGGGGGATAAATTAGAATTTAATATATGAGTTGTTACTGAATACTAGACTAATTATTTCATTGATTCTGATCATCCTATTTCTCTTGCTTTTGGGCAACAAAGCTTCATCTGTCAGTTTATTTTATACTCTACTAGATGAAATCCCGCGCAAGCGAGGGGAAATGCATTTATACCACTACCGACAGAAAAATTCCAGTAATATATATTGTAGTTTCTACTGACAGCCTACAGGCTTATAGCAGGAAGAAAAAAAAAATCCCGCATTTAGCTTTGGAGCAAAAGTAGATGTACACCCCCCCCCCCCTTGTTAAACTTGAAAAATAACAATTTCATTGATTGACGTTTATTGTGAAACTGTAATACCTGTTGTGGATATTGTACTTCAGGTGCACTTATTTCATTTCTGTCAAGGATAAAAGCAGCGAATATGCACATTTTAATGATAAATCGATTTTTTACAGCGGTTAACGCCCTATGAATAGGTCGAGTATTTAATACAAAACACTGTATTCAGGAAAAAAAACTGAAATGCATTGATTAAAGCACAGATTTTAACAGCTTTAATTGTATTTGAACAATATCTTGTTCATTAATTTTTCTCTGTTCGTGTAAGCAAATTTATTGCGAAGTACAAATTGCACTTTGGGTTCGTTGCTCTCAGAGAGGAATACTATTTTACCGATAAATTTATTAGAAAAACCTACTAATAGTCTTTCGATATATAAATATATTAACAACTTATAATGTTATCAATGATTTACAATTATTTCAATGACCATTCACGCATAAGCTTCTTTTATGTTCAAGCAGCTAAATCGCCTCTTTTTTCTTTTTAACATCGGGTTCTATGCTATATGATGTTCTAAAAGCTTCCGTCAATATTAAGATCGGTGAATGACGAAAATAATTTGCACATTTCCCTTTTTAATCGGTTATCACTACTTATTTCTTTTATATCATTTAAATCAAGTTCTGATTGAATAATTCAGCGATGATGTTTTATGAAATAAATAAACGATTGCTTGTTGTCAGTTTCATTAAAAATTGCCAGTAACTTAGATCCGCCAACCGGAACCGCCACCGTACTCAGGTCTTTGCTATTTCATGGCTGTTTATAGAAAATGAAAGTAGACTTTTAATTTAATGTACGATACTTACTATGCGAGTGAAATCTGAATATAGTTTACGGACATCATCTTGTATCTAGTGTATTCATAGAGGAGTTAGTAAGAACTCTGGTACACCCGTTTCTGAGTTTATTTGCAAAATTTATTAATTTATAAGTATAGATGGATCTTCTAAATTGTTGTATTATACTCAGGTGACCGTTAAGGCACTTGGGCCTCTTGTTCTCTGTTCTTGAGTATTAGCAGAGAAACGAAGTACATTATTGTTATTAGAAAGAGTGCATCTTCCAAAATTGGGAATTTCATGGCCCCTGAGACGGGGGGGGGGGGGGGGGGGGGGTGGAGTAGGGTGTGTTTCTATAATGGTCGTGTTTGGCCGTTTGGGAACATTTACTCTGCTTTAAGAGAAGTCATTCTCCTTGTATCTTCAAGTACGATTATTAATTAATGCAAGTCATGTAATTAATAGGTAAATTGAATGAAGGAATTATACAAGAATTTTTAATGTATGATATAAAAAATACTTTCATGAATAAAAATGAGACCATAATACTTTATATATGTACATTAAATATTATTCAAAGACCAAGAGAGACATTAATGTTATGGGGATGGGGATGGGTGTGCTAAAGTATTGTATTGATCTGTTTAGCGATAATGTGTAGATGGCACTGGCATATGGTAAAGGCAGGTTTTCGAGTTACTGCTGAGTACCACAATAACTACCGGGGTATTTGGAAGATCCCTGATCATCCTTTTTCTCTTGTTTGAGTTTCTGTGTATCTTGTGTTACTATAAAGTTATTTATCATTCTATAGATCGTCTAAGGGTTTCCTTATACTCAGATGACTGTTAAAGTCCTTGGGCCTCTTATGGTATATGTCTTTTTTTATATCTTTATAGACTGTAGCAAAGATGTTACATTAACTAATTTAACTGGAAGTTCGGTGAATTGCCACATTTCCTACCTCTGTAATGAGATACAGTGTTGTGTGAGAGCCGAGAGCATCAGAAGGAGTTTCCAAGCAGAAGTCAGTCTTGATCCCTGTTCCCAGATTATGCTTATCAAACTAGAGAGGCTGACCATCAAAGTTGACCTACTGGAATTCAAGTTTGGTTTGTATTTTAATGATTATCTGTATTGTGTTAGAAGGAGAAACCCACTAGATGGATACAACAGAAGTAATATTAATAGTAATGATAGCCAAACCTGGCAATTTTCTAACCATTTTCTACTGTATTAAGGTAATTAAGGATGAGAATGATTTTTAATTACCATAATATCTTCTTCTTTTTTTCAGGTACAAGGCATCACTACAATTTAGTAGGACTACTTAGAGCAGAGTAAGTGGATGATAAGGACAGTTTACAATATATTTCATATCAATTGGTAGAATTTTAAGTGAAGAGATGACTATTTATTTTTCATTTCATTTTAGTTTGAAACTGTATGATTTGCAAAACCAGAGGAAGTATATGATAGATCTGAAAATAAGCGTGTGTTTTGAAAGCAGTCGAACTTGTGATTTCATTTCAACCATACTGGACAATTCCCTACTGCCAAAAACAGAATGTGATTGGTCATCAGGACTGCAAGGTGATCTCTAATGTTACAATTTTCTGACATGAAACTCGTATTTTTATCTTTTGAAGATTTTGATATGAAATATTTATTCTAACAGGATTTTCATTGGAAAGTTGGCTTCTAACAAAAGGTGAAAATTTGGGAGATGTCTCTTTACCTCAACATGTACAGTACATGTTGCTGGAGGAGAGAGGTATAGCTAACATGATGAAGGAAACACCCTGTAGTAGAACTGGTGACACCATGTATAACTCATCCACTCCAGTGAACGGATGGGTGACAGGTAAAATTGGAGGGAAAAATAAATATATATGTCTCCAAAGAAATATAGTGATGAAGTGTACTCTACTGAAAATTTTTTTCTTTTCATACAGGCTGTATTTCATCAACATCAAACTTGACAATGTTACCATCTGAAATAACATGTTATTATCATGGCTCCTGTTCCGCAGTCAGCTGTTGTATGGATATTGTGAAGTTTGACAACAGGTCTATAGAAGTGTCCATTATCTTTGATGAGTGTGCCAACTTCCTAAAACTGACTATAGAGAGGATATCTAATACAATCTATTTGCACAATTTTTCCTATGGTATGAAAATAATATAGTTACTTGAAAAATAACGAACAGAACACTTTTTTTTAAACTTTCTAATATTGATTATAATGAATTAGATAACATCGTAACAAGGGAGATGCTATACATGATTCCTCGAGTCTCTCTACTAGCAAGTTAATTTATGGTTTTGAGCTCACCTGAGCTGAAACTTTGATCATTCATTATCTAGCATCCATCTGCCCAGTTGTCTGTCTGTATACTTTTCACATTTTCGACTTCTCAAGAACCACTGGGCCAAATTTAACCCCCCCCCCAAAAAAAAAAAAAATTGGCACAAATCATTCCTAGGCAAAGGGAATTCAAGATTATTCAAATAAAGCACCAAGCATCCTCCCAAGAAGAGATAATCAAGAAAAAGGAAAAAAGGGGTCATTTAAAAATCCCTTCTCAAGAATCAATAACCCAGAAAAAAATGAAACTTATGTGAAAGCTTCCTGCGGTTGTGTAGATTATAAATTGTTCAAACCATGGTCTCTGGGGAGGGCCACAATAGAAGATCACACTTTTACGTGGGAATATATAGAAAAAAAAATCTACAGAAAGTACATGTATAATTTTGGAGTTATAATTTTTAGGAATGGAACAGAAAATGACCTTGAAAGGCATTTTTGAACTCAAGTGAGTATAGTTTTATTATAGCAAATATAAAAAAACAATTGTGAATGTGTACTGCAAGAAGCAAGTATATATAGTTGTAAACAAAGTATTAATTCAGTTGTTGAACATTTGAGAAAAATTATAGTAAATCGCACTTTATTAGGCGCGAGAACTCTATTTTTTGATAATTACGTTTGTCTCCTCACGAAAAAATTTCATTCTCGCATACATTTATATTGTATAGGATTATGTACTACAAAAACCACAGTTCGCAGAAATTTTGTCTCGCTTGTAAATATCAAATAGCTATGTCGCAAAAATGAAGTGATGTACAGTAGGTCCTTTGGAATGTAAAGTTGTAAGGGGAGATAGTGTTTTTAGCTAACCTGAGCTGAAAGCTCAACTGAGCTTTTCTGATCACCCATTGTCCGTCGTCCGTCCGTCCGTCCGTCTGTCTGTCCGTCCGTCCGTCTGTAAACTTTTCACATTTTCAACTTCTTCTCAAGAACCACTAGGCCAATTTTGACCAAATTTGGTACAAAGTATTCTTGGGTAAAGGGGAGTTTAAATTGTTAAAATAAAGGGCCAAGTCCCCTTACCAGGGGAGATAATCAAAAAAAGACAAAAATAGGGTGGGGTCATTAAAAAATCTTCTTCTCAAGAACCACTGGACCAAAAAAGCTGAAACTTATGTGGAAGCATCCTGAGATAGTGTAGATTTTAAATTCTTAAAATCATGACCCCCGGGGGTAGGGCGGGGCCACAATAGGGAATCCAAGTTTTACATTGAAATATATAAGAAAAATCTTTAAAAATCTTCTTCTCAAGAACCACTGGGCCAAAAAAGCTGAAACTTATGTGGAAGCATCCTAGGATAGTGTTGATTTCAAATTGTTAAAATCATGACCCCCGGGGATAGGGCGGGGCCACAATAGGGAATCCAAGTTTTACATTGAAATATATAGGAAAAATCTTCTCAAGAACCACTGGGCCAGAAAAGCTGAAACTTATGTGGAAGCATCATGGTGTAGTGTAGATTTTAAATTGTTAAAATCATGATCCCCGGGGGAAGGGCGGGGCCGCAATAGGGAATCCAAGTTCATTGAAATAAATAGGAATTTTTTTTAAAAATCTTCTTCTCAAGAACTACTTGGCCAGAAAAACTGAAACTTATGTGGAAGCATCCTGGGGTAGTGGAGATTCTAAATTCTTAAAATCATGACCCCCGGGGGTAGGGCGGGGCAACAATAGGGAATCCAAGTTTTACATTGAAATATATAAGAAAAATCTTTAAAAACTTCTTCTCAAGAACCACTGGGCCAAAAAAGCTGAAACTTATGTGGAAGTATCCTGGGATAGTGTAGATTCTAAATTATTCAAATCATGACCCCCGGGGATAGGGCGGGGCCACAATAGGGAATCCAAGTTTTACACTGAAATAAATAGGAAAAATCTTTTAAAATCTTCTTCTCAAGCACAACTGGGCCAGAAAAGCTGAAACTTATGTGAAAGCATCCTGGGGTAGTGTAGATTCTAAATTGTAAAAATCATGACCCCCGGGGGTAGGGCGGGGCCACAATAGGGAATCCAAGTTTTACATTGAAATATGCAAGAAAAATTATGAAAAATCTTCTTCTCAAGCACAACTGGGCCAGAAAAACTGAAACTTATGTGGAAGCATCCTGGGGTAGTGTAGATTCTAAATTGTAAAAATCATGACCCCTGGGGGTAGGGCGGGGCCACAATAGGGAATCCAATTTTACATTGAAATATGTAAGAAAAATCTTCTCAAGCACAACTGGGCCAGAAAAGCTGAAACTTATGTGGAAGCATCCTGGGATAGTATAGATTTTTAATTGTTAAAATCATGACCCCCCAGGGATAGGGCTGGGCCACAATAAGTATTAGAAGGGGGAAATTTGGTAAAGAACAGCATGGCCAAAGTTACTCAGGTGAGCGATGTGGCCAATGGACCTCTTGTTGATATAGCTTATCTGTACTTATACCTAACTTTGTTTATAAGAATTTCAAATTGATGAGATTTAATAGACGAATTGGATACGATGCTTGATTCTTTTCTGTTTTATTAACAGGTAGAATTTTTGAGCTCTCATAATTATTTACCACAAATACTTTTTGATTATAGATACACAATAAGACAGAATATGTTATCCCAGAAGTACGAGTTTAAGATTGATATATCTGCATGCTATGAACCGTTATACTGTGACCAAGTTGTAACCATTCTAAACCAGACATCGTTTGACATGAAGAATTGCACGTACCAGGAGGGATTTCTGAATTCCAGTAAGACTATAGAGGCAATTTAAATTACTTGAACTGTTCTTTAATTTCTTTTTGGAAAAAAAACTGGATGTATAATAGAATACTTTTGATCAAATGTTATGTTGTAAGATACTCTAAGCAGAAGTCTGACAAATGCAGTGTAGAATATACATTTAATTTATTTTCAATATAAAAAAATATTATGAAAATGTCGATAAACACAAATATTTATTGTATGGCAGTGTCTAAACATTTACAGTTAAAGTAAATATGTCAATCATTATCATAATTACAGGCTTTTCCCTCAATGCTTGGCTTGCCTCCCGAGCTATACCCAGTGTAGATGACATGACTGTACCCCAAGCCAGTGAACTCCTGACAGAACTTGGACTGGACCATTTCCTGGATTCTACGGACAGATGCTCTCTGCATGACACAGTGTATGGAGCAGCAGAAGGGAATGGCTGGAATAATGGTAGAGACTTTGGAGTACATTTACTATTGATATTTTATATAAAATATATAAAGTATGATTTATTGATATATTCCTTCTTTGAAAATTATAGTTCTCTTGTGTTGATGCTATGTGCATTCGTGGATGTTCAGGTATAAAAACGTAATTGCATGCATTTTCCTGAAATTTTTATTTGATAAAACAGAATGTGAAAAAAATCCAAACCATACATTACCAACCATCGCTAACAAAGATGAAATCCTCTGTCATATCCCCTCAACATGTGACAGAATGTCTTGTTGTGTCTATATTGCTCCTATTCAAAGACACGTAGAAATGGAACTAATACTTAACACGTGCAGCTATCAACTGGAGGCTATGCTTGATAATGTCAGAATCACTCGTAACTTGTTCAAATACACTTGGGGTAAGTATTACCTTTATCACCTATATTGCTTGCATTTTTAATGTACGTGTGTTTAATGATTGAATGTTAATTTTTTTTTAATTTGTAGGTACCATGGAAAAAATTGGAATTCATGGAGTTGTAAGATTTGAGTAAGTTACAGATCTTTATTCAATTTTCAACAGTGGTCAACTTCCATCATGACCTTTTAAATGACAGCATGATTAAAATTTTCATGCCATCTGTGAATCTGTCTTTTTCACAGGTTTCATGTTACAAGTGTGGTAAGTGAGAGGAAAATGAGAACTGATGGCAATATCAAGTTATGTTTTGAACAAAGCAACTGTACTGAAATGCTGATCTTTCATGACTTGCCCATCAGTCACAGTGTCTGTAACGTAAGCAGTGGTGAAACAGCAATACAAGGTTGGTATATAGAACTATGGTGCAGCATACAATACATTTTCTGAATTATTAGCACATAATCTTTATTTTGTTTAGAGAAAATAAGGGATAAATTAACCTAATTATGTCTCATTTTAGGTATCAGCTTTGACTTTTGGAGGCAAACAGAATGTGAAACTATTCATTTTGATCCAACAGGTATCATTTATGTTCAACCTTGGGCAAAATTATTAATATTGGACCAGACATTTAACTTAAAACTAAGAATTTTTATGCTCTTTGGATATAGAAGTTCATGGGAGTATAATGCTAACACGAAATACTATATTGCCCATTTAAGAAGAGTTTAATCTTTGTGCAATCAAATGCGTCCTTTTTACTTGCAGCATGTAATGCAACACAGATAGAGGGTATTCCTTTAGAGATACAGAAATACTGCTCCTATCTACCAGACTGTAGTGGATTAGAATGCTGCTTTGAAAATGAATTTGATCTTGGTAACAGAAGTATCTACTTTATGGTAAGGCTGGACTGTAACCACTTGGAATTCCAGGTAGAGAACAAAAAAGTGCAGAAATCCTTGACAGCCCATTCTGATGGTGAGAACTGTTTAAGAGAGAAGTGCAATTTCTTATGATTAAATGAAAACACAATCAAACAAGGGAAGCTTAACAAATAAATAAAATTCATGAAAAATGTATGTTAGGTATGGAATACAGAGAACCTATTGGAAATCCAACTGCATTTCAAGTTAACTACACAATTTACAACCACAGTACAAATTATGGTGTTGGAGTGGTTTTCTTAGTAAGAGAATCCAAACCAGCATCTGCAGGAATTGTCATTTATAATGTCATGCTTTCAAACACTACCCGAGTAATTCCACAAGGATGCGGTACTGTCAGAAGAAGAAGGAAAAGGCGATCTGTTGATATGTCACAGTAAGTGAGGCTGCCGAAATTCAAGGATTATTTTAGTCTTTTGATGTGGATTAGAAGTTCATTTTTGTAAAGAAAGAAAGAAAATATTAGCAAATATTGATAATTTTAATATTAATACAAATACTTTTTTATGAATATTAAGGTACATCTGCTGGTAGAAGGATCATTAATATGATATCTTAGTACTACACAAAATTACTGTTTTAAAATTTATTAAGTAACTTTTACCGATAGATTAGACACAGAAAAGTTAACAGACGGAATAAGGGCTCTCCTTGAAAGTAATGCACCTAACTACAAGTTTGAGGAATTTTGGCAAAAAATAATTGAGAATAATGTGAGTATTTTACGACATTGCATCACTCGTCAAAGAATTCAGAAAATAGCCAAATAACCAACTATATTCAAGTTTTTATGCACCTGGCATAAAATGGCCGGGGGCATATAGTTACCCTGTTCCATCATTCTTTCATTCCGTCATCATTGACTTTCCATTCATTATCTTGGCAACAGTTGAACACATTCAACTCAAATTTGACATATGGGTACGTCATAAGAATACCCAGGTCAACTTTGAATTTGTTCGTGGTCCGGTGATTTTTTAACAGAGTTATCTCTCTTGAACTTAGAAAAAATAAGAAAATTTTGGTTTGTATAAGGTTGAAATTGTATGTGCAGGTATTTTACCAGAAAATACAGGTCATCTTTGAATTTAGTCATGGTTTGATAATATTTGACAGAATTCTCCCTCTTGAAAAATAAGAAATTTTCAGTTTCCACCGTCTAACTTTTGAAGGGATGTATGTATAAGGTTGAAATTGAAATTGCATATGTGGGTATTTTACCAGAAAATTTAATTCTGTATATATAAACGAAAGCCCAAGCGGGATACCAAAACTGGGATATGCTGTTCACAAGTCCGATACTTTAACCACCTGGCTATGATAATAGTTGACTAAATAGATATACAAACAATTTCACAAAACAATTTAATTGCCATATTGTGGCACAGTGTCTTAAAAAGTATAAGCATCGATGTATAGAGCCATCTTAATAAAGTTAACACTGTATAGTTTTTATCTTAGGTATGCTCTTTGAACTTAAAAAAAATCATTTGTGCTAACAAATTTAAAACTAAATATGGTATTTGAAATTTTGACTACCTGTAGGGGCATTTGTGGTGTTACGACACATTTAGTTCAGAATACTAAAAGTTCAGCAGCTTCAAATATTTAAAAAAAAATTGTTAATGTTGAACACTTTATATTTATTGTGGTTAACAAGTAAATCATGAGGATTTTTTTGCCCCCCCCCCCCCACCCGCAACCCCCAACCTCCCCTTTGACTGAAAGCGGACAGTGTTCAAAATTCAGAATTTTTTTTCTATGGCAAAGTACCCACAGGTAGAAGGTCATCTTGAGTCCTTCCAAGACAGTGTAGGCCCAAAAATAATACCATCAAATATTTTGGAAAAAAAACTTTGATGATCTCAGTAAATTTATGTTTGGTTAAACTTGCAAGTATTAAAACTTTTAAACAGTATGTATTTACTTACTAGTTCTTTGGATATTTTTACGGCTGAGATGAAAGAACAAATTTCAAAATTAACCCCCAAAAAATTATTATGAAAAAAAACAACAAATAATAATATTATCTCTCCCTCCTCACCACCACAAACTAGAAATAATATGATTAAAGTAATTAAATGAACAAATATCTGATACTTAAATTACACTAAAGTCACATGTCTTTTGTCTCACATAGTGAATCAGATATAATGATTTACAGATACTGTTTTTATTAGAAATTAGGAAAAGTTCAACTTCAATGAATAGGCTTTTAATAAATTTGATTAATTGGGTTTAACGATTCCTTTCAGTTTATTTACTTATAAAATATATTCACAAAGTTCACTAGTCACTCTGAAAGGTTCCCACCACCACGTGCTGATCCGCCCTTTTTGATAACCAAACATGCGGACAATCGACACCTTCTCCACAGGATTCAAATCTCAATCTGGAGGCCTAGACTTGCTGGTCTCAACCTCCTGTTTGGTAAGAACGTACTACGTCTGTCCTTCAAAACAATCTACCCTTCAACACCGCATGACCATCCATATTGTTGGTTCTCGTCGAACGTGACTCTAAATTGTCCCCGTAAATAAAATGTGCCAACACCCCTCAAGCACTGAAAATATTATACGTTTAACTAACCCCAAAATAAAATTTACTTAAATTTATTGTTTTTGAGGTGAAAAGCTTAAAGACCAAGGTCAGACATTTATATATTCTATGCATAGTTTTCAGATGATAACTTAAATACCCTGTACGATTTTACAACAAAAATTAAAGTCATGAATGTCTTTAACATTATTCTAAGGAAATTTTTTTCAACATCAGTGTTATAAGATTACAATTGTTAAGATTAATGTCCAAGAACTTGTTTCCACATCTTTGTAGTTTTTATACAATTATATACAATAGATGGAGCTTGAAAGGGAGAGAAAATGAAAGTAAATCACAAATCTTTTCATAGAAACTTGAAAAGGCAAAGAATCTGGCTGCTACGCTTCTTTCCAGTGAGGATGTTACTACAGGTATTAAGTCTCAGATTCAGGCTTTGGGATCTGGTAATCCATTCACCATTAAAACAACAGAAGATAATGCTCCATCTGTTACTGTGCAAGGAGGTAATTAAAAACAAGACAGTCAGAACATGGAAATAGAGAACTTAATAGAAGGAGGGAAGATGCCATAATATATATAAAAAAATTATTTTAGCTAACATGAGCAAAAACCTCATGAAGTATTTTAGCATCTATGGTTGGATTAAACATACTTTTTTATTTTACATCATGTTTTAGAAAAAGAAATGATGATATATATATTTTACAAAGCATATTTTACTTAAAATCATCTTTTAGAAAAAGAAATGATAAAGAAGTGAAGTCACAGTACTAACTTTTCTAAAACTGTTCAAAAATGAGGTTCAGAAAAACAAATAGATAAGACATCTTTAAAGTTTTTCAATTTCTGCTTTAATAGGTGCTGCCATTGCTGCTGTTTTTATGACTCTCAGTTCAATACCTGGTAGAAGTCACCAGTCATACATTGTTGGCAGTGGAGTAACACAGTATGGAGCTAAACTACTTGGAAACAAGCTGGCTTGCATGACTATTGGAGACTTGGAATCTCTATTACGCTTGAAAAACATAGATCCTTTAAAGGTTGCATTACTTCTTAAAGACATGCAGGATTTGTCAAAAGCTCTGGTAAGATTATATTTTCACTTAAATTTGTAAATAGTCTATAAAAATATTTTTCTTTGATAATAAGCCTTGAATATTAAGACACAATTCAACATTTTTTGTTAATCTCCCCCATGCCGAGACGCCAAATTTTATCTGTACCTGGACATTTACAAATGCTCCAGTATCAGTTTCTGTTAATCTAGAGGTGTACTTAAGTAGACAAGAAATATCTTTCACTCATATGCAGCCCTACTGCAGTATTGTGTGTGAAATGTGATGCTGTTACACAAAAACAGCAGCTAATTTCTTTTTTACAATCAATTTTATGGATATTTGGACATAGTAAAAGTCATCATTGAAATGGAAAGTGATTTTTCTTGGGACCATAAATTATAAATGTGATTTGTATAGATCTATGAGCAATGTCAAGTAACTTAATATATGATATCTAGGTGGTTGTTCTAGCCAGGGGACCTCTTGTTTTGAACTTGTGGATGATAATGATGTAGTTCATACTGATTTTGTCTATTGCAGTACTCTGAGTTTATCAGCAAGTTGTTCACAGATGGAGCCAGTATATTTAAAAACTTTGAATTGGAACTGAAGGGAGATTTCAGCTTCCCTAGACTACATGGATCTTTTTTCTCTTTTTCAAAAACATTTCTTATTGGAGGATTTATTGCCGTAAATTTTGGTAAGGTCTTTATAATGATTTCATATTCAGAAGTAACCGAGATAGACAAACTAAAATTCTTCTAATTTCAACAAATCTTTATTAATTTAAGTATATAAAAATCTTGTAGTAATATAAATATGGAAGAAATTTCAGTCAGTGCAAATCGACTCAAGCTTTCTCAAATTATAACCTACCCTGCCCCTCCCTGGGCAAGATGGGACCACTTTTCAATACTGAACTGATTTTTGTTTTTCTCTCACTAAGGTGCCCTGGTGAGTGATGTGGCCTATGGGCCTCTTATTTTCTGTCTGACCACCTGTCATTAAGTCTGTATATCTGTCATAAACTTTATCTCCCTAATAACTTTTGAATTTTTGTGTGAACTTTTGTTCATTTTGCATTAATGCTAATTCTGCATGATGCTAGATGTGAGGACTCAATATTCTGATTCACCATAAAAGTCAAGGAATGAATGAGTATACAAGCAATGTAAAACCCCCAATTCTGTTGAGTTTGTATGTTGTCAATTGGGATGTGCGTACCTTTTTGTATGCATGTCAGCATAACATCAGTGAGGGACAAAGTGGGGCCTCAATAGGGTATCAAATGTTAACATGGGAATATATATATATATATATATATATATATATATATATATATATATATATATATATATATATATATATATATATATATATATATATATATATTAAAAAATAAAATCTTTTTTAAGAACAGCAGGACCATGATTAGTGAATTTAATGTTTAAAAAAATACCCAGAACAGTTCACAGCAACACCATATTGATATTGAAGCATTCCCATATCGTGTGTATTCAAGTTCAGTTTAATTATAAACCCCTCTAGCTAAGGTGGCCCCAAAAAATTGGACCAGGGTTAGGGTTCATTGATGTAAATTGGGATTTTAACAGCAGGACCAAGTCGAATCAGGTGAACACTCCGACTAATGAGCCTCTTATTTAAATTACAGATCAGAATATTTTTGGATTAGTATGATATATTTGAACTAATAATGATTTTGTTATATTTGCAGGATTTGGAGTAGATTTCTATTTTGGTGTAAAGTTTTCTGTTGGTGCAAAGATCCTGGAAATGAAAGGAGTAGTGAAAGCTGAGCCTTACGGGGGCTTGATGGTCTGGGGAGAATTAGGATTTGGATATTTACTGTATGCCAAACTAAGGCTTGAAGGTCACATAATGGACACTGGATTCCCAATTATTGCAGAAGTTGCTTTCCTTAAATTTCCAATAGATGTTACGTAAGTCATTACATCTAACAACAAATTAATTACAAAGGAAAGTAAAAGTCCAGATTTGCATAAGGTTTAGTATTATAGACATAAAGTTTTTAGAGTTTCATGTTCACTCTAATATGTTTGCAAGAGAGGAAAAAATTTATCATAAGAGCTTATTATGGAAAAAATTTACTGTAAACCAAGTTTTATGCGTGTACAAGAAATATGCAAGAGTTTTGCGACCTACTTTAACTCTCCAATATAAATCAACGCGAACCATGTATTTTTATTTGTATATGTAGAGAAGGTTTCTTCAGTTAATCATCATGGATTGATTTTAAACTGATGAATTGCGAATAAAAGATTACGCGAATAAAAGTTGGTTTACAATAAGCATGGAAAAATATTAGTTAAGATTTTTTAGGGAAACGTTTGCTTTTATCATAATGGAAATAGCCAATTGTAGAAAATAAAAAGGTATGATCGTCTTTAATTAGCATACAAAGGAAGAAAACTAAGGGCATTTTATAATCTGGTGAATACTGTGATAAACAGTATAAATTTAAGAGGGGGGGGGGGGGACTGACTAGTGTTCAACATATTTTTTTATGTGTTCACAGCAGGGAGAATTTTCTTTCGTTTTAGGCTTACAATGTATTTGAGACTTACTCCACTTAAACTACGACTGTATGCACTGGTAACTTTGGAAGTGGACTTGTGGGTTTATACATTGAAAGTGACCTTATTCAAAGCAAAACTTTGGCAGTATGAAACTCCATCAATCAGGCTGAAACTCATTGACAACAAAAAAGATGAGAAGGACAACACACCACCCAAACTTGAAAGTTTTGGAGTAGGATAAATTCTGATAATAATTTCCTGAATTTGCTTTTTTGAACATTTTAAAAATTATTCTACTGTTTAAGGGAGAGAAAAAGTCTATTGATATCCTGATTATGGAAATTAGATTTTGATGTGCTTGCATTGCTTTGATTTTCATTAGGGAACGACTCCCTCAGGATCCTGTGGAGTTGAACAGGTTGCAGGTCGTGATCACACAGAACCAGAGTTTACCATCAATGTTATGGCAGAGGATGACAAAAGTAATGTTAATCTACACCTAGACATTGGAACAGTACCAGGGGGCTCTGATGTTATGTCCAGAAAACAACTTGGAGGGTTTTCCACTGCTTTGAGTGATGTATGTTTACTATCAAAAGGAGGGTTTGATTTATTAAAAAACAAGATGTGTTTGTGAAACAATGATACCCATATGGCAACTTACAGCAAAGGTTAAACTTTCTAAAACCAAATATATTGGTACCCAAAATAAGCTCTTGTTTCGAGGAATATACCTGTGAAATATGAAAGCCCTAGCAGCAATCATTGAATAGATATGGAAAAATTTGGAGGAGGCGCATTGCTTACATTTGTAAGTCAATTCATGTATAGTGTATTAAGTGTTTCTGATAGTTTATTAATGCATCCTTTATTGTTAATTTTTATTTAAAAATTTTTTGGAGTAAATGTCATTAAATTTTATTAATATGCAGATCTGACAATCCAATAAGAAAAAAGTCTCCTTATTGGCAGTAATTATTTGGGGGTGATAATGACTAAAATAGAGATATTTGTTCCTGAAATACGTTGGCGGATGACGATAGGCGGGGGATGGTGGTAAAACGGGGTTTTATATTGCGAGGATATCGGAACTTGGAATTTTTTAGCGGTAGGCGGGGGTGGCCTTTAGGCAGATGCTTGGAATTTTAGCATACCTTTTGTTTAGACATGACATATGGCGGGATTCTTTTTTAGCTCACCTGAGCTGAAGGCTCAAGTGATCTTTTCTGATCAAAATTTGTCCGTTGTCTGTCGTCATCATTAACATTTTACAATTTCATCTTCTCCAGAACCACTGGGTCCATTTCAACAAGACTTGCCACATAGTATCTTTGGATAAAGGCAATTTTCGTTTGTTCAAATGAAGGGTCACGCCTTCTTCCAAGGGGAGATAATTACAAATTAGTGAACATCTAATGGCTTTTTTTAAAATTTCTTCTTAATAACCATTAATTGGGCCAGAAAATAATTTAAAAAAAAACTTATGTGGAAGCATCCTCAGGTAGTGTACATTCAAAAAAAGTTTGTGTAAATCATGACCTGTAGTAGGGTTAGGCTGCAATTGGCAATCAAAGTTTTACAAAGGAATACATAGAAAAATCTTTTTTAAAAATCTTTTCATAAACAGCAAAGCCATGAGTGGTCATATTTATGTGGAAGCATTCTAGGGTACTGTAGATTCAAGTTTGTTCAAAACATGACCCCCAGGGGTAGGGTGGAACCACGATGGATGATCAGTTTCACATAGGAATATAAATGATTCTCAGGTGGTTGTCTATGCCTTTAGGCCTTATGCCTGAATGCTTCAGGACTTTAAAGATCCAGAACATTTTAATTTTCAAATATTTCTTTTTATTTTACTGTTTTTATAGGTTTTAAGTCCAGCTGGAGTTCCTTTATACTTCACTGTCCATGTGTCCAATGAGGCAGGAGTAAGTGTTCCAGCCTCCTGTAAACTAGACACGTACGACATGACGATACCAGGAGGGAGGATGGCAGAGGCCTTTACATCCATCAGTAATCCCAGTGTTCTGAAGGCAGTAGTCACAGTGTATGAAGACTCACCCCTCAAAGAGACCAAAGTAGCTGTTGGGTATGGCAAGAACATTTGGGGAGAACAAATCATCAGATGGACAACTGTCTCATTAGCTGCAAATACAATTAATTATGATGTTGGTGAGTGAATTTTTTCTTTGGTTTCAGTTGAAGTGGTAACTTAGACTGACCATTTAGTTCACTCCAAGCACCAAAAAGAGGTGACTGCAAAATTTTAATCACCAATAAGGAATTTTAAAAAGTACTGTCATTTGAGATGATGGAAAGATTCATAATAACTAGGAATGCTAACTTCTGTACCAAATCAAGTAACACTTTACACCCACCTAACTTTTTTTTCTACTCTCTGAAACTGCACTATTTTAATCAAAATTAGCTTCTTCCATGAGAGAAATTGGAAGAATAAAGAAAATCAGTCATAAAATAAAATACTGAACAAACTGTATAAAATCTTTTGTTTAATATTTTTGAGATTTTACCTTACATTCATACTTGGTCCTCCCATCCCGAGTAAAGGCTTGTAAAACTGTGTAAAACTCTGATAAGGCATCCAGATTTTACATAAGAAAAAAGATAAAAGGTCTCAAATATTTAAAAAAAAAAAGAAAGAAAGAAATAAGTATTCACTTTTGAAATTAAAGCATATTCATATAATGTAGGTCCATATATTTTACAGTCATCTCTTCCATGGGCAAATAGAGGGCCACAAAAAGGATCGAAAATTTTATATACTGTAAAATCACATATTTTGAGGTCAAATATTCATGGTTTAAGGAGTAAACATTGTTCATTGTGGAGTTTATTTTGTGGTTGACAAAGTGTTGAGTTGTTATACATGTATATCCGTACGAAATTTTGAGGCGGAATAGGCACGGCTTGGGCACGGCTAAGGCATGGAACCCACGTGGGTTTTAAAAAAGCCGCACGGGTTCTGTATGTCCAAGACACGGACACGGATTCTGAGTCTGAAAGTGAGGAATCCTTGCTCACAGAAACCCGTGTGAGGGCACGGAATCCGTGTCCCAGGGAGACGGTTTTTAATGCAAGCGGGTTTTGCTTTAAACTATTTATTTATATCTTACGGCTTTTTACTGAGCATGCTCAATCATAACTACCCTTATTTGAATATTAAACTGGAGGGATACATTGTCATGAGCTAAGAATGTGTCTTTTTTACTCGAGTTAAAGGATATTTAACTAATAGATGTCAGTTGGAATTGTATTTATGTCAGTATGGAATTATTTCATCACTTTTGAACTAAATGCAGTAAGCCTAATATAGAATAAATAATTCATTTTCAATTTTCATGATCTTTCTGTATTGCAATGTTGACAATGAACGTGATGAAATAGTCTTTGTTTATTTGAATGACTTTAGTTAGACTTTCACTAAGCAATCCCTATACATTTTATGTGTCATCACTGTGCTACAGAGATTTTCATTTAAATTAAATTCTTTCGCAGATTGTGCAAATTAGATAAAATTACAATAATAAATTGTACATATCATTAAATTCTTACTAACAAACTAGCATAAATTGTAAATGGTAAAGTAAATCTGTAACAGAAAGTAAATGGACACATACATATAAGATTTTTAACTTTTAAAATTCTAAAACTAAGCATAATAATAATGTAAAGCATTGTGAAGTTTGGTTTTTATCACCAGTTTGGCATCCACAGTTACATCAGGAGATTCTCTAATGGCCCTGACCTAGATCTAGATAAATGCACAGATCCCGTGACACCATATATGGTATGTCTCATGGCTTTTTTGACACTGGTAGCAAAAATCCGTGTCTACATATATGGAAAATGACACGGGTTTCGGAAAAGGGTTAACAGAATCCATGAGTCCATATATGGATACTAGCATGGCTTTCTGACACGGATTTTGTCAAACTCTGTGATCTAATATATAAATAATTCGGCCAATATCCCATGCCGTGTCCGTGGCTCGACCACTTTAAGGCACGGCGTCCCATACATATTTTACATAGGAGCAGGAATGCTATAAGCACGGGTTTCTGGAAACAGAATCCGTGCCTGGGCCGTGTCTAAGCCGCACGGACTGTTTTGTACGGGTATGTGAAATTTCACATTTCATGGTGGACATGAATTTGTGGGTCTCTTCATGTCACGAACACAATGAAAATTTAACCATTAGAAATATAAGGTAAACAATACTTTAAGCTTTTCAAAAGAAATGTCAAATTGTTCATCAAGAGTTAAGATATACCATATATATGTACATATTTTTAAGCAATGCCTAGGGCATACATGTAGCTTGTGGGCATGATATGATGAGTTTCATTAGATACATATGCTAGTAAGCACAGCATTACCAACCTTAACAATTCTTCTGTCTTGAGGATTTCATGAAGTTGACGTCATTATTGGAAGTACATCAGAAAATTGTCTGTTAGCTTCTAAATAGTTAAAGTGAAAATAAGCAGAGATTCAAGTAACAAGAAGTGGTAGTAGAATAAAAAATAATATTGCTTAAATCCTCGATTTAGGTCATGATCCTTTGAATCAGAAAGTGATTGAATTGTTCTCATCTGGAAAGACTGGGAGACTTGTGGGAAGGGGCATCAAAGCAAACCAGTTCAACGGGATAACAACTAAAGAGGAATGTGCAGAGAGGTGCAATGAGATGCATGTAACAAAATGCTTGAGTTTTAATTATGATTATGGAACTTCTGGACATTGTGAACTTCTGGAGGCCATTGAAGGACATGATCACAAAATATCACGCGTAAGTATTGCTGGAAGAAAGAATATCTACAAGATCTTTCATCATATCTTATTTGCAGTTATTTTTAGGGCTCCACTTCAGAACAGCTTGCCCTTATCACAGCGTCCATCTGTCAAAACTACACAACCACTGTTTTGGGTCTAAGGTCAAAGTCAACGAGATGTGTTTGTGAAATACTGATGCCCTGTATGACAGCTTACGGTGAAGGTTAAAGTTTCTCAAATGCAAGTCAAACTCCAAGGTCAAGAGATCAAAAATGTTGTTACCCAAAAAAGGACTTGTGTCAATGGATATTCCTGGTAAAAATTTGAATTCACAAAATTTTACTTGAATCAATAACATCAAAACGTACAACTTTTCAACACTTTATACAACCATTCCCCACGAAAAATTGAAGGGTTTTTTTGACATCATAGACATCTGTTTTTTCAATAAAAATGGAAATCGTAAATATACTTACCTTGTCATTGGTCATTTACAAAATTATTTTGTTAAAAGCACTCTGATTGTACATGCAAGTACTCTGAAGTTGAATTTAAAAAGATGCTTGAGTTTCTGATTGACAATATCTATGTAGTTTTTTGAAGATCAGGTCTTCCAATAATCTGTTGGAAGTTCCATGGGTACCAATTGCGCCCCTTATTAGCAGACTGTAAATGTCAGTGTTTCTTACAAAAGTCCAGAGCTAACTGTTCAAAAGTATTATGCATATTTTAAAAGTGGGTCAAACTGAAAGGTCAAAAATATTTACACCCTTGAAAGGTCTTGTCACGATGAATACACTTGAGAGATATAAAAGCCCGAGCACCAACTTTCAAAAGTTATGGCCAAGGTTAAAGTTATGGGCAAGATTAAAATTTTTGTGGATAAACAGACAGACGGACATGGCAAAAACTATGTACTCCTGAATCTGATTATGGGGCATAAGAATAATTGCTAGGTTCATTTCACATTTATTTGAGCAATAACAATATAACGTATAAAGAAGGTTTAATCTACAGACTGCATCTACTACATAGGCTTAGAATGGCTTGAGAAATATCCCTGTACATTTTGAAATCATTCGGTCCAAAATATGACAATATCATTGCTATATTTTTCAACCTAGAGTTTGCATATTTACTACACAATAGTAATATTTTTTCAACCTATAGTCTGCATATTTACCACACACTTGACAGATATGTTTTGAAGAAGATTTATTTTTTAATGTCTCTTAATTAAAAAAAGATCAGGATCAAAAGGTCAAGGTCCAAGGTACTGAAAGTTTGCAATTCTTGTTCATTCTAATTTTCTGTAATGCAGGGATTACTGGAGTTCATATTTAACCCAAATGATGCTTATTATCCAAGTGTGTAATATAACCCAGAAACAAAGTCTTAGGAATAAGGTCACGTAGACTAAAAGAGTGTAAAATTCTTGCCTGGTTGATAACTGTACAATGCAGGAATTGCTAAAGCTGGAAATTGACAGAAACATTCCTTAAATAAAAATAATGCAATGTATCATGACCATAACCTATTTTGAAATTTTTTATAAGGCTATGTTACAACGCACTTTGAAAAAATTTTTCAAAGTGCGTTGATTTTGTCCAAAATTTAACGCACTTTAAAAAAAATTTTCAAAGTGCGTTGATTTTGTCCCAATTTTAACGCACTTTGAAATTTTTTTTCAAAGTGCGTTGCCACAAGGCTATCATTTAGAAGTGCAGGAATTGTCAAAGTTAATTTTTATTAAAAATCTGATCATTACTAGAGGATACAGTGAATATCAATCTGCACAAATCCTGATTACAGGGATTGAAATTAAGCTTTTCTTCAGATCATAATTTTGAAAAAGAACTTGGATTACAAAAGTTTTAGGTGATATAAATGTTCCTTATGTCCAAATAGATGAGACATGAATCTGGGTGATTTATAAATTAAAGTTCTTGTATGCATTCTTTTGAGTACAACCTGAAGTGGATAATAGTCCCATTAGGACAAATGTACATGTAGTTTACCGAGTGCTGTATTACCAAGAACAATCAAGTAAAATGTTTAAATCTGATTTTTAACAATGAATTTTTAGCTCACCTGAGCTGAAAGCTCAAGTGAGCTTTTCTGATCACCTGTTGTCCGGCGTCCGTCCGTCTGTCTGTCTGTCTGTCCGTCCGTCTGTAAACTTTTCACATTTTCAACTTCTTCTCAAGAACCACTGAGCCAATTTTAACCAAAGTTGGTACAGAGCATCCTTGGCTAAAGGGGAGTTTAAATTGATAAAATGAAGGGCCAACCCCCCTTACAAGGGGAGATAATCAAGAAAAGATAAAAATTGGGTTGGGTCATTAAAAAATCTTCTTCTCAAGAACCACTGGGCCAGAAAAGCTGAAACTCATGTGGAAGCATCCTTGGGTAGTGTAGATTCTAAATTATTCAAACCAGGGCCAAAGTAACTCAGGTGAGCGTTGTGGCCCATGGGCCTCTTGTTAATTGTTAAATATAACTTTTTATAAAGCAAACCATGTTACAAAGCAGTATATTTTGGTGACTGCAACAATCATGATAGATCTTTGAAATGGAAGATTCAGACATGTTAAGATATTGTTCATGAAATTTCAATAGGATGGGTATTACATGCACTTTGAGAAGCTTGGAGTAGGTTCCAATAAAGGATTTGTGTATGAAAATGTCCAGTTACCTCACAATCAAATCATCCACTTCAACTTTCATGCTGTGAACCGTCTTGGATTTGAGAACATACTGTCATCCAAACCTATCAAAACAGATTATACACCTCCAGATCCAACATCGTGTAAGTATTTTTTTTATGTGGAAAGTATATATAATAAAGTGTACAATATGATTGATTTGTAGGGGACCTGAGTTACTTAGTCTTTTTGTCATCCATCATGCATTAACTTTTCACATTTTCAACTTTTCAAGAACCGCAGTGCCATAAGACATCCTTGGATGAAGTTGATTCAACCTTTTGTGGTCATCTGAGTCATTCAAGTCACCTATTGCCTATCTGTTCTTGTCTGTCATTGTGTGATGATTGTTAACTTTTCAACATTTTTTGGTTTGTTCTCTGAAATGGCTGGATCAATCTCAACCAAATTGGTTTGAAACATCTGTAGATAAAGGGATTAAAAATGAGAAATGTCATGGCTCTAGGGCCTGAGTGATACATATAAGGACCAAAACCATCAAAATTCATACAGTTGTTAATCATCTTCGTTACTTCTGGACATTTAATAGAAAAAAAAACGATATTTGAATAAATTAAAAATAAAATGAAGTTCTCTAGCGAAGCTGTAAAATTAAGGCCCCAGGATGGGGTTGGTCATATATTAAAAACTATCGTAAATCCATGGACCTCTTGTAGGAAGAAGGTTTGCATGATACTAATGAGCAGTAAGCCCTGTACCAAAAGTACGAAATTCAGGCTTAAAATCCTTGAATTTAAAGAAATGCCCTTATACTATGTATATTAAAATTTCCTCATTGCCCTTTATACTAAATGAGCTTCTTGTGGCTCCAAGTTTTACAAAGCTGCAAAAGAGAAAGAAGCAGACTATATGGCAAGAAAACTTCCTTTTGACACTTAAAGGGCCTAGTGTTTGTTCTCAGAATGAAAAAATATGATGAATTTGGTTGTTTATTTGGATAATGCTTGTTCTGATCAAAGCTTATGATTTTTTTTATCTGTATTTTGTAATTAAATTCTGGTGAATACCGATTTTAGGGCAGATAAACATAACCAGTGATAAGCTAGAAACCATAAAATGTGAGGATGTCATTCCCGATGACAGAGATGATTGGGAAGAGAGATTCTGTGAAGGAGTGAACCAAAAGACAAAAAATCACCGAATTGTCATTGATCGGGAGAGGTCTGACACTGTCTATAATGGCCATACTTATAAAAATGACCTCAAGTATACCAGGGCTAATAGATATATATCTGGTAATAGCAATATTTCTTACTAAAAATTGAAACTTACACAATATAAGCTCTGAATGAAATACCGTTATAACCATTAATATTTCAATGCAGTTCTGTAGAGTCATAGAGTGTATAATATGAGATTTGCTTAAAGGAATGACTTGAAATAATTTTGATATTTCTTAGCAAACTGGGATGGTATCTATGACAATGAGACAGGAATTCTGGGATACTCAGTGACAGCTGGGGAGTCAATATGTGAGGAGAAAATAAAGCAACATCATGATCCACATGCTCACCTGTTTGACCGGTCACAGTGGACTCATACTGTCATGATGTCCCCTCTAGAGGAACCATACACTGTTTTACCAGGTGTGATTTATACACCATATTTTACATCTGATTCAAAACACATTGCACTCATTTTAAATTATTAGTGAAATTTGAATTGTAATAGGAGTTGACAGTATATCTTGAGTTCGAAACATCTATCACAATTGGCTGAATTTCTGCAAATTAAATTACAAGCTTTGTGTTCATGATTTTATTCCAAGTTTCTGTAACTTTAGATGGACCCTACTATGTCACTGTAAGAGCCATAAACAACATTGAGTATGGTGGAGCATTGTGTACAAGTTTCTGTCACTCAGCACCTTACATTGTGGACAACAGTCCACCCTTGGTTTATGAAGTATATAATGTCCGCTACGACGAGGATAAGTTCAACCTCTCACTGAATCATAATTCATCGTAAGTACACAATTGTTTGCAACCATGATGGCACATTTTTTGCAGTAAGGCTTAAGTTCTATAATGCTTTTTGTCTCTCCATAGCTTCCACTTTTTCCATAACTTTCAAACAATTTAAAATAAGAAAATTCATATGTCAAGTTATCATACTAGATAGTGGCCATAGTTACAGGATACAGAAGTCAGTGTGTACATTGTGTTTCATAAAATACTTCTTTGTAATGTTTATAATTTTGTCTCTTCAGTAGAAAGTAGGTTTTGTTATTAAAAGCTATATACCAGACTACCTGGACTATTATATGTTGCAGTGATCCAAATTCTGGTGTGATTAGAAATGACCTGTGTCTGGGTAGGACTACACGAGACTGTGATGAACTGATGTGGTTTCCCATGGAATACAATCAAAATCTTACCTACCTCCATAAAGTTACAGAAGGTGTTCCCATTTGGATTAAAGTCAAAGTTGTGAATAATGGTATTGACATTTGTTCGACTGATTTTTTGTACAAATTTTAAATTCTGTTGTTCTGTGAAATTCGTGTCATTTTACTTTTAAAGATATGAGAGACATGCATGTACTTTTTGCAGTGGACCTGAGAACAATTGGTATATGTGATTCCCCTCTCATAGTGGACAGGTCTCCCCCTGTGGCTGGTGTGGTCAATGATGGAGAAATACCTGGAATAGATCTTAGTTACACCAAATACAAGGAGAAGGTAAGGAGAATTTCACTGAGGACATTTTAGCTGGGTGATGTATTTTTTACACAAAAATAAAGTTTGATTTATGGTTGCAAATAAAACTTTCAGATTTGCAGCAACTGGCAGAATTTCTATGATCCTCAATCGGGAATTGCTATGTACATGGTGGGTGTTGGATCTTCTCCTAATGAAACAGATGTTGCAAACTTTACTCAGTTCTCCAGCAGATCTCATGCTGCTTGTGTAGAGTTAAACCCAGAGAAATACCTACAGCACAACCAGAAATACTTCACTACTGTGTTTGCCTACAATGGAGGGCACATACAACAGAATGTGTCGGCCATCTCAAATGGGGGTATTCACTATTGAAATGACTTTAGTTTGATTTCTATAGACTCAGAGTATGCCACTTTTTACTTTAGTTGCTATACATCAATAGAGCATTCAGTGGATACTCCTTTATCTGTTGTACAGTTTTAGTTGACCTTACAAAACCAGTTCCTGGACAAGTTGTGGATGGGAACTCAGCAAATTTTACGGACCTGATATACACAACAAGCCAAGCTAAAGTTGATTTACAGTGGAAAAACTTCTATGATCCAGAGTCTAACATAAGTCATTATGATGTAAAAGTTTTCAGAGCTAAGTAAGTTTACCTGTGTTCAGTGTGACAAGTTTTGTTTACATCAAGCATAGGAAGGTTGACATATATGTTACACTACATGTATATTACCTAAAATCAATTTTAAATTGAAACTTTCAAGGGGAAGTCTTTTTAAAATAAAGAACCATTATCAAACATGCCCTTTGTTAGTTATCAAGTTTCATCTGACGGAATTCCTTTTCACTATGTAAATTAAGGTTACAGTAAAGCACCCTAAGATTTAAAAGTCATTCAGTCATATTTTAAGTTGAAAGGTCAAGGTTGTTAATGTGTTTACAATTACATGTACTTGTAAAGTACTCAATACTTTCAATATATGTATACTTATGAATATGTATACTTTTACATTCATTATCTGGGTAATTTGCTTATTCGGAAAACATCATTAGTTTTTAATGTCAGTAGAGCAAATCTTAAGGTCAAAAGATCAAGCGTTTTGATATCAACATACTAAAAAACCCAGAGAACATCATCATTTTCTTTTTCCTAGTTAGAAATGGGTCTTACACATGCTTAACTTTTTGCTTTGTTAGAAATATGAGTCACGACTTTGAAGAAATCAGAGACTGGACTAAGTTTGATGCTTCAACAAACAGTGTAAAATGGCTGAATTTCCACAATCGTCATAAAGACAGAATAAAAACATCCCTCAGAACCACTAACAAAGCCTTAAATGATATTGTGAACAGCACAGATGGATTCATTGTTGACCTGACTCCACCAGAGCTTCATTATTTGCGAGATGGAACAGAAAGCAAAGACAGAGAGTTCCAGGTATACTTATAAGAAAAAAATGCAAACAAAATGTTAAAAATGATTGAGGGAATTTAATTCTTTGTTGAAAGAATAATTGTATAGTTTCTGTCAACACAATAAAAATGGAAAGCTGTCAATAAATGTTTGAAGAAGAGCAAACATCCAATTTTTGAATTTTGTGAAAGTATGATGGGGGAAAATCATGCAAATGCTTAAGCTTATTAAATATTGCTTCTATTTTCAGTCTGAAACAGATCAACTGTCCGCTTCATTCAAATACTCTGATAAGGAGTCAGGGGTGGATCATATAAAGCTTAGAATTTATGAAGTGTATCATGGCACCAGAACACAGAAATACCCAGGTAGCAATATAATATTACACAGTCATAGAAGTTAAATTACGTTGTAGCTAGAAAAAAGTCATTGACAAGATATTTTGTGTAAAGGGATATAAACTAAATAATGCACTTCAATATCTTTCCCCTCACTCATACTGTTGGTATCATGTATGTATTCATGTATTTGGATTAAATTTGTAGTGGTAAAGAATGAATGGAAAGACCTGCCTGATGGAAATCTGACCAGTCACACTTGGACAGGCCTCACACTGAGGAATGGAGCACGATACACTATGAGAGTGGGAGCCATCAACCATGCTGGATTCTTAGCCTCCTTTGAGACAAATGGCATAGTCATAGACACTTCACCACCAATAGTAATTCTGAACTTGCTGCACTATATTTATGTTTCTATTTTAAGTTTTTTTTTCATTACTGTCTATCAATTATTATAACATAAATCCAGTTTCAATATGTAAAACAAAACCTTCTTTGTATAGAAGCGTTTCATGTGAATAGCGTTAGTTCAATGTTTTATGTAATGCTATAGTCTTTTGATACACTTTAAAGATTTTTCACAAGTAGCTTTGTTAAATGATTGAATGTGCCTTTATAAGATTCTTTGGTTGAAAATTGGTGTGACTGGAAAAATGAAGGAGCAAAAGATAGAAGGTCATATCTGGCAGGCTGATAGAAAAGGAATTAGGGCTTCCTGGTTGTGTAGAGACCCAGAATCTGGAATTTTAGACTACGAAGTGGCCGTTGGAACCACCCTAGGTAACTGTTGTCTACAATATCTCTTTATTTGAAATTATGAATTTTAAGTGGTAAAAAACAGTGATAGTTCAAAGTATGTATTTTATTTAAAGGAGGGACCGAAAAGTTGTTCTGGAAGTCTGTGGGGACAGAGAGTAGTCAGTATATCAGTGGACTTAATCTAGAATTGACTAATCAGACCACAAGATCTCCTGTGTACTATGTATCACTGAGGGCCAGGAATGGAGCTGGGCTTAATTCACCACCTGAAGCGTCCACTCCCATTATTGTAGTTGAGGAGGACAAAGCTGGTTAGTGCATATGGTGAACATCTATGAAAATTGCGATTTTTAAAACATTTCAGAATTGAGATCTTCTAAGGTAATTTCAATTCATTTTAATGACTGAATATTGATAAATCGGATAGTTATCTTTTTGAATAATTCCAGGAATAGTTGTGGATGGCCCTGATAATGTGGATCAGACGGTGATAAAGAAACAAGCTGTCAACATCACATCAGACATTGACTACCAGCTGGACTCCTCCACTGTCTCTGTACAATTTACTGGATTTGAGAGTGCTCTTCATGGAGTCATGCATTTCGAGGTAGCAGTTGGTACTGAACCCAGTGGAGATGATGTGCTCCCATTCACAGCAGCCAATATTATTCATATGGAGAAAACAGATATTGCTGGGCATGGTAATTATATCCCCGCTCCGAAGGAGAGGGGGGTATACTGTTTTACCCTTGTGTGTCTGTCTGTCTGTCTGTCCGTCTGTCTGTCTGTCCGTAACAAACTTTGGTCGCAGATTTCTCAGCAACTACTCATCAGAGGTGCTTGAAATTTTAACACACTCTTTGTTTAGGCATGCCATATGGTGGGATTCAGTTTTGTACGAATTCGATGTCAACTTCCTGTTTATCCGTGCGTTTGTCCGTACCATACATAACAAATTTTGGTCGTAGTTTTCTCAGCAACTACTCATCGCAGATGCTTGAAATTTTAGCACAACCTTTGTTTAGGCATGCCATATGGTGGGATTCATTTTTATACGAATCCGATGTCAACTTCCTGTTTATCCGTGCGTCTGTCCGTATCACACATAACAAACTTTGGTCGCAGTTTTCTCAGCAACTACTCATCATAGGTGCTTGAAATTTTAACACACTCTTTGTTTAGGCATGCCATATAGTGGGATTCAGTTTTGTACGAATCCGATGTCAACTTCCTGTTTATCTGTGCGTCTGTCCGTACCATACATAACAAATTTTGGTCGTAGTTTTCTCAGCAACTACTCATTGCAGATGCTTGAAATTTTAGCACAATCTTTGTTTAGGCATGCCATATAATAGGATTCATTTTTGGAACAAATCCGATGTCAACTTCCTGTTTATCCATGCGTCTGTCCGTACCATACATAATAAATTTTGGTTGTAGTTTTCTCAGCAACTACTCATCGCAGATGCTTAAAATTTTTTCTTTGTTTAGGCATGCCATATGTTGGGATTCAGTTTTTACAAATCCGATGTCAATTTCCTGATTATCACTGTGTTTGTCCATAACCAAACTTGTGTATTCACATCAGAGCGGGGGTATTATTAGTGAGCATTCGCTCACAGACTTCTTGTTATGATCAGGCTCATAGTATGGAATCTGCAGTATGTGATGTGTTCATCAATCTTTCTACCTGTCATAATTTGTAAACTCCTTGTCTAGAAAACTAAATTTAAATATTTATTGCAAGGTGATGGGTGGTTAAAGGAAGACACCAATTGACTCTGGAGTCACTTTCTCCAAGGAACTTTTCGATAATTTGAAATCACAAATTTTTCTAAAATAAATATCATCAAAATGTACTACATGTACTTTTCAACACTTTATACAACCATTCCCCACAATAAAGTTCAGGCTTTTTGACATCATATACGGCTGTTTTTTCAATAAAAATCAAATTGTAAATATATTTACCTTGTAATTTGGTATTTGAAGTTGATATGAAAAAGATGCTTGAGTTTCTTATTGACAATATCTATGTAGTTTTTGAGAATCAGGACTTCCAACAATCTTAGAATTCCCATGGGTCCCAATTGAGTCCAATTGAGTTCTGTAATTAGCAGGCCTGTTTTTGTATTCATATGAAGCAGAATTTATTCAAAAACTTTTACATGAGAAGAAGAAAACACTTGCTGTAGCCTTTAACTCACCTTTTTGATATATCTTCGACGTATTATCAATTAACAATAGTTACCTCCATTCACATGTCAACTTGATGTATCTCAGTGAGCTTGATATAAAAGATATCACAGAGTCTGACACATCTGTTTCATATTTATATATTTTACTTAAAAAAGATGTGAAAGGTTACCTAACAACAAAGCTTTTTATTATACCTCTACAGATTTTTCACTATATAAGAGTAAATCGATATATTTTGCTGATTCCCTGAAAATCACCGTAAAAAGACTGATTCCCTGCAAAAAGGTGTGTCGGATTGGTGAACTGATACACACCTATTTGAAACACCTAGCAATTTCTTTTAATCATACGAATATGTTTCAAATAAAATTATTAATATTCATAGAGCAGCTCTGTTAATGTGACATATAGGGAGGCGGGGCCTAATTTATACGGGAAATGAGTACGCATAACTTATTTTGACCTTTACATGCATGGTTAAATATATAAATCTTTTTTCTTATGAAACAGCAGGACTAGAATATGTTTTGTTGATATTGATTTGCAAGCATTCTCATATAGTGTAATATGAAATTTGTTCAAATTGTAATGCACGGGGCTAGGGGCCACAACAGATTGGTCATATTGTTGAACTTGTTATGTGAAGTAGGAGGATCAAATCTGTGCCCAGTATTTAAGTCATTTTAATTTTCATTTTACAGGTTTATCAAGTTCAGGCTATGTTCAAGTAAATTTACCTTTGGAAGCCAATAAAACCTACTTTTCAACTGTCCGAGGCATCACAAATGGAGGAAATGTGTTGGAGACAAGTTCAGATGGATTTACTGTGGACCAGTCCCCACCAACTATTGGCATTGACAGGTGTGTTTTAGAAAAAGATCAAGCAACGTGTATTAGAAATTAAGGAAACTGATTTTTTATACCCCCATTCTAAAGGAGAGGGGGATATACTGCTTTACCCTTGCGTGTCTGTCTGTATGCCGGTGTGTCTGTCCGTTCCTAATTTCTTCGCAGTTTTCTCAGCAACTACTCATTGCTGATGCTTGAAATTTTAGCACACTCTTTATCTAGGCATGCCACTGTTCATGAAAATATGAAATTTATGTGGAATCATTGTGAGGTAGTGTAGATTCAAATTTGTTCAAATCATGACCCTCGGGGGTAAGGTGGGGCCACAATTTGTGATCAAAGTTTTACATTAGAAAACATAGGGAAAATCTTTGAATTCTTTATAAGAAGACCAAAGCCATGATTGTTCATAAATATTTAAAAGCATCCAAAAAGGTAATGTTGATTCAAGTTTGTTCAAATCAAGACCCCCTGGGGGAATTGTTGGACCACTATGAGCGATCGAAGTTTTACATAGGAATACATATGAAAAAATCATCTCAAGAACAGCAAAGCCATGATTAGACATATTTATGGAAGCATCCTCAGGTAGTTTAGATTCAAGTTTGTTCAAATCATGACCCCCGGGGTAGGGTAAGACCACAATGAGTGATCAAAGTTTTACATAGGAATACATAGGAAAAATCTCTAAAATTCTTCACAAGAAAAACAAAGCCATGATTGGTCATAAGTATATAAAAGCATCCAAAAAGGTAATGTAGATTTAAATTTGTTCAAATCATGAACGTTCACCCCCCAAGTGGAATAGAGGGAGCATAACAGGGGATCATAGTTATACAAATCATACCCCCTCCCAACAAAGCCATGATTGGTCATAAATATGTAAAAGCATCCAAAAAGGTAATGTAGATTTAAATGTGTTCAAATCATGACCCCCCTCCCCCCAGGAGAAAAGAGGGGCCATAACAGGGGATCATAGGTATACAAAGGAATATAAAGGATATATCAATAAAAATTTTCATCTTAAAAACAGCAAAGCCATTATATGTCATATTTAAGCTTGTTCAAATCATACCCCCAACCACTTTTATATTTAAACTTTCAATACTGAACTGATTTCTGCTTTTTACTAGCCAAAGTGCTCAGGTGAGCGATGTGGCCCTGGGCCTCTTGTTGTACAAATGCGATGTCAACATCCTATTTATCTGTGTTTCTGTCCGTACCATATTTTTGTCGCAGTTTTCTCAGCAGCTAGTCATTGTTGATGTTTGGAATTTTAGCACGTGCACTCTTTGTCTAGGCATTCCATATAGTGGGATTCATTTTTGTACAAATCCGATGTCAACTTCCTGTTTTTCCGTGCGTCTGTCCATACCAATCAACTACTCAAAGCCGATACTTGAAATATTAGCACACTCTTTGTTTAGGCATGCTATATAGTGGGATTCATGAGAGCATATATTCTATTCAGAGCTGGGGTATTACTAGTGAGCATTGGCTCACAAAATTCTTGTTCTATTAGAGCATAAGAAAATTATGCAATTACCGTATGTTTTTGCAATTTTAGATTTGGAGAAAAATCTATAGATTTAGATGTTTCTGACAGAGTGCTGATTTACGAGCAAACAGAAGATGCCTTATCAGCATTGTGGCATTACAATGACACAGAGTCCCACATTGTGAGGGCTTGGTACTCTGTAGGCACCTTCCCATTTGGTCAGGACATTGCAGAGAGAAAAGAAGTAACGGTATCTTCAACATTATCAAGCTTCCTTGCAAATAATGAAGTTACACCCGATGTAACAGGTAAGATTTTTTTCAGGTATATCTGTTTCTGTCATCTTTTACTGTGTTACCCGAGTAGCATTGTAGGCATATAAGGACCACTTCGTCTTTTGTCTGTCCTTTTGTATGTCAGGGAGGATTCATACTCTAACAAAAAAGCCTATATTCTATGATTTCAAATGGAATCATTATGAAATTTCATGTATCTCAGTAAGATACATGTAAAAACATCATATTGAGTTTTGATGGTCAGTTGAATTCAAAATGTGTATTTATTTATCAGATCTCTTAGTAGATACAGTGATTACTTGTTTTGTTAAACTGAGGCATAAACTTGTACATCATCATTCAAATTTATATTATAAGGATTAATATTTTACATTTTACATTTAAAGTTTACATACCATTTAATTTTTTTAGGGAAACCTAACATAGTCAGTGTTTGGGCAGAAAACTCAGTAGGTCTCGTCAGCAAAAGCGGAACAGGAACAATATTGATAGATGAGACAGCACCACAGATTGGAACTGTCAACTGTCCATCCTTTATACAGGCAAGCAACCATCATTCTAGAAATATGTCTAATATAGAAGTAGGTGTTCACAGAAGAGTCGAAGTTAACACTGCTTTTTTTAATCTTTATTATAGGCATCTGTTCCTATAGTGTGTACATGGACAGACTTTGTGGATGCAGAGTCACCAATCAAGGAATACAGGATTATGATGGGTCATTCTAAGGGAGACAACTCGGTATTTTCTGGTGGTGTAGTGCCTGGGTACATTCAAACCTTTACTATTCAAGGTATACATGGGAAGCTGAGAAAAAATAGAATATCCATTATTTATTTATTTATGCATAGTATAATTATTGATGCATAAAGAAATTTTGTGAATTAACAACCAATATTAAAGAGCAAATATTTATATACATGATTTTTTTTTCATGGTAGGCATTGAGGAAAAGATGCAGCATGGTGCCAAGTATTATGTGACTGTTTCAGCAGTGAACACAGTTGACATGACTGAAAATGCTTTCTCTGATCCTATTGGGGTGGATCTAACTCCTCCCCAGAAAGGAATGGTGGTAGACCTTCATTCTGTATACAGAATTGATGCTACCAGCAATGAAAACACTGTGACATTGAATGCAAGGATCTGTCTGACAAAAGATGGTATATTTTTAAGAAAAAAAATTATCAGATTATGAATACTCCAGGGTGCATGAATGGATGCCTATAATTTTTTAATTTGATATTTTTGGTCATATTTAGTAACTTACTGGCAAGAAATTAAACTTGTATTAATTTTTCTGTTAGAATGTAAGACCTTGGATGCAGTCTGTACAGAGTCTTTGACTTCTCTATCTGTCACCTGGATTCCATTCACTGACCCAGAGTCTGCTATTGTGGAGTAAGGGTCTATAATTTTTTAATTGATAAGAATAATTTAGAACTGAGATAAAAAAAATAGCCCTATAACTGTGCATGATAAAAATATTTCAAGGTATCAAGTAGCAGTTGGAATTACCCCTGGAGGAGGCCAGGTCAAAGCGTTCTACAGAATTCCACCGGACAGCAAACATCATACTGTGACAGGACTCAATCTGGATGGATACAGACAGGTACTGCTTAGTCTTCACTATTATGCAGAGTTTAAAATTGGATGAATAAGATATATTGAAGGATTCATCATGATGTTATGCAATCCCCCTCCACCCCCAAAAAGGGAGCATATTGTTTTGTACCTGTTGGTCAGTATTCAGTATGTTGGTCAGTAGACGCAAGTGTCGTTCACTCAATATCTCGAGAATCCTTTGCTTTGCTGACATCAAATTTCTTAAGATTTGTTTTCCCTTGAGGACTAAATGACGCTTAATACTTTTGAGGTAATAAGTTCAAAGGTTAAACTACCCGGTACTCAAGACATGGAAAGATATTATATTGTCTGCTAAATATCTTGGAACACTGTGCTTGGCTGACATCAAACATGGTACGTTGGTTTCCTTTCAGGAGTAGATGACCCTTATTGATTTTTAATCACAAAATTAAAGGGTTAAAGTGAAAAAAAAAATAAAGATAAACTGAAAAAATCACATAATTTTCATGGGGGTCAAATTTTCATGGTTTGAGGGAAAAAATTGTTTCTGGAGATTTTATTTCGTGGTTGCAAAGGTTTTAAGGCATAGGAATCAAACATCAAATTAATATGTTTACCCCCTGACTAGTATGTAGGTTAACCATTTTTCACTATCATGACAGACATTCAAAATTTGAAGTTGACACTTTTTTTGATATAGCAACATGGGGGCATACATATGTATTTCTCTAAAACGTCTTATTTTCTCAAATAATTTTTGTACGGATTTTATTTTGGCATTATTACTATTGTTGTGATAGCATACAGTTCATTCACTGGACGTAAGCGTTATCTTTCTTTGCATCAAAAATTATATACAGTCAAACCTCATTATATCAAACACTTTGGGACTAAAAGAATTGAGATACCTCATTCTGATGGATCAAGATATTGAAGTAAAAGCACAGTCAAACTTCATTATCTTGAACTCAATTTGACCAAGAAAAACGTGGAGATATCGGAGGATTCAAGGTATTGAAGTTCAAATGCATGAAGAATAAGTGATTGTGACTTCAAAACTTCTTTTAAATATCCATGGTATTTGAGATAATTATATCAGTGTTTGAGATATTTAACTCAACATTAAGAAAAAAAGGTTCGAATTTGTAACTCACTTCGAGAAACCTTTGATATTCGAAATACTAGTATCAGATTTTGAGATAATGTTCAATTGTTTCGATTATAAGGACTACTTGCTAGATTTGCATTTCACTGTAAATTTCACTTATATGACTTTGTATTTTGCATGTATGATTTCAGCTCTTTGTATCAGTAAAAGGGATTAATGGAGCTGGATTGAGCAGTGTTTCTACATCTAACGGGGTCTATATATCTTACCTGAGTCAAGGAAAACCACCTCTGTCTCATATTGGAGTTATGGACATGACTGATGGAGAAGCTGTAGATATGTAAGTATATACATGTGCATTGTACATCATTCATGTTCAGTTCAACATGCATTATTGAAAGCATGTACAGTCACTCCTTGTTATCTCGAACTTGATGGGACCGAGAAAAAACTTAAAAATATCCGAGGATTCGAGACATCGAGGGTAAAATACTTAAAGAAGTAGTTGGGACTTCCAAGTTGGGATTGACTTTCAATCACTTCAACATATCCATGGTATTCGAGATATCAATATGTTTGAGATACCAATGTTCAACTGTATATAAATGTAAGAATAATGAACCAAAATGTTCCTCTGACTGTTCAATATACAAGAATTACTTTCCTGTTTCAGAGATTTTCAGACAAGTCCCAATACAATACAGGCAGGCTGGGATATGTCAGGTGACCCCTGTCCAGTTGTGAAATATGAGTGGGCCATCAAAAGAATCGATGGACTCGAAGTTTCCAGTTTCTTGGATATGGGATGTAAGCTTAAGGACCTTTTTAGGTCACCTGAGTCACTCAGGTGACCTATTGCTATCCGTTTTTGTCCGTCGGCGTGCGTCGTGCGTCGTGCGATGTGTGTTAACATTTGAACATTTTTAGCTTCTTCTCTGAAACCGCTCAACCAATTTCAACCAAATTTGGCATATAGCATCTATGGGTGAAGGGGAACAAAAATTGTGAATTTCATGATCCCTGACCCCTGGAGCCTGAGGGGTGGGGCTAAAACCACCAAAATTAATGCAATCTTTAAAAATCTTCTTCTTTACTCCTGGACATCAAGCAGTCAAACTGTTGGCATGATTGTAATAAGCATTGACCCCTCTACCAAAATTGTGAAATTCATGGCCCCAGGGTCAGGGGTTCTGGTGCTAGGGAGGGGTTATATAGATTATATAGTGAAAGTGCATTATTTCTTTGAAAATCTTCTTCTCTGCTCCTGGGTATTAAATAAACTAACTAAGTATATAGTTATGATGAGTAAGAGTGCCTCTTCCAAAATTGTGAAATTCATGGCCCCAGGGTCAAGGGTTCTGGTGTTAGGGCGGGGCTCTATTGATTATATAGTGAAAATGCATTAGTTCTTTGAAAATCTTCTTCTCTGCTCCTGGGTATTAAATACAGTAACTAAGTACATAGTTATGATGAGCAAGAGTGCCTCTTTCAAAATTGTGAATTTCATGGCCCCAGGGGCAGGGGTTCTGGTGTAAGGGTGGGGCTCTATTGATTATATAGTGAAAATGCATTACTTCTTTGAAAATCTTCTTCTCTGCTCCTGGGTATTAACTACAGTAACTAAGTACATAGTTATGATAAGCAAAAGTGCCTCTTCCAAAATTGTGAATTTCATGGCCCCAGGGTCAGGGGTTCTGGTGTTAGGGCGGGGCTCTTTTGATTATATAGTGAAAATGCATTAATTCATTGAAAGGCTTCTTCTCTACTCCTGGGTATTAAATACAGTAACTAAGTACATAGTTATGATGAGCAAGAGTGCCTCTTCCAAAATTGTGAATTTCATGGCCCCAGGGGCAGGGGTTCTGGTGTTAGGGTGGGGCTCTATTGATTATATAGTGAAAATGCATTAATTCTTTGAAAATCTTCTTCTCTGCTCCTGGGTATTAAATAAAGTAACTAAGTACATAGTTATGATGAGCAAGAGTGCCTCTTTCAAAATTGTGAATTTCATGGCCCCAGGGGCAGGGGTTCTGGTGTTAGGGCAGGGCTCTATTGATTATATAGTGAAAATGCCTTAATTCTTTGAAAATCTACTTCTCTGCTCCTGGGTATTATTGAAACAAATTAAATACATAGTTTTGATAAGCAAGGATGCCTCTTCCAAAATTGTGAAATTCATGGCCCCAGGGACAGAAGTTCTGGTGCTAGGGCGGGGCTATATAAATCCTGTAGTGAAGGTGAATTATTTCTTTGAAAATCTTCTTCTCTGCCCCTGGGTATTGTTTAAACAAACTAAGTACATTGTTATGATAGGCAAGGATGCCTCTTCCAAAATTGTGAATTTTATGACCCCAGATTTAAGGGTTCGGGGGGGGGGGGGGCTTCTATTCATTATAAAGTAAAAAAGCAAAATTTATTTGAAAATATTCCTTTCTGCTTCTGGTTAAAAAAGCTATGAAGCTAAGTGTATAGTTATGATGAGCAAGAGTGCTTCTTCCAGAGTAGTGGATTTCATGACCCCTGGGTCAGATGTGCTGGTGTGAGGGTGGGGCTCTTGATAATATAGTAAAAATGCATTAATTCTATTAAATAATCCTGTTTGCTCCTTGGTATTAAGCAGATAAACAAAGTGATTAGTTATGATGAGCAAACTTATGGTCCCAGGGTCAGAAGCTCTGGTGTTGGGGGGGGGGGGGGGCTCTATTGATAATATAGTGAATCTGTAGTAAAAATGTGTTATTTCTTTAAAAATCTTCTCCGCACCTGGGCATATCAGAGGCAAAAAGAGTAAAAGTTTTAATAAGGAAGATTATTTTTACCAGATTTTTGAACATCTGGACCATTTGGTCAAGTGTTCTGGTCCTGGCCAGGGCTCCATTATTTTGTATTCTATTGAGAGGAGTTATTCCCGTTTGCCATTTACTTTTGATAATTTATCACTGTAAATAATGTACTTGAAAGGTAAATAGAATAAGATAATTATGCAAAAACTTTTATTGTATAATACAAAAAGTACTTTCATAGTTTTAATGATCAGATAGACTTGTAAGTAGTAGATAAATAAAAATGAGACAAAAATAACTTGTCTTATTAAATGTTCATCAAGGACCAAGAGAGGCCAATGTAAGAAATTTCAACAAAGGATTAAAATAGTACAGAAGCATTGATAATTTGTTAATATACTGTATGGTGATAGTGATAAATGGGGCTCAGATTTATAGAACATAATTTATAAACTGTTAATGAATATTAAGACCAATTATTTTGTTGATCATGATCACCCTATTTTTCTTGTTTTTTGGCAACAAAGTTTCACCTTTCAGTTCATTTTATACTCTATGCATCCTTTAAATTGTTGTATCATACTCAGGTGACCCTTAAGGCCCTTGGGCCTCTTGATGAATAAAGGACAAGGTTGGCTAAGACCCTTTTTGGCCCCTAGCTGGTTTTGGGTATCTCTAAGAATTATCCAATAGTTTATGATCAGAAACCTGTAGTCATCCCTGTTATGACATGAGTATTGATTCCTAAATGTCACAGGAAGGTTACAAAATATGCCAATTTCTGATTTTATTTCATTTTTATTCAAATTTTCATCAATTTTAAAGCACATTTCATTTCAGAACACACAAAGCACAAGCTTGCCTACCTACCAATTTTATATATTCTATATATTTCATGCATTAGTATTAGATACATCTTTTGTATGAAAATCTCAGGTAGACAAGCTTGAGCTCTGTGTTTTCTGAATTGAAAAGCATCTCGCATTTTGGTAAAATGTCGTACTGTATCACTAGTACTGTCTTTTTACCTTCATGTATGCTTTAAATCAAAATTAGTGCTGGATTTAAAAGAAGCAACTTTTAAAGTTAATAGTTGCATCATGTCATGCGTTAATATTTGAACATTTTCAGCTTCTTCTCTGGAACCACTGAACCAATTTCATGGCCTCAGGGTCAGGGGTTCTAGTGTTAGGGTAGGGCTCTGTTGAATATATAGTGAAAATGCATTATTTCTTTAAAAATCTTCTCTGATCCAGGGCAAACAAACTGAATGCATAGTTATGATGAGTAAGGGTGCCTCTTCCTATATTATGAATTTCATGGCTCCTGGTCAGGGGTTCTGGTTTTAGGGTGGGGGGGGGGCTTTAATGATTACATAGTAAAAAAGCAATAATTCTTTGACAATTGTCTTTTCTCCTTTGTATTAAGCCAATGAACTAAGAGTATAGTTATGATATGTAAGGATGCCTCTTCCTATATTGTGAATTTTATGGCCACTGGGTCAGGGTTCTGGTGTTAGGGCAGGGCTCTAATGATTACATAGTGAAAATGCATTAATTCTTTGATAATCCTCTGCTCTCTTTGTGGGTATTAAGTAAGCTTACTAAATGTAAAGTTATGATGAGCAACTGTGCCTCTTTCGAAATTGTGAATTCCATGGCCTGATCTGGTCTAAAATGTGATTCCAATTTAATTGTGGCAAAGTTGTTGCATGATACTCAGGTGACCTATAAGGCCCATGGGCCTCTTGTTTGTGTTTGTAAAAAACACCTTTTTGTGTTTATCTAAGATTTTAACATGTGATACATTAAAAAGTCAAGATATGTTGGATGAAGTCCTAAATAAAGGAACTCTAGTTCATTTATTCATTTCTTAAAGTGAAAACATTTGGACTGAATGATGGATTGTTCATGAAGAACTTGGAAACCTACATAAACTTAGTGAGGGTCACAAATGCCATAGGATTTCAGTACACAATGCGATCTAATGGAGTAACAATCCAAGAAACTCCACTGCTGCCAGGCAAAGTGTATGATGGAGACATTGATGGCTATGACCTGAATTATCAACCAACAAAATCTACCGTGTCAGCTAATTGGAATGGTTTTGGACTACCCACAAATGCTGTAATTCAGGTTGATATAGAAAGTGGTATGTATTTGTATATAAAGCATGGTTTTTTAGATGTTCAGAAAAATGTAAGGTGGCTATTCTGATAAATAGAAGTTTGGTAAGCGATCTAACCCCAGAATTATTACATGTCTATTCATCTGTTTTTAAGAACTGGTTACTAGTGGTACAGTGTATGGATGTAGAAAAAAATCCTACTTGTCAGAGCAGACATATGAATTGCTTGGGTTTCTGACTGTTTGATATTAAATTTGTAAAATCAGACCACCATCACCCAAAAAATGTTTTATGCTGATCATAAGTTCCATGTATATCTGGATATTTCTTAAATCCCATTAAATATGAATGACATTGTGCATCCTAGCAAATGACTGCCAATAAAAGGACTTTATTAACTGAATTTTATATTATTTAGGAGACAAGAATTACTCATCCTTCTTAAAGACTGCTGCTGATATTTTAATTGAATAAACCTTATGAAATTAACCTTTATTTTATATAGTAAATGAAGATACTAGAAAATCTGGATTTTTTTACATGAACTTTAGAATACATCTCAGGACTTTTTCTACAGGCAATCCAGGAATACAAATAGACAAGAACAAGCTTGAGGCACAAGATGGAAGCCAACAGGTGGCTTACTACTTAGTGGCACTGGGAACTGACCGCCGCTTCAACAAGACTAGAGACAATGTGGTACCATACACTAATGTGGGGACCAACACCTCAGTGACCTTCTATGACCTTGACCTGACTCCTGGCATTGCTGTGTACTACTTCTCTGTATATGCTATCAGTAAATCTTTTTCCAGAACATTGGTGACATCCAATGGGTTTTATGTGGGATATGATGGTGGAGTAACAGGTGATTTTTTACCTAAGTTCAAAGATTGATGAGACACTCTCAGAAAAAAAGAAGTTACTCCATAAATATTTACTACATTTATATGCAATCAAAGAACAATTCTCTATGTTTAGTGGGAACAATATTAAGTCCTGGTGCTTGTGTCCCCAGTGCATCTGAAGTTGAAGTACAGTATGAAGGGTTTACTTCCAAACTTGGTATCTTGATGTACTATATAGCCATTTCAAATCATACAGAGGCTAATTCAACCAACTGTAAAGAATATGTAAGTACATGATTATTTACAGAAAATGCGTTTAATCCTTCTAAGGTGATTGTAATTAATTTTATCGAACTGACTTTTAGATTGATGGTGGCAATGTACCAGAGCAGGAGAGAAAGGCTTTGTTTTCCATTTTGGATGTGACAAATCAGGGACAGGACACATACACCAAAGTTACTGGACTGGGTCTGGAACATGGGAAAACCTATTATATTTGTGTCATGGGTATGTATTGACCATAAATCTAAACACAAATAATACGTAGATTGCTGAATAAAATTTTGTTGCAACAGCGTAGAAATACCTTAATCATTCCAGGTACTGATAAGTCTGGATCTTGTGAAATGACCTACTCAGAGTTTCTGGTAGATATCACTGCTCCAGAAATGGGAAGCATTAGAACTGGACCGTGGTATGATATGGTATGTGTACATTCTTAGCAGCTTTTTCCCAGATATACATGAAGATATTTAAGAATTCCAGAAACTCTTATATGCCGACACCAATCATTAGGAGACAGTCAACATGTTTATCTGTTTATATATTATATTTCTTATTCCAGGAAATGTAATTTCTTTGATTATATATCCAAGCATGTTATTTTAACAAGCAAAAACTTTTGCCATATTAATGATATTTGTATATAACAACAGTAAAGTTGAAGTGACATTTTTAAATTGTTTACAGAGTGTAGCCTATTCTACAGACAACAGTAGTATAAATGTAACATGGAAAGATTTCAAGGATCTGGAGTCGGGGATTTCTAAATTTGAAGTATCCTTATGGAAGAACAAGACCTGCTACAGAGACAGTGAAACTGTTTTGGTCAATGACTGGATAACACTCAGTAGTAACTACTCCTTCTATCAGCTGGTAGATCAGGAACTTGAGGTTAGGATCATATTGAGAATTTTTAGGTCACCTGAGTCATCTATCAGTTTTTATTTGGTGGGGGTGTATTTTATACTTCTGTGGATCCTTTACAGTATTGTTTTGTACTCAGGTGACCATTAAGGCCCTTCGGCCTCTTGTTTTAATAATCTGCTAACAGTCCACAATGTGAAAGCTATGAAGAATAAAAAAAATAAGGAAAAACAAATGCTTTGACTTAATACATCTGTCTCTATTTTATTTGTAAATATGGAAACAAATTTTACCATCTTCTGGATCCTAATAAATTACGTTTTGTTGTAGGAGAGAGTGCCTTATTTTGTGAAGTTACGAGTCACAAACTGCGCTGGTCTGTCTATTGTAAAACAGTCTCCAACCATTCTGATAGACTTCACACTTCCCACTCCAGGAGTTGTCAAAGATGGCTTGGATTTTCAGAGTGATCGACTGTGGTTTTCTAATCCACACTCTGTTGATGGTAAATTTTGATGAAAACTTTCTACTAATAATTTATAGATACAGTCAAACCTTGTTTACTAAAACTTGATGGGGCCGAGAAAAAACTTCAAGATATCAGCTGATTTAAGATATTGAGTGTAAAAAACTTCAAGAATATGTGGTTGGGACTTCCAAATCACTTCAACATATCCATAGTATTTGAGATATCAGTGTTCGAGATAACGAAGTTCAACCTTACTGTACTTTTATCTCTTGATTCATATAAATTAGTCTTGATATATGAGAAAGGCTTGGTAAGTCATTGGTAAGTCATTGCTTATTTGGTTTAATAAAAGATCCAGTCATAGATCCATCCATGGTATATCAGAAGTCGATAGTTTACTCCTAGTTGAAGACTCTTTATAAGTGGACAGATAAACTTATTATGTAATGGGAGAAAACAATTGTTTTATATCATTATTTGTTTACAATAGGAACTTTCTTACATTTTGCCAATCCAAATCTCTTGCAACATGCCTGTCCAAATCGTGAGATTTCGATGAAGGACAAAACATGGAAAGAACTAAATAAACTTGGAATGTTGGACCCAGATGGAGAAGCCTGGAGAATTAAGTATGAGGACAAATATGTGATACCAGCTCCTGTTGAGGACAAAGTGGACCTCAAATTGGTCCTCACCAAAGATTCTACAAACAGAGATATTATGGGAGCCGGTGCTATTTATAGAAAAGCTGAGCTCTATAATGGAGGGACATACAAGGTATGTTTAAAAAAGTAACAGCGCTTCAATAGATAATGTATTGAAACAAGAAAAAGCAAAATCCTAGAGTTGCAATAAGTTATGTGATAAAAAGTTAATTTCCACATCCTCTGACTTCAGGTAAGACTACAAGCTGCTAGTCAGGATGCAGAGGCTGTGACAGAGATACTGTTTTGGGATGGACCCGAGGAAGGCATCTCTACCTACAAGTATCAGCTGGAAGAAGAGTTTGTGAATTGTGGCTGTTGCTTTGTTAATCCTATTCCAGAGGTATACTTCTTTACATGCACCATTATTTTTTTATATACTATTATCTAGATTATATTTATTAGACACTCCTCTAGATCTTAGCTAGAATTATTCTTTGCATTAGGAATTTCTGAAAATTTCTGTTTGTAGTGGTGTGAAGGTTGTAATTGCACCAGTTACCTTCTTAACCAAGGATTTTACCTGAATGAAACCTTCAGCACAACTCCTGCTCCAACTACCACCTCAGTTCCAGACAACATCACCTTCCCACCTTATGATGTTGTAGACAAGCAAGGAACAAGTGTTATTGACAAACCAGATCTTTCAACTAAAATAGCTCAGAATTCTTGTGGCGTCCAGATTTATTCAGGTCATTGAAATAACATATATTCCGAAAGATAAGTATATGGCTGTGTGGAAAACAAATATTTCTACCTCTTAAGATGCATTAAATTGCCACGTAAATAAGGTGGTGTTGATGCTTTTTTATTTTACTTAAAGGCAACCCAAAAACCAATACAAGTGCATTCATAGTATCTTGGTGCAGATATTTCAATGACACAAGCAGAATGAGGAAATTGGCAACAGATGTTGATATTGACCCAGGCAAAGGTTTCTACAACTATAAAGTGGACTTTGTTGTGAAAAATGAGGAAGCCACTTCTGTAAGAATGAAAGAATCACTTCTGAAAATATGTTCTTTGGCATGCTCAAGTTTTCTTCCATTTTTTTTTATTGGAAAAAAGATAATTAAAAAACTATTGTAACATGTTTTTAATTTCTAGACTGTTATTTGTATGCTGGTTTACATGGAAGACAATTTCCTAAATGAGATTTGTGATGTACCTCATTTGTCCACGGATGCTTTGTTGTTCATCCATGTGTTTAAACGACTGAACCAGATGCCAGAACACGCGGACAAGTTCAGTGTTTGGTCAGCTAGAGCCTCTGTGTCAGCACTAGAGATGCCACCCCCTGTAGGAACTCTGTGTAGATATGGTCAACAGTTCATTGGATTCACTAATCCTATCATGAAGTATGAGGCTGGAGTAGGCACAGAATCACTGGCCACAGATGTTGTACAATTTCGAGAGGTAGACTTTTAAATTAAAAAAAAACAGTCTTTTTTTGGGGAAAAGTACAATTACTAAATAAACATTTTTTCTTCCAGATTGATCAACCTTGCATTCCATGTAAAGGAGAATGTTCCAGATTTGGCTGTGAAATTGGTTGCACCATTGCCCAAAGTGTTCAGAAAACATTTACTCTTTCCAATATCACCTTGCCATCAAAGAAAATGACTGTGAATGAAACAGGTCATGAGAGTCAACAAATAATTTCATACTATCTTACAGGTATATATGTTTAATTGATCTGTAGTTTGTAAAATTAATTTGAGTTGGGGGGGGGGGGGGACTATTCAGTATGTAACCAGGTTGATTAACCTCCAGATGTGTATTGCTAACTGACATGCAGATTCAAGTTCTTTAGGAGTGTCATTCCTGAGAAACTTCATTTGTTAAAGAGACCATGCAACCATTCAAGGATTCATAAATCATTTGGATTTTGAATTGACAGATGCTTGTAACCGCCTTGTGCAGGACAATCAATGATTTATGAATATCTACCTTTATCTTGGAGTTTGACCTACTTCTGCAGAATTTTATGTATTTCCTGTGACAAAATCTTTCTTTGGATACCAACATATTTGACCTCTTGATCTTGGAGTCTGATCTACTTTTGCAAAATTTTAAACTTCAAACTTTACCATAACTTTTGAATAGTTGGTGCTAGGGCTTTCATATTTTTTATATACATTCCTTGTGAGAAGACCTTTCTTTCAGTTTCAAATACATCCTACTTGAGTTAGGTCTGCCCAGTTTCTGTATATAGATATTTATATACCCAATTCAACCCCACCCCAATCCTAGATTTTGGACTAAAATATTTTATTTGTTTCCAGTGAGGGGTGTAACAGGATCGGGAAACACTGCTGTAGCCTCTTCAAATGGTTTCTATGTGGATGACACACCTCCTGTGTTTGACCCAGATGTCATGACAAATGGATTCTTCTACTATGATGTAGGACAAGGGGCGAATACACCTGTCAAATTTCAGAAATCTAATGATACAATAAAATGTATTTGGAAATGTGAAGACAAAGAAAGTGAAATTGTGGTATGCAAAATACTGACCTGCTAGATATATTGAACCATGATCTTTTATTTATTTATTTATTTTGGAAAGAGGGGTAGGTTTTTTCTTGAAGAAAAAATATTGAAAATTAAGACATTTTTAAGAGAATATTTGATTTCATTTTCAAGGAAAACTTCTGGGCCATAGGAACCTCACCAGGAGAAACAGACATTCAGAACTTTACAGCCACTGGACAAAATATTACAGGAATCAACAGTGAATTGGGTGGAGTCTTAAAAGATAACCAGACATACTACGCAAGCTTCATATGTTCCAATGGCGCAGGGCTGAATGCAACCTACATAGACACTGGAGGTAGTATAAGTCAGATTCTATTATACGACTGGTATTTCAATACCTCTTCTGTGCAAAGACTTTATTTTGAATTTTCTCCAGGTGTCATTGTGAAGCTCATCCCTCCAGATGTTGACAGGGTTAACACTACTATACCAGGTACTTCTCACTTCACTGAAGATGTCTACCCTAAGGATTCCCTCCAGCAACAGGACCCCACCTCTGTAGGATTCACTTTCACCAAGTCTGAAGATCCATCTGTAAACAGATATGGTAAGTTGTTTGGAGTGCACCATATTTATACCTCCAAATTGGAAAAGTGGGGGTTTGTAGTGGTGGGGGTCAACTGTAACACTTAGGAGTACCAAACTCTTATCTGCAACTCTTATACCACTGACTAAAATTTAGCACAGTCATTCCTCTACAATATTGGGGTATCCTTCTGTTATCCACAACTCCTTCTATACCACTAAATAAAAAGATTAAATGAGACTTTCACAGAATCTTTATTCTGTAGTGCCATTGTGCACCTCCAATTTTTTTTTTAATCAGACAGATATTTGAGATTTACCACAGCAAAACATGGACACTACCATTCTTTCTATAACATTGGAGGTACCAAGTTCTTATCTGCAACTCCTATACCATTGAATACGATTTAAAGAGACTCACAGAACCTTTGCTACATTGTGCTAGTGTGCAAATATTTTTTTCTCGTTTCGATAAGACAGATATTTGAGGCTGCCCAAAGCAAAACGTGGGCACTGCCATTCTTTCTATTATATAGGGGCTACCCATTTCTTATGTTCAACTCCTCCTATACCACTGAATAAAATCTGAGGCTTTCACAGAATCTTCATTTCATTGTGTCATTGTGCACATTCCACTGAAACAATATGACCATCTGTATTTTTTGTCCATTAAAATTCTGTGATGTCATGGCATGATAAATCAAGGAAATATTGGGAAAGGATAATTTAAGAAAAACAACATTTCTGAAGTTGAGGCAAAATGGTCAGTATAAACATATACATGTATGGAAACTTTTATCATATCTCTAGCACTTCTCAAGAAAACAGTTTTATATATACTAAATTCTAAAAGAAGAAGATAGAATTTGGCACCACTCCTACATGTACAAATTTCTGGTAAAAATTTTTCAAAATCATTATTATAATACTCTGCTGGGCTCCTGATGTCTCTGCTTTCCAATCAACATTTATAGTTTTTGTTTCTACATGTATTTCTGAGAGAAACTGTAAAATCTTTTGCAGATCTTTGTGTTGGATCTGAGTTAGAAACAGATGATATCTTTCCATGTACCTGGGTTGGCTACAATATGTCTGGATCGGCAGAAATCAAGAATGGATCTCTTTGGATTGATGGAAATGAAGTCAGAAAACTGTCTGAATTAAAAAGATACCAAGATTTCACCAACATAACCAACTCCTCTTCTAATAGTTTTACAATGCCAGTGGGTCAGCAGTTGTTTGTGACCTTGCGACTGTGTAATGAAGCAATGTTGTGTAACAACAAGAGTCTGGGAGCAGTGGTCATCACCAACAGTGATTCTGTAGTAGCTACATCTACCAATGGTAGTGCCATAGAGGAGACATTATCAATTACCAGCAGAAAACGAGCAGTAGCAGAACTAGACATACAGACACCAAGTGGTAAGTCCTTTACAGCAAAATTGTTGATCACAAGAAAGATTGTCATCAACACACAATGCCCCTCTTGTCCACTGTAGTTTTTATACACAACCCCAAATAAGTATATTGCAGATGTGATTAACTTTTTTGCACCTTATAGGACTAGCCAATGGTCAGACGATTATTGTAACCAAGCTGAGTGACTCTGATCTCACAAAAGACTACCGCTCTGATGCCTCTATAGATTTTGTATCATACATACAGAATCCAGCAACATCCATGGATATGGTGGACAGACTGCTTTACAAAAGGTCATTTTGCAGTTTCTAATATATTAGGCAAGAAGCCATCAAATTTAAATCAGTATCTGTTTACAAAATAGTTTGGCAGAGATTTGGATTTATGGAATGTTTCTGAAACTAATGGAGAGGTTCTGCAAAACAACATATATGAATGCATGTACATGTACAGTATGAGTTAGATTTACACAAAAGCATTAATTTACACAATTTTTCTTGTTTAGCAGAACTTTATAATATGCAAGTTAGTACTTGTAAATTAATGCTCTAAATGTGAAAGTCTTATCTTCGGATATTTTCAAATTTTTGTAAGCTAATACTTTTTACATTTACTGCAATTTAATAAAATTTTCATGAAGTCTTTATTACATAAGAAGTATTGTGCATTTTCTACTTATAACTTTTCAATTAGAAACATATTTGTGGTTTCCCATAGAAAAAATGAACACTGCCATTCTTTCTATAATATTGCTTACTAGTAAGCATTAATGGTTGATTAAGGGAAGTAGTTTTCATAAGAAGTATAAAGGAAAAAATATATTTTTTGGATGTAGATATAAGGACATATAAGCTACAAATTTGCACTTAACAGCTTCTTGGTGATGTTGTTGATGCATATTTAATTTCTTCGTTAGCAAAAGTGATGACAATAACACCAACGTCCAGGGTGATCCCCTGCTTTACATACAAGTACAAGATAGGACGCTAAACTAATCCTCATTTAATCCTAATTTAACAAACTTGCATCCTTGCCTACTAAATAATTGAAAACAGAACTTTTTTGTGGCCAGAACATCCATAGTAACCTAAATTTCATCCAAGAATCTGATGTTGTTGTTTCTTTAAATTAAAACAAAATAGTGGGTCTTCATTATGAAATCAATACTGGACAGTTATGAAAACATAATTTGACCATTTGGTTGTAGGATTTATGGACAGAGCTTTGCTTTCTCTGTGGTTCCTCTTGGTAATGTTCCAATGCCAGGTCCAATGGTCATCACATACCCAGACAGTGTGGGATCTGTAACCACAGGAAACAGAACAATGCTACTGCACTGGAACCCAGGTCAGTATGTTTGGAATAACATAGGACATTGTACTAAGTATGAAATATATTTACAATGGTTTATGAAAACTGGCTGTTATGCATGGAGGACTAACAGTAACATCTCCTGTTGTGACATTACGAAATGCAACCCTTTCCATGGTATTTATTGCAAACATTTGATGATAGAGGTACACTATTGAAGAGGTATCAGCATAAATATAGTGCATTTTTTTTATCCTTACTAACATTATTTGTGTCATACATCTACATCTACTAGGTACTCCCCACCCTTACCCAACTCCTTCAGTATAGAATTAAGATCTGAGCACAAATTGTTTCAAACAACCACTTTAACGGAAAAAGTGCAAAATTAACAATGTGTTTAATTTTGTTGCAGTTATGCAGTATTGGGAGGTTTCCAGCAGGACCTGTAAACATCTCCCTCCAGAAGAGCAAGAAAAATATGATGCTGCCAAACAAACCATGTCTGTTAAGGTACTATGAAACTTCTATCAATAAAAAAAAAATTAAGACTACGTCCCAGCATCTCTTACCTGTCGACAAAATGTATTGCTTTTCCCAAATAATGAATGTTTTAAATATTTCTGGAATTGTACTTCTTAAACCAAGTATTTCTGATCCACTCAAATTTGAGAATGTTTTGTATTAATTTATGATGTGCATGTTGCAGGTGTGTAATACTTGGGCAAAAAATGAAATTGATAAATCCGTGGTGTCTAGGAGGAAAAGAACTACGACAGAGACGATTAATTACTTTGGCAAGGAGACCATGTTCATTCTATCTTTAACCAAGGCATCCATTCAGAACTCAGCACCTAAATTAGACAGTCAAACAGAGGTTTACATAATGGAAGACTCAGGTAGCTTTCACTTAATTTTGCTTATTCCAGTAATTTTCATGCATAGGAAAGTTCTCATTTAATAATGAAAGAATTATTCAGAGAAAACAATGTGAGTATTAAATTGTAAGAGTATTGTTTAGAATTTATAGAAGAAAATTAAAGATACTGTTTAGTATATATTTGTTCACTGAAATTAACATTAAGATCAATAAAAAAGTCAACAAAAATGAAAATGATTAAAAAAACAATTTAGGCATCGTGAATTTTATTTAAAGGGACTCTACATTACAAGCTCTCAGCTGTGGATGAAGAGGGAGATCACATCATCTTTTCCCTTATAAATGGAACTTTGAATGGAGATGTCTTTCTGTCAGATAATGGATTGTGAGTGTTTTTTTTTTCTGATTGCCACTGGATAATCATTGCATCTTTTAATTTTTTTGTAACTTAGATGTGTTTTCTTTTGTCTTCCTTCTAGAAAATATACAAAAATTTCTATCATGCTGTATTCAAGTGAATTAAAACAGTCATTTATTTGATAATTGAGAAAGAAAAATGTGCCATTTTAATGATATGCAGGAAACTCATTCTAGTTTTTTTTTCTTTAGCCTGATTTATACTCCATGTGTGGACTGCTCTGGTGATGAAAAAATTGACATACTGCTGATTGAAAATCAAACAAACCCAGAAATTCCAGCAGCCAGCATGAAAGTGGCCATCAATATTCATATCCAGCCCATCAATGATCCTCCAACTGTGTTATTGACACTGAATGGTTCATCACTACTGAGTGAAGATTCAACAGAGGATGTTGTAGTATGTACATGTATATGCATTTTAAACTAAATGTTAATATTTGATAATGAGTTTGTTTATATCTGGAAGCAGTTTGTACTACATGTGATGTACATGCATATGAATGAAATTGAACTTCAAGGGTAAATGTTAGTTTCTTTACATTTAATTACAAAAAATTTAATATCTGACATTTTGTCATCAAATAAGGATGACATTATCACTATTTGCTTATTCTATCAACAAATACGTTGTGGATGGATTGGTTTAATTAACAAGAAGAAAATTTCACAAACTTATAAATGAAAATGTTGGAAATGCATATATTTTTACTTGCTTTGTAGGTGTTACTAGAAGCTATCAATGACTTTACTGCCATTAAAAGAGGACACTGGAAGGCCAGAGTTGGAGCTTATGATGTTGAGAAAAGTGATACACTGAAACTAATCATATCTAATCCCCTTAATTTGAGCATTTCTGTGACTGAGGAAAGTAAACAAGTGCCTCATTTCAATGCAGATTGTAATAGCACAGACAAAGTATGGGTAGGTTTCAGGGTTTTACAATATCAAATACCTACCTAGTCACAGACCTTCTCCATAATTCAATGAATTATGCAAAGCTGAGGACTTGAAACATTTCTTTTATAGTACTTTTTACCTTTGTCATCCTGACACAATCGAGTTTGAATGCACCACAGATGTATACTGTATACACTGTATACAGGGAAATTTTTGCCCCCTTTTTATTTTCACCCCTTTTGCCCTAGACACAAGTGGGCGAATTTAAGACGGGGCAAATTCAAAGAAAAAGTATAATTTCTTAAACAAAACTGTGACTGGGCGAAATTAAAACGGGGCAAGTATGAAAGGGCGAAAATAACCCTCTATACAGAAATTGGTAAGATAATAAGCTAAGTAACAATCTTATAATATTAGTGTCAAGTATGGAAATGCACTTTTCTTACATGAATTCAAGAAGACTCCTATTGATTTTGACTTGCAAAGATCAAGGTCCAAAATTTATATCTATATCTTGCATATTGAGGTTAATTTTAGGTATCTGAGCTTTTGCAAGGAAATTGTATAACTACCTATGACTTAAAGAAGACCTCTATTAATTTTAGGGTCAAAGGTTAGAAATTCATGTATATGTTGCATAAAATGGATTCGATTGAAAATGGAGTCTCTATAGTTCTCTTTGAGCTTATACAATAAAACAGAGATAATTACTCTAATTTAAAGAATCCTTTCCAGGCAAAAAGGTGAAAAGTCAAAAGGCGAAAGGTCAAGGTCAATTCTTTTCTTTCTCTTTCTGCATTTTTAGGTCTTCTATGTTTGTCCTTAAGCTGAGGACATGAATTCCCCGAATTAGCTTGTTAATTCTTTTACTAAATTGAATATATGTTCTTTTTTCTTTAGCCTACCATGATGCCATGTGCAGACTTTTCCAGAAATCTACCACACCCAGCTTCTGCATTGTCTTGGCTGACATATGTCATTGAGTTTATTCAGCCCAGGAATCAGTTTGGCAATTATACTTTAAGTTTCTATTTTGAGGACAGCTCTAGTGGAACCTCGTCTCCTCTGAACATTAAATTTGGAATAATGGAGATGCCTTGTCACAACAGTGGAACTTGTCAAGGTTTGTCTTGATCATTGTCAGTTAGCCTTTTTTTCTTATCATGCATGTTGCTGAGAGCAAAATTCTGGTTTCGCAGAACAATTTTAATGGTTCATGCCTTCTGCTTACTTTAAATTATGACATTTTGCATAAACCATGAGTTATATTATTGAATTTCAGAATTCATTGCAATTGCATAAAAAGGATGTTGGGTTTTTTCTTGGGAGGGGGGGGGGGTTTAAGATATACTTGTAATACTAATTTGCATTCAAATTTACAGCCACAGGAATCTACCCCTGTAATGACACCCACAGGACCCACAGCTTTGATGCCTACTACAGATGTCAGTGTACGGAGGGATATCAGGGTAGATACTGTACAGAGGACATCAATGAGTGTCTCAGTGACCCCTGTGAACATCCATTTGTCTGTTACAATAACCAAGACAGCTACCACTGTGCCTGTCCTTTAGAGAACCCTAACTGTGAAATAGTCATATGGATGATAGTGGTCAGTGTGTTGATAGTGATCTTTATCCTGGCGTTGATTGGTGTAGCTGTTTATAGATACAGGAAGCAGAGAGTGTGAGTACTTATTTATAGACTGTCCAAGGAACATGTCACCTGCAATTATCCTAAACAATAAAGTTTTATCAAACTTTGATATACATATACAGTATCAGCACTAAATAAAGAAAATACGTCAGTTATTGAACATTTTTTTTCCACTAAGCTAGCAGAAACTGTTTAGTGTGCTTTGAAATACAGTCAAACCTCGTTATCTCGAACAAAATGGGGCTGAGGAAAAACTTCAATATATATGAGACATCCAAGGTAAAATACTCAAAGAATAATGTCACTTTGAGATATCCATGGTATTCAAGACATCAGTGTTCGAGATACCGAAGTTCAGCTATACTTGTATGAAATAACAGCTGATGAAGCTCTCCCTTCTCATCCCATCTCCTTTTTTTTACTATCAGTCTGAGTTTACATAATTTGTTATTCTCCTACTACAATCAATATATTGTATGATATTGATAATAGAATTTCTATCAATTTATAATACAGAATTTTCATTTTTCTCCATATCTTTTTTCAGTAAGAAGTATGTTTTAAAGTAAGTAGAATGCTACATTTTACTGAAGATCACCAAATTTTGTATTAATTAGTAAGACAAAATGTTTACAAATTGTGATTATTATTGTGTATAATCATTTCCAATAAAAAAAATTTGCGTAAATGAAATTTTCCGTGAGTAGTCTGTATTGCATAATTACGCGAAAATAATATTCTCGTGAATAAAAAAGTGATTTACAGTAGTTGTTTCTGTGAAATGTGTCATTGAATGTCAAATTATTATTGCTGGAAAAATAATATTATCATATTTTTTCTTTTGGTAAGAAAGAAAAATATAAAAAGTTAAGTTGCACTTTAGATGTACTTTAGATGTATTTAATTGCTGTTGGTATGAAATTTTCTTCAGGGTTATACATGTACTTATAAGCTTTCTAACTATGTTTCTACTTAGACATGTTAGAAACATTAATTTCCTTCATTTGATTCTATATAAGTTATTAATTCTTTGACTTGTTTATTTTGTAGAAAAAGCTCTTCTGAAGCATCTAGTCCAAGCATATTAGAAGAAAGTCAAGGTAAGTTGCACAGAATATTAATATTAAACTGTTCACTATTAAAAGCAAATATGAAGATAACGAATAGTATTCAATCTCGAAAGTCCAATGAAACAATACAAATTTGAAGCAGAGCAAACACGGACCTCAAAATTTAGAGGTGGGATCAGGTGCCATGGAGGAGTGAGCATCCCCTGCCTACCGGTCACACCCGCCGTGTGCTCCTTGTCATGACCGGGTAATAACGGAGAAATCCGTAGACAATGTAAGAGCCTTTAAGGAAAAAAAATATAGCTATTGTTTAGTCCAAATCCTTGCTGTCATCATTTGAAAAATTTGAATATTTATTTCCTTAGTTGTTAGTATGAGAAATTATCTGCACACAGGTTTATTTCAATTTTTGAAAAGCTTTGTGGCCTGTACAACTTTTTATAATGATAATAAAAACATGACCTGAAACAATATTTGTATGAAGGTATGCGTGTAGTATTATAAATTACTTTTTTTCCAACGTAATTCTTCAGTATTCAAATGACACCTCTTGAAAATATACGTTCAACAATGACAATTCTTGAATTGAAACATAAAGGATATATTTAGGGAGAAATTCTAGAGATGCTGCTAAATGAATTTATCATGGAGGGTTTTTTTTTATTTTGTCGTAATGCCTTGTAGCAACTAGTTAATGATAAATGTAATCTCTATGTTACAATACTGCCTTAGATCATCTAGATCTCTGTGAAAGCATTTCCGCCATAATAACATTTTTCGACATTGGGAAACAAGGTACTTCTCTTATTATGTTGCAAAACAAATGTATCACTGAGCCCGACAGTCATGTCATGTGAACATTTTTGGTGATAAAAATTATACTTGGACATTTTGTTCAAAAGTGGCTTTCAAGAAAAAAAAATACAACTATTCTGTCAGTATATACTTTATAACCTTTTATTAAACCAGTAAATATTTCTTTTCAGGTGACATTACAGAATCAGAAGAGGAATTGGTAAGTTGAGCTTTGAAGGATAAATAAAAAAAATGTCAAAAGTAATTGGTAATTAATAAAGTAATTTTTAGATAAATAATTATATGCGGGTACATGTATCAACAAAGATTTGTATTTCATCTTTCAGGAACAGCCATTTCAAGAGGGAGAGAATTTTGTCCACTTCAATGTACAACCTCCTTTCCCAGTAAGTCAGGGCTGTTTGTAAAACCTTTAGTTCCATTATATCACAATTGATTTATGCATGCATTATAAACTAAATATTGTTACCTAGGATGCACAAAAAAAAGTTTTCCGGGCAGTTTCTCGTAGTGAGGACACTTGTCAACCTATAGCTGGAGATGATTATGATAATCAGGCTATTTCCCAGCATGAATTTGTGAATCAGGCATTTGATGAAGATGATAGTGACTCCTTTTCTGAAGAACAAGTTGATGGCCAAGATATTCCCAGAGATGAATATGATAATCAGGCATATTCTGAAGATGAGGATGGGAGTCGTGATTTTTCCAAAGATGAGGATTCTGCTGAAGAGGCGAAGAATGAAAGATATGATGAAGAGGATGATGACACTGAAAATTCTTCAATGTACGACGATCCATCTTTTGTGCATCCTCCACCAGTAAGTAAAAATGGAAAAATAGCAGTCTTTAAATATTTAATTTCTAGCATTTAGCCTTGACTTTGTTTTAATCTTCCCATTTTTGTGTTGTTTGTAAAACACATTTTCAAGGCAGCTAATTTCAGCTTAACTTGCCAAAAAGTAATATTTGATTGAAGAGGAACATATTGTCCATTTCTAATTAAATATAAGGAGGAAATAGTAAATTTAAAAATGACTTGGGTTGTTTGAACATTTGTTTAAGAATACCTTAGCCGGAAATTATAAAATCTGTAAAAATCCTAACAAATATTGATATTGTTTTGTGGTTTTTCAGTCTAAGGTGCACTGTTTTACAGATACATGTACAGTACACCACCTAGCTGCAGAACTTAAGCGTTATGGTTTTATATTTTAGTATTTGACCATAACACTACAGATCCCGTAATGTAAATATTGTGCAATTTACGGCACAAGATTTTCTGTGCATGGTTGAGGAGAATTTCTCCACTTTCCAGCATTGGTCAATCAACTACTTTCACTCCCTAATTCTAGACATATATTTAACCGATCTGTATATTAAATCTACCTCCTAACCCTTTACAATCATCTCTACGGACCAATTACGGCGCTTGTTTTGAATTTTTGTCAGATGGCAGAAAATTCAAAACAAGCGAGTGTATTGGTCTGTAGAGGCGATTGTAAAGGGTTAGGAGGTGGATTTAATATACAGATTGGTTATGTTTAACAAAGGAGTAAATAAACAATAAAAAAATGCATTGTGGCATTTGGCAACTGTTACCCATTAGGTTTTTGTATATAAATATTATGATAACATTTTCTTGATTTATGAAATAAATAACTTAAAAAGTCATTTATGAAAATTGTATTTGTTTATGCAGGTCCAAGAAGAGGGGGTGTTTTGGGCATTTACCAAAAAAGAATGTAATGATCAAGCTGTTTCTGCCTCTGATGATGAAACAATATTTGATAAAGATGGTGGCATCGAAACTTCATTTATTGAAGATGATCAGTCTTTTGTACATCCTCCACCAGTAAGTAAAAAGTGCATAAATCATAAGTCTTAGAAATCTTGAATTGGATGACATGTTTCTGTCTTACAAGAATATTGTTGATATGAGCTTTTTAGCAATGATAATCTTTTCATGATGAACTTTTATTAACTCATATTTTGAATGGGGATTGATTTTTAAGAAATAAAACTGATCATTTATAATAAAGTAAAACTCATTTAGCACAAACATAGATTTGGGAATTTATGGGTAAAGCAAAGTTTTTTGGATCACTCGGCAAAAATCTTAACAATTAATTCCATGTAAAATTTTGCATTTACAACAAACTGATATAACGAATATATGAATATAGCAAATTAATTTTGCATCCTGTAGAGAATAAAAAAAATATTTACGTCTTTCATTACAAATTTTTAAAGATGTCAAAATTGAAAATATTGAACTGACATCATTTTTATAAATATTTATATTTGAATTCAATTCATCAAAAAAAATTAAAATAATCCAAAGTTATATTTTATACTTCCCTAAACATATTCAGTACTCAAACTGGAAGGAAACATATATTGCAAATTCCTTATTTATCCTGAATCTGTTTTAGTTTAACAGATACAAGTTATACAGATATAACTAATAACTTGCTATAATTGAGTTTTATTTACATGAAATTGTCTTCCTTTGCTCACTCTGCTTAACAGCATAGTCAACCGGGTATGTATTTTTCAGAATGTCAACTACCCATCACATGCTGTGGAAATAGATGATCAGTCTTTTGTACATCCTCCCCCAGTAAGTAAATATTGAAGAAATCATAATTATCTGAAATCTTAATTTCTAATACTGGTATTTGACATAAGTGTAAAGAGATGCAATACATACAGGCCTAATTTCAAATGCATGAACATCAGCGTACACCACTTCATTTATTTCAGAATCTCAGCTATCATTCAGAAAATGCAATGCAGAATATTAAGAAATTTTATCAGCGTCATAGAAAAACAACTTTTCAGCCACTCGTTCCAGCTGCATATGACCAAAGCCATTTGTCTCAAAATAGAAGATTGACACCAAGTTTAAGGGGGAGAGAAAATGGACATTCTGCATCCAGAGTTTTGTCAGCTGGTCCTTCTGGTAGGAGATATGTGGGTGAAAATCTACCCATTTCACCAAAAGGCAAAGAAAAGAAGAGGACATCAATTGGTGGAAGATTACATTCTTCCACAGCAGCCCAGGAACAGGATAAGAAAGAAAACAAGACAGAGTCCGCTGTTGATCCTGACCAGGTCAGTTCCGAACCGGCACAATTATCTGTCTTTGTAGAGGACACCAGTGATGAATCAATGTGAACGGAACTTAAATACCAATTTGTGACCTTGACAGAAATGAATATATAACCCTGACTGTCATAACCTTCACTATCATATCTCTGATTTTAGTATATACTATAATTAGAATATGTCTACTTTGTAATAGTAAAGTATTAGTTTTGCTTCAATGTTTTGCATCTCAAATTCTTGTACACTGTATTGATTATTTTATCCTATTTTTGAATGTTTTTCTAGTTCAGTTTCAAGACTAAGAGTCATTACCAACTCTATAAAGCTACTTTCTTCTCCACACTCAGACTGCATTTTATATCTTTGTTCGAAACTTGAAATAAAATAATTTCTCATAATTTTAATGGTTTTCTTTAATTATAAATGTAAAGGAGATTTAGTCATTAAAAGATTTGAACTGGGTTGTACAAAAATTGCACTGGAGGTGTAGCTTAATGTTAAAACAGACCTTGACAACAAAAATGTGACAAAGTATCCTTGGGGTTAAGATCAAATAAAGGGGCATGTCCCCTTCAAAGAGGAGAAAATCAAGACAATGGAAAAGTAGGTTGGTTATTAAAACTTAAGAATCACTGTGCTAGAAAAATATACTGTTGATTCTAAATTGTTCAAATCACCCTTCCCCCCCCCCTCCCCCCCCCCTCGGTTAAGGGTGGAACAATAGGGGATCACAGATTTACATGGAAATATATACAATGTTAGTGAAAAATCTGTAAAAAGCTTTGGAAGAACTACTGGGCCAGGAAAAAAATGAAACCTGTGTGCAAGTTCCCTGACATAGTGAAGATTCTAAATTGTTCAAATCATGGGTTAGGATGGGCCACGATAGGGGATCCAAGTTTTACTTAAAATATATATATACACATAGGATAAAGTCTTCTCAAGAACAGCAGGGCCATGATTAGTGATATTAATATGCAAGTATCTTTAGAAAGTGCATATTCAAATCAGTGTTCAGGGACTTGGTTTGAAGCACAGTGAGGGATATATACTAGGATTTTTCACATGGGAATATATAGGGGGAAATCTTAACCATACAATAAAATTATTAATTTTCAAACATTTCCAAGTTCTTTGGATTCTTTTTTTTTCTTAACCAATGGAGCTTTCATCCGGGAACAAGTTTTACATAATGCATGTAATCCATGTATACAAACGAATTTCTTCTCCATATTGAGTCATATTGAAGCATTTCCATGCTGTATTGATTCAGAAACCGTTCGAGTTGGGGTGGGACTACAAAATCAAATCACAACATTTCAATGGAATGAAGAGAAGGGAAATCTGAAGGACAGCAGGACTAAGATCGACAGGGCATGCTTACTCCTCGTAGGCACCTGATCCTTCCTCTGGAATTTCCGGGGGTCCGTGTTTATGCCCTTTTCACAGATTTGTATTGTTTATAGATTTTTTGAGATCGACTTCTGTTCGTTATCTTCACCTTTTTCATTACTCAATTGAGTGTTGTGTACCATTGGCCTTTTTCTTAATTTTGCTTATGAAAGATCTAAATAAAACAGAATCAGAGGAAAGCGTCTCAAAAAGACACATATTTCTTTAATACACCATTTAATACACCGACGACGTATTGTCAATTAACAATGGTTATTTCCATTCTTATGTCGATACGATATATCCCGGTGAGCTTGAGATAAAAGATACCACAGAGTCTGACACATCTGTTTCATATTTGGATATTTTACTTGAAAAAGACGTTAATGGTAATCTAACAACCAAGCTTTATGATAAACGTGATGACTTTAACTTTTCAGTCAACTTCCCTTACTTATGCAGCAATATACCTTCAACACCTGCATACGGGTTTTATATCTCTCATTTAATTCGATATGCAAGAGCATGCTCTACGTATGTACAATTTCTAAAACGAGGTAAATTATTGACAAACAAGTTGATGAAACAAGAATTTCAGCAGTCTCGTTTAAATTCATCATTTCGTAAGTTCTATTGTCGATACAATGACCTTGTCAGCAAATACAATTTATCATTGAGTCAAATGCTGACATACGTTTTTATACTAATTGTTAGGTCATTATTTACACACTGAATTGTCGACGGATTTTTCCGTTATTTCCCGATCATGACAAGGAGCACACGGCGGGTGTGACCGGTCGGCAGGGGATGCTTACTCCTCCATGGCACTTGGGGACTTGTTGTTTATGCACCCGGATTCTAGCTCTCAATGTGGTTCCCATTTCACCGATGTAGAATTGGCTACATCCTCCGCAAGTAATAACATATGTTAAATTTTTGGACTCGCATGTCATGTCCGAATTTTTAAAGAAACTTTTTCCTTTGAAATTAAATGACGTTTCTTGTCTTAAAAAAGGACATGTCCACATCGCTGGTTTTTTACACTTCGTCACGGACTTCGTAGATTTCCTAATTTTGGAAGGACAGAGCATTCTTCTGAGGTTTTGGCTGCTTTTTGCTGTTTATAATTTAAATTTTGATAAAACACTTGACATTTCTTCATCTGTTTTGAGGATTTTGTTGAGATGTTGAACGATAGGAGTAATATCTTGGTTGTAAGGGTTGTAAGTTGTGACTAGTGGTAATATTTTAATTTCTTCTACATCCTTAGCAGTTGGATTAATTAATTCTTGCCTATCTAGTTCCTTTGCTTTCCTGATGCCATCGTTAATTAAGTTTAAAGGATAATGTTGGTCTATGAGATATGTTTTCAATTCATCCAGTCGTTGTTTTCTGGTTTCCTCCTCACTGACTATTGTGCATATTCTTCGGGCTAGGTTGTATGGTATTGCTATTTTAATGTGTCGTGATTGAAAAAACCAAAATGCAAATACTGATGAGTATCAGTACTTTTAGAAAATATATCTGTAGAAATTTTGCTTTCCTTACAGATTAATACATCTAAAAATGGTAAATGAGTGGAACTTTTTTTCCATTGTAAATTTAATATCTGGGTCTAATTCATTTAAGATATCATTTAAAATGCTCAAATCTGAATCATCTTTTTTTTCATATAATAAAACACTCATCTAGATAACCTTTCCAGTTTCTCTTAAGATATTCGCCAAATTCTTCATCGAATTGTTCACTGGCTTTTCATACAGTGCTTCTTCTAGATATCCACGGGTAAGAGTTGCATATTTGGGGACCATTTTGGTACCCATGGCTTTACCTTTCACTTGATGAAAATATTTTTCATTAAAAGTAAACACATTGTTCTTTAAAACTAATTCTGTGACTTCTAATAAAAACTCTTTTGTAAATCGGTTGTCAATTTCATTTCTGTAATTTGCAATCCAGAGCCTTGATTCCCAGGGTACTGGTTATATTGGTGAATAAATACACTACATACGAGTTTTGTGTCATAATCGATTTGGTTAGGTAGATGTCGTAAAAAATCTAAATCGTCTAGGGCAAAACTTTTAACGTGTTGGCAGAGAGGTTTCAACACTATATCTAGTAAATTGCTGCTGGGTAGGTGCTGCGGGTCCTCCAACAATCGGTCGGAATGTTACATCCTGTGAATTTTCACAAACAATGTATTCCGAGTTTTGCGAATAGTAATAAGCAAGAATTAAAAAGACATTAAAGAATACACACGTAGATTACGACTAGCAGAATACTTCAACAACGCATAGAGTGATGAATCGGATTCTAGTGAACCGAAGGATATAGTTAGAAATAAGTCTAATTTCAATCCCAAAAAAGGACGAAATAATATATTAGACACGGTTTGTGAAACTCTTCAAAGTCTACCACTGGATACTACAAATCCTAAATCAGTAAGAAAGAACTTGTCTAAAAGAGAGGAGAAAGCTTTGAGATCACTAGCAAACGATGAAACTATCATCATTAAAGAAGCCGATGAAGATGGAGCCGTGGTTATTATGGACGCAGATTACTATGAAACAAAGATAATACAGATGTTTTACAATACAGAATTCTACACAGAAGTTACTGAAAACCAGGATAAAATAACCGTGCAAAAAGTTAATAAATTGTTACATAAACACTCCTCAGCATTAACAGAAAAGCAGGAAGGTTTTGTAACTGACTTTGATTTTAAGGAAAGTTGTTTCAATGGACTACTAAAATTCACAAATCAAAATTAATCAAAGAAGCTATACAAAAGCAAAACTCGGAATACATTATTTGCAAAAATCCACAGGATCTAACATTCCGACCGATTGTTGGAGGACCCGCAGCATCTACCCAACGTCTCAGCGATCTTCTGAATATAGTGTTCAACGACTGCTTCAGTTGAATGAACCGTCACAGTAGCTCAGTCGGTAGAGCGGTCGCTCTGTGATCGGAAGGTCGTGTGTTCGATTCACTGCCGCGACTGACCTGAGTCGATAAAAATAGGTAGTAACTGTTCCTTCGCCAAGCGCTGGGCACTTTAAAGTGAAAGTTGCTGGTCCTTCGGATGAGATCTTAAAAACCTAGGCCCCATATCACGGTAGGCCTTGGCACGATAAAGAGCCCTCACTGCTCAATGGCTCTGAGTGCCAAGTAAAAGTCTTAATTTGAAGCCCTTCACCGGTATATGGTGACGTCTCTATATAAGTGAGAAATTCTCGAACGTGACGTAAAACAAAATATGATCAATCAATCAATCGAAGGAATCGGCCACCGACGCAGAAATAAATATAACTTGGCCCGACAGACACAAAATTTGTCGGCCGACGAAAAAAGAAGTCAAAATCGGGAAAGACAACGACCGATGAACTGCCGACTCCTGCGGAATCCTATTTTTGCCTTAAAAGCAGTCGGCCGTTGGTCGTTTATTGAAATTTACAGTGTGCATACACCCCCAGCGCGCCTAAATTTCATTAAGAACATGAATAAGTAAATAAGTCTTTAAAAAGTAAAGTATTATACATAATAGTTTATTAAGTTATCATGTTTAAAATAAAATGCAATACATCTTTAATGTATTTAAATACTTGACCCTTCGGATCTAAAGTTCACTTGATTCTCTCTCTCTCTCTCACATACACACACACACACACACCCTCACACACACACACACACACAACAACAACAACAACAACAACAACAACAACAATAACAACACACACACAGATAATTAATTAAACAAAAATTTAAGACGTAGTGGTACAAAATATAATATTGTATGAAAATGTCATTTGTATATACACAATCTTCAATATCATAATAAATCATAATCATAATAAAACAGTGATGTTTTAATGTAAATATCAATAGAGCACATTATCGAAGTATTACATGTAATGCAATCACTGAAAATGATACCGATAGGTATCTTGATTTCAGGAAAACTAGTCTAATCCGGGCATCAGTGAATCAATAGAAATTGGCCGGATTAGACCACATTTTATACAATAAAGTACGTAAAGTTTACAACGTATTAGGTCAGTTTTCGGAATACACAACAAAAATGATTAGACAAGTTCCACTGTATAATCTCTAAAGATGTTATTCAGAAATCTATGACATTTTAGATTCACATGTTATGTATTTAATATGAAGCTTATGATAAAAATTGCGCAAGAAGATGTAAAACAATCATGTTTAAGGTTTATTGATACTTTGATAAGGGAGATAACTCTTAATGACATAAATATCTATTATTCCTTTATAAATTTGTCAAGATGAAGTGTCTTTTTTGTCCAATTTTGCCCCGCAGGCCATGCTATAATTGTTTTACTTCGCAGCTAGGTTAAGGACGCCCATGAAATATACGCCTTAATATATTCAGGGAAAATGAATACAATTTTAATATTTTTTTTTTAACAGCATTAGTTTTGATAAATGTGATATGTGGTGTTTGCACTTGTATATATAGGGTCTCTGCTGAGTTCGGCCAAAACGACATCGCTTACATCAGCTGTTTGTCACGTGACAATTTTAAAATTAGAACATATATGTACTACTACAAAGATCGTAAAAGTTCAACGATATACGGGCATTTTTACGCTATAAAATTTATTCTGTTTTCTTTGAGACAAATTCCTTAACACGAAAAGTGCTGGGAGCAACTTCCTCATGCTCGGGAATTGTTTGAAATTTAGCCGTCTTTCTAAAAACTCCAGTCAAAAATGTAATTCGCATTGGAATAATGTTACATTACGGAATAAATCAACAAAGCACAACCAGCTCCCAGCACTTTTCAGAATAGTAGGGATAATAGCTACACGTGTTTAAAAATTTAGAATTTATAGTGAAGCGGATATCGTTGAACTTTTGATATTTTCGAGGGGCTGGACCTGTCATTCTAGCATGTTACTGTACAAATGTGCTCCCTACGGCCTAATATAAAGTCTACACATTATCAATTTAGTTTGACAATAAAATATGGATTAATATATTTCAGAATATTTCTCTCTTTTGGTCCGACTACGCGTGTTTCGTATTTATCTTTATTTTTACAAGCTACGATAAAAGCTTGATCCACGCCTCAAGTACAGAGAAACTGCGTGTCAAACTAAGAAATGACGTCATCTCAGTAAGTACAGCGAGATCAAGCTGGCTTTCATTCTACATACGCTAAGTGCTATTATGGCAAGATAAGTTGCACATCCATTTATCTTTATAATATTAATGATAAACGAAAGTATTTAATGTGTTTTAAAAAGAACATATAGTATTTATTCATCGAGATTCATTTGTATTGTTTTAACGTGACGTCATAATAGCATTACCGAACCTCTGCATAGGCTGCCGTATATATGGGAGTCCTTAACCTAGCTGCGTTAACAAATACATTTCTTTTGGAAAATCATAAGAGTTAAAGAAACATTTTATATGAGTGAGCAGAGGGTTTATGAATCTTAGATCCTATTTTATTAAGCTGAGGAAGAATAAGAGTACCGAATTCCGTAGATGATGATAACAATGATACCTAAGACGATAGACACAATGACAAATGCCTTTGCGTTTTGTGCATAGGAAGAGGCGCCTGCGAAATCTCCATTTCTTTCTGATCGTTTGGCCTGAAAAATATATAGATACGTATCCAGATGTAAAGACCATAATTAAAAAACAAAAACAAAAACAAATCAAAAACAAATCGAAAACACTGTAATATCTTTACAATTTTTATTTAAGATTTAATACTCTTTTCTGAAAGATTTACATCATTTTAACAATTTGTTCGGTACATGTTAATTCTAATTAATTATTCACGCTCTGAAACAAACACAACCATCTCTAGGAGACTGTGTGAACTTACCTACTTACCTTTGTCGCATTCACGATGGCAAAAATTCCGGTAGGCCAAAAACAGAACAAGCACACAAGAATTGATGGAACCAACCAATCGGTGTGGTGAGTTTTAGTAGCAGGAACAACCACGGTCGGCTGTGTTACCTTATTTGAAAGTAAAAAAAAATAATCTTCTAAATAAACTGTTTCATTGTCTTTTTAAAGTTGATCGCTCATTTTAAAGATAAAATCAATCTTAAACAATAGTAGACTGAAAAAATGAAATTATTTTAAGAAGTACTAAAAGATTGAAGGACAAAGGGGCGAATTTTGGACAGTGTAATACTTTATACTTTGTCTAAAATGGGTCAATGAAGCCTTTGATTTAAAAAAAAAATCATTACCATAACGCCTTGTGAATGTGGTATACTGTAGATTTGTCCCTGAGTAGAATTATATTGCATGCTGTACCCATTCATCTCCGACAGGTTCGGTTGCGAGGCATCGTGAGTGGGCCCTCCTGGTTTATCAAACTGCATATCATACCCTGTATTACCAATACCATAGTTCTGCGTGTTTAAATCTTTGTCTAAAATCTGTATAAGAAATCAGTGGGAAATTAAATCAGTTTCCACAGGTAATTTTTAATTATCTTCATGGAGTTTAATTATGTAATGAAAACTTAGTCATTACATGAATTGTAGTTTAACACTACATTAAAACAGTATTTAGGGCAGAAAAATGGACATTAATTAAGACAGCTTCATATTTTTATTTTGTATTTATTTTTTTTTAAATTCTTATTTCTTCAAATGTCAGTTGATTATACATGTACATCATATATGCTTTGTCTAGAAAGGTGAATTCGAGCCTTTGCTTTTAAAGAGTTGTTACCATAACCCCTTGTGGTGGTGGTATACTGTTAATGTATCCCTGAGTAGAATTATATTACATGTCGTACCCAGCCATCGACCCTTTCTGTTTCGAGGCATCTTGATTAGGTCCTCCTGGCTTATTTAACTGCATGTTGTACCCTTTATTACCCAAAACATTGTTTTGCTTGTTGAAGTCTTTGTCTGAAATCTGCACAATAAATCAATAGGAAATTAATGTTTCCGGAGGGCTTTTTATCATTTTCATGGAATTCAATATCAGCAAAACATTCAAAGGACTGTAGTGATAGCCATTACTAAATATTAATTGAAATATACAAGAATTGAGAGTGTAAGATGTACTTTAAGACATTATTTGAGAAATAAAATTATGTTGCACATGTTCTTCCATTTCTTCAAATGTAAGTTCTGAATAAAATTATGAGTGGGGGGTAAAATAAAAATTTAAGCCACCATACAAACAATTATAAAAATATATCTACATTTGCTTTTCTGAAGACACACAGTTAAACATATGAAATATGTTAATAAGATAGATGCACTTTTCATGAAATGCTGATTTTGGATTTTGATTGATAAAGATATTATTATTCTCGCTTTTACAATTCAGTTGAAGTTCTGCTTGTTATAGTAAAAGAGATTTGCTATCATTAAACATACCATTTAATTGTTATCTTATTTGTATACTTATTTTTATTTCATATTTATTTAATATTTATTAAGTTATTTATTCTATTTATTTATTTTTTTGTTTTTAGTCACCCGCCTGGAGCAGTGGTTAGAGCGTTTGCTCTAGAGTCGCGGAGTAAGGAGATGATTTTTACGTCGCGGGTTCGAATCCCACTGCTTGACGCGGAGACCGGTTCTTTGGAGAAAACTGGGGTCCTGTCTCGCAGTGGGTGCTGGCACAAAAAAAACCCTTACTGTCTAAATTTGCAGCCATCTATCTGCAAGTGGTGACGTCTAAATATGAGTGAAAATTCTCGAATGGACGTTTAACAATCAAACATTTTTTTTCGTTTATTGTTGTATCATATATCATGGAAAATAACTTTATTCTTCATTCAGTTTATACTCTTGGACCACAGTTTGACATTATCGTAGCACAATGGTCAAGTTAGGGGAATTTCGCAACATAACCTGGCAAAGTAGTGAGATTTCCATTCCATGTACTTCAGAAATAAATTCTAGAACTTTTTTTTTCTTTTCGAACCTTTACCTTTCATTTAAATAATAAAATCGCCCTCAAACAAGGATTGACTAAAAATGTAAAATGTTTTGAGAAATAATGAACAATTGAAGCACCGTTTAGAAAGGTTAATTTGAGCGTTTGGATTAAAAGAGATATTACCATAATGGCTTGTGGTGGGGGTGGTACATGTATACTGTAGATTTGTCCCTGAGTAGAATTATACTGGAGGCCGCATCCAGACGTCTCCGAAGCGTTCGGTTGTAAGACATTGTGATTAGGTTCTCTTGGTTCATTTAACTGCTTATCATACCCAGTATTAACAGATCCATTGTTCTTCATTTTCATAAAACTGCAAATCAATCTGTATGAATTTATGATATTAACACGTGATATAAAATGTGAAACATGATATTAACATGTGAAACACTTCACTTACATTCTTTTCATATTATTTATTTTTGGTCTTTTTTTAACCATTTACCCTGAGTAAGTCTAAGAGCCTTTGAAATACGTTTCCTATCAGACGGAAGAAGAATCGAAATAATTGATTAGATAATTCCCAAATTGAATAATACTGATAATAGATTTGTGGTTTGACTTTTGTTCTTTTTTTTTTTTTTTTTTTTTTTTTTTTTTTTTTTTTTTTTTTTTGACCATTCAAACAGAGTTTTCTCAAAAGGGTTTTGATTACAAAAAAAGAGAGGATATCTTTATCTTTGAAAGGAACAATGTGTAAAATTTTAGTGATGATACATTAATCTAAAACTAATGATAATTTACCTGGTAATGCACAGTTGCACTGGTTTGTTTACAAATGCATAACGCGCTTTACTTACCTGATTTTATAATCAAAATGTCTTACGTCACAATGCATTTAATTTATGAAGTTATGCAATGCGATGAAAAGTTTTTAGTTTAAATGACAGTAGTTTGTTGATGTTTACGCGACCTATATTACGCGTACGCCATTTTTTTTTTATTTTCGAGGGAGTAACTTTCAGGTAAATACACAAAAAGCCAGTATCCGGATATTAATTGATAAACAACAATTTATTATAGATAGGGAGAGATATAAATTTGCTTTTTTCTAAAAAGAAATACCAGATCAAAGATCTATAGAACACCATTTAGTCGACTCTTGCTTTATTTTTTCATAATAAATGCCTCCTAAAAATATATGAAAAAAATGGTCTCCTTAATATTTTATGTTTCTCTCATATGACTTAAGGAGACCAGTGTATATTTTTTATAAATATAACTTGTGGTTTAAGTAGACCATTTTTCTTTCATAGTAATTTCACTTATTATGCATTAATTAACATATTGTTTCCAACCAGAATAGTTGCGGATGGTCATTAGTCAAGGTCAGCAGAAAGATATTTGTGCTAATGTGACTCAACATGATCAGTACAAAACTTTGAATTAATTGTCATTGCACAAGTGACTTAAATAGAGAGTAGTTGCCCCAGTGGCGCAGTGGTTAGAGCGTCTGCTCTAGAGTAGCGAAGTAAGGAGTTGATCCTTACGTCGCAGTTCAAATCCCACTGTGGGATGGGGAGACCGGTCCTTCAGATGAGACCGTATAAATCGAGGTCCTGTGTCGCAGTAGGTGCTGGCACGAAAAAAATCCCTCGATGCTCAATGGCCGTAAGTGCCGATATAGGACAAAATTTGCAGATCTCCACCGGCATGTGGTGGTGTCTCCATTTGAGTGAAAAAATCTTGAGAGGAATGTTAAACAACATACAATCAATCAATATATAGAGAGTATAAGCCCAGAGTAGCTTGTTCTGATATCCACATTTAACACTCAATGCTGTCGCCCACGTGGTGCAGTGGAAAGAGCCAATGCTCTAGAGTCGTGGAGTTAGTTGATCCTTTTCTCACATGTTTGAATCCCACTGTGGGACGTAGAGACTGATCCTTCGTACAAACAGAGGTCCAGTGTCGCAGTAGATGCTGGCATGAAAAAGATCCCTCACTGCCCATTGGCCCTGAGTGCCAAGCATAGGTCATTTGCAGCTCTCCATCGGCAAGTGTTGGCATCTCCATATGAGTGAAAAATTCTCCAGAGGGACGTTAAACAACAAACAAACTCTCAATGCCCAAAACAGTTTAACCTAAAAGTGAATGCAGACATAGATTATTCTTTAGACCAAGTATAGTATACTCCATATTGTTTTGTTGAGGACACAAAGTTCACAGTGGACATCAAGTAGTTTTTCCTGCTATTTATACCAAGCTTCTTTTAAACCATATAGTCACTGAGTGCATTCGCTTTCCAACTAATTGATGAAGTTCTGACCTATATTTGTTTAAATTCTTTCTGATTTAAGAATACATTTGACCAGTTGAAACCAAGAGTACATGTACTACATAAAATTTCAAGGTTGTGATTAAGATTCAGTAAAAGTTATGCCCCATCCAGTATAGCAATATGTGGATGCCATGTTCAATATACATATTTGCTATCATTAAACTTGCAGAGACTATGAATCAAAATAATTCAAATGCTTAAAAATCATTTTATTTTTACTGCTAGTCAAAATACAGTCACTCAAGCATATCCTTTGTTAATTTGAAAAAAAAATGATAGTTTAACCTTTATTATTAATACCATACCAAAGCACAAGATAGTGCACTTCTTACATAATCCAATGATTCATGCTGTGATTTTACCTATTTAGATGTTTCTTATTTACAGTTCAGTATACATGATATACCAGTACAATGTGACACTAACCTAGTATCAGTTAAATTGATCATTACTATTCTGTTTTTAAGAAGTTTGCAGGGTAAAAAGTATAATAAAATAAAAATGTTGATACATTTATTGATTGCATATGCTAAAAACTTTTATAAAATATCAAACATTGTATCATAACAGCTTTTACAAATGAATTCAATACATTCAAAGGTACAAAAATCAAATTATTTTCATCCACAGTTTTATCATATTCAGTTGAACAACAGCTACATCTATTATATAAAATGTATGGTAGTTGGCACTGATGGTATATATATCCTGAGCAAAGAAAAAACATACCTAATCAAAGAATACAAAGCTCACTTCTATAAATGTTATCTACTAGTAAGGCAAAGTCTCACTCAACAAACACTCTGGTAATGTATATCACCTGGATCCAAAATCTATGCAAGTTGGTCTGGGTTAGATTTAACTGCTCAATAACCCTGAAAATGTATATTACATCCAGCATCAGAAGCAGGATACATCATCTATGTTTACTGATCACCAAAGAGTATATTGTTACTTTGAATGAACCTTCTCTAAAAAACTGGTCATTAATCCAGAAAATCTAAGTCAAATCAAGGATTGGTACCCTGAAACATTTACATGTACATACATCATCTTTGCAGGTTTGTTCAACATAGAGTTTATAATTACATGAGAATAGGACTGCTCAAAACACTTAATATTGTGGAGTCCCCCATGTGGCGCAAAGGATAGAGTTTGTAATCTAGAGTCGTGAGTAAGGATTTAATCCTTAAGTCTCAGGTTCAAATCCACTGGGGATGTGGGGACCAGTCCTTCAGATTAGAACATATAAACCGAGGTCCCGCCTAGCAGTTGATGTGGGCACAAAAAAGATCCCTTACTGCTCAAGGCCCTGAGTGCAAAGTATAGGTCAAATTTTGCAGCTCTCCACCAGCAAGTAGTGGCATCTCCATATGGATGAAAAATTCTTGAGAGGGATGTTAAACAACAAACAAACAAAAACAAAAAAAAACATGAGGAAAATGTAGATCAGGTCAAGCATCTGAAGTAAATCTGTTAATGTGCTTTAATCCATGCAAGTTTTTCCAGGTAGAGCTTAGGAATGAACCTTGCTCCTTAAATTTAACTGGGATGACAATGCTAGGTATATAATAAGAACTCATCTAGACTGTCCAGAAAAGCTAAAAAATATTTAGCAATTTCTTACTTGCATGATTTAAAAAAATGTGCAATCTAACATTATTTCAAAAAAAAAATTCAACACATTTTCTAATTTTCAACAAATTCAATGCACTATGAGACGATTTAACATTTCTTAACCACATGCACTGTACTTAAAGTGCAATATACATGCATTATACTGTATGTTAAATCTTTACAGTTTTCTTCAAGTACTCTAATAGTATATGAAATATGAAGATTACCAACAGTGATCAAGCTTTAAAGTCCATTGAAACAATACATAATTAGAGCAGAGCAAACACAGACCTCTAAAAACACCAGGTGCAATGGAGGAGAAAGCATTTCCTGCCATGTGCTCCTTGACATGACTGGGCAAATGGAACAATTCAGTGTAAACAATTTTGATGAAAAACATTAGTCAACATTCAACTTAATGATCGATTGAATTTGCTATAACAATTAATTTACACGTAAGTGTACACACATGTATGCATACTAGATGAATTATTTCACAATATCCAAAATTGGACAATAATAGTTTCTAATCTAGCTAGACAACAGGAAATTTTCATTATTACTTAAATTACATGAAACTATTGAAGTCTGTGAGCTACAAATTATATCTAAAAATTATACACATTTTAACAAGTGTTTACAGTTTAGTGTATTTATCATACACAAATGATGACTTAGTAATTATGACATACAGTACTAGTAAAGTCCACAGATTGACTTCCAGATTTCAGCTCAAAGGCTTGAAGATTTTTAGTGGCTCTTTCATCATTTTTTTTTTCACTGAATATTTTCATTTTTATTTTCAAGACGCTGTTTTTGTTGAGGTCTTTTAGCAGTTTGATGCAATCCAAGAACTCCAAGGGCAATTTAAGAACTCCTGAATTTCTTTCTTACCTGGAAAAAATAAAAATTTAAAAGTTTAAAATATATTCAACTTACATGAAGAAAACTAGTAAAACTAGTGATAATGTAATAGACCTTTCAGATGTTCCAAAGCAGCTACATGTATCTAATTAAAAAATATAAAGTTTGAAGTATTTAGAGTCACCTGTACTCTGAACATGGGATATATGTATTTGACAGACAGATGAATGAATAGACTGATCACTATAGAGCACCTTAGTCTTTTTTCAATAATCTTTATATTAGTGAAAATCAAATAGGAACTAGAGTGTTTCAAGGAATGTATATGTCACCTGCTAGGTATCGTCATTAAAGAGGTAAATAAATCTAAGAGTGGTCAGCTATTAATTTAATATTAGCGTGGAGGTTCATGCATTTGCCTGCAAGGAAAAAAAAGGATCCAAAAGTAAAAGACTGGGATAGAATCTGGCAATCAAAGAAAATATGGTTCCCCAGTCCTCAAATGAATAATTAAATTGAAATTATGAGGAATAACTATTTATCATTTTATTAATACACATGTAGGTGC